TAATATAATTAAAATAGAAGAGATCTTCTATATAATCTAGTATCTATATAAGTATAAATACTTTACTAACTTTTATTATTATATTTAAATAATTTATATTAAAAAGCTATAAAGAATAATTAAATATATAAAAAATAAGTATATTTATATAGATTATATCTTTTATATTTTTTTTTATACTTTAATATAGATATTAATATATATTTAATAATTATTTTTTCTACTTGTATATAATTTTTCTATATTTTTATATCTTTTTAATTATATATTATTATATAATTTCTATTTATATTATCTATAAGCCTATATTTTTAGCTAGCCGCCCGCGTACCTAGTCGTGGAAATGACTAGTTATGGTGTTAGCTGCTTTAATAAACACCTTCCCCTAATAATACTAGATTCTGCCTAGTATTATGCAAGTTGGTTCGTAACATTTCCTTAATAGTACTAGATTCTGCCTAGTATCATGCAAGTTGGTTTCGTAACATAACCGAGCATCTTTTCAAAACAGTACTAGTTTCTGCCTTAATATTATGCAAGTTGGCTTCCTAACACTGTCGGCTTAGGTATAGACCTGAATAGCGGCCCGTAAGATTGTAGCTAGCTACAACAGATATATATCAAATCTAGCAATATAGTATTCTAACGAAAAGTCTCTTACTCCTACCACTAGTAGCAATGTCCTCTGGTTAACATATACGAACAATCCCTAGGTTTGCAGTACCTTACTACTTTAAGTAATGTGGGGCCGGGTCCTTCCCAATACAGCACTAGCGGTACTGACGGGTTCGCGGCGAGTGAAGCAATTTATGTGTCTGCTACACGTTCACAAGACTCAGTCACCTCACCTCCTACTTTCAAACCTTCCACCTCGAATCCCCAGCCTATGAGCCGGATCAGTTGCGCACGCGTACTCTTCTGATCCCCGCTACCTTCTTCATTGTAATAATCTATCCGCATGCCCTTTCCTCCATTGACATCGGCCGTTGCAATAAAACCCTTTGGAAAAACATCCTGGGTCGGTTGAGCCATCCAGGCCCAGTTCTGACAATGCTGCCGGCTGCGTCGGCTTGGAGAGGTCTCGGCGTATAGCCCTTTACAACATGTCGCGCTTGTCTGCAGGGTTTGCCGACTTCTTCCCAACCGCGCCATCTGTTCTGTCACGAAAATCTAAATTATCCGAGAGTCGTGCACGAAGCAGGTCACGGTCAGAGACCAGCAACGGACTCGCGCAACCAGTCACCATTGCCACCCAGAGCGCTATATTAACACATGAGAAAGACGGAGATGATATGTGTGCGCTCCTCATACCAAACGATGCATCTGCCAAGGATAGCAATCGTGCTAGTACTTTGACCTCTGCGGGCTCTGACCTCTCTGCTCATGCAATTGCGGCTGACTTGTCTACAATGAATGGAAATGGATTGCTACAACCAAAATCCCTCACACGGTCGCCATCGCGATATTTGTCGCATAACGCTAACAGTCCACGTGAGGATCAAACATCCTTGTCCAGGTCTGCCATCGATGTTAAGCATAATGAGCTCGAAGGAGGTAGCACGGCGCTAAGTCGCTCCGATGATCCTACAGAAATCCCCTCACCTGGAGTTCACGCTTCCCTACCTCGCGAACTAAAAGGCCGCAAGGTATTTTACGACCCAGAGTTGGATAAAAAACTTGGCACTACGGATAAAAAGAAGAAGCTTGAGTACTCAGACTTCGTCCTAAGCGACAGATCCTCAGTTCCGGCCGACCCTCGCCTTTCCATTGTCAACTACACTCGCGGTTCGGCTAATGCGCAGAAAGCACGGCTAAGATCATCGCCTTATTCGATACGTCACTGGCCTTTCGATGCTGCAACATCCATAGGTCGCGCTGCCCCTTCGCAACTAGTCGTCACCGGATTCGATCCCCTCACACCGATTGCTCAAATAACTGCGCTGTTCTCAAGCTTCGGAGAGGTTGCCCATATCGATAATCGCACAGATCCAGTTACGGGAAGGCCTCTCGGTATCTGTCTTGTTAAATTCAAAGATACCGCTTCCTTCCACAGTCAAGGGCCATTATCGGCTTCGGCTGCTGCGAGACGTGCTTACTATGAGTGCAAAAAGGAACAACGTATCGGTACACGACGCATTCGAGCAGAACTCGATCGTGAAGGACTTTTGTGCCAGAGACTAGTGGACAAAGCTGTCGAGTCATGGCGTAAAAGCAACCCGGCATCACTGGAATCAGGCCATCGTGACACTCCTCCAAGAAATAATGAGCCTCCCCCTACCGCTCCAAAGGGGCCTTCTGGGCGCTCATCGGCACGGCCAGCTTTTAACCCGCCAGAAGGCCCCAAGGCTGCTTCGAAGCCCGTCGTATCACCAGCCATTGAAGAAACACCTATCCTGCAACAAATCAAGCGAGACCCCTATATCTTTATCGCCCACTGTTATGTCCCAGTCCTGGGATCCACATTGCCTCACCTTCAAAAACGATTAAGAACGTTTGACTGGAAAGCCGTTCGATGCGATAAGACTGGGTATTATATCATTTTTGAGAACTCCAGACGAGGCGAAGAAGAAACCATGAGGTGTTACAAAATGTGCCATATGACACCTCTATTTACTTACATCATGAACATGGAAAGTCAACCCTATGGAAATCCAAATTATGAGCGCAGTCCGAGCCCTGAACGATTACAGGCAGAGCAGAAAGCTAGGGCTGAAGAGAAGAGGGTACTCAAAGAAGTCGAATTAGAGGTTGAAGAAGAGAAACAGCAACGTGCCAGTGGCCTCGACCCATCGAAAGAAGTCCTCAGTATCGTCATACACGAACTAAAGACGAAACTACTTGAAGACGTCAAGTTTCGCATTGCCGGCCCCTTTCTTTACGAATACCTTGATCCAGAGAGGCATTCGGAAAGAAGAAAGGCTCTAGGTATTCAGGACCCCGAGGCAAGCAAGTCTAATTCATTTCAGCTTGGATTACCGAACGATTCATTCCATTCTCGTCCACTTGATCTCTTGGCTCTTCCCCGCATTCGCAAGTCATATCATGACCAAGTCAATGGTACAAATTATCTGGACGAAAGACGTGGGCATATACGACGACGAAGGGATGTGCGACCGCTTCATCATCGTCTTCGCCATCTCCATGAAGCTGGAGACTCTGATGATGACATGCGAACACCTATGTCAAGGGACACAGACGAAATGGGGAGCAGATCGCCGAGCCAAATGAGCTTCGACACGTCTGTCACAGATACTGAGGATGATGCCTCCAACGTATTTACCTCACGAAGTCCCTCTGTAGACCCTGAGGCTACTGACTATGTCGACACGGCAGATATCAATAGCGAGCAGCATGAAGATCTGGTGCTTCAGCAAGTTGACCCCGATCTGTCCAAGAAGAGAAAGAGAACTATCGAGGGGGGACTTGATCCTCGAAAGCGACATAAGGAAGCATATGATAATCCTAATATCGATACTGTGACTCTTGATGTTGACGCTCAACCTGGCTCCTTCGATATTGCCAGTATCGACGATGACTTGATCCTACAGTCTGCAGAAACTATACTTGGTACGTGTACCCTGAAGAATTTAATATTTGAACATTTGCTTATTAGTGGCGGAAGCAGAGGCGGGKATCTACTCAAAACCAGAAGTTAATCTTGATGTCTCTTTTGATCAACCACGACCTAGCGTCTTGGACGACGACGCGCTCGTTTTGGACCTGGATGGCTGGCAATCTCTGATCAAGGATGACGAGGACCTTGATTTTCTCCGAGAAACTATGTCAAATACGTTACCATCGAAGGTCAGTGATATCACCATTTGGGCCTGGAAGCAGCGAGAAGCAAAGCTTTTGAATCGGTTCGGGGAAACTGGCCCGGTCTTTACCCCGACAACTATTCCTGGATACTTTGTGCCCAACTCAACCGGCTCAGCTCGAACGGAAGGCAAGAAGAGAATATTTGAAGCAGAGAAGTCGAAGTATCTACCTCATCGGATCAAAGTACAGAAAGCTCGAGAGGAGAGGGAGGCATTGGCTCAGAGTGACCCTCAGTCTGTTCCAGTTGAATCTGCAAAGGCCGGTCCAGCAAAGCCTGTGAACAATTCTACATCTAGATCCACGAGAGTTCAGAACCGCCGACTCGCGGCTGATATCAACGCGCAGAAACAAGTCCTTCCACCCCAGGGTGGCGATGGCGATGCTTTACGCTTCAACCAACTCAAGAAGCGTAAAAAGCCCGTGAGATTCGCGCGTTCGGCTATCCATAATTGGGGATTGTATGCCGAGGAGAACATCGCTGCCAATGATATGATTATTGAATACGTCGGCGAGAAAGTCAGACAGCAGGTGGCTGATATGAGAGAGAGAAGATATTTGAAAAGCGGTATAGGAAGCAGTTATCTTTTCCGAATTGACGAGAATGCGGTCATTGACGCCACAAAACGTGGCGGTATTGCGAGATTTATCAACCACAGCTGCACTCCTAACTGTACAGCAAAGATCATTCGGGTGGATGGTAGTAAGCGAATTGTAATTTATGCATTGCGAGACATCAGCAAAGGTCAGCCTTTCGGCTCCCTGAGATGAATTTGCAGGTCATGATGCTAATGATAAATTGCAGATGAAGAACTCACATACGACTACAAGTTCGAAAGGGAATGGGATAGCGAGGACAGGATACCCTGCTTATGCGGATCAGCAGGTTGCAAAGGATTCCTCAATTGATACGCGCTACATTTATACATTTCAGGGTAACATACTCGACGAAACTTTAATAACGGATATCTTATTTCCGGGATGCATTGGATAGGCGTACTTCGTGGAGGGCATGGCTTGCGGCGGCTTCATTAAAGATTCGGCGAACATGGAACCGACTCTTGTGCTTCTGATAAGGGAATTATGGAGTCTACTACTATGTGAATGCATGTGTGGTTGCTATGTATATTATTTGAACTTCATTTGGCCGTGAACCAATATATTTATGTCAAGCTGAACTGTATTCATTGAAGAAAGAGACGACGGCTTTGACATCTCACTACATGCCATCGGCAAAGAGTAGAGCCCGTACGTAGCTTGACATGCAATGGATGATAGACTATTGTTGAGAAAGGCAGATCACTCAAGCCAAAAAGCCCCAGTAAAGGAGACTTCCGTTGGAATTCGCTCTAATGGCTTTGATAATCTCTGTCTAGCTCCGCAAACTGTAAATTTCTCTTGCGACAACGTCCCGGCTTTCGCTGACTGCGGCCATTGTCGCATTTACTTTGTCGAACCGCATGATGCAGGAGGTACTACATATTCACCACCACAGAGAGCTTCGTGATGCGTGGGGACTTTGTAGGGCACGGTTATTCGGTAGAATGCTGCAGATTATTGAATGCTGCATCTCGATTCGGCACGACGTCAATGTTTTATGATAAGACTCTGTGGATTTTTGAAGCAATGTCCACATTCAATGCAGGCAACAGACGTCTTAGACTGGAATGGAGTAAGCATAACGAAACTTGTGGCAGGKCTGTCCGCCGGTAGGCATTATTAGCTGAAACTCACCTAGGTGACTGGGAAGAAGAAAGTTGGCGATTCCTTCTTTGATTTGATATTCATGGCCACAGTTTGCACAGCAGAGCTTTCCTTCCATCACATGTGTTTCCATAAGTAGTTTATGTAGATCTCTTAGCATAGTCTCGTCGACCTGCTCGTCACTGGGTTTGATGTTCGATATATCGGGGAATCCAAGCTGTGCAATTCACATGCAATGTCAGTTTCGAGATCTTGGAGCTAGGTTACGGACGAAAAAGGGACGAGGAAGTGGCGGGCTTTGCAAATAAACCAAGCAAGTACCAGGAAACGAGAAAGAACCTACTTCTTGAGCTGTGATTCTCAATGAATCCCAATCAATCCGGGGCAGAATATTTCGGATCAGGCTAGGATTGAAATCAACCTCTTGTTGTTCTAGCTCTGCGTCCTTGAAATGAAGTGGGGTGGATGCTGGTGAAGCCCGGCAGGCCTTCACAGCGCATGTGAGGAAATTGACAGTGATTAATTTCATCGTCAATATTTTATGGTCGAATTGCCGCACGGGTTAGGTCTTGAGTGTTAAGATTGGGAGTTGTTGACGTGTGGAGGGGCAAGAAATTTTTCCAGACTCCGACGGCACTTCCGTGTCGGTCACATATCATTGGTTGATCTATATCGATAGCCTAGGTTATACAACACCATGAATCTTCTAAGCAATATTCCATTTCAAAGGTATAATGTAGGTTATCTACCTAGGGGAAGATTCTGACTCAAGATTTGTGTGTGCTTGGTGAGCTCGCCAGCGTGCTTTCAAGGAAAAGTTTTATAACTAACGTCCACGAAGTGGGAAATCATCATCGGAGGATGACTTCCACAAGATCCATGTCATCGATGTCGTAATCCTTTAGTTGTGAGTCAGGGTCGAGGACGTCTCCGTCAAACGAGAGAAGAACTTGACTGCCCGGGGATATATTCCTCTTGCTCCGAAAATTGGTTATGATCTGTTGGACAGGCGTCCGGGGCAGGACTTTCACTCGCAAATCACCATAACCTGGACTCTTCAGAACAATGTGAAATGCCTCGCTATCGGCGGTTTGCGAAGGAGCTGAAGGTGCCGAAGCCAATTCCTCTGCTTCAGCCCGAGCTTTCAAGAACTCATCCGTCACGGCTTCAACGTGGATGCGCAGCACATCACGGGACCCCCCCTCCTCAAAGTCTAAATCATCAGATAGGGACGACGAAGAACTGATTTCAAGACTTCTACACGTTGTCACGTCAAAAAGTCTCCTTTTATTCCAAGTTAAATATACAGAATCAGTCATCTTCTGATCGAATCCCTGACGCGCGCACCACGTTAAGCGAATATCTCGAAATCGTTGTGACATATGTCGCCGAACAATCAGCGGTTTGGTGTTTTCAATCTCAGATGTGACCAGTATCTCTACCACGACCTCGGCTTTCATTTCTACTTTTCGATCTGCGTCTTCTTGAGTACCATTTGCGGCCTTTGCGTTTCCAGCGTTCGCTAATACTCCATCTTGACACGACGATGAGCTCCGAGCCTTTTCTGGCGATAGTGTAGGTCGGTGACGGGATAAAGATTCTTGGAACCGTGGTGGTTCTTCAACAACTTGAACCCCAGGCGAGGGCGTTCTCTGTTTCTCGGCAACAGCCAGCTCATTTTCGAGTGCGACCTCATCAATATCCTGGGAATTTTCTCGGCTTTCAACATGTTTGGTTTTATTATTCTTCGCTGACTGCTCGACCGGTGGTGACGAAGCATCTGATTTATTCTCGTCAGTCTCTGAAGCATCTTTTATCGACTCGTCATCTTGGCCTGATATGCGGCGACGCTTTGAAGAACGGACGGGAACTCTGGTCGACTCGACGACAGGTTTCAAGGCGGATTTTGCGGCTTCTTCGCGACGTTGCTCTCTATTCGCCTTTAGGATATCCTTGTATGTCTGATGGGATCTGCGATAGAATTCGGGCGCCGAGGGTTCGTCATCTGTCTTAGCCCAGGCTGGCTTATTGAAGAAAGAGCGCATCAAGACGCTATTTGGGGCGTTTCGGGCCGTATACTATGTCATATAAGTAGCTTCTGTATAAGTTGTCAAGACGGAATGAAGTCTCGGTCTTTTTGGCGATGACGATAAGATGTATTGATCTGCGTAATAGTTAATACGCTTCATTTTGTGGGGCAGACTGGGATTAAAAGGCGGAAATATTACCGCTAGGCACTAATCAGAGCTAGCGCCATACGGAGCCATCCTAGTTTCGTAATATACTAGCATCAGCCATCCGATAACATTGCCAATGCTTTCGTCAACCATCGACCGGCTGAACGAATAAGACCAGACACGACACACGCTCTAGACACCATGGACAACGGAAACCCAACAGAAGGCAAGGATCCTTCGACTTTTCTTAGCGAGATCACTGGAGCTCCAGTGACTGTGAAGCTCAACTCTGGCGTCGTTTATCAAGGTACGTATGGGACAAGATTCTTTTTATCATTTGGCGTACGCTAATCAGGATCACAAAAAAGGCGAACTCCAGTCTGTCGATGGATACATGAATATTGCATTGGAAAAAACAGAGGAATACGTCAATGGGCAACTAAGGCGCTCTTATGGTGACGCTTTTGTTCGTGGAAACAACGGTATGCTATTTCGCACTCATTATGGGGTTGACTTGGCGAAACTGACTGAAGGTAGTACTTTACATTTCAGCGCGATAGTCACAAAGCCGGCTCCGATTGAAGGGGACCATTTATACTCTGGCATCGTATCTACTACCACCGAGACGAGTTCCGATCAGACCACGAACAAGAAACAGAATTGTGATGTGGCTCAACAATAACACTCGAGCATGGCGCATGGTTTCGGATAGTATAGCTACTGCCAGGTAATGCAACGAGCATAGAGTTGAAGGTCAAATCTTGTGGTTTAATATTCGAGGAATAATGGCGCGATGCTAGTCGGTGACAGGTCGTGATGGTGCGACTTTATCCTAGCTATACCTCAAAGCCGTGAAAGTGAAATATTAAATGATATGCGAGGAGAGAAGCCAGAGATTTATGATATACCTCATATTAATTGTCAGTCAGTAAGAATGCGTATCAGTCGGAGGACAAATCATCTACGGAGAGCTCGAGAGTAGGAAAAGAAACCCCACACTTGAAGATTCGCCATCGGCCCATTCAGGACCTGCGCAGATAGCATGTGGCTGTGAATTTTCCAATATAAATCTCCTTATCTCCTGGGTAGACAGAATCAAATCCCTCCCTTGACGCTCACTGACAGAAAGATCCGTGGAAGTCCATATCTGACACTTCCTCAGTTCTCGCCAACCTTTTTTTTTTTCTTTTCTCTTTTGGTCCAGTGCGGGGTCATTGAGGCCATTCATACAGAAAACAACTTTTTCCCTGGTCTACAGACACCGACAACATGTCGCTTCAAGCCATCAAATATGCCAACAATCAGTTGCAAATCATAGATCAGCTGCAACTCCCGTTTATTACCGAATACATTCCAATTCGTTCTGCGCAAGATGGTTGGCATGCAATCAAAGAAATGCGCGTTCGTGGCGCACCCGCTATTGCGATTGTTGCGATCCTGTCGCTTGCGGTCGAGTTGAGCGAGTTACAAACTGCCGGGAAATTGTCGTCTTCGTCGGAAGAGGTTGGCCTATTCATTATCGAAAAGCTACACTACCTTGTCACCAGCAGGCCGACTGCGGTCAACTTGGCTGATGCGGCGCTCAAATTCGAACGTACGGTGACTGAGCACATCCAAACTCAGCTTTCTACGGGACAGTCACTCGTTGCAGCGTATCTTAAGGAAGCTGAGTTGATGCTGGTTCATGATCTTAGCGACAACCAGAACATCGGCGCATATGGAGCAAAATGGATTCTTGAACGAGCAGCGGCGCAAGGACAGAGCAAAGTCAATGTGCTTACTCATTGCAACACAGGGTCAGTAAGCCGATGTTTCTATAATGTCTTGTTTGACATGCTAATTGAGAACACAGATCGCTCGCGACTGCAGGTTATGGCACAGCATTGGGCGTTATCCGATCGCTTCACGCAGGAAAGGCTTTAAACCGCGTCTATTGCACAGAGACCAGACCTTACAACCAAGGTGCGCGGTTGACTGCATATGAACTAGTACACGAGAAGATGCCTGCAACCCTAATTACGGACTCGATGGCCGCCTCTTTACTTGCCAAAACCGAATCAAAAGTGTCGGCCATTGTTGTGGGCGCAGACCGGGTGGCCGCCAACGGCGATACTGCGAACAAGATTGGAACATACGCTCTCGCCGTACTGGCGAAGTATCACGGTGTTAAATTCCTAGTGGCCGCACCACGCACAACTATTGATCGAGGAACTCCGTCGGGAAATGAAATCGTGATCGAAGAACGTGCCCCGTCGGAGGTGACAACCATCAAAGGTCCCTTGCAGGGGCGCGTGGGAGACACTTTGCAGATGGAGACTATCCAACTGGCAGCCACCGGCATAGATGTATGGAATCCTGCATTTGACGTCACGCCGGCAGCTCTTATCGATGCCGTTATCACCGAGAAAGGGGTAGTCGAAAAAGGTTCAGACGGGTTTTTTTATTTCGACGCGCTCTTCGACGAATCGGCTTCTTCGTGATGCGTCGTCAGGTCGTCACGGGATTCTTGCTGATCGTTATGTGTGCCATCTTCTACTGCCGCTAGAAGTTCATCTATCTTTTGCTCTAGCTTAGACAAATGATTTTCCAAAGCAAGAGCTGTGTTTTCGCCGCTAGATTTCACTCGGATTAGCTTAAATGCCAGGAGAGGGGGGGGCTTAAGACACACTGGGCTAGATCCTTGAAAGCCTATCGTAGTCATATTAGGTTAGTCAACGATGCGTGACGGGAGGTATACTGAAAAGGGGGCAAGTTTGTTGAGCTGAAAGGAGGTATCTCGATTCGTGCGGGCAGACACTCGTACCTTTGCTAAGTCTAGGTCGTCTGCTGAGCCTGCCATTKTCCCTTTTTGACAGCCCCGCCGTAAGGGATCAAGTAACGGGATTTGTTTGTTCGGCCTGACAGATAGGCCCGGTCAATTTGACGGGCTTCACTTCTTAATATTATGCTGTCGCGCGAGGGAGAATGCGTGTAGGGCCTAATCCAGTCAATCAATGGAATGACATAACACTGGAGGAAGAAGTAGTTGCTAAGCAATGAGGGGAGATGCGGAAGTCAGCATACGTAGTGGCTCGGAATGGCTAATGTTCCGACCCGCTAGACAGATTCTAAATTTATCCCTTTCACTAGTCTGTTGTTACGTCAATGCACGACTCCTGAGCTCTTCTTCACCTCGGTCTATCTCATCCTACTCCTAGTCTCGGCATTAAGAAGATATTAAAATGCAATTGGTCGATCATGCATCTCATATTAAACTCCTGTGACATGACTTCGAATGCTTTTCTGTGCTTGGTTTAGCTTGACTTGATTGGACTTCAGCCCTAAGACTGAGGGCTGATTACTGGACGAGTTTATATTGAGGCTGAATATCAGCTCAACAGCCTCATCGTGACTTCTCTGATGGGAGCATTGGCCTATTACGAAAGTGATCGAATTACCATACATAGTAGTCTACGGAATAGCTCAACAATGTGACCAACTAGCAGAGGGCTCAAATCTCAATGCCGTGGATTGAGTCAATGCTCGGGTCACATACTTTACCAAGTCCTTGACGGTCAAAGCATAAAAATAGAATGTGCACTGCCACGCTTCTCGCGAACCCCTTGTCCAGGAACCATCAGTGGTTCGGTTCCCCTGAATCCTCTGCAGAAGCATTTTCGGCAGGAATTCGATAGTTGATTCTACAGATCGTTCGATAGCGTTATCTCTCGGTGGGGAAAAGGGCAGGAACATTCCTTTGTTCTTTCGAGGGACGACAGCGTATGGTATTGAACGTGTATATCAAACCGAGTCGTTCCAAACCATTGGTTCTCGCGTTCACCTCGTACTATGTACGTAGCTCTTTTGACTCTTGACAGGTACGGTAAAGGTGTTGTATAATAAATACAATGTCGTACAATACAAACCACCGCCAATCATTCAAAGTGGCATTGTATCGGTGTCATCATATGAGCTCTCACCGCGCATGCACAACTACTGACAGAGAAACATACCGGATGACGAAATATGTCCAACCACCACAGCTCCGAGTCAGCAATTCACCCCTCTGATAAAATTACTTTCTCTGTGCAGTGCGTACGTAGTATTAACACTGTTTGAGACATGGTTTCAGGAAAGTGGACACCACCCAGGGCCCGGGGTGTCTGTTGCCAGGCAGGGGACTCGCCAATGTCTGGATCTCCCAATCGCCACGCCTATGCATAGCCCACATTGTGGAGATCTTCGGTACCCGCGACCGCCATTTGGGCCTGTCCACTCAGTACGTACTTGGCTACAAAAGCACATACTAATGTAAAACAAATAAACAGTACAACGGACGAGGCTTCAAGCTTGGTCAGTACGCCCGTACCAATAGTGTGGCTGGCATTGCCCCTCCTATTTTTATCCATGCGTACTGTACGACGTAGTACGGTACTGTATACAGTTACACGGGACAGCATTGTTTGTGACGCACCAGTAAGTGTATATGTATGTTTGTATTGACCGCGTAATTACTGCTCGGCCTGCTCCTTCCCTTTCCTGAAGAGGAGCTGTTTCCATGTCGAACATCATTCAGGGCGTCGTTTCCTTCTTCGCAAGGCTATTGGCAAGTACTACGAGTAGCTCAAGCTCTGTTTTTGACTGCGCTGTTCTACCAGTGGGGACCCGTGTATACATCTCGTCTCCGTCTCCATAACCACCAGATTCCTGTTATTTATATCCTCTGTCCCTCTCATCCTTCCTTCTTTCACCCCTCCCCTTCTTCTTCCCATATTCACCCTCACCGTGTACTTACAACTACTTTTTTAAAAGTATCATTCTTCTCTCTGTCTAACTAATTTCATCCTTCTCCGTTCAAAAGTACGCCTCTCGCCATCCCCACCCTTAAATCTCAAACACCGCCCAGCAAGAGCTGCCTCGATCTACACCTCCAATTCGCCAGTCTTCAGCTTCCCCCCCCTCCACCATTCGCTCTTACCGCCTCCCCACCCTTTTCTCACGCCAAACGAAACGCCTCCTCATCAATTCTCTCTCCTAGGGCCTTGTGGTTGTCAATTGACTTGTAGCAATCTGTTTCTCTATTTTCCTGCTATCGCACATCGTCTATATCCTTCAAACCTTCCTTTTCATTGAATAGCAATCATGTGGTAAGCACTTCTCCCGAACACGAACCAGTGACCAACTCTATTTTGAAAGCTGGCTGGATAAGCTAACTCTATTATCAAAGTGGTATCTTCGGTTATATCAACTACCTCGTCGAGAAGGACCGTCGTCACATTCTAGAGACTCTTGTCAATGGTAAGTGTTTCACAGCCGACTTTTCGATCGTCTGCACAAACTGACCAACACTTTTCTGCTTCTAGGTCTTTCCAGACTCGAGTATCGTGGATATGACTCCGCCGGTCTAGCTATTGATGGGGATAAGAAGAATGAGGTCTTCGCTTTCAAGGAAGTTGGAAAGGTCGAGAAGTTGAAAGAGTTGATTGCACAGTCAAACGTCGACTTGGAAAAGACTTACGAATCCCACGCTGGGATTGCCCACACTCGCTGGGCTACTCACGGACCTCCTTCTCGCATCAACTGCCACCCTCACAGGTGAATCCTATCCTTCGGACCAGACACTTTCCAAATACTCACAGCTCGCAGATCCGACCCCAAGTGGGAATTCTCTATCGTTCACAATGGTATCATCACCAACTACAAGGAGTTGAAGGCACTTTTGGAGAGCAAGGGCTTCCGTTTCGAGACTGAGACCGATACGGAATGTATCGCTAAATTGGCCAAGTACCTCTACGACCAGCATCCCGATATTGACTTCACTGTCCTGGCCAAGGCGGTCATCAAGGAGCTCCAAGGTGCTTTCGGTCTTCTCATGAAATCTGTCCACTACCCACACGAAGTGATCGCTGCTCGCAAGGGTTCTCCTCTTGTCATCGGTGTTCGCACCTCCAAGAAGATGAAGGTTGACTTCGTTGACGTCGAATACTCTGAAGAGGGTGCTCTTCCTGCCGAGCAAGCCTCCCAGAACGTGGCCATAAAGAAGTCTGCTGCTAATCTTCTCGCGCCCCCTGACAAGTCGCTTTTGCACCGCTCACAATCTCGCGCTTTCCTTTCGGACGATGGAATTCCCCAGCCTGCAGAGTTCTTTCTCTCCTCCGATCCCTCTGCTATTGTCGAGCACACCAAGAAGGTCTTGTACTTGGAGGATGACGACATTGCTCACATCCACGAAGGTCAGCTCAACATTCATCGTCTGACCAAGGATGATGGCACCTCCAACGTCCGTGCTATCCAGACCATCGAGTTGGAATTACAGGAGATCATGAAGGGCAAGTTCGATCACTTCATGCAGAAGGAAATTTTCGAGCAGCCCGAATCTGTTGTCAACACCATGCGTGGTCGTCTGGATGTTGAGAACAAGAAAGTGACCCTTGGTGGTCTTCGTCAATATATCTCCACAATCCGTCGTTGCCGACGCATCATCTTCATCGCTTGTGGTACCAGTTACCACTCCTGCATGGCCGTGCGTGGTGTCTTTGAGGAGCTTACCGAAATTCCAATTGCTGTCGAACTTGCCTCCGATTTCTTGGATCGCCAAGCTCCAGTCTTCCGTGATGACACTTGTGTGTTTGTTTCTCAGTCCGGTGAGACTGCGGATTCTTTGATGGCACTCCGGTACTGCCTTGAGCGTGGCGCCTTGACTGTTGGTATTGTCAACGTTGTCGGTTCCTCAATTTCTCTTCTCACTCACTGTGGTGTGCACATCAACGCTGGCCCTGAAATCGGTGTTGCCTCTACCAAGGCCTACACTTCCCAGTTCGTTGCCATGGTCATGTTTGCCCTATCCCTCAGTGAGGACCGTGCTTCCAAGCAGAAGAGGCGCGAGGAGATCATGGACGGTCTTTCTAAGATCTCTGACCAGTTCCGTCAAATCCTCAAGCTCAACGACCCCATTAAGGATATGTGCGCCAAGTTCTTCAAGAACCAGAAGAGTCTTTTGCTTCTTGGTCGTGGTAGCCAGTACTCGACAGCTTTGGAAGGTTGGTCATCTGTCCTTTTACCCATCTTTAGTAATATTCAGGAACTGACATATTGGTTGTAGGTGCCCTCAAGATCAAGGAAATCTCATACCTTCACTGCGAAGCTGTCATGTCTGGTGAATTGAAGCACGGTGTCCTTGCGTTGGTTGATGAGAACCTTCCCATCATCATGATCCTCACTCGCGATGATATCTTTGCTAAGTCATTGAACGCATACCAGCAGGGTAAGATGACGCGTACCAACTTGCTACGAGATCATGACAGCTAACTCTTCGAATAGTCATTGCCCGTGGCGGTCGTCCCATCGTCATCTGCAACGAGAACGACGAGGAGTTCCCTACTTCCCAGACCGAGAAAATTGAAATCCCCAAGACCGTGGACTGCTTGCAAGGTCTCCTTAACGTGATTCCCTTGCAATTGGTCGCCTACTGGCTTGCTGTTGGTGAGGGATTGAACGTCGATTTCCCCCGAAACTTGGCCAAGTCTGTGACAGTCGAGTAAAGCGTTTACTTCTAAAAACTTGGTTCGCGCTGGAGTCTAGGGGAAAACGATAGGCATTTCATTGGCCCGGTTTATATTTTCATGTCTTTTAGCTTTCAGTTGTTTTGATCGGATAGTAAAACACTGGTGGGTATCTTGACCTTAGAACATTAATGACATACAATGAGTTTCATATCTACAAGAAGGGTGTATGTACACAGGTAATCCCCATTATCTGACCAACACCATTTGGTTGTGATATTTTCGATTAATTTCTAAGCTTTATATAAGCTAATGCATCTCGTAGTAATGATATGTGGAGAACCCCACCACGATGCCATAATCGGCGAAAATGACATGATCACTCTCTAGCATCTTCACTACTTCTCAATCATATCTAGTCGAGACTATACGTTGAAACACACAGAACAAGAGACAAATATTTTGATCGACAATATGACTACTATCAAAGGACCTGGTGACCGTGAAACCTATGACGGTCAGTCAATTGTCTATGCAGACTCCCCGCATTGGCTGCCACGACTTGCCAGCTTGCTGCCTACTGAAGCTCTGTAGTGCAATTGACACTAATTTTGTGCTGTGCGGATAGGTACCGGTCTCCGAATTGCCATTGTACATGCTCGTTGGAATACAAAGATTATCGACGCGCTCGTATCCGGGGCTGTGAATAGCCTCATTTCGACCGGAGTATCGAAGGATAACATCGTCATCCAGACCGTTCCTGGCAGCTATGAATTGCCAGTTGCGGTTCAAAAGTTGGTTCACTCTGAATTGCTCGTTCGTGTATACAACAAACTAAATATGTCTTTCGCACAGTATATATAGGGCCTCCCACGTCCAAGCTGCCGCTAGCTCGACAACCGGCGACATCGCCGCAACAGACCTTCTCTCCTCGTCAACCTCCGACTTGACTCAGCAAGCTGTCACCACCACCTCCTCTTCCGCAGCGTCTGCAGCATCAACAGCCCCCTTCGACGCAATCATTGCCATCGGTGTGCTCATCAAAGGCGAAACAATGCACTTTGAGTACATTTCCGAGGCTGTCTCGCATGGCCTTATGCGCGTTCAGCTCGAGGCTAATGTTCCCGTCATTTTCGGATTGTTGACTCTGTTGACCGAGGAGCAAGGTCTTGAACGGGCTGGACTCGGTAATGGGAAGAAGCATAACCATGGAGAGGATTGGGGTCATGCAGCTGTTGAGTTGGCTTTGAAGAGGAAGGGGTGGTCTGAGGGAAGAATTGTTGCATGAGCAAGTTTCATCGAGAAGAAGAAATCGGTTGATACGAGAGCGCTGGCCCTCTCCTTGAGAGAAGATTTACAAGTCACCGAAGTGTGGCAGAATTTGGCCAGGCTACTTATATAAATGGAAGGAAAGTATTCAATGCAACAAAGTAAATCATATTCTAGGGTCTCTGATTGATTTATTCTTCCATTTGCTCTCCCTCGCCCGTTTTTTCCTCTTCTTCTTCATCTTCGCCTTCAAGGGCCGCCTTTGCAGCCTTCTCGGCCTCTTCCAGCAGTTCACGGGGCACTTCCTCATGTCTTCCCTTAGTTGGGCCGTCAAGTGAACTGATCCATGTCATCTCAAGTTCAAAATCCTTATCTTCTTCATGCGCAACGTAGATGATCCGAGCTGCTTCCTTGACACCCTCGAGGAGACTGAGGTTTCCGGCCGGAAGGTCAAGTTTTTCAAGTTCTGCTTTTGCTGCTTGTCGTCCCTTGCCAGTCGCTGCACCGTAGTAACCCTATAAGATTCGAGGTCAGTTACTGTCCACAACCAAAGATCGGAGTCAACGAATATGTTGGATTTCTTACCCAGTAGAGACCACTGGGCTCGATCATATACAGCCCAGGGCCACCAGCTTTGAGATCCTTAGCCTTTCCACCAGCTCCGACGCTGGGTCCGGTTCCGACTTGGCCATCCACAGATAACTCTGTCTCTGAATCCCAGCCTCCCACTATCGAAGTAACACCGAACGGACGGACGCTAGAGTATAGGGTGTAGGCTTGTACGTAACCGCCAAGTCTGTTGGCGAGTGCAGATGTGGGAATTGGTCCTTTGTAGGTCTTTCTCCAAGAAGCGGCTTCATCGCGGGCTCTGGAGACGAAATGTCGTCCATCGGGAACAAGGCCGGAAGAAACCTATGATACGCGAACAAGCACTGATCAGCAAATATGACTATAAACAGAGACGGGGGGATACGTACGATGCCAACGTTTCGGTCAACAGTTGCTATCCTCTTATTCGCGCCAGGCTTCAACAACTTGCTTGTAATCAATTTCTCAACAGCAAGGACAACACCATCTTTGCATCTTATACCAATCGCAGTGCCTCCATTCTCAACTGCTTTGACTGCGTATTCGACCTGTTTGAGTCAAGAATTGAATCGAGTTAGTATCTTGCTAGATTCGATCAGCTCGTGCTGTAGGTGTTGCCTACCTGGAAGTTCCTGCCATCTGGAGAAAAGACGGAGTTTGAAAGATCGTAGCCTGTTCCGATAGAAGTCTGCAAAAATTTCGATTGGATTAGAACTAAAAGTTGATGATGAATGGGTGCTGGCTGGAGGGTTTAACCCACCATGATGTTGGTTCGGAGACGGCTGAGCTCTGGAAATGTTTAATGAGTTTCTCTCGAAACTGTAGCTACACAGTCGGTCTATCGAAACAGTCGAATCTGAGCACAGGTGATGGATTGAAGTAGTCTAGTGCTTCTTCAAGGATGAGTGCGGTTGACGGAAGCTGTTGCGATGCTGTGGTGCTGATTGATGATACTGGAGCTCTAGGAGCTCGGATCGCGTCACCCGTATCTGCCTGGCCGACACCTTGCAGCCTGAGGCATCATCAGCAATGACGAATCACGTGATTTTATTACCCTTATATTTAGAAAGAGTTTACAACGTCGTTTGAGATTGATGCAAATGTCATGATAACCAATTCAGTATAGCACTGCCTGCAAGCTTCAAACCTCTAATCGAGTTAAGCGGGCTTGTCAGCGTCCCTGTTCTTGCAGAAGGTCATGAGTGCTTCGATGCCCGATCAGGCAGCTATTACCCAAGGTCGACTTCCTATGCTTGAAGAGACATTAAAATATTGTAAAATAATAACTGCCAGGTATATTTTCGGTTACTTAATTCTTCTTCTAGCTCATATCGAAAGAAGTTCAAGAGATACTATTTGTTACTGACTCCAAACTCGTCGACTCAGAATAACACAGTACTTGGGACTTCAATTATTTGAAACTACAGTTCCGAAAGAGAATGGCGTCCAATTGTCCCTATTGCGGCCATGCCGCACATTCTACAGCAATGTATATGACTTGCGAGGAGAGCACATTATGTCAGCAGGTTAGATAAGATTTACCTTATTCGTTATCTACGTCGTGATACGGTCCAGATCGAAAGCCCGACCGATGTTATGCAAGCGTTGTCACTGACGGAGAAATCCAGTGCGGTCTATCAGAGTCTGACGCCTGGCTTCGAAGTCAAGAGGATGAACTCGTGGCTCGCTTCTCTGCTTACAGTATCACGCCACAAGTCGAGCAGGTCTCAGTAGAGAGCAAGCCGGCTGCGAATCGCATCGTGTATGCCTCTGCTGCAGCTCATAGCTTCATCGTATCGCCGTATAACATGAATGGTCATCCGAGTGTACCCAGTGAAAGCAACAAAGCTACTTGGTATGTCTGTTCCCGGCTTGTAAGCCAGTCCAATACCGGAGTACGACTAAGTCGACTAATCTCTAGGGTAGCGCAAACGGCTTCAAGACAATCTGATGCATTCGCCCCGACGCCGTCCGAATCGTTCGATATGGAGATGGACAGCGAACCGGAACTCTCTGATACTGCGACAAGAGACAGCAAGCGCTCGAGTTTCAATGTTGACAACCACTTCCAATCACAACTCATCGGCGGCTTGGACCCTGAGATTTCAGAGGCCGAGCCGTACATGTCGCTTGGATACGCGCATAGTCAAAGTAACAACACAATGAACCAGCCTCAGAACCAGAGCCTAGCTCAAGGMGCGCMCCTGCCACAAGAACCTTCTACCGGGTCGACATACAGCGCATGTAAGGACCCTGTGTATAACGCGCGGAGTTGGTGGGACTACGGCGGAGGGCATGAATATCGCTGGGACTGTATGAGGGAGCATGCGATGTAATGTTCTGCAGCGCTGTCATTGAGCTGTTCTCGAAATTAGTGTCGTAACTTGTACCTTTAGTGAGCTCTTTAGTGGCAAAGCGGTTATCCGGATGATCGGAAGGGTGTTAAGGTTGCTGCTGTGCGACTCAGGCGCAAAGTCATACCACCATTATTCGCATGTAATATGACGCATACTGCTGAACAAGATGTTGTCAATTCAGAGAAACCATATAGCAAGCTCAGACAGTTGAGGTGAATCCAACTATCCAGAAAAATAATGAAGCTGGAGAAGGTCAAAGATGCGACGTACGTAATTTGAGAATGGATCCGACGCGGGTTGCCGGCTGCCAATGTTTGGCGTGCTTCGATCCGATGCTCGTCACTTACCGTACTTACCGTACACGCTCCGAGATCCGGAATGAGCTCGGCGGCAGGCAGTCGGGCGCCAAGTCGGCTGTCCTGCGTAATTCTCCTGTATTAGCAAAAATACCGCAGCGAAAGGCGGGCATTTTTCCTTTCGCAGCGGATCCCGCCTGTAACCATTGCATCCATCCCAAACTGCCAAACAAGAACTTTCGCTGCGTGATTTTTCTCCTCATTATTCCCAACCTCTGCAATTGCTCTCCCCTCTCCCAATCGTTTCTGTTTCTTGTGGCTTGTTTTTTTTTAGACGGAAGGAAGTGATATAAACGATCAAGATGTTCTCTCTCAGATCTTCGCAGCCCACGCAGGTATGCTTCTCATAACGCGCCCCTCCTAGCAAGACCAAACTGGGACGGACTTCGGACTGACAGCACCTTTGTTTAGGCTATTTTGCGCACTGCCACTTCCACCAGCCGCCCATCCTATGTTGCAACGAGGTGTAAGTGATCGTGTAAGACACATCTTTCGTGAGAATGCAAGACTAAAGCTGGCGTATAGCTATGGCCACAGTTCAGTCTGATATCTTCAAGCCCACAAAGTACGGCGGCAAGTACACAGTGACTCTGATTCCAGGTATGTTTATATCGCAATCGGATGTGCGTGGTGCGGTGACTGAATGCTTCCTATCATCTAGGTGACGGAATTGGAGCCGAGGTCGCCGAATCAGTCAAGACTATTTTCAAGGCAGACAACGTCCCCATTGAATGGGAACAGGTCGACGTCAGCGGTGTGGACACTGGAAACAAACACTCCGAAGAGCTTTTCAGAGAGTCTATTGCCTCTTTGCGACGCAACAAGTTGGGTCTCAAGGGTATCCTGCACACCCCTGTCGAGCGCTCAGGTCATCAATCCTTCAACGTCGCTCTGCGCCAGGAGCTTGATATCTACGCATCTGTTGTCCTTATTAAGAACATTCCCGGATACAAGACCCGACACGAGAATGTCGACCTCTGCATTATCCGTGAGAACACTGAGGGTGAATACTCGGGTCTTGAGCACCAGTCTGTCCAGGGTGTCGTCGAGTCCCTCAAGATTATCACCCGCGCCAAGTCAGAGCGCATTGCCAAATTCGCTTTTGGCTTTGCTTTGGCAAACAACCGCAAGAAGATTACTTGCATTCACAAGGCTAACATCATGAAATTGGCTGATGGTCTCTTCCGCAACACTTTCAAGAAGGTCGCCGAGAACTACCCTACTTTGGAGACCAACGATATGATTGTTGACAACGCTTCTATGCAAGCTGTCTCCCGCCCCCAGCAATTCGATGTCATGGTCATGCCCAATCTGTACGGTGGTATCTTGTCTAATATTGGCGCTGCCCTCGTCGGTGGTCCCGGTATTGTCCCTGGTTGCAACATGGGCCGCGAAGTCGCTGTTTTCGAGCCCGGATGCCGTCACGTTGGTCTTGATATCAAAGGAAAGGATCAGGCTAACCCCACTGCTTTGATACTTTCCGGATCTATGCTCCTTCGTCACCTTGGTTTGGACGAACATGCCAACAGAATCTCCAAGGCTGTTTATGATGTTATTGGTGAAGGGTAAGTCTCAAAGCCAATAGCTCTAATTGCATCATGTCTAACGTCTTACAGAAAAATAAGAACTCGCGACATGGGTGGTGTCGCCACAACCCACGAGTTCACTCGCGCAGTCTTGGATAAGATGGAGGCTTCTTTCTAAAAATTTTTCGCTTTTTGTAACTCGGGGATGGCGCAGTGAACTTTTTATTGAGACACATGTACACTTATATTCATAGAGTTCACGTATTTATTTTAGATTTTTCATCTAGAATACTTTCTTTTACAATGTAGTATTTGTACGTTTAGAGTTTGCTCTTGAATTGTAAATGGGTAGGCGTACACGCGAAGTAGCATTTTGGGTATCAATTTTGATGGCTTCATCACCAAGGTAGACAAAGCACATGATGGTAGCATGACTCTTGTCAGATTCATGCCGTACAAGCTGACGAACGAGTTCTTACTTGCACTCTCTGCTCCGTGCCTGCCCATCACATGAGATGAGCACAGGGCGGAAGATCCTGGCGCGAGACAGTACAAGGAGCTTGCATGGACCTTGAAAAGAAGGCGCATATAATCATGGTGATTGTACGAAGGCTGTGACGATCAATTTTTTAAAACGCAATGCGTCTCTTCCTTCCAGTGTACTTTGAATCAGCCTTGACAACCTTTCCTTTCCGTGTCATCTGTTCCTTCTTCCTCAAAATCCACGATTTGCTGCCTTTCTTCTCTTGTAACGATCTCGCAATCTTGGCGGCGTTATCCCTCTTGCGCGAATCAACAATATCAACACCATCCATGCCGCCGACGACGCCAGTGATATCGCCAGTCAAACCTCCTCCACCAACAGTAAGTACGAGGTATGTCTTGCTATTTTTGGTACCGGGATCATCTTCCAATATACCAGCACCAAAGCCCGCCTTGACGGCAGCCGAACTGATCATGCTACGTTGAGCGTCATTCTTGGGATAAAACTGACAGACCGCGCGTCCACCCCGTCGCAAACTCGCATATAGACCCTCAAAGAAACGTTTCAATCTGCCCTCGGGACTCACGTCGCTAGTCTCTGCATTGCACAGCCACTGAATAGCACTAATACTAATCGCTGCATCGAACGAACCAGGCCGGAATGGTACTCCCTGACCGATATCTGCCAGAAACAGATCCCCCTCAACTTCTCGTTGTAAAGCGACATCAAGCATGCTAGGCGAAACATCCATGCCAATCCACATATGAGGGCCGCCCTCGTCCGGTGGCACACTGGAGAGAATTTCGCCTGATAAACCTGATCCACAGCCGAGGTCGAGAATGAGTGATGGACTTTGTAGGTCTAATAGTTCTAAGGCTCTGTGTGTCATGTCCGCCTGGATGTTGCGGATTCTAGAAGAGGTGGTATATTTTCGGGATTCATTGTCGTTATAGAAGAGATCGGGGGGACTGCATAAACTGTGTTAGTTTGTCGTTCGACTGAGCAAATCAAACGAGAGGTTCAGCGAACGCACAGGATATCCTCAGGGCGCGACATGGTGTCGTATATTGTATATTTTATGCCAAAAAATGGTACTCAGTTGATAAGAGCAATATGCCTCTGTGTATCAAGCAGAATTGATCGCAAAGCAGTCTGATCGTGGAGGTTGTTGGTGGTTGTATGAAGAAGTAAATTTGTGGCCCGCAATAAATTCTGTGTTGCCTTAGACCTAAGGCAGAACAGGCTATCCACGGGACCCACAATGATTACGATAAGCGCCTATCATCATCAGACTATTAAGCCAGATGGATATAACTTCGTAATATTGCGACCTGTATGGGTATATTCTTACATACCTGTCTACGCTACCTACTCACAAAGGACGATCACACAGCCAGACTGTTCTAGACACTCAATTCCTTGACCTTGGAGGAATCAAGGCTCATATCGCTACGCTACTACACCTGACTCAAATAAGCAAGGTCCTACACTCTTTACGCCGCTTCATATAGTAGCCAACATCTATTCCCTACACACCGTCGAAGATGTGGATTCTCCCACTAGTCGGATACACAGGCGTTGTCGTAGGCTTCGCTTTCCTAACTTTAGCTATTGGTACGTATTCTCGACCTACGTCCCTTCCATGCTCAAAAGCTAACCACCGTCCTACAAACCAGCTTCAGGATTATACTACCTCTCCGAACTAGTCGAAGAACACACCGTCATTGCCCGCCGCATCCTCTCACGACTCATATATGGCGTCATCGCAGTCCAGATCCTGCTATGGCTCTTTGACAGTTTCCCGCTCACCCTCTCCCTCCTCTCGATATTCTCCCACCTCGTTTACGCAAGCAACCTCCGCAAATTCCCTATCGTCAAATTATCAGACCCTCTATTCGTCCTTTCTTGTTTGCTGGTTTGTCTGAATCACTGGGTCTGGTTCCGGCATTTCTCGAGACCACCGGCCCCATCATCCTCGTCGCGCGATGCGACATCATGGCGTCGACCGTATCAGCCGGACTACGAGAATATGCCTACCTTCACTGAAGTGGCATCCTATTTCGGGTTGTGCGTTTGGCTGGTTCCATTTGCGCTGTTCGTGAGTCTGAGTGCTGGTGATAATGTGCTGCCGAGTATTGGGTCGGAGTATGCTACGGGCACAACCGCTGCTCCTTCGACTTCTCTACCTGAAGGTGGTAGTGGCAGGAATAAGAACGTTGGCCTTGCGAAGGCGCTGGTGGATGGTGTTAGGGAATGGGCGTCGGAGACGGGTGAATTGTTGGGGTTATATCAGGGAGATCGAACGAGGAGATTTCTGTAATTTGGATCATTGCATTTCACAAAGAACTGTAGGATATGTCATCATGACCACGTCGCTGGTGTACTCTGAAAGAATATACTGTAATTGTAGGATGAAACTAAGTTTACTGCAGCGAAATTCGCAAAGTAAGATTGAATGAATGATGATGATGTGTTGTCATGTATATCAATGGCTCACGTCAAGGACAGACTGAACAGAGTAAAAGAGTATAAATATGAAAAAGAAGGGTATAAATATAGAACAACTCAAAAGCAATCGGTGATAAAACGCTCCAAGTTCACGCTGATTGAGTGAAAAAGACAAGCAGGCCATCAAGACCTTACATTGCCCCTTTCTTTGCAAACAATTGAAATGGTTGATCTTATTAACTAGTCATTGAAATCAAGCCATAAGAGGGTTAGAAGAAAGTAGGTAAGAGCGTGTCATGTAGGGTTCGTGAGATTCTTCACATAAATGGCGTATATGGATGAAAATTAACGGATATATCTAGCAAAAATGAACAAGAAATTCATCATTCAAAGGCGGATTCGTGTGTGACAAGAGCTGCAAGCAATTGTTAGTTATATGTTGATTATTCGATGATGGTATCAACTCACTTTGGTCGTCTCCCATTCGAGGCGCAGAACTCTTGCGATGGCCCATATCCATGAAGAGCATAGAACTTTCTCTCCGCTTCGCTTTGGTGGACCTCATGTTTTCGTTAGGATCCAGCATACGTGTCGTGCGTTGGGCATTAGAAGGCTGACGACGAGGATCGATGCCTCTCTGTGCTGCTCCGTCATACGATGGGATCATGGGGATGAAGCCGGTGTCGTAGTTCGCTCTTATTGCATCTTGGGACTGATGATGATCGGCGTCGTCTGGGACATAGAACGAAGTCTGGCCGTACGACGGTGTCGGTAGCTCTGAGAACATTTGACGTCGGGGAGAACGAACATCCTCTGGTATCAAAGAAGCCGGTGCCGCTAATGTTTCCGTAGGGGGTATTTGCTGTGGTGCATTATTGAAGATGCTATCATACTCCGTGAGAAACATGGAAAAGACAGGCGCGGGTATGTTCAAGGTCGGTGCAAAGACGATTCCGATGTTGCGGACTGTCATTTTGTTCACGTCGGAATTATTAATGATGGTAATGAGAAATTGAGAAAGAGCCATAAGAAGAGAAAGATTCGGCTTGGGAAGCATATGCACCAATGTGCTGAGAGCACTAATCTTCCGTTCATGATCATCCAGTTCTAGCAGAGTCAGTTTTAAGTTTCAGAACGTCGCGCCAATGATACTTACCAGGTACCCGTCTGAATTCAGATTGAAGCTCAAGGGTTAAGACAGTGGTTGGTAGCTCTCGTAAGTATTGTTTGAACAGTGAAGCTACTGCATGGACGTCGTAGTAATGATCGCCTGCCGAAAAGTCTACGTCTCCCTCGGTATTGAAGCGTTCTTTGAGTGCCTTAATCACCAGGTTCGAGCCACTTAGCCTGAAGATCCCCTCTTCAGAAGCAGCGTTCTTGGCTTCCAAGTATTCGATACAGCGGTACACCACAGCAGGAAGATTTACGTCGACGTCTCTCGGCCCGCAGTACTGTACTGCTTCTACGAGAGGCATTCCAAAGACTGGTCGAACAGATCCTCGCCTCTCTGTTGAAGATTTGTGATTTTGGGACTCGGAATCTCCGGCCTGAGCTAGGTCTGAGTTCGAATGTCCTCTGAAGCCCCAGATACTTCGTTTCTTCTCTTTCACCGAAGTTGGAGCCTTATTGCCCCAGGCGCCGACGTCTTGAATGACAGAACCATTAGTTGGACCAGATATGATCTTTGAGTTGTTGTATCCCGCATTCATAGCATCGGAAATAATATGGTCGTTTGATGTCGGAGATCCTCGACTGGCCTCATCCACCGTTGTTCCAAAGACTGGAGGTTCAGCAGGAACAGCATCATCATACTTAAAGCTCTGTACAGAGTCCTGTACTTCAATATCGGGGCTCTCAGTACCCTTGTTGCCTTTTTTGCTGCCTGCAGGGAATAATCGCGGCTTCGTATTTGAAGTAGCCGGATGTTTTGTGCCGTTTGACGACTTCGCGTTCGGCTTTTCATCCTCGGATGATGGTATTTCAACGTAATGCAACAGTGCATCAACCCAAGAATCTCTCTCTGCATCGCTTTCTGCGCATAGAACATGACGTACAAGGGATGAGGTGTCCTTTTTCTTAGGTTCGAGAATGAGAAAAGCGTGACGGTATTGATTGTCAGAGTCATCTTCAGTTCGAGACGGAGATTGATTGTGTCCGCCTTGAGATTGCTTGCCTATCTGTGCATTGGGTATCTTGATTGTGCCTAAATGAGCTCCGCCGGGACCTTCAAAATACTTGAGCTCAGGACCATGCAGCACAAAGTACCTGGATTTCCAGCCACCGAAATTCTTGCCTCTCTTGGTGAGATAGCCTTCTTTCCTTGGTCGACCGTCAGGGCCGCGAACGAGTTCAGGTGTTGACTTGCCGTTAGCTCTCATTAGTACAGTCTCATCATCGCGCGGCTCGATTGCGTCGGAGCTCAAGAAGCGACAGATCACCAAGGCTGTAGGTTCTGTCATTGGTGTATCAAGAAGGGTTTCGAAATATAAATTCAACGCTTCCCTTCTGGCATCAATCTTGGCTGGAGAGTGACCACTGAAAATGGCTCGGTCTGGTAATCTTCCTTGGAAGTCACATGATTGGCGGACTTGCTGATCAAGCTGTGGAAGTGCAAGAATCGCCTTTTCTACACGCCATAGCTCCGCTCCATCAAAGCGTGAGAAGACACTGAGGACAAAAACGGGTTCCTCCTCGGGTCTGCCGCCGATATAACTGTGTCTAGAAGGGCGAAGCCGAGAAGATGCGACTTTGACTTCGATAGACGGCAATGCATTCGGTGGCAGAAGAAGACCAGGGTAATTCTCGGAGACGAGGCCTTGATAGATAGTCTTATTGAAACCATATGGAGAATGTGGACTATCAATCTCGACAGAGACATCAATGGTTGGAATCTCAGGTCCAGGACCATCGGCAGTGTGAAAATTTTTCTGCGGCTGCAAGCTAGGCTGTATGTTTGCACGAGGAGATTGAGGAAGACCTGTGACTGTGCCTCTTGGTGACATCGGCGGCGAAAAGGGCAAACCTGTTCCTTCTCTGGGTTGTCTTGGGAGGGGAGATCCTAGGGGTCGGTCTCCAGGCCGAGGACTCAGAGGTAAGCCAGGGGTTGGTGGAGACATAGCCCTTCGATCGGCCAGCGGCATAAGCTCTGATTCTTTCGAATTGACAATTGCTGCGAGAGATTCTGTCGCACCATACTGCCCACCAGCCATTTGTGAAGGAGACTGAGCGACGATCTTCCTGGGGCTAGAGGGGAGTCCGGTAGGTACGGCAGGAAATGATGATTGTTCACTAGATGAAGGCTCAGACGTTTGCTTCTTGGACCTACTGCGAGCTTCCTGTTCGCGGACAACAGCGGCTTCACGTTCCTTATCATCATCTTCTCTTGTTCTTCGCCGGCCTCTGTCGCGATCTTCGTACTCAGAATCGGAGTTCTGAAATGCATGCGGGTCTATTGGGGAGCTACGGCGAGCCATATGACTGAGATTGAGCGGAGCGGGAGGAGGTTTGCGATTTGGCGGCGGCAGCTCAGGGGGACCATGAGTGTGTTGCATCCTCGAAGCGTACTGGTTGGCGGTTCCTGTAGGAAAGGTATGCGCGTGAGGTGCGGGACTGACAGTATCTTCCGGTATTTCAGCCTCTAAGATCTCGTGTGAATGTGGAACGGATAGTGGCACTGGCGCCACAGCTGTTTTCGTCGAGTCTTGGGTCTTGGGTGAATCATCTTGAGGCGAGCTGTCTGAATGCTGCGGAGGGGAAGTATCCACGATAGTAGTCGAGTTCGACGCTTGAACTTTGGCCGACGCCTCCCTCAACGGCAAAGACTGTTGATTGTTCGTGGGTAAGGGCGGGGCTTGACTTTGTAGTTCTTTCAACTTTTTCTTGTACCGATCCTTATCCTTTATAGCGCGTTCTAGGTCCCTGTTTAACCCTAGCACAAGCGCACGTTGTTTTTCGAGCAGCCTCCAGAGTTGATCATTCCGTGCGATTGCATGTTGTCTATCCTTCAAAAGATGTAGAATTACTGCTTCCGCAGAACCAGCTGCTGTAATTATATTATTAATATCCGATGGTTTCAACGAGTTGAGGTCGATCGAGGAGTTTTGTGAATGAGAGGCGGAGGATATAGACGAAATTGCGGAATCGATCGAGGAAGTCCGTGGCATAGTCCTTGGTCCACGATTATGGAGGGCATTCGGTGGGGTTCGTGCTGGCGAACTGAAGGTCGAGTCGTTAGAGGGAGAAGATTTGACAGCGTCGGCCATTGTATGGCGCTCGCCGCTGATAGCATCCTCATTCATTCTGCATGCTCAAGATGACAAACTCCGACCTTTGCTTGGCTTGACGAGATCACCCCTGAAGGCGGAGACGAGGGTATTCAATCTATGTATTTTGTAAGAATTTCGTATAATGTATAAAGAAGTCGCTTGTGTATACCGTGCGCGACTTAATGAAGTGTACAGAACGTCATTTGTTGCTCAACGGAATACTTGCTGGATTGGACAGAGACAGAAGAGGGGCGGTCGCAGTAATTGTCTGAGTGAGAAGGGATCACGCCCATCCGAGCGCAAGGTACAAGAGGCCTCGTGATCGCGTCGAGGCTGGTGGAATGTTCGGATTCTTCAGAGCGCCTGCAGTGCTCTTCAACCTTGGTCTCGAGATAAGTAGCAGTCCAATGTTCAACGAGTAAATTGCATGAGAAAGGGGGTGGGCAGATTGGTTGCAGTCAGGTAGCGGGTTGCATACAGAGTCTGAAAAACAAGAACATGCAATCGAAGCCACAACAAGAGCAAGTACTCACGAGCTCTGAACACTTGATCACAACGTGAAACAGTCCCCTTGGAGGGAGTAGCAGTCAGTTGTGTACGAAACTCGAAAGAAGGACTGAAACCCACGAGATCCCCCCTGGCGGCAATTTGATATGAGGAGAAGGGACGGCCGGGGTCAACTGGGCAGGCGCCTGGCCCGAAGCGGCATGGCGCCTAAGGCCAGCAAGCTGAGGCCGCCCGTTCATTAGCTCGTCTGAAATTACCCTCATTTACTCATTTACCGCATCCCTTGTGGCTCTGAATTATTTACTAGAAGTTGTAGGAAGAGATTTCGTACGCTCTGACAGTGTGCGGCCATTAGATAGTGATATATACACAGAAGCTATGGTAAGATGATTTTCCAAATATCGCCGTGAAACACCGCTGTTTGTGAGTGGCTGAATCACGTGCTCCTTGAAGACATCAGACTGCCAACTCGACGGCCGACAAAGATGCATAACGCCGCAAACCCCCTGGAAACGCCTGCAATGATGGTTGAGAATGGTCGTTATTGTACAGTATAGTTCAAACAATGTTTCCAGCCATCCCGAGAAAGATGGCCTGCGCGGCGAGCTGTAGAGACCAGAAGCCGACTTTCTTGAACCGCCGCATGCGTGCTTGTTCGTCCACAACATCTGCGGCGAACGCGTCGTAAGTCTGAGAAAAATTTAATTAGTTTGACAAATTATGGACGGCGAATATTGAATACGTACCGCAGCAGAGAGGTCATCCATAAGTCCACTATCAAATACAGTCCAGCTTCCGTCAAAGTCGCTCAATCTCTTCACCAGTCGGCACTGTATAGGAATGAATGTATGTCGAGAGTTGATGTATGCAACGATCGGTCGAATCAAAGCACTGTTGATGTAGGAGAGGTCTTTGGTGAACAAGGGGACAACGGCCCGCACGTTAGTCAGATGGATCCGTAGATCAGTAACGAAGAATCGTTTATCGTTCTCATCGCCGACCGGAATAAGACTTGTTGTGGTTGTTGCTGTGTTGGTATTTTGTGGGAATTCGTGTGTTTCTCCAGTCTGGTTGTGCGATGTCACTGTAGCTTCGAACCGGTCGTAAAAGTCCGAGACAAATTTCGCTATAGACTCACTGTCGTCCGTAGGTAGCATGATATCCGCAACGATATCGACATTACCTTCGTGTATCCAGGAGAAAGGACCCTCGACGCCACGGTTAAGATGGTCAATATTGAGACCGTCTATCCTGATTCTGTTCTGTCTTCCCCAAGGGGTCCCTTTCACAGCTTCCTCACCGCTGGTAGTCAACTGAGCTCCTGTGAAATTGTTCGTCTGACGAGGATGGATGGTAAAGAGCGAATTGTCAAAAGAGCCCGACATCATATTTGCGGACAAGAAATCATAGAAGAGCCACTGCTTCCTAAGTTGAGGTAGATCGCACGAAAATATGCTCACTGCAAACGGTCTAAAATTGTTGGGTTGATAGACTGTCACAAGCAAGTCTTCCATCTTGAAAGAATCGATCTCAAAATCTCCTGGATTATGCTCATGACGGTAAGACTTCGGATCAGCATTGTAGTCTGTCCAGTGAACATGAGTACGATCAATGACACCCCTAATTCCTTTGACTTCCACATCTCGTAATAGTCCTTTGCCATTGAACCATTTGGTGAAGGACAGCGTCACATTAACAGTATCAATTGAAACATCAAATTGAGTATAATTGGTGTCTTCTTCCGTGGCCGCATGACTCGGATCGACTTCTTTTGTGTCGCTTGTCGCTGAAGCGGCGGCAGCAGCGGCGGCGGCGGCTGTCTTCGAGGAGCCCTTGCTTACATGTCCGTTGCCATGGCCAGGCCTGCGAGATACAAACACATTCTTGAAAGTAATAACACCGTCTCTCCATTTTGGTACGATGGCAGATTCGAAGACGACTTGGACTCCGGAGGACGACGTTAGGTAATTTCCGACCCAACGAGCGAGGGTTTCTTGCGCGAACACAGTATTTATGGTAAGGATGAGCAGAGAAAAGAAAGTTGTTGTTCCCAGAATGATCCATAGGACGTGGCCTAGTAGCACCCATGAGAAAAGGGCACCAATTTCGTCAAGCGTAAAAGGACGAACGCTCCTTATGGAAAACCATTTGAATCTGACCCGCAACCTGGACCAGAACCCAGTAGCCGCAGCTAATAACTCTTCTTTTGTAGGTCGATGGAATTGGTGAAGGTTGGGAAGGCGTTCACGGAGGTTCCGATGGAGTAATGAGTATTCAGCATTGTCTGCTTTTGTTTGTTGCGTGACTTTTTCGCTCTTGGACTGGCTGCTAGGCTTTTCAGCAGGTTCGTCTCGCTTAGTATGTAATGCCCGTCTCCAGATCTGTCGTGAAGAATTGGATAATACACCTCGCTGTGAGCACTGATGTCGATTGGGCGTACATGAAGTCGCCTTTCCGCCGCTGGAAACGACAGTACGGGTTGTTGCTCCGTTCTCGACAACCGAGCTCGAAGACAGTCCGAGCAACAAGAGACTACCAGAAGCGAACTTTCCACTAATCTTGAAGTTATTTCTGGTGTGTGAGTCGTGAAATGCTCCGGTTTGATAGGGGCTTTGTGTTATGAAACTCCGTCTAAGGTGGTTTGAAAGACCGAAACTGACGCTTGAACGAACGTCATGATAAAAAAGCGGACTGGCTGCCTGTCGAAAGACATTCAGCTGATGTCCGATTTTGTGAGACATTCTCTCCGTTACATTCTGAACAAGACGATAGAGCCGACAGACAAGAGCTGGTTGAACGGCAATTCGAGAATAAAGAATGATACGGAGAGGAAGGTCCAGGCTTGCCCGAGAAAAGCTTCTGCCGCCGCTGGGACAAACTGGGCTTAGCAATGAAATCATCCTGGTGGCTGTTTGCCGTGTTTGCACTCAACTTTTTTTTCCCAACCCCACACACTTTTTCGATAACTGAAAGAGCCAGTACAATAATTCCGGTATTTATCAAGCAATTATCTTAGATATCTCGAGGTTCAGGGGACAAGATATTCGAGATTGACTTATCACACCGCATATAACCCGGAAAAGAGGCGCCTACCATGCCTGCTCCAACCGCACTCTTGAGCAAGCCTGAAGGCACAGAAGACGCTGTCTTCAATAACTCACTTCAGGAACAAAGTCCGTATTGACGATATTTCGACGACCCGTTAATATTAACTAACAATGCTTCTAGACGATGATGAAGTCCTGATCGACCCATCTCAAAATGCCCCCGATTTCACCATCGAGTCTATCCAAGAAGATAACACAGAAGATGTCATGCACGTCGACGAAGAAGGCCGTCCGGTTTTCACCCCAGCCAAGGACACGCCTGGTGTCTACCGAGTCGAACAGAGAAAAGTTCCCATTCCCCCCCATCGAATGACACCATTGAAGACATATTGGCCAAAAATTTACCCTCCACTCGTTGAACACTTGAAGCTCCAAGTACGAATGAACGTGAAGAGTCGCACAGTTGAATTGAGGAACAGCAAGTATGAGCTATATATGATTAATTTTGGTCAGGACGCAATTATTAATGGTATCTCCGCAGATTGACCAACGATCCATCGGCACTTCAAAGAGGAGCGGATTTCGTGAAAGCCTTTGCATTATCATTCGACGTGGATGATGCTATCGCCTTGCTACGATTAGACGACTTATATATCAACTCTTTTGAAATCAAGGATGTCAAGACTTTGAGCGGTGACCATCTGAGTCGAGCAATTGGCCGCATAGGTACGTACTCGATGGCCCACGAAGTGACCGATTACGGCTAACCTTTCCCCGACAGCTGGTCATAATGGAAAGACAAAGTTTGCCATTGAAAACGCGACAAGAACCCGAGTAGTTTTGGCCGGTCAGAAGGTTCACATCTTGGGCACATTCAAAAATGCCAAGATGGCTCAAGAAGCTATAGTTAGTCTAATCTTGGGTAGCCCTCCAGTAAGTTTTCTTCGCCGCATCATTTTGATACCCTGTTAGTATGAACTAATACGTCGAAACAGAGCAAGGTGTATGGTAACCTACGGACCATTGCATCTCGAATGAAGGAGCGGTTTTAGGGAGTTGTTCACTCTTTTCGATTTCATTTGGCGCATGTGTCGGCGTTGGGTTACAATGAATATACTACAAGGTTATATTGGACGAGTACATGATTACCACGAGAATTCACAACCGGTCTATAAGGCTATGATTAAACTTTCCTAAGTACACCGTTCACTGAATAGATTCACCAAGTCTCCCTGTTAATCCTTCTTCAACGGTGTGTACGTCTCTTGAATACCGTCCTTAGTGATGATCATCATCTGTAATCCATCACCCACTTCAATGTGTCTCTCAACCGCACTGGTAAACGCATCCCGCACGAGCTCCTCCACAGTATCCTGGGGTAGAGGTGCAGGGGTGCGTCGTTCCAAAGCATGACCCTCTCCACTTCCAGGAATATATTGATTCTTGAAGTTGACTTGGTTGTCGAGAAAAGGCATGATCAGACTGGACGCCGCGCCTGCAGCTCGGCACTGCTCTCGCTCGTAAGAGCCCACAGGATCGTAACTGTATAGGGCACCCCGTCCTTCTTCATCCAACCCGCCGAGAATGGCATAAGCGTAGTATGGGAAAAATCGTTTCGAGTAGAGGATTGTCGACAGACGCTGTGCACATGCGTTGACAGTTATGGGTTTGCCGTGTTGGTAGCGGTACACCTTGACGATGCTGTCGAGTCTCTCTTTCAACGCTTGTCCATCTGCAGCAAAACCAACGACAGACAGAACAATATGAGCGCCTTCTCCTGTTTCGTCATCGCCGCCTATCTTGAAGAGCTTGGGTGCGTATCTGGAGTTGATGTTGTAGCCTGAGGTAGAACGAGTATCGCCGGCCAGAATGCAGAAATCGGATCCGGCAATACCGAGAGTTGAACCACCATTATCCGTGTATCTGCCATTGAAACAAAATGTTAGCGATCTGATCAGGAGCTCAACAGCGTGTTGACGAACGGGTTGAAGCTATGCTCTCTGTTCTCATGTCCAGTGGTCGGAGCACTAAAATGAGGTAGAATAGACGCCATCGCAAGGATTCAAATGAAAAATTGTTAATTCAAATGATCCTTTTGAGTGAATATAATGCTTTTAGGAGTTTTGAAGGTTGGGAGAAGGCTCTTTGAGATGAATGTGGTTTTGGAAAGGTGCTGGTGAGCTTTGGGATGAGGATAGTGACGCGGAGCTGTCGCTGCCTCGCAGGATTATGTAAGGATGTAAGAGCTCTCCAGCCAATCACATACAACGCATGCACCAAAGACGAATTTGTCCAGCTTCACGATTGACCACCGAAAACAATACACAATTACGAGCCTTGAACTTAAAAGAAAGGTCAACCATTCGAAATTCTCAGAGCTTGTCACATAGCCTCAGCGCCGTCAGACTACAACAGCTGATATACGTCCCAGCGCGTCATCCTCAAAAGACAGGGCAGGGCGCCTGAAGGCGCACCGAAATTTATCTGATAATACATATCTTTAGTGCTCAGCCTGGAAATTGATCATTACAGGTCTGATTAACACGCGAAAGACGGGGAAAATGCTTGGACTGGTGTCGTATGACAGCAGTAGCGAGGATGAAGTAGAAGTCCCTGAGGTGAAACCCTCGTCCAAGGTGAGTTCTTTGAGCTTGGAATGCTGTTCGAAGTTATATCACTAACTTTATGGAAGGCAAAGGATCAGGATGGAGACACAATACTTGAAGAAAGTACGAACCTAGAAAAAGGTTAGCATACCCTGTCCTACCAAGTAACTCTATGCTAACAAACGATAGAGGGACTCTCTACGGACCATATTGATACACCACCATTAGAGTCGAGACCTATAAATGGGCCTGTTCTTGGGCCAGAGCAGCCAACAGAGATAGTCGGCCCTTTCATAGAAGAACAAGAACCAGGCCAATCCTCACCATATTCTGCCTCCCGAGCCCTGGTACAAGATCTGACGCTGCCTCCCGTGCCTTACCTTGAGATACCTCCATCACCACCTGGATCACCAGACCCGATCGCAAGTGGGAAAACAACACAGTTTCTAGCATTGAAGAAACAAGGTGTACATTTCAATGAAAAATTGTCGGCTTCTTCTTCGTTGAAAAACCCGAGTCTGTTCCTCAAATTACGTGAGCATACGGGTATCGATGATGAGAGTCAATACGCAACAAGTCTTCCATCGGATATATGGGATCACAGTTCACTGCCTGCTTGGGCATATAAAGAGGAGCTTTTGAAAATGCAGCAGGCTATACGCTCCAAGATTGAAGAAGCGAAACAAGGAGACAAGAATCGGACCATTGACTTCGTGTCCTCTACGCGTCGTGAATGAATACCTAGGTAAGGCTTTTAAGATTGCATTTGTTCTCTCTTAAGTAAATCTGAACGCTACGAAGTAGCTTTTGAATGAATATAATGCCGGAAACGATACATTTTTCGCACCGTGGAACTATATCAAGCTCTGATCGCCACAAAAATGGCTAATCTTCAATGAGATCAAGTCCACTACGATGCACTGGCTCTCAGAATAAAAAATACAAATATTTTATAACTTAAATATCAATTTATCCCGTTTTTGTCGCTATAGACCTCATAGAGGTGAAGAGACACCAGCCACGTTGTGGTGTGGCTTGACTGATGCGGACTGACCCACCGTCCTCTGTCAGCTTCCTGCCTAGACAAGGTGAGAGCTCTCTGAAAGCTCCCTATCAACCATCAAACACCCACTTCATCACGACCTCGACCTCACACCTACATTTTCCTACATCTCAGATTTGCAGCAGCTTCTATTAATACGCACCTATAAAGATGGATCATTTTCCTGGAACCTGGGGTCGTGTAAGTCGATGCGTTCTCCAATACCGCGTGTGGATCAATGGTGTTGACGATATACCAGCCTAGAGACGACGTTTACGGACCTTATGACCACTCATATCTGCAATCGTCCGGGCCCAAAACTCACACACAGTCGCCAGCAGTGACAGGAACCTCGGTCATTGCAGTAAAGTTCAATGGAGGTGTAGCGATGGCCACAGACAACCTAGGTATGGTGCCTTGAACCACCAGGCCTTCATCACCAATACACTGACTCGCGGTCTCCAACAGCATCCTATGGCTCSCTCGCTCGATTCACCGATGTAAACCGTATTCGCACCTTTGATGATTCCGCCATCGTGGGCTTTGGTGGTGACGTCTCGGACATGCAGTACATCGACCGCCTGTTGGGCTCTATCCAGATCCGAGAGAACTACTCAGCTACAGGCAGCACACTCAATGCCAAGAACCTACACACCTACCTTTCCAAGGTTTTCTACAAACGCCGATCTGAGATGAACCCTCTTTGGAACCACATATTGGTCGCAGGGTTCGATAGCGACGGCAAGCCATTCCTCAGCTCCGCCGACTTGCTCGGAACTACTTACAGTGGACCTCACCTTGCAACCGGCTTTGGTGCTCATTTAGCTGTCCCTATTCTCCGTCGTCTTTTCCCGGAAGAAACGCCGGTTGAGGATATTTCCAAGGAGCAAGCAATACAGGCTTTGAGGGATTGCATGAAAGTCTTGTTCTACAGAGATGCACGAAGCTCGGATCAATACACACTTGCGGTCATTACTGAGGATGGCGTTGAGATCAAGGATAAAGAGAAGTTGGAGCAGCAGAGCTGGCAATTCGCCGAGACCATCCGTGGATATGGCACACAGGTGAACTAGGATTGATGTATATGGGTTGGCCATGATTTCAATAGAAATACATTATGATTAGTCTGTTGGACTTATTTTGATTTCATCAATTAGTGTAAGATGATATTATATCCGAATTAATAGGAACCACCTTTCTATACATCTAAAGTTTGGCAGTTGGCTTGTCAAAGAACACTCGGTTAGAGCATGTTCCTACATCCTGAAGAGACACTTCAACGTGGTCGCCATCTTTCAACCAAAGTTGGGGCTTTCTGCCCATGCCTACACCTTGAGGACTACATTGATCACCCATTAGCACCAGTTTCATAACCAGGTGTGATCGACCAGGGTAACTTACGTTCCAGTAAATATAACATCTCCAGGCAACAAGGTAACTCCCTGAGAAATGAACGCAATAGTCTTCGCAACCCCGAAGATCTGATCCTTTGTATTCGACGACTGCACGATCTTCCCGTTGAGCTTGGTAGAAATGTCCAACGCATTCGGGTTACGGATCAATTTCGACGACACAATGCCCGGTCCAAAGGGTGCCCAGCCATCGAATCCTTTACCCAGAGACCATTGGCCGCCACCTTTTTTTATTTGCCAATCGCGATGAGAAACGTCGTTGCCAACGGCGTATCCAAACACATAGTCTAGAGCCTTTGACTCAGGTACGTCTTTCGCTTCCTTGCCAATAATGATGACCAGTTCGCATTCATAGTCTAAACCCTCACCCTCTTGAGCCATGTACGAGACTGGAATGTCATCAGTCGGACCGGCGATCGAGGTAACGGGTTTATAGAACAGGACAGGATATTTAGGGATAGGCGCATTAGACTCTATCGCATGTTGCTCGTAGTTCAATCCCAGACATCGCACGGTCTTGATATCTGAGCGAGCTAAGGGGGCTAGAAGGAGCTTAACTTCGGCGAGTTGGTCCGTGACTTGGTGCTCGCCGAATATGTCGCCTTTGATGACTCGGGCTTTTGTGATTTGGGAGATGTCGGTTTTGCCAGGGGGAAGGACGGCATCGCCGTAGTATATCTGGCCATCCTTGGCTAGAAAGCGGACTAGACGCTGTTGTAGATGTTAGCTGGATCACGAATAGGTAGGCAACCACAATGCCTAAATGCATGAGCTTAAAGCACAGGGATCTAGCTGTAGTAACATTCCGATGTGGGAAAATAATAGCACCTACTGTGAATGTCGACATACTGCAGAGATTAAATAGTTCAACCACTGGATTGCGGTGTCAATGAATTAATTGAATACCAAAATGACTCATCCAGAGTCGTTATATACATAGGATACAAAACTCGGACTTGTCTCCCCACGTCCATACAATTTTTGGAGATAGCGAATCGATCTCGGCGACTCGGCCGATAAGCCGCACCTACGTAATCTTCAGCAGCCTATAGGGTTAGGGTTCCACATTCCGGTTACCGGCTATATGGGCCAACCACGGGCACCCTCTTCAACCCATTCCAACCATCGTCCGTTAAAGCTATCACTTCATCTATGCGATCCAACGAATAAGCTTAAAGCTGCTACAACAAAAGAGACACAAACAATCGAGCTAGACATTGCTTGCCTACTAAGATGCGACGATTATCAGGTCTGCAGCGAGAGGTCCTCTCGTTGTACCGAAGATGTCTGAGAGAAGTTCGAAAGAAGCCAGAGGTACGAGCTGCATTAGAGCAATTGTCGTATAATGACTTCTGACGAACTTGAATAGGACACGAGAGCCAACTTCCGCGCTTTTGCACAGTAAGTTGCCCGCGATACCCGAGTAATTCAGATTTGCATTTCTTGAAGCTAAGCACGGAAGCTTCCAGGTCAGAGTTCCGTAAGCAGCTCGACGTGAACAAGAAGGACTTTTCGACAATCGAACATCTACTGCGCAAAGGCCACAAACAACTAGAAACGTATTCATCGCCAGGGATTAGAAATATCAATTGGTGAGCAACTCGAAGCTTCTTCCTCACGAATCTTGATTAGTCACGTGGCAACATGACAAATTCGATGCCAAGACTTTCTACGAGCTGCTGTGGGTCTTCCCGCACCTTCTAGCAGCCTCAGGCTCTAGCTTATCTGATCTTCTGCCAAATACTACGCAGGTGCTGGAAGCATCTACAACCACCGAGACAGAATTGGTGGCTATCGCGATAATGGCGGATCACGTACGCAACGACCTATATAAAATCTACATCTGCGCTTTTCACAGGAGAATTTTCTTTCGATCATTAGCATCACTTTTCAGCCTACAACCTCCTTGAGACTCACACTCAGCAATCAAGCACTCATCTCCCATCTGTTCATCGATCCAATCATCATCCACACTCCAAAGATCTTTCTAAACAACCGCCACAACTCAAACGAAATGACCTTCTACACTACAACCCTCTCTCCTGGTGACTTCTTGCCCCTCTTCCAACTTATGGATGACTATTGCGACACACGCCGCCCAACAAAGCCAGCCCAGTCCCGCCGTGGCGAACCATCTGCAGCTCAAGCAGCCCCTGCCAAGCCTCAACTCTCATCATTCACACCTAAATTCGATGTGCGAGAAGCAAACCAATTCTACATCCTGGATGGCGAGCTCCCCGGCGCACACCAAGAAAACATCGAGATTGAATTCACCGATCCCGAGACGATGGTGATCAAGGGCCAGATCGAGCGCAACTACGACATCACATCTCCTCACTCTTCAGAGTCTACAAATGATAACGACGATGTCATGTCTGTTCACAGCGATGGCGCCTCAAGCACACACTCAAACTACCACTCACCCACCGTCGAGGATGAGGACGAAGATGGCGCGGTCAAAGTAAACACTGTCCAATCCACTTCAGTCAACAAGCACCAGTCACAGCCAGAAGTTCAGCAGCCTTCGTACAAATACTGGGCTTCAGAGCGCTCGATCGGAACTTTTCAGCGCACATTCACCTTCCCAACTCGTGTGGACCAGGATGGGGTCAAGGCTACGTTGAAGAATGGTATTCTCTCGGTCATTGTGCCGAAGCAAGCCATCCAGAAGGCCAAGCGCATTCGCATTGAATAAATGCATTCCACTTTTATACACACACACACACTCTCTCTCTCTCTCTTCGCTGATGACATGCATGGTTGCAAGGCGTTAATTTAGCTTGGGATTGTACTTCACATTTGGATTTTATGACTGTGCCATTTTATCGATGATGAGAGGCATTTACTGGATTATGGGCAAGCAAGGCTCTAGTGATTAGACATTATTTATGAATAATTTTCAAAATCAAATCTTGGTGAATTTTTCTGAGGAAATGTAGACTAGCTGATGGTCATCCATCCATACCCAATTATATTTCAAGTAATTTGAACATATACACACATATCTGTGGAATATCACAAAGGAGAGGCAAACTTGCAAAACGAAGAGACAGAAATCAGACTCCACACATGCTAACTCTTCTTCAAATCCCTGTATACCAACGCCCCCAAGGATATAAAGCGTGAAACAAAATAAATAGTGAAGTGGTATATAAACGAAAAGCGAGGTAAATGAAGACACGCTGAAAAGTAAGACGAGAGTATAACAAGAAAACATGAGAAAAGGTGAATATTTAGTAAGCGATTGTGATGATGAGTGAGACATTCATCATACGGCAACTCTGCGAGTTTTGACCAGTTTTGTGCGGCCGCGGCCAGCACTGCGTGATCGGGCCCGCCCCCGAGGTGCTTCGTAGGTTTGTGCCTTGTCTACTGGAGGTTTGTGGGTGGAGATAGCTCGTTGAACTGTTTCCTCTATTTGTTCCTTTGCAACTTGTGCAAAGGCATGCTTGGGAAGAATAGGCGAAAAAGGGCTTTGTATCTGCTCATCATCCATATCGCCCTCAGAATCGCTCTCTTTATCATAAATGCCAGCTGCCTCCGGGACAGATGGGATGTTCAAAAGGCTGAGCTGAGCATAATACCGGGTCTGTTCAGAACCGGTACATGGTATCTGCTGACTCCCTGAACTGCTGCTCCCGGATGGAACGAGATTCTGAAGCATAACCTCGTTCGGTTTCGATAAGCCATCGGCAAAGTATGAGCAATTGTCTGCAGGGCTTCCCACTTTGTACCGCGCAGGACTAGACACTGGAGAGCTGGCGGGMGAAGATCCGGACTGGGCTGAAGAGTTGCTGGAGTGGATTGAGCTGACAGAACTGTACCCGCTGTCTGCGTTTGTGTTGGAATGAATTTTTTGCATCCTTGTAAATCCGATTGCATCCGAGGCGATGACTCCAGGCGTCTCCAGGTATTGCCCATCGCCCGCTACGTCCAAATCTTCGAAGCAAAAGCCATTTTCGGGAATAACAACAGCCTCATCTTGATGTGCACTATTCGAAATGAACACGGCGGAGTCACCTTGAGACAAGACACTTTTGGGAAGTTTTTTGTGGGATGGGGATGTCGTAAGAAGGCGAATACGATCGGTGCTTGCTGGAGATACAGAAGCATTGACGATTCTTAAAGTGCCTTTCTTGAAACCACTCAGGTGGGAGTAGTCTAAGGCGACCGGAGAGGTGGCGCGCTCGTGATATCGAGAGAGCGGCATGAAGTCATCATCCTCTTCCCATTCATGTGAAAGCTGTGCAGTAAGAATTTCTGGTATGGGAGGTTTCTCGTCTTCCTGTTGGATCGATGATAGCGGCGTGCGATATAGACCCCAAGACGGAGTTCGCGTTGCAACTCCTGGCCTACGGAACGATTTCCGACGACCCATGAGAACGTAAGAATCTTCAACCGGAGACCTATCTTCTGACGTCAAGGTTTCGACCGATGAATGTAGATCGTGACTTCCAATATCCGAAGGACCAAAATGGATGACGGGCTCTCTGCGAGTTTCCCCAACAGTCACTCCTTCCGACTGCGACTGAAAACTAGGCCTGTGAATCATTGAGGACCGTCTCGAAAGTCTTCTAGAGAGGAAAGAGCTCGATCGTGACAACGAGCTATCTTGTTTCATTAGAACAAAGTCGTCAATGCTCGACCAGCGTTTGCTCCCCTGTAAAGAACCTCGCGACTCGGGTTGTAAACTAGAGAACGACGTGAAAGACCGCACCCGATTACGATCCGTCAAGTCCGTTTCGGGGTTAGATTTAGGTAAGAGATCACCCGTCCACGGGCTCTTCCAGAACATGGACTCGTCCAGTGGTGGGCTCTGGTCATGATTAGGACTTCTAGGAGACTTTCCGGCCTTTGTTTGTGCTACGTTGAGCGAGGATAAGTTTGTTGGTGGTTTCGACAATCGCCTCGTGGTTTGAGGTTCATGGCGCACTTCTTTCGAGGATGCGTGGCCCATTTGGAGAAGCTTGTATTAGCTCTATCATCAGTTGGCAATTAGCATGCGGATGGCAAGGAAATGTGTACAAGAGGATAATTTACCTTGGAGATTTTCTCTGTTACGGTCTATATGCGACAGAACTTCTCATGTACATTGCATGATCTGTATTCTTTGGCGGCTGAGAGAGGTACCAACTTTGGAGTAAGCAAGTCGCGAACTTGACTCGAGTAGAGCGATGAGCCTCAAAGAGTTAGAGAAATGGCCGTTTCACACAAGCATATGGTTTGCCTTGTAGATCCGGCAATTGAGATAAGAATACTCGAATGCTTCAAAAGGAGTTTCAGTAACGTGGAAGACGACATTCGACAAGCAGAATAACGTCAACAAGGCCGAGACCGAGCAAGGTCGAGACTAAGTTGATATTCAATTTCGAGCTAGGGCCCTCGGGCGTTGAGCATCAAAACAGGGACGAAAGCGTTGTGCTCTATCGTGGTGTATTTTCCAGAGACGTCTACTGGAATGAATTACTGCCGCATGCTGCGGTGGTTCCAGCACAGACATGATGGAACCAGACGTCAGAACGGATTTACTGAAATTAAGAGGTGCAGGACCGAACACTAGCGGGCTGTATTCAGGTGGTTGTGATGGATCGTGGTCGTCGACAAAAACAAGGTATTGTTCGAAAACGGAGCATCTGGCGCGGGTCGATTGGTGCACATGCCTCAGTGGCTGAGGACCCCCTGTGCGTCCCGGTTTTACGTAGCTTAGAAGCTCGCATTTGCGGGGATCAGTATTGCGGTGCCATCCACTCAGAGAGGCACGATATGTCCTGTTGCTGCACCTAGGCGGTGTAGTGTAACAGCTAGTCTTTGATCACTTTTACCATGCCATGCTTTAATGCGCCGTCGATGACATACATGCAGGCCGGCTGAGGGTACATGGGATCTAGGCTCTGTCTCACGCAATGCTATTGCGCATTGTGATGACTGCTGAACAGACCTACTCGATTGCATGTTGGTTAATTGCTGGCGAATCTGCGGTGTAGAAAGGTGAAGCTTATAGTCGGCTTCCGCAAACGGCGTTGTTCGGTTGTCCCTCGACGATGTTGTTGTTCAGGTACCCGCTCTTGTCACCAGCCACAAAGGAGAAATGATAGGTGCAAACGGTAATTATGTATTTTTGCATTCCTGAAATCGGTCGAAACTCGTCTGGAGTCAAAATGCACAAAAGACGGATGTTTGAAAACAGCAATCACAGATGAAATGAGATAAAGAATGCAGAAAGGATGACTTCTGACCGCCCCCGCCTACAAAGGCAATTGCAATTGCGCATTGCCGTCTTTCCTAACGTGACATGTTACAATCCATCTGCTGAGTCAGACATCACCACAATTTCAACAACCCAAATGCTACATTCTTTTATCCTGCAATTGGCGCGATTTCTTCGATCAGTAACCAGCGATATAGTTTACCTCCCGGGTTCCTCCCGCCGGAAGCTTCAGAGTTGGATCCGAATCACAACATCATCGCCACGAACGTAGTATACCAGGCAGTCGATAGTGAACACTACAATACAACGTGGGAGCTCTGCATGGCGAGTGGCGAAGACTGGAAGTTTCCGTTCCTGGCGGTTGGTAGCTTCGATAGTGCCTGTAAGGCGTTTGTGAGACGAGTTGATGCAGCTGGAGGTGCCCAAACTCTGGGGTGGCTAGCTGTGGAATATTTGGCATCTGAGGTCGGTGTGAAGCAAAAAGCGAATTGAGCCTGAGGACATGCGAGTCCCTTGCTTGATGCGCATCCAACACAGCAGTTGACGTAGCGGATTTGTACAGATCATAACTGATTAGACGCGTCTTACAGCTAGAAAATCCAATTTTGAGGATATCAAAACCTACTAGCCTTCAGAGAGAGCGCCTCGAAAATAGCAGTGTCATCGTGAATGAACGGGCAGATACATACGAGGATCTACAAGAAAATGTGATCGAGGACGACGATCGAGTAAGATCACAAGTCCCGTAGTTACAACGGTTCTAACAGGAATCTACGTACTAGGAAACCCTTATACGTGAAGGCGTCGAAGCACAACTGACCATTGACTATGACATTGCATTTTCAACATCGTATCATGTACCTGTCATGTTTTTCCGCCTCAGAGAGATCCCGCAGGTTGGCCCGGCGGCATTAGATGACATATACGATTCCCTCGTCCCGCGCCAACACCAACAGTCATTGAGAAGTAACGGCGTCATGGGCGGTATCAGTTTCGGAGTAGGTCACTCATCGTGATGTTGTCTGTGGTCTCCTTGAACTCACTAAGAACAGTATCACCCTCAATCTGGTGTTCCAGCTTACTTCATTCATCCATGTAACACCGCGAGCGCCATGAAAGCTATTGCCGGCAATAAAAACATTGAGCCCGAAGATTATCTTCTCACATGGCTCGGCCTTGTTGGTGGCTGCATTAATTTAAGTCTTCCCAGCCGGCTCTTCGTGAGATCATAGTCCGGAGCGATTGACGGTTCGACTTCATACATGTCGACATGAAAATTACTACCGTGTTGATCGCGAGACCGTTAATCCTCGTCCGATGATGCTTCCATCGAGACATCACTCTCATCTTCATCCATAGGTGCCTCGCCTTCGTCACTTTCTTCTTCACGATGACGCTTGGTACCGACTGTCGCGGCAGTCGCGGCTGAAGGGGGAGCACCGAAGATAGACTTTTGTAAGTCGGTCGATACGCCTGTGGGTGCAGCGGCGGTTGCCATGTAGGTGCCTCGAAGCTTCGCAATGACATGAGAACTCCCTTTGGCATACACGATATTCTATGGCCGATGTATTAGCGCTAGTCTTGTCGCAGTCGTGAAAAGTACAACTTACTAGCTCTTTTCCGAAGAAGTCGAATCCTTGAAGAGCACGCATAGCTTGAGTGCTGGCTTGGATATCTCGGTAAACTATATGTGCCTGTCCTCGCATCTTGGCCGTTTTCAAAACTACTACATCCAAGACGGGTCCGTATGTAGAAAACAATGTGTATAATGCCATTCTCAGGTCTGGTTTCTTGATCTTGTCGGGGAGATTCTTTATGTAGAGCCTGTTTGAAAAAGACGTTAGTTCTAAGAAGCTCATGAATCACTAGCTCGAGATACTTACGTCTGGTTTGGGGCGCCGATGTTTTTGGCATTTGCCTGGCCGTTCTGAACCTTGGTAGCCATGTTGAGCTTTGTAATGAATGCCAATTCTCTGAAATCAAAGGGAACTGTTTGGAGAAAGTGAAGATTAGAGACGTTCCCGTAAGAAAATCAACTAGCGCGTTACTTAGCTACGTAAGTCACGTGAACTGGGCGGCACGGCGTCATCGTATCCAACAGCGGCCCCTCACCAGCATAGCCATCACAAACAATAATCACACCCCGGCAGTAGAGAGAAACTCCTGTCGTTCACTTCCAATCAATAATATGGCTTCTTCCGAGGTTCACCATCTATTCCACTCCCCAGTTGCGGACCATTCGTTCTCTCAAGACAAGGGTACTTTGGCTGTTGCTCGAGACAACAATGTAGAGCTCTACCAGGCGTCAGGCAACGAGTTTACATTGAAAGATGAATTGAGGGGCCACGACAAAACCGTCACAAGTGTTGACATTGCGCCAAACAGTGGTCGCATTGTGACTTGCTCGCAAGGTATATAAATCGACTTTCGGTCAAACTTCTCGAAACTAATTTTACATAGATCGCAATGCTTACGTCTGGGAGCAGACACCCAACGGTTGGAAGCCCACCCTCGTTCTTCTCCGAATCAACCGCGCTGCCACATACGTTCGATGGTCGCCCTCTGAGCAGAAATTCGCCGTCGGCTCCGGAGCTCGAGTGATAGCAGTCTGCTACTTTGAAGAGGAAAACGACTGGTGGATTTCCAAACACTTGAAAAAGCCCATCCGTAGTACCATTACTACGCTCGCATGGCACCCAAACTCCGTTCTTTTGGCTGCTGGATCTACGGATTCTCATGCTAGAGTGTTCTCTAGTTACATCAAGGGCATTGACGAGAGACCGGAGCCTTCAGCTTGGGGTGAGCGACTTCCGTTCAACACCGTCTGCGGCGAGTTCTTAAATGACTCTGCTGGATGGGTGCATGGTGTTGCCTTTTCACCTAGCGGAAATGCCCTTGCATTTGCTTCTCACGACAGCAGTGTGACTGTCGTTTACCCGAGTGCTCCTGATCAGCCACCAAAGGCCATGCTCAACATTAGCACTCGTCTGCTTCCTTTCAACAGTCTTGTCTGGAGTGGTGAAGACCAGATCATCGCCGCAGGTCATGTAAGTATCCTCTCTTATTGTTAACCTCTCGGGTGTGGACTAATTCTGTTACAGGACTGTGAAGTATATCGTCTTCAAGGCGATGAGAACGGATGGGAACTAGTCGGCTCACTTGAAAGCAAGCGTGGTCCAGCTGGAGGTGCTCGGGAAGAGTCTGCCTTGAACATGTTCCGTCAAATGGATCTCCGTGGTCAGGCTCAGAGTACCACCCAGCTTGATACTGTTCACCAGAACACCATCAACACCCTCCGCGTACATGAGGAGCAGGGCGGTGTCGTGAAGAAGTTTACCAGTAAGTCTATCCTATCAGTTGGTATTTTTCCAGAAGCTGACATCTCGCAGCGAGTGGTGTTGATGGTAGGGTTGTTGTGTGGACTATTTAGCAAGTCCAGTATATGTACTACATACATACATACATTAAATCCCAAGAATTAAACAGTCACCTGATTCATCAGCTGAACAATATAGGGTTCATATTCCACTAGTACTAATCGAGTAAAAGCCGAGTTACCCCAGATTGGGCAGGTCGTGTGACGACATCACATCCTTCCTTCAGTGTGTACACTCCAACATATATTTGTCGCCTCCAGGTCGCAATGCTCGACTCGTGGCATATATCACTATGAATGAACCCAGAACTCATACGTTGAGCGTCTATTCGCAATAATGACGCCATTTACACAACCATTGCATGGCCTGATCAAATGCCTCGCACTCATCCTACTCGCCACAACCCTGCTGGCTGACGCCGCTGTGGTCCATGGCGACGCACAGCAGACCCGAAAACAGAAAGACCAAAAGGATGTCACGGATAGGACTGTATCCGAAGCCCTGTTCGTCGAACTCGAGGAGTCAGCACGCCTGGCGGATATCGCTTATTGCGTTGGGACAACTGGAATCCACAATCCGTTCGGATGTCTGAGCCATTGCGAGGACTTCAAGGGGTTTGAGCTCATTACAGTAAGTTTGTAGAATATAGACCATTTACAAATGACATTCTAAGCTGATACTGTAACAGACCTGGAACACAGGCCCTTTACTCTCCGATTCCTGCGGATACATCGCTCTGTCACACCCGCCCGCGGCGAAACGTATAATAATCGCTTTCCGCGGCACATACTCGCTGACGAATACCATAATCGACCTCTCAGCCGTTCCGCAGACGTACATCCCCTACCCAACCGACGGCAACAATAACACCAGCAAGGGATCAACAATCGAACCAAGGAAATGTCAAAATTGCACCGTCCACGCCGGATTCTGGACATCATGGAAAAACTCTCGCGACACGGTTCTTTCTGCCGTGACGCAGTCGCGCGAGATGTACCCGGATTACGAAGTAATGCTCATCGGACATTCTCTCGGCGGCGCAGTGGCTGCATTGGCCAGTCTGGAAATGTATACGCGCGGCCTGGATCCGCACGTCACCACCTTTGGCGAGCCCAAGGTCGGAAACGACAAGATGGCCGATTTCATCAACGAGATTTTCAATCTTTCGAGCGAAAAAAGGGGGGATGATACGCAAATTCGATACCGACGCATAACGCATGTAAACGATCCGGTGCCTCTTCTCCCGCTGGCGGAATGGGGATATGTGCCGCACGCAGGTGAAATTTTCGTCTCGAAACTTGATCTTCCGCCTTCACGTGAGGATGTCGAACACTGCACTGGGAATGCAGATAAGCGGTGTATAGCTAGTAGCGAGGGAAATGGCGAAGAAGAGAAAGTGGTGGATTTCTCTCTGCTAGCTTTGGGTATGCAGCAACAGCAGGAGATTCTATCATCTACAACACCATCCGAAGAAGACGAAGTGAGGACGCAATGGTCCCTGGTATCAGCCCGCTATCGAATCTGGGAATTATTCTTTGCGCATCGCGATTACTTCTGGAGAATTGGTCTGTGTGTTCCTGGCGGGGATCCTAGTTCTTGGAGATGGACGTAGTTATATTTTTGATTTCATTGTAATGTACATAAATAGGTCTATTAGTTGATGGAATGGTCAGGCGTTCTAATCTTTTTTATGATGAGATTGTATCATTATGTTGCTTGGCGAATATCAAATAGCATCTTTGTCAATCTTTGAAGCCTCCGTGCCTCTCCGACATATGACAAAGGTTACATGTAAATATATAAACAGTATATGCATTCAAGCACCTATGTAAAATCAGAATTTACAAAACGACGGCCTCATGGTATTGTTCAATATAGCACGAAAGAAAAGAACCGAACATAAAAAAAGAAATATATAAAAGGAAAAAAACATCATTGCCCAAATCCCAAATTCGGAATAATAACAGGCCCATACTTGACCACACTTCCATACGCGCCCTCACCCTGAACCATAAAATCCGCAGCGAGACTCAATTTACCTCCTCCACGCTGCATATCTGTCTGACCGAATGTGCCGGATACAACCTCTGGGTCATACGCGACGATGGCGACATAGTTGCGCCGACCCATGAGACGCCGGTACTCGCGCGGTTGGCCCGTGACATCTGTTTGGAAGAGCTCGAGCATGTCTTCTTTCGTGTCTGTTGGTTGGGAAGGGGTTGAGCGTTGGCCGTTGGCGGGCACGTACAGTGGTTTGTTATTGTGGAGGAGTTTGAGGATATAAGAAGATGGCGGTGTGTTGACGACTGGTGAGGCGATGAGCTGGTACATTGTTTTGTGGTCCGAGGGATGGCTGGGATCGTGCACCAGACCTGCGCCGCAGACATTGACTGCGCCAGACAAGAAAGTCATGCGGATTGATTTCTGTTTTGCGATGCCCTGCAGCGTGCGGATGAGGTATGTGCGCTCGAGGTCCTTGGAGTCGTGTGTCCATTGGTCGCGAAGCTCGTCGAGGATATCAATCTCGCCGAAGGGGTTGAGAACGCCCCCCATCAATCCGGTCTTGCCGACTGCCCTTTTGACGGCATCAAACCCAGAGCCTACTGCGTCTTTTGCTCCTACAACACCTGCTACCGAGCTGGTCACTTTACCCAGGAGGTTGTATGCACCGGTAACAGCCTTCTTTCCCGTAGCAACCGCATTTGCTATCTGCTCTGTGGATTCAAGTCGTGGATAGATCAAAGGGACCGAAATCATCCAGATACAGTGCTGTACGCTCGGAGGCAGTAGTGCGATCTTTGGGAACAGTCCTTGATACGTGGGACCAGCCATGACCTGGTGAGGGTTTCGCTCTGATCGACAGTCGGGGCCAACGACAACGACTGCAGGACCTAGGTATTTGACAAAATGCCATCCTGTACCCGTTATCGTGAATAAGTCATGGTCGGAGTGCATATTACGGAGAAGCTCCAGGGTTGTATGATGTTGGAAGAGTAAATACATCTCAATACCGATACGGCCAATGTTCTTGAACATGTTTGAGAATTGCATATGCTGTGGGTAAGAGCCAAAGCCATCGAATCTAATTCCAAGATTAGCATGAAACCAGAAAATTACATAGTGAGAAGTGACATACATATCGTGATCATCCAGCTGCAGGATGTATGGAATCTGCGCAAAAGCCTCTCGAAGATGCGGCTGATCGAAATGACTCGTATAAAAGTGGAAATAAGCATGCGAAACTTCCTCCTCGTGTGCCGGTGTCCATGGAGCATTTTTTCGCTGCTCCTTACCATGTATAGTTAGCCATTGCTTGAGCAATGGTATCTCCTTCCAGATCCTATCTGCTGAAATCTGACCACCAAGCCCTAACTGGCAATGAAATCCTCCGACTTCGGCATATTTCTGCATAATATCCTTCCACATAAAACCCGCACCGCCTAGACGAGCTCGCTCATTGGCACTGACATTCAGAGAAAAGTCGTTACCTGAGGTAGCGATGAATCTCCAGTTCGTTTCGTGTCGTCCCGCGACAAGAAATTCGTACCGGGTGCAGCCAAGATGAGAAGTGATCGCATATGTCCATTTAGCAGGACCCGCATCATCCATTTGCAAATCAACGTCGTACTTGTAAAATACCCAGCGCTGGTGTTGGTGTATATTGACTCCCTTCAACTGTCGGGGGTTGGGGGACAAATCCACACTTTGATGAATATGGATCGTCGGAGGCTGTGGAGCGTCCGTTACCAGCAAGATGGACCCTAGCCAGAGACCCCGTTCTAGATCCATGTTACAGTACCGCAAGTAAGGCCCAAAGTAGACACCATTCGTAGCAGCGACTTTGTATAGCTCGACTCCACTGCTCGGGGGAGGACCGGTGACGGCAGTTCCAACTGTACTAAGGCCCATTACACTACCTTCGTATAAAGGTGTCATAGGAACACCCGGTGATGCTAGTGGTTTACCACCAAAAGTAGAAAATGACGGGGAGGTGAGAGGGTGAGCACTGTAAACACTGCCGACGGGCGACATGGGTGTGTCGTTCAGGTTGAGCGGCGTGGGTCCCTTGGGAAATTCCCATTGAGTGGACTGCGTGGGAAGATGGATGTAGTAATATTGACCAGAGTTTGAATCAAGGTGCGCAATCCACCCTTCCGGTAAAGGAGGAGGTGATGCTGGAGGAAATCCTCCGGGGGCTGGAGAAGCGCTTGTTTGTATACTCTGCTCAATAATGGTGCCTGTTGGCTGTGCTTGTTGGGGCGACATTACTTGCTGTGGCCCCTGGGGAGGTATTTGTTGCGGTACTTGCTGTTGCTGTCTTGCATCATTGGCAAAGGCCGGGTGGCTCTGCACAGATGGAGCAGGAGAACTGATCGGGGGAATTCCTACAGCAGAACCCACCGCTGAACCAGCAACGGAGGGTGCCCCAGTCGAAGCTGGGTGTCCTTGAGGAGGAGGAGGAGAACCGACTACTGGGCGTCCCTTTTCATTAGGATATTGTTGAGAGGTATTGGCACCAGGCACACTTGAGTAAGCCGGGGGCGGAGAAGCAGAAAGGTTCATTCGCTGAAGATCCTGCTCCAGAGCATTCGAAGGAATTGCGGGCCGGTCAGCAAGGTTGACCGGAGGAGCCTGTTGAGGTATAGGCTGGGTAGATGTAGGTGGAGGGTATTGCTGGGTGCCAATCTCGCTAGAACCTTGGTATACAGTGGGCGGTCCATGTGGTTGCGTACCCGGTTGCTCGGTTGGCGTCCAGGGACGAGTCGTTTCAGTCTGCGCAGTATATTGGTTCGCTCGCTGTTGCGCAGCTGCATTTCGTGATTGCAAATTCGCCAGAGTAGATGTGCCCGCAATCCCCGCAGCCGCGAATCGAGCCTCGATATCCGCTCCAGGTCGTTGACCGGGGCCAACAATTGGTGTCTCAGGCGGCGGAGGAGATCCTCTCTGTGCGCGAGTTGTCGAGTTAGATGCCGTCGAGCTAATGCGATTGATTGAGTCCGGATTGTTGGCTCTCAAGCGAGCCTGTGCTGCACTCGTAGCCGACGGCGGCGGGAAGTATTGTTGATTATATCTAGCGTCATTAGACTCGGCTGCCACGGGGCGAGGAGGCCCGGGAGGGGGGAATTTCTGAAAAAGGGCATCTTTATCAGGCGTATCCGGACCAGGGGACTCTGGTAATGGCTTTGGAGGCGCATTACCCCGTCGTTCGGCCAAAGACGGCTTCTGTTCCCGTCCATCGCGAGGCCGCAAAGCGGAGGGGTAATCTGCTGGAGAGGTAGCACCCGTAGATGACGATAGGCTCTGCGCAGGACTGGCAATACGACTGTTTGGTTGAGGGTATGGCGCAGTCTGACTAGAAGGGGAGTATGATTGTGAGGGTCGTGGTCGGTCATCGGGATAAGGAAGATTATTAGGAGCTGTTGGCTGCGGGGTAGGCGCGGCCGATGGAGGTTTGTTGATTCTCAGAGGTTCCACGATAGGGGATTCATCGCCATCTCGTCGAGCAGCCGAAGTGTTGTTCAGAAACATCTCCTCCCCCTGTCGGCCATGATAATTAGTGTTTGTCGGACTCATGGTGAGCTTCAGCCCGATTGCGGGAGGCGCGCGATGACAGTGAGATCTGTGCCACAATTTTTTTTTAGTATGGATGCAACCAAAAAATATATGCAGATATATTCATGATGGTCATGTTCTGTAACCGCTCTCTATGCGATACGACCATCCTGAGACATTAGTAAATGCAGGCTTACCTGTTGGTAGTATGAATCCAGTTCACACTTGGAGGAGGGGCAATCTTATCGGCTGGKCTGCAGGGAAACGGCGCTCCCGGATTGAAGAAATGCAACTCTTGCACGAGTCGTAAGTGTTTTAAAATATCAATCAACTGGTAAATAGAAATGAGAATAAAAGGACACGAGATAAAAGACACGGTTCAGGAGCCGATGAGCAGACTACCAGATTGTCCAAGGTCAGGCGCCAACGATGAAGAAGAAGCGATCTCAAGCGGCGATTGGCTGGACTAGAGCTGGGGGGAAAAGCAGAGATTCGGGCTGCTGGAGCGGTGATTGGCTGAGGGCGGGAGACATCACAGGTCCTCGGCGGCTACCTTAACTGATAGAGTTAGTTATTATTCTGCCTTCTTGTGTATACATAGCATGCCTTGATTATTTGAAGGGATAAGCATTCTGACTATACTCTATGCAGAAAGCACTTCAATAGTTCGCCTTTTGTCGCAAAGTCCAGTAAATACATGGTAAAGGAGATTGTAGAGTGATTGGCGCACCTCAACAAGACCCGCTCTGCCGCACCGGGCCGAGACCCGCTAGCCAGGGTTCGCATCTATACATAGTATATATCTCTCTGGACTGTGTGATTCACCTGCATATTATACACCATTGAAGTACGTAGTATGTAGTATTGATGAATGGTGTAGTATTGATGGTCTTCTCGTGTATTGAAGTCCTCTCTGACAAAGTTACATATAATCTATATGCCCAAATGCAAAAACCAAACAACCGGCCCAATCCTCATATCGCTTGCTCACATGAATATCATCATAAAAGTACAAAATCCATCCCAAACCCGTGTATCTTCCCAAAGGAATCCAGAAGTGAAATCAAAAAAAGACATTGTGTAAAAGCAGACATGATCATGTAGTGTATATGCAGTTTAATCTACAATCCAAAGTTGACGATTTGTATCTCCTGCTGGACCATAACATCTGACCAGCCCACATTAGCCGAGTGACCAACAGTCATAAGCTGCTCGGTCTGTGCCTGATAGACCATCTGAAGCAAGTGTCGTGTAGTAGTCGCATTGCGTCCGATGCCTTGCTTTTCCATACTGCATATCAGATCCATTGCCATCATCTTCTGAACCGCCGACGAGGATGAGACACCGGCAATGAAAAGGGGAAATATGATAAAGCGAAGATCAAACTGGCTCGAGTGAACGATTGTCTCTGCAATGTGGAAAATATTGTTCGTGTGGTGAGCAATAATCTCGTTAGAGGCCCCTTCTGGTCCCAGTATTTGTCCATTCCATAAGCCGGTGTAGGAAAAGAGCATGCAAGAATGGTAAAGCGACAAAGCCTAAAACGTCAGTACTTGTTCAAAGAATGAAAAATGTGAAAACGTACATTTTGCAGGACCTCACGGGACCGCTGAGGTAGCACTTTCATGTTCTCACAGAGGTAATGTGCCTGTGGACAGTCCCACAGTCGATGAAAGCTGTCCCTGATCTCGTAAAGGCGGCCCTTAGGGTCGAAAGCCTGGTTCGGAGATCGTGGGGAACCGGTAGATTCGTCGCTTCGGCGAAGGTCGGCAGCAAGAAAAGCGAGTCTACTTGCAAGGAGGAATGTCTCTCGGTTGAAGTGAAGTACAGAAGGCAAAGTGTCATGTTCCTCTGGATATATCACGCTGTGCCCACTGGGAGCTACAGGGTACAACTGGCTTCCTGAACCAGGAACTAGGTTGTTGTCAAGCATGGTTTTAAGAAACTCGCCAGTGCCCGCACCGCTGAGTAAAGCGTAGAGGTCGATGTTGCACACCAACCAGACGATGTAAGGATAGTGCTCGCTACCAAACTGCGATATCCTCATGAGAGATATCTGAGTCAACCGGGCCATGTGATGTGACCATAAATTTGATCCGGCCTCTTCGGCAGCAGCGACCTGCATTCGCGTTAGTGAGAACAGAGTATACAATGGCAATGCCATCTTACCTCATAAATCAAAAGAAGGAAGTGGGTGAGGAAGAGGCCGTCGGAACAAAGATCATTTGTATCACGGAGGGCGATCTGAAGGGACGGGAATGCTTGGTGATAGTGTTGTAAAGCATCAATACTTTTGCTGCGATGCTGACGAGCTAGACTGAGAGCAGACACGGCCATTATAGCATGATATAACTTTGTGAGATGTTAGCATGACCCATAACGGAAGTGTAGGTTGCTTGACTAACAGGTTGAAAAGTAGATGCGAGATCTTCAAAGATCTCTACACCTGGCGTTATAGGACTAGAGATGGGGGAGAAAAGATCGTGACTGGATTGGCCCTGTATAAGTTGTTTCCAGACCACGTCGCGGAAGTGAGCGAGTAGTAGCTCTTCCTGGCTGCTGTATCGAGCAGTAGCCGGGTCTAATGTCAAGGGACCATGTTGTTCGGGAGGGAAGAAGGTAGGGGAGGCCAGAGTAGAGGCCGAAGTGATATCCGATGCCGGAGAGAGCCTTGCCCTCCTCCAGTTGGAAACGGGCGAGCGGTGAGTACTCTCTTCGAAAGTGTCGAGAATTACAGTGTTGGGGTCACTGACTTCGCTGATGCTGTGTAGGTCGTCTTTTTGGCTCAGCGTTGAGCTGGTTCCGGACCCCCGGCGGATCTTGAGATGTCCAATGTTGAGATCGACGGATGATGAATCATCGGTGTACTCTGGCAGACTTGAAAAGCTCTCCGGATTTACGATGACATGATATGTGCCCGGAAAGCTAGCTTCTGCTTTCTTTTCACGTTCGTCATCTGAAGTCAACATGAAGAAAGGAGGCAGCGGGTCGTGTACACCGGGAGTGACAGGCGGAGAATGAGAGCGTGCTTTGGCTGTTGAAGTTAGCACATGTCCGAATAACCGTAGTATCTAACTGAACGTACAATCCCATACTGCATTGCCGGTGGTGGAGACCTCGGTCATACGTTCCAATACACGAGCAGTGTCGTCGCGGAAAGTCAACCGGGGACTGTAGTCGCAGCGATGACCTAGACGAGCACATTGGCCACAGCTAGGACGACATTCATCACATTTTACTAGATGGCGTTAGCTTATCTCAGTGTCTAAGTTGGGGACAGAATAGCCATACCTTTGCGGCTCTACGAATGAGTAAACAATAATTGTTAATATGTAAAATCAAGGTAGACGTCATTCAAAGATAAGCTTACACGGCACGTCCTAGAAGCGAGTCAAAACCAAGCAGAATCCAAACAGTCAAAAGCACTCACCAACAACCTGTTCGCGATCGAGACGGCAGGCGTACTCGAGGTGGAATGTTCAGAGTCATAGCACTGGGAGCGCTCAAGCCCGGCGGGGTCGTGGGACTACTGGGTTCGTCTTTTGGGGCAATCATTGGGAGGCGGAGGGAATGTTTTCCGGCTATTATAGTTCCATCTTTGAGTGGCAGGGTGCTGGTGAGTATCATGGTAAAGTTCGAGCGTTTGTTGATGATGCGAACTATTGTTTCGCAGCTGGTTCTTCGGCGCAACTGGCTGTCGTATAGTATTCAGCCAAGATGTGGCATGCTAAAGGTAATTATGCAGAAGGGAGAAGGTGAGATGAGTGGCGTATGTATGCGTGTATGTGTGGTACGGAGAGAGTTTGAGTCAGGTTGCTGGCGAGGGAAGAGGATGAATATATAGAGGTGAGGTGTTGATAGCAATTGGAGCTAAAGTTGCTGCTTGACCGATTTGGAAGGCGCAGGCCCAGACCAGCCCTGAGTCCTGACCAAAGCAGATCCGCCCCATCAACGTGATCACGGGGAATACCGAAAGAGAAGCAAGCACTCGAACTAATGCATGTACGGATTAGGTGTACATGAAGAGTAGCTCAGGCAAAAGTGAGAACGAAAACCCGAGCTGTGCAGAAAGAGTCATCAGATGGGTGGTAATATTATTCTACAGCTAGTACTAAGCCGCCTGGAAACGAACTATACTATGCAATAAAATCGTGACAAATCTCTGACAGGGTTGTTAGTACGATACCGCCAGTACATCAGCAATACTGAGATCGTATTTCGTGGCAGTTGCTGCGTACGCCGTCTGTGTATGAAAGTTTCTGGCCCACAAAGGCACAAACCACGCGGTGGCGGTGACATTCCTGCCCTTGCTGGCTTCGTACTCCGTATGTGGCGGAGAAATGAATTGGGCCGTCTAACACCGAGCGCGAGAAAAAAACGATAGTACAGAAAGCGGGAGAAAAAAAAAAAAAAAAAGGAAAAAMAGAAWAAATTACGACCAGGGAAACAAAGGCAGTATGCGTAGTATCTGGGGAAAGAGAAACGATGAGGCTAAAATTGGAATGTTTTCCCTACTACATACTATGTAGTATGTAAGATGTACAGACTAAGGGGAGCGACGAAATGAAACTAACGGGACCAACCGAGTTCTCCGAGCGCCGGAGTCCGTCCGGGTTACGTGCCCGATATGGCTTAGTGTGCTTTGGTGTCGATTCGATCAGGGCTAGCGCGCTCGCTAAGCTGGACGGATTGGCCAATGAGAAATGGTTACTGCAAGCCATGAAAGGCGCTAGGCCGCATGAAGCAGTATGGTGGTTCACGCCTAGCTGAATCGGGCTTATCTGCAGGCTAAGCGAGTCCTTGTTTTGTCTGTTTGTCTGTTTGTGCCAGCCAGCCTCGACCAGACCAGACGTGACGTGACGGTACCTGGCTGCTATGGGACAACATTACTCCGCGGTGCTGCAGTTTCCTTGCATTCTCTCGACAACACTCCCACACACCCTCAGAACTGTTCATGCATGCATGCATACTATGTATAACGAGAGAACAGGGGAGAAGAAGGGCACATTCTCTCTTGACATCTGATGCTCAGCCACGCCCCCTTTGGTGTGTCGGTTTGGCTGCGATACTCCGCCTGAATGATCGATGTGAATCGTCGAGTTCGTTGGCCCGAATCATGGCAGAAGAAACAACTCTAACCCAGTTCAGTCACATTGCACGAACACCGTGCTTCGGTGCTGACAGAGGACTGGATTCGTTCGATCGTACTGTACGAAGTATGTCAGAGTGGGACATCTGCCAACTTTTGTATTGTACCATACGCACTAACCATATACACTAGTACGCCGTACTATTCGTCCGTGGCAAATTGCAGATTATTCCACATGGCTCGGAATATGCACCATGCACAGTCGTTTTCCATTTATTTTCTGAGACGCATTCCATGCATTCCGATGTCAGTCCAAAGTTCTTTTTGCTGATTGACAAGTAGGTTGGACGTCATTGTGTCGTCGACGCTGTAGCAGTCATGATCTGTCGCAAGCCCTTTGGAGGGCCCATTGGAGCTCAATGCTGTAAGCGTATCCGGTCAATCAGCGCCGGATAATAGGGTCTGGCCTTATCATGACTCAAGACCTAAGCGCATTTTACTAGTATACAATACATTGTCGAGAGTGTCTAGACTACAATTAGTAATGGTAATCGTAGACTTGTAACTTAGTCAGTTAGTTAAAGTCTGTACAATATGGCTATGGACGGAGTACGGCGCATCACTCCGTCGGTGGGAGCCAGTGAACTCACGCTTGTTTCGTCAGTGATGAAATGAAGAAACAACTGGAGAATCCAGTCATCCAAAGCTAACACTGCGTAGAACGGACAAAACTCGGTAGTGTTTAGGCTAGATGATCCTACAACTTGCGATCGGAATGTACACGACAAACCCTTTCGGCCGCCCCGGATGCCAAGCTTTGTCTAAGCACTTCGGTTCCACTAGTGTAGTATTTGGTATCGTGTGTATTATATTACGGGTCTTTCACACCTTGCATTCTGCTTTCCGACCGTCGTTTCGCCATCGTCAAAACATCGTCAAGCGTGGTTCATGTTCTCGATCGTACTGCAATCCCGGGGGAAATTAGGATTACCGACCAAATCCGAGAGACATCATGTCATACCAACTTCATGCGCCAGCAGGGGGAAAAAAACAAAGAAGCTAGATACGAAGACCAGCCTTAGCCCAATGAGATAAGAGCATCTGGACCGGATTCTACTACTCCGTACAATGTCGGTCTTAGACTTTCGCTTCGAGCCCAGCACAGTGGTTCAGCACATGCATGCCAGTATGTGGTCAAAGCGCGGCGACTGAATCAGTCAATTAGGGTTCGGAAACTGCAAAGTCTGCCGTCCACCAATGGTTCGACGCCTCACTCCTTTTTCTTATAGCTTTTGTCGGTCGGATCACGACATGGGAAGTAGATCGGCCTTATCATGATGCCATGCCATGCCTAAGTTTAGTATCGTCACGAACAGCAAACGAAATATGTAATCGCCGGGTGGATCTTGTTCCCAAGGACTTTGCGATTAGACTGGTCACTTACGTAGTCTACTGAACGTACGAAGCTGATTTCAAGTCTGATCTTAACAAATGAATTATTATGTCCAGGCCGCCGTCATGGTGATCGATCGGCCCCGGCTCGGAGCGTGTTGATTTGCGTGCAATATTGGGGTCAGACCTTACTACTAGCCCTATATGACCTCTGATATACTATGTACTGTACTATACCATCCGTAACAAGACTAACAGCCTGACAGTTAACGTGGATGTCGTCCTGTGCGGCGCGTATCGTATACGGCGTATCGGTACATACAGCGTACCACCAGAGAAAAGCGGCTAGACCAGGTCAGAGCGTTTGAAGTTTAAGAAAATAGAAAACCATGTGGTTGTCACATGTGGGGCGCGATGACAGATCAGCTTGGCCAACCCTTTCTTTTCCCTGTCATTTTTCACTCGGCCGACTGTAGTACGTAACTAGTGTCTAGCAAAAGGAAAGTCATGATTTCCTTCTTCAGCTGTGCATACAGGATGCATTACATCCTGACCCTTCTTCCCGTGCAAGTAAACTCCGTGGATACATCTCCGTGCTTAGACCTTCAGTTGTTCCATGAGACTCTGAGTATAATTGTAAAAATCAATAGCCATACTTATAGACCAGAGTTTATTCTACTCTAATCTAGCTTTGACTCATGTCAAAGTTCTGGAGAGTCGCATGTGTAGGATTGTAGGTCGCCGAAGAAATCTGCTTTCTCATGAACTCCATGCAGACCGTAGCCATGGCTGGCTGATCGTCATTAGGGCTGAGGCGTCGTGGTTGCAAGCGAACTGTTTCAGTCTGCATTAGCAGAACACCCGAACACAACAAATGCAATCATTCGCGATGGAAAAGTCATCCTGAATTAACCCAACAACCTAACAGCCCAGAAAGGCAGGTGAAGTCGAAAAGGGTGTCGACGCAATTAGTCTGCATGACGCCAGCACGAACTATTGCGCTGGTATAGCAGGGACGTTAAGACTTTTTACGGAGTCCTGGGCTTGTAATTTTGAGTTCGGGCGAGTCGGTGCCCACACAAAAGAAACAAGGTCAGATCCTTCCCACTCAGTCGGGACCGTATTTTTTGAGCTAGTTAGACTGTCTACAGAGTAGGTAGACTCTGTAAACTCGCACGTACGCCGTATTGTCAATACGGTCTGTACAGCGTCAGCTTGGACGTATTGAACCATGTTCCCCCTGAGGGCCCTAACGTTTTAGCAACCAAGTCTAATGTCGCCGTTCTCGCAAATGATTGGTGTGATCCCGCTTATCACTTCCTGTCTAGGCTTAGATTATCCGGCGGGCCGCATATGCACATTGCAGACTCATCAACTTCTCCCAGAAAAAGTGGGGAAAGTAAATCACGATTCGATTCGCCCTAGTGCTAGCCTACTATACTAGCACATAGTACATACATAGTGCGTACCATTGACCTTAAGGCTATCGAGTTAGACCAGGGCTAGACCAGATCCTAAATCCGAAATTGACTTATCACGCACATGGCAAGACCTGGCACACTAACCAACATCCCCGCGGACCTTGAAAGAAGGTAGGGTTGAGCCTAGTCCTCCTTCCGAACCAGGCATTGTGCCCAATTTAACTCTCTATACGAAGCTGTCAAGCTGCTCTCCTCCGTGCGCGAATGAAAGTCTAAATGAAAGAGAAAAATAAAAACTCTAAAGTTTAACTCAATTCGGAATTGCTAGTGGGTATCGCGCGTACGGCATACATTACTCTTTCCATCCTAGGCGCGACGTTTTGTGCCAGATGCAATATATTATATCTAGGAGATCTGATGGGACCTAATACGTGGTAAGCAGTAACTAGTAACTTAGCAGGTGGAAATATTTGAGAATATCCGCGCAGTTCCGTATCCTCTGTCGAGAGGAAAAGTCAATGGATCTGACCATGCTGACTTGGGCCGTGTTGGCGCTCAATTCAGAGTTTCTCGTGTTCGGGACGAAATCAAAACATAATTCAATACCGCACAGATACCTGGTAGTCCTGCAGCTTTCCAAGGACAGGGGTACGGATCGATTTCCCTTAAGCGCCGAGAATAATCATCACTTCAATGTATACAATATAGATATATCGTGTCTATGATTTCTGACTGGTCTATATGACTACTCTGATCACATAACATACCCACGGAGAAATCTCGGGGTTTGTTTCATGTCTCCCCTGAGATGTCAATACGTACTCTGTCCATATGCTGTATACATAGTCGTACGCGCTCCGTACGTAGCGGTAATGTCAAATCGTATTCAATTGCAACTTGAACATGCTAAGGCCATCTCGTCGATCTTCCACGTGGTGAAAATTTTCTCTCTCCCAATCAGCTTGCCCCTACTCCGAGTCCGCTATATCACACTAGTAATCCCGGTAGCGTATACCCAAGGACGACAAACCGGTCGAGATGGACTTAGTGAAGTAGGCTAAGCAAGCCCACATCATAACGTGGCTAGGGCAGGGTCTAACCACTTCGCTCTTCGCTCACAGCTCTCGTAGGGCAGATTTAAGAATCTGCTGGATTGATTCAGCTCGCTCTTGCGCCAGCCACAGCTCCATGCGTTGTCGTTGTCTGTCACTCAGGACCCCCGCGCCCGCTTCGCTAGTGGCCTGTGCAGCCGCTGTCCCCTGAGAAGCCACTTTGATGAATTTTTCTGCTGCTCGGGCACGCTTGAGACGAAGGCTTTCGATAGACGGGTCGATCTCAGCGAATAGGAGGCCATCACCCAACATTTGTAATCGTTCTTGTAGCGCCGGGCGGTCCACTGTTTGTTTCTCTCCGGATAATTCATCCCCTATCCTATCAAAGACGCCCTGTAAACCGGTGTAGAGGTTGTCCATCACTTGTCGCCTGTTCCCCTGTAGGCATTGTTCGACACACTTGATGACGAACTTCAGCTGATCTGTGGCTCGTTACGTATGTTAGTGGATCGATATAGTCAAGTTTCAACCATTTCAAAACTCTAAACGGCTGCTGTCAACTCACCAGATGCAGGCACTTTAACTGTGGGGTTTATGCACCGGATCAAACACCTGGTACATGCTGCTAACGTCTCATTCTCCCTGTCATGAATCAGTTACTCAGCCTTACCGGACAGAAGAAATAATCTGAAGCTAAAAGCCCGAGGAGCATGGAGAGCAGCAGGGGTCTACGCTAAGCTTGGACTCACAGGGCTTTGGAAGAGTGGTCCCCATCGATATCCATCTTGACATTGTCGCTATCATCGAGGTCGGCAATAATTGGCTCAACAATCATGATGGCGTCCGAAAGGAGGTCCAAATCAGGTCGCCGGATCTCTGCGAAATCTGCCAACGCATTTAGTGCGTGTGGGCGATACGCCACGTTATTTCGCTTGGCTTCTCTGAGAATAATCACCTGGCAAACATGGTTAGTAGCCGGCCGCTCCGCAAGTCTAATCGCCAGACTATTGAATAGGGCTGCAGGAAACTAATCTGTCTTGTGCTTACTTTCATTTGTTGGCTGACGTCTCCCCTGGATTGCCAAAAGGTCCGCGAGTTTTCCACGAATTTGACAAAAGCTTTCAAAACCTTCTCCTTACCGTCCCACGTTTTCCCATTCACGGCCTTTTCTAGAATCGGCCAGACGATTTCTGCTGTTGATTGATCGAGGGATTTCCCGAGACTGATGACCACGTCAGCTGTCGCAAGGCAGGCACTGTGTTTAATGGTCCAATTGGACGATTCTAGCCGCTCGGATATAATTGCTGTGATTTCTTTTAGGTACAAAGCGACTGCACGAGGTCCACCGACGTTGTCTTGCCAGGTCTTTTCGAATATCTCGCGAGTTTGTTCATCAATGTCTTGTTTGGCGACAAACACAAATGGTAGGGCTGCCGTAGCGAAGTTTGCAAACCTATCACTTGACAGCTTCGACATGGAATGTAGAATTTCTCCGGCGACTGTCCGCTGAGAAGTCTCCTCCGAATTGAAATATAGTGATTTGGTGAAAGCAATGGTCTCTAGCACGCGCTCGTCACTTGCCAATCGGATCATATATCCGATAGAGGCACTGTACGAAACACTGACTGTCTCGTTGCGGTCAAGAACGTGCTTAGTCAATAGTTGTATAAATCTGTCGGCATAAGGACCAAACAGGAGTTGCTTTCCGCTTAGGAGAGCTAGGACTCTGCTACACCCGACCTTCGAGGGCAAGCCCACAGCAGTGCGTAGAACTACCTCTAATCTGGCGGCAACCTCTTTCATAGCAGTTTCATCCAGACCGTCTAGAAGATATCGTTCAATGCTTTCCATCATCGGGGACATTCGAATACTCGATAGACGCATTTTATCAATCTCCTGTCCGGTAAGTCCGTATTTGTCTGCATTCAGATGGACGTAGTTCACCGCCTGAGGTTCAAGAGAACTTAGGGAAGATAGGAACTTCTCCAATATATGAGCCATGAATGGACGTAGAAGACCACTTGGACTCTTCTTGATGATCTGTACCAATGTCGATATCGCATAACCTTGTACCTCTTGTGCACTTGACTCCATACCGTCTTGACCTAGAAGGAATGGGATGATATGTCCTAGCATAGTCTTTGCTCGTTTCGAGTCTGTATCTCCGACTTCGAGGGTGCGAATCAAGATATTCGTAATGACTTGGCAAAGCCGCAAAGCTGCTGTACGTACAGACTCCTTGATGTCATCCATGACCTTGAAGGCTTTGCTTAGAATCTCATTGAGATACTTGTCGTACTTTTCAATCGAGCGTCCTTGTAACAGATCTGCAATAGCAGCACAGCTAGCTTGACGAACTCGCCACTCTCTTCCCGCGATGATACTGGACAACAAATCATCCATGATTGCATCGAATTGGATATCTAGCAGAGCTGTAGAATCCTTGACAAGCGCTTGCCAAATGTCGTTCATTGACCTTTGCACATTCGGATTTGGGTCAAATCGGTACCGATACAACTTGGGATAAATCTTCGGGTTTCTAGCAAGATATCCGCTCACACTCGAGTCCGACAAGACATTACTGAGGCCAAACCTGCCAAATGCTGCTCGGCTTGACCAGATTGCATTGTTTGACGCCAAGGACATGAATCGATAAACGAGACTTGGGTCACCAACTTCAGATGCCAGATTCATGATGTCCTTGTACGTAGTGACTGATTTCCCTTCACCAGTCGGAAGAGCACCGGGCTCGAAAAGCTCCGTGTCGCCTGTAACTTTGCCTCCCATGTTGGCACCATTGCCAGTGAAAGAGCCAACCAGATCGCGCACGAGATCGTCTCGCAAATCCTGGTCACCCATTTCATACACCAGACTCAATCCTCTCGAGCCTGTTTCTTGTACAACCTCATCCCGATCAGCCAGGAGACCAGCGAACGCAGCCTGGAATGCCCGAAGCCGTTGTTGCACTCCTTCAAGCTCTCCGCAATCTTTAACGAGACAGAGCGCCCAGATAGCGGATGCCTTTCGTAGCGAAGGCTTGGAAGCCTTGCAATCTGTGATTAGCTTATCAGCCAGCTCTGAAAGGATAGTTGCTGGGATCTTTGCATCCAATGGAGTCTCGTCCACGTCAAATTCACCGATCAATGACTTTGATGCCCATCCTGCAGCAGCAGTACTCAAAGACTCTCCGACTGGGAACTGGACTTCTGGTTTGCGAATTTCATGCAATCCATGCAGCGATGTCATGATTTCATTAAACGCCGCTTGATCTTCACCCCCATCACGTAGCACAACCAATGACAACTGACCTAATGCGTGAATTGCATTTTCCTGCTCTTTCTTAGCCTGTTCTTCAAGCTTAGACTGGATAGTCTTCCAACTACCAGCCTCGGATAATTTGCCGTAATTGAGTACTTGTGCGAGCGCTAGTTGGCCAATAGTCACTTGCACAGCCTCAGAAAGTTGTGAGTCTCTTGATTGATCCAGTATCACAATGACGAGCGCGATATATTGTTCGATTTGTGCTTCAGGAATGACACTCAATCTTCTACGATATGCCAATCGACTAAGCAGATACGATGCAGCAAGAACAGCTCCTCGGACTTTATTGGCTGCTTCACCGACAGCACCTTTCCATCCTGTGCTTGTATTGAATAATTCAGAGAATACATGTTGACAATCGGTCTCGGTGACGGATGTATGAGAAGCGAGAATCCCAAAACTCCTTGCCGCAATGCGCTGAAGTACATGATCGTTAGTCGAGTAGATTCGCTCTAGAATTGATGGAGCTTTGGATGTAACTGTTGCTATGTCTTGGTTCGAAGTCAATGAGCCGATGTCAAGAAAGTCTCGACCGCAGTCGCTGCTTTGGAGTCCGGTTGATCGAATGACACCGGTTAGAGCACTATTCAGCCATGTCGTCATCACCGAATTAGATTGTTGAGAGATAATATCCCTAACGCCGTGTCTCATTTGCGCGTCGGATCGAAGGAGGGTCTCGAGTTTATACTCCCATTCTTGGTCTATGTCAATAGGTGCTTGCGTCTTTGATAATGCTTCCCAGACTAGTAGATTTTTGCAGAAGCGAACTGCTGGTGCAATAACACCGCGTGAATCGCTTTTTGATGGGTCTGAATCACCTAGTTTCACCAGCAATTGTGCTGCTTGCTGAAAGCTGGGGAACTTGTATTGTGGTAAATCCTCCAACTTTGTTGAAGATGGTGCACCCCTGACAGGGTTGAGCATTCGATACCAGTACGGATGGAGACCCTTCTTTCCTTCTTCAATGACCTCTCTTGTTGCTTGTGACGTATTAGCAATAGCAAGAAGATCGATCCATCGAGCAGTGAGGTCCCAATAGGGTAGACACCGATTGGCATATCGTACAGCAGTATAGTGCGTACTGCGAACGATAGGGTAACCAGTCAACGAAGAATCCGTGCCGGGTTGGCTCTGCATCTGGAATTCGAGAAAGTTTCCAAGCTCAGACTGTACGCCTTCAGGAAGGTTTCCGGTGCAAGAATTCAGAATACTGCCCAATGCTTGCTCTATGCTAACGTATATCTCTGCAGCCGAGGCGTCCGAAGCAAGTGAGCTAAAGAGCCATCGTAGAAGATCCATATCAATGTAGTCTACGCCGCCACCTGACACAATTTTTGGAGACAACACGCCGATACTTTCATATGCCAATCCTCGTAGACCGACATCCGTCTGAGACAATCTTTGACCACTAGCACCTGGATCTGGCCACCCCTGCGACTCGACAAATTGACGTAATCCAACAACAGCATTTGGCGCAATAACCTTCAAATCAGACGGCGCGCCCATACGAACAACCCAGGTGATGAACATGAAAATCTGAGACCTTAGCTTGGAGGCCTGCAGACCCTGCGCAGATTGGGCAATAGACGAAAACAAGCCTTCGTCGAGTAGCTTGCTAATCTCGCCGGTGTATGTGGTTGCTTTCACGGATTTACCAAGAAAGCTCAGGATCTTGACCTGAAGCGGGATACGTGCAGAAAGAGCCGCATCGCTTCCTGTAGTTCCGAAGTAGAGCTTATACAACTGTTCAACAACCTCAGCATCTTCGAGGTCGGGGTTGAATCGCTTCAGAATATCGTCGCCAATGTCTGAGAGGCGAGAGTTAGAGTCAGCGGAGAGTATGACAGCTGGTAAAAATCGATCTGAATTGTCGAAAGCGCCGCTCGCAAGGAACTTTGCGACGAAATATTTCGTCTCTGTCAGATTCAGCCCGCCTTGCACAGTAGGATTCCAAGTTTCTTCGTAAGTGGCCGATTTGTTGAGAAATGTGTACTCTGACGGAGACAGCCCGGGACATGTACGAGCGTCTTTCGCTGCTTGCGACAGAAGCAGCAATTTTCCCAACCAAAAGGCCAAAGATCGCGTATCTGCCTTTGAAAGAGAAAGCTTCTCGCCCAATTTCTGATCCTCGGGACTATCCTTTGGCGGCAGCCGTAACAAAGGCAACAACCTCAAAATCAGATTAAACACACTCGCTGTCTGGGCGGATGTAACATCAAGCTCAGCAATACCCTGCAACGCAGCAGGTAACAGCTCTACTCGTGCCGACGCATCAAGTCGATCGATTCCCTGCTGAATATAAATCAGATCAAAATGTCTGATTAACTGCGAGCTCTGTTCCTTGAACTGCTTCAACAGCGCGGTAACGGGTAGCTGTATTGATTGCGGCTTTATCCTCAAATTGATATGTTGACAGATTGCGATGACCTTGTTGCGCACGGCTAGATGCTCTGATGCTAGTTTTAGGAGTAAGGGGGCTAGATATGTCTGGAGCAGCTTTTGGAGCTTCTCGTCTGAGTCGGCCAGGGCAATTCGGAGCTCCACTTTGGAGACCAAGCTGAGCTCGCGAGCTTCAGGGCTCTCGCCTGAGGACATTATGAGCTGTGGGATGTTTCGGAGAGACTCATGGATGTTTCGAGTTTATCGTGATGAGATTACCATGTGCAGACCTGACCTCGAGCTATGTATGTATCTGTTGTTTATACGCCACAGCCAGGCAGCGGAATTGGATGATTGTAAATCATTGACCGCTTCTGGAGCCCGCCAAATGGAAGTATGTAGAAGTTCACGTGACTTGTACAGTCGGCTCTTTGACAATGCTTTTTCAAGAAAAGAAAAGAAAATTAAAGAAGAAAAGTTAATTTGTCTTGTGTACTATTCAATTAGTGTATTTCATTGATACTTATTGTGTTCCAAGGTCGTCGCTCTCTAGATTACCGAATCGTACATCATCTCTATAACATAATTCATAACCAAGTTCGTCAAACATCTCCAATCAAATATACACTGGATCCTGTCGCCGTTTCTCGGCCGCCTCTCCTCTCAAGAAACGATCAACTTCCCGCACGGCGTCATCGTTCTGACTGGGTGAAGTTCTTCTCTGTCCATCGCCAAAAAGACACTGCCAAAGATCATCTTTACCAACTAGCTCGCCTCCCGAAACGCCTGAAGCCAGCAATTTGCCCAAAGTAGCATCTTGCATTTCAAGAGAATTAGCCGAGTCGATCGCTGTTTCGGTAAGATTTTCTATAGTGGTTCCGTTTTTGAGTCCAGGACTTGGTGAGTGCAGGACTTTTTGCTTTTCCATCTCCTTTTCCTTTTGTACGATGTGGCTCAGTCTCCGAGAGACGGAAATTTGGTAGATTGATTCCTCGACCGTGTCGGAGACGAGATACATCCATACTGTCGTTGGGCGATGTTGACCGATACGATGCACACGAGCTATGGCTTGTAGCTCGATTGCAGTGTTGATCAAGGGCTCGCAGAGGAAGACATGGGTCGCATTGACAAGATTTAGCCCAGACGAATGAGCTCGAGCATGCAAAAGGAAGCCTTCAGCCTGCAGTATTCATTAGCCATTAATCATTCAATATAATCGCCATATAGAACATACCGCCGGATCCTCTTTAAACCTCTGGATCCCATCCTTGGCCTCCACACTACTGTATCCTATCCCGAACCGAGAAAAAGCATTGGCCAAAACTCCAAGAAAGTCTTTGTATTGAGAAAACACAATCGACTTGGCTCCAGGATCATGCTCCCGTAGCCACATCAGATGTCGAGACAACGTATCGATCTTTGTGCCGAAAGAAGTCGGAAGATCAATGTCCTTGATCTCTTGCAAAATGCCAGTGCTAATGTCTGAGTATATGCCATTCTGCGAGGGTCGCTCATGTTCAATCTTTGTAGGAGTTCTTTCCTCTCGTGCAAGCAGCTCTTTTGGCTTGTATGTGATTTGATGGAAATCGTTTGCCTTGAGCTTCTTCTTGCATGCTGGACATGTCCGGTGTTGATGCCACCAGATGCGTAAACAGTCCTTGCAATACTTGTGACCACAGACAGTCAAAACGCCTAGGAATGTTAACATTGATACTTGGACACTGTGCGTGTGAAAGTAACTTACCAACTTCAAACGTGCATTGACAAATAATACACTGTCGTGTACTCTCATCTGGCTCCGACTCATCTCGTAAATGAATCAAATACCGTCGCTTAGATTGCAGACTATCCAGTTTCTGCTGCATCTTATTCTCGGCTTCGAGTTTCGAATCGTAGGCTGCCTGGTCAACAGGCTTGCCCACGCTTTCTTCGTCGTATGGTGCGACAGTGTCCGAAATTTGTTGCAATTGTCTATAGTATTCCAATCTGTTATTCATAGTGTCTCGGAACAATTCAACTTCCTTGTCCAAGGCTGTGATGACTTTTGCTTGCTCTGCTGATATCTTACTCACGCGCTCAAGAGCTTCGTTGACAATAACAGCTTCAGCTCGAGCTCGTGTACTCCCTTCATTGGCTTGCCATTCCAATGACGTAGTTAGGGTGCGCATATCGCTGATGATCCCTCGTAGCGATCCAAGATCGGCTTTTGGCTTCAGCTTTTTACGGGTTTCCATAATCTTGAGGTATAATTCAGGAGATGGGCCCTTTTCCTCATGTGCCTCGGCTGTTCCGACCTCGACTTCATGTTTAATCAAGAAATTCGTTTGACCAGTAAGAGCATCATGACGATCGGCGTACATTACACGAAGGCCTTCCATGTAGACGTACATTTCATCTTGATGTTTGGTTGATGTCTCGTACTCATTACCTTCGAGCTCACTGGTTTTCTCTTCGTCAATAAGCGACTGTCGAAGCAATTTGATCATTGCGTCCCTCCACTCGTTGAATTGCTCGCGGTTTTCATTCATAGCGTCACAGAAATCCTCCAGTCGTTCGAATAACCGGCGCGCCTCAATTCCCAATGTCGGAAGTTGAGCTTTCAACACAGGGATTTTGACAAATGAATTATTGTTTGCTTTATCATCAAGAACTTTGATGTACCTTCTGACCTTTCGCGCGACGTCTTTGAGTAGCTCCTTTCGGATCAGCTTTGCTTCATCGTAGGCTTCTCCTTCGGCTTTCTCTAGGGCCTTGAACTCTTCCGAGTTAGGCTTCGTCATCTTCTCATCGGTCTTGATTTGATAGAAAGCATTGGCGGTGAAGAACTTGCAAACATGCTGTACTTCCAAAGCTGCTCGAAGACGTGCTTTACATGCTCCGATGCGACTTGTCTTTCCTGACTGATCGGCTTCATCCTTTCCACTTTCGACGTCCGAGTCTTGATCTGAAGCGTCCCCGCCGCTACTTTTGGATTTTACAATTTCAGCTTCCAGTTGCTCCCTACAGTCACTGACCATCTGGGTTGCGCGCACCAATCCTTTTTGCCATATCTCTAGAGCCTCTCGCCGCTGAAGGGCGTTCTCAAGTAATTGACCACGACGAGCTTGCGAGAGAAGCAACATACGTTCTTCGGCGCGGATGGAGGTCTCGTTCTGATCGATCATTACCTCAAGTACCTCATCTACAGACCTTAATGGCCCGTTCCTGATACCTAGCGCTTTACGGTTTCGGTGAGCAACTTCAGGATGTAGACATGTCTGACGAAGCCTAGTAAGCCAGCCTCGCATCTTCTCTATCGAGGCCTGGGATTCAGGATTCCAATCCTGATTAAGAGGAGCACCAGTAGAATCGACACCACAGGCCTCGCACATCTGTTCGAATAATTGACCATAATGCTGCTCCTCAATCGCAGTAAACGGAATGGTTATAACGACCCTCTTCTGTGGTGGCAATTTCATTTCATCCCTGATGAAGTGCTTACTATGTCGAAGTGATAGTCTCTTGACGATTGACTTGAAAGCTGGGTAATAGGCGCTGTAAAGTCTGCTCCAGAGATCAATCGAGCCGCAAAATGGCTCATATCTCAAGAACTGCAATAGTCCAAAAAAGTCTCTCATGTCTTTGCGGATAGGTGTTCCCGTTACAGCCCAAGCATTCACTCGTGGAATAAGACGGGCGACTTGAGCCGCGTTGCTGACGCCGCTTTCAATCATTTGAGCCTCATCAAGACAGACACGCCACCAAAAAATGCGTACAAGCGGCGATTTTGGGGCTGTGAATCGCTTTTCATTGCGCATATTCCGCTGCGGCGGGTCGGTCGCAAAATGAACCTCTTTCGCGAGGACATTATATGTGGTCAAAACCACATCGGTATCCCTGAATATATCCAGAAGCTCTTCTTGAGACATTTTAGAGTTAGCTTGATAGCCCTTGTAATCGAAGACTTTAAGCGAAGGCGCGTGGTTTTGCAGCTCCTGCTTCCACTGTTCAAGGATTGCAGGTGGCGTGATGATGAGAGTTGCGCGCGAATTGACAAGAGATTCATGTGCATCATCATCAGCCATGGCACGCTGATGGAGAGATATCAATGTAATCATCTCAACTGTTTTCCCGAGACCCATCTCCTCAGCAAGAATGCCGCCTCTCAGGTTTCTATTCGAATCGTACCAGGGAGACATGTCGGTCGTCACAACCCTGTAGAGTTGGCTGGAAAAACAACGGCGGCCATCCACATCTGTAAATTCTTGAAAAGACTCCGGTAGGCCCGCTACTTCCTTTCTCCTTGGAACTACATTCCCATATTTATCTAGCTCCACGTGTTCCTTCTCCAACAACCACCGTACCGCCCGATTCTGAAACGGAAAGAGCTTGCATTCGACCAGAGGACATTTTATCTCACTAGATGCCGCTGGGGTATTCGCTGGAACATGAACATTATCATAAAAGTCCCGAGGCGTCCATTGGACATGTCTCTTGTTGAACTGGTCTGTCGTTTGCTGGTACAAACCTTCTCCAGACGGTGTATATTGAACAAAAGCTATTCCCGGAGGACCCTTGACTTTGGCATTTGCTGGGATGAACAAAGTATCTTTCCAAAGGACATCGACGTACAGATGAAACGAGCGGGAATCTTGACAAGAGAGGCGAGCCCGGTAGCTGAAGAGGGAACGATCCCCATTAGGAGTGTCTATCGAGGTGGCGCAAGTTGCCAGCGACAAATGCGAAACGAGATTTCCAACATCCCCTCCAAACAACTGAAACGAAGAAGTTTGTTTTTTGTTTTTTGTCCGTATATCCAGCCAGTGCTCGTTCGTATTGTTGTCAGATGTGGGGCGATCGGACGGTTTGAGGTCAGATGAAGATAACATGCGCTTCTCGTTTCGATACTTCAAAAGAACGGGCAGGTCATAGGACGGGGGCAGTGAATGTTGAAGACTTTGCTCTGATAAATTCTGATAAAATGATTAGTTTAGCCCTCTACGTCAGATTGATGCGCGCTTGTGTGCCAACTTGCGATAAAACAACTTACCAAGTCGATAGTAATTCGACAAAGAACAACATATTCCTTTCGATGAGGCGTATCTGCTACCTGGACCAAATCTGCAGTCGAGTCATCATCTAATTTGCGACGCTTGTTCGGCCGTTCATCGTTTGGTGAGATCTGCGATGCAATGAAACTTTCTATCGACTGCGCAATAGAGTCTGTAACGGTTAGCTTGAATCGACTCATTTTCAATCAACGATCTAGTGTACCTGTGATGTTCTGCCTGTACGTAACGACAGTCATGGCTACACCTACCCCAGCCAGCTGATGAGTAAAAGAAAGCAACGCGATGAAAGAGGCAAAGAAATGAAAAGAAAAGAGAAAGAGAAATAATCAAAGCATGGGCCGAATATGGTTGTAATTATGCACGTGACTTGCTTATCGGACTCCACTGTGGGGATTAAGTAAGCTTCTGGTGGGTCCCCGATAACCCAATGTTATCTTATTGTGAAATCTATATACGAGGCACAATGAAAAGAGTAGCGAACATCAAATTTCTGCAATATTAAATGATAGTCATAGAAATAACTAGTTCGGACCTCGTCCCAGAATGCTCCTAATACTAGGCCGTCCTCCAGCAGAGAACCAACTATTCTGAGCTGTCGATGACAAGGGCTGCGAGTCACTACTAGGCGTCACAACAGTGCCATTGATTGCTTGCACATAGGTGCTATACGTTGTCCCAGCAGAGGTCTCCGTAAAATCTTGAGTAGTCTCTCCAGAGGAGTAAGAGCCTGTCGTATTCCCATAATAATGCGCCTCGCCCCATTGGTGGGTCTGCACATCGATCGGCCCTGAAGTAAGCGTGTAAGTAGATATGCCGAGGCCTCCGGTGGATGATATTGACAATCCACGATCCATAATGGCGTCGATAGCCGTAGAGTTTGCTGTCAGGGCATAGGTGGTATTCACATCGATCGGATAGCTGAATGTGGTTGAGTATTCTTCCAACTTTCCGTCGAGGCCGAAGCCTTTAGCAATTGATACTCCAGTAGTTTTCTGGATATTTCTCTGGCTCAAACCGTCTTGGTTGAGATATCCGTCGTTATAAAATGACAGTTCTTGGGTCCATGAACTTGACCCCGACGTGATTATGAGGTTTCGGTGTGCAGAAACCGAATATGAAAGGGTCTCGTTTGTAGTCGAATTCGCAACCAGATTTCGTGAAAAACTGAACTGCGGTTCCGGAGCATTGATAGTCGGTGGCACGCCAGTCGGCTTGATAGTATTTTCCCCGCTATCATTAAGGTAAATGAAGACTTTACCCGTAACTATCCAATATGAATTAACAGTTTGGGTCAGACTTATGTCGTCACTGCTTGGGGTATCAAGACCAGCAACTTTGATCTCGAAGGAGTGTGCTTTGCCATCGAGCAGAAGTGGAAGAAAAGGCGAGATATCAATTTCTGGTTCCCGCAGGTCAAATGCATCAATTCCGACGATCGGCCGCCAGAAGCCGGGTGCGACACCTCCAGTAAAAATGATTGGGAATGGCCACACAACTCCAGCAAGTAATCCATCAATATAAAGCTGGACCTCACGGAAGGGGGAATAGCCGTAAAGTACGCCAATAGTCGAGTCAAAGTCGTCTGTGTCCTCGTTCAAAACAGCCGACCACCAGAATTCCTCCTCTGATTGACCACAGGCTGAGATAGAAACCACCGCTCTTTGCGCATTGCTAGGAAAGGTTAGATCAACAGTAGCGTTATCAGAAGGGACATTAAAAGCACTGGCAGCATCATCCACGGATTTGTGAGCCGAGATTGGGAAGATTAAATCCGCCGTTCGTACGTTATTCTCCTTGGTAAAGGATGCCGTCAAAGTAGTATTGAATGATCCCGTGTACGTGCTGTCAATCAGGTTGCCGAGGTCAAATATGATTTTTTGAGGAGTTTTCCACAATGTCAAATACTGCGACATTTCTTTGATATAGGTCCACGCAATCCCGTTGGTGGTCGGCTCTGCTGTGGATGTCCTGAAGACTTCTGTATCGTTCAGGTACATCAACGCCAATCGATCAAACTGCCGTCCTCGTGACGTGACCGTAAAATTGATCCTGACAGTGTCAAAGTCGCAATCAGGTGGTGTAAAATTTCCTATAACCATCATATAAGATAGATGTATCGAAAACAACTCGATAAATTACTAACCAACAAATGGCTGTCCATAGCTATACCCAAAAGAATATTCCATCAACAAAATGACCTGGTCACATCCTTGACTCGGAGGGTCAAATTCGACAGGTTTGTATACTTCGAAGTCAATTAAAACCGAGCTCGAGTTCGTGGTAGAAGCCTGTCGGCGCAAAACATTATTTGCATAGTCATTGTAAGCAGCCACGAAGGAGTACAACCCGAACAGGCTCAAGCAAAGAGCGCCTGAGGTCTTCATGATGTCGGATGTATTAGATGCAGATCTGTGACTTTTCTCGCTGGAAGGGAAAGTAACATCGCCTTTGCACTCTTTCGCGGACACAAGGTCGGATTTTATAGTGTCATAAGGCGAAATAGTGGGTGATTGACGCGTCCTTTGATACCATGCGATTAACCTGCAAATGGCCCACACAGGGATCAGGAAGATAACCAGGATCGCTAAGTACGAGTCAATGTGACCAAACTCCATCGAGAAGGTGTGTAACGAAACTGCAGATTAGCGTTGGCTTTAAATTGTGTAGCAACCAAGCAATCATTAATTGTGGAGATTGTTGACATCGATTGCCCCTGCCCCTGTTTGGTTACTCAACGGTCGATTCGATAAATTGTGTAAATGGGCTTGCAAATTTCGGCATCTTGTTTCCTTCTCAGACAGCACAGGCTAATAAACCATGTCCAAAGGCACCGACTTGGTTGGTGGACAATGATTCCAAATGGAGAGATCAGCACTCTTGCGGGATGTTTATTAGGCTAGTCAAGCCGTCGTGTACGGTGGACTGCAACTATATCAAGAGCAGATTCGTAATTCATCTGTATTAATACGTTATCTTGGGGATTCCTCCATAGACTTACAATTCTGTTACTTGAAAGATTACCGTTATCTTCTCTATGTCTATTTACATATATGTTGGTCGCCGTATAACAGAGCATTCAAGCTTTATTGAGGTTACAATCGAAAGAGGAGGCGCTCCACAGACCCTTGCCATTTTAGGGCTAGATATTAGAAGCGCATACAATGCTCAGATTGCAAAAGATATAAGATAGACCACCAAGCTATCATCAAGTACATGAATTTACAAGTGGATAGTACTACAATGATGAAAAGACTCGAAGTATATTTCTATCACAAACAACGAGCGTTATCATCACACAGAGGAGGTATTCAAATGAGGTAAATGAGCTACTTGTGTTGTGTTCTGGGTGCTAGCTGTCTAGCTACTCAACCATAAAAATCTCTGGTTTCGCGACGTATAGCTCATCCAGACTTTTAATTTCCTCATCTGTTAGCAGCTCATTCGAAGCCAATGTAACAGCCTCTGCGGCCTCATCTACTCTGTCAACACTTGCCAAGCCGACAATAGGATTGACTCCCTTCTTCAAAGACCACACGATAGCAATTTGAGCCATACTACAGTGCTTTTCTCCTGCCAGCTCCTCCACACGTTTGATAATTTTAGTGTCTGCTTCTGTCACTTTGCCGACTAAAAGTTGTGAGTACACGTCGCTCGTCTGACGAACTGTGGGCTGCTCTTGCGTCACCTTGTATGGGCGAGCAAGGAGACCACGAGCCAGAGGAGACCAGGGAATAATGCCAATACCAGCATCACGGCAATATGCATGCATCTCACGCTCTTCTTCCCGGTATAACATAGAATGGTAGTCCTGCATGCTGATGAATTTGTGCCATCCATGCTTGTCGGCAATGTTGTTGAGAGCTTGGAATTCCCAGGCGTGCATCTAGAGAAAGTAAAGGTTAGCTCTGGCTATTGATTTTAAAAACATGACAAAAATGAGGTACATACCGAACTTGCGCCGATGTAACGTACTTTTCCACTCTCCACAATGTCATTGAGTGCTTTCATGATCTCTTCACGGGGCGTGTTGCGGTCAAGTCGATGTATCTGCAATACATCGATATACGTACCCAGTCTCTCGACACTAGCGTCCACTGCATCGAAGATATGCTTGCGAGATAGTCCAATCCGATTGACCATGATGCCATCGTTAACTGCTAGCATACGGAGTTTCTCCTCATCTGAGCGGCCAACGAAATCTGCGAGCTCAGGGATGCCACCATAACATTTTGTCAAAATAACAACCTTTCCACGTGCTACGTTATAATGCTTCAGTGCTTTGCCAATGATGCGTTCCGATTCGCCAAACGAGTATACATCGGACTGTACGAAGGTAATTAGAAACGCATGCACTCTTGACAAGAAAGAGTGAGGGAACTTACTGTATCCCAGGTATTGATACCTAGGTCTAAGGCATGCTTGAGGATCGGTAATGCCTGCTCTTCTGGGATGGCCCATTGCATATGATCTGAGGAACCAAGTGACATGGCGCCGAAGACCACTTTGGAAATTTTCAGGCCAGACCGGCCAAGTCTTGTCATGGAGTCAGTAAATTCAAGCTCCCATATACAGTTAACATGCTTCTAACCGAGTGTATTCCATCATTTTGCGCGTGATGCTTCACTTATAGTGCAATCAATTAAGGTCGATGTGAATGGGAAAGTTTTTGGTGAAGAAAGAGTCTTGCTCTTTATCCATATCTGGACTTTTCCTCCTTGATGGGGTCCCATGTTTCCCTATATATAGATTCTCGGATTACCAAATTTTCCAATTAACATAGGTACATATTGGGATATGTCCTCGATGAGGTGAGCATTGCTTCGTTGAGCATGTGGTTTACTCTTACAACCCTAACGAATAACCTCGTTGATTGGTTGGCAGACCGGGTGGACCCAATTGCTCACATCAGCAATTCTGACTGCGAGTAGACGAACAAAGTAGACGTTTCGTACGAAACGATATTTGACAGGGTGTTCAATGAGCAGTTTCATTCGGCGACAATAGAATAAGAGAACCTTTCTCACCATGGAGCTACTAATCGATCGCCTCTCATCTCATGCCACCATCGGGTCTGTTGGAAAAGCTCGCCCTGCGATCCGCCAATGAAGAACCACCACTTTCTGAGAAACCATGGCTGTGCTTCCCAGCTGCGGAAATCCCACGGTGCGCCAGATCCAGTGGCACAGTTCCCGTCTCCGAGATATGATCCCCAGCAGATCAGCCCGCCCTTTTCAAGGTCGTCACATAATTCCTCTTCGTCAAGTATAGGTGACTCCAAGGAACAAGCTTCGATAATTCGTTCTCGGAGGGTTGGAAAAGGCAGCCCATCGAGATATGGATGATGGCGGTGTCGAATCTGTGCTATAGTTGGTCGGAGGTGTGGAGCCACGTCGTCAAATTTTTCTTTAGTGATGACCATCCCAGCGACATCCTTCGAAAGAGGACCCCGGTAAAATGGGGATTCCGTCTCAGGGTTGCTGAGCATGCTAAAAGTGAGACCCAAAGATTCAATGCTAGCTCGGAGAGCAGCAATTGTAGTAAACTGTTTTAAGCGAAGATTATTGGCATAGACGTTAGGCAAAGCATGTACATGAATGCGCGTCCTGTTTTCAGGAACGAGTATTCTGTCCGTACGAAGGGGGACATTTAGCTCGTCTATCAAAACCGTTGCATTATTCAACGGACGGTGTGGTCGTCGAATAGAAGCATGGCGCATTCCAGCTCGAAAGATTTCTGAAACGGAGATTTCCCCAGACATGATTTGATTGTACGCAGTCTCGTCAACGTTATCGATCTCCCGCATCAACTGACTAAATACTCGTTCTCTTAGCGGCAAGTCCAAAGACTTCACGGACTGAGCCTGTATCAGCGAGCTGTTACTTTGATTTATTGGAGACTGGCCCGTCTGTAGGGTTCCACTGGTAACTGAATTGCCTGCTCTTGAAGAGGAATCTGATGCAAGCGAAGGAGATGTTGAGTGTGAACGCGCGTGAGGCGTTGCTTGGCTCGCTAGCCCACAACCTAGTAAAGTTGCAGTCGACGCAGAGTCATTAAGAACCGGGTTTTCTACACATGGATCCTGGGCGTCGAGCAATCTTTCCAAGGCTTGCATCCGCTTTTTTTGCCTTTCTCCTGTCTATCGGTCAGCCAGACAGCCTTGATGGGGAATAGTAGCTCGAACTAACGGTAACCCTTTTGAGCTATTCTGTTTTGCTGCTTCCTCCGATCCGAAGCCGGTTTCTTAGGGCGTGCATCAGGCATGGTAGTTGAGCAGTTGTTACTATGTTTAGACGAGGATGGTAATTCAAGCAACGATCATAGATGAATTACTATGTACAACGGGGTGATGAAAAGTCCATCATTCTGACCCACTTGTTCACCTATGATTGGTGAGTTTATCTAATGGGCTCCTTCCTAAATAAGAGAGAATTTTGGGCAGGATGCCACCTTTCCTGTGTACATGGTACCTGTATGTTATGCTCAACTGTGCTCATTGCTCACTACCCAGTCGCTGTGTCTGCACGATAGGCAAGACACCGTGGAATCTTTGCATCGATGGAATCGCACAGCTTAGCTTGTTGGGTGACAACGCATCAAGTGGCCCTACCTGCATTAGGCCAGAGATAGTGTTAAGATTTACTTCAGCAGGATCGCTTATAACGTCAGACTACCACCCCAGTATATTTATCTATGGTTCCTTGATCGAATAACAAATTCATGACATTCATAAAAGTCCTGGGGATCCCCAGCTTCGAAGCGACCGCCCATCTACCCAATCTGAGACGAAAAGACCAGATGTATGTGTATCTACATGAACATTTTGGCAACTGTCATCAGCCCATTGATGCTATCTCCAAGTCCAGCGCCGCCAATACCGCCGCCACCCAATCCGCTCACGGTGCCGCGACGGCTTATCTGCTCGAATTCGCGATTTCCCACGAGGCCGCTCGGTAGCCGCAGACCAACCATGGCCAACAGCTTCTGCAAAACGCCTCCCGTGATCAAGGGCACAATGACGAATAGGAAGACTTTGATGGGGTTACGACGACCATAGCTCCAGATATCTCGTAACAGACGCTTGATGCGGCGGATCATGCGCTCAATGAAGCCGGATCGAGGACGGACACCCTTTCGTGAATTGGACGAGGTGGAGAAGAATGAGCTGGTCGATCTGTTCTTGCTACCACCTCCAAGACTGAATATTGATGGCGCCGAGTGTCTGGAATGGCGCGACGAGTAGACGGAATTCGAGCGATGAGGAGATCGTTTGCGTACCCAGCCGCTCCCCGAGACAGAAGAACTGCCATCGAACCAACCCATATTTGCGATTGTAGTGCGCTTGTTGATAATCTCCGATTAAGTGGCCGCTATCGATTTGGGAAGCTCTGGTCAATTCAATGGATTGATCCACAATAAGCTCCTATCCGTACCAAGGACTGACTGTGGTTCTATCGCGGCTCTCTTGATGGACACACTTGATGAGAATGTCCAGATGACCCGCTATCAAGCATCAAACGACAGTTGAGATCGAATGATGTTTGAGATAATGCATAGAACCAGTCCATCTGGCGGAGAAAGTAATTCATGCAAGTAAGACAGAGCTGTGAACAATTGTAATGAGGTGGCTGGGACACACAGTCATTGGACATTTCTTATTGGTTGTCTTCAATTTAGCCTGCCAGGGGCGCGAAGGTCAAAACTCGGTCACGTGGATGATATAGAAATGTGGCTTTACATGTGGCGCAGTAACATGTGATAGACAGCGACGTCATCTCAGGAAAGCAATTAAGGAACCCCCCGCTGATTATTCGCTGTCTTTAAAAAAGAATCATCGTTTTCTCAAGTTTTACTTTCCACAGATAATTCAAGTTTAAACCAGTCCGTCGCCATGGCAGGTAAGTACCCCTAAGGGAAGTGACCTAGATTCTCACGCCTTTACTCACATTTCGTTCTAGGCCAACCAGATTATTGTAAGTGCAGTCTCGCGAGGCTGACGATGATTGGACTCACACGTAACAGACAAAGTCTTGGGGGTCTCCCCTACTGCGACGCAGCAAGAGATCCGAACTGCATACAAGAGGTGCGCATCATACATGCGGTTAACCTCTCTGGATCTTGGAGTGATAGGCATACTAACGCTCAGATACTTTCAGGGCTTCTCTGCGAACCCATCCTGACCGGGTATCCGTCGACGCTCCCGACAGGGCTTCCCGGACGAAAGAATTCCAAAGAGTGAATGACGCCTACTATACACTATCCGACCCAGAGCGTAAACGGGACTATGATGCAGCCCGAAGAAGCTATTTCGGCGACGACCGTAGCGAGAGTGCCGACGAAGACATACCCCGTGGCGGCGCTGGTGGGTTCCCATGGTCTTCATTTGATTTTAGTGGCTCCGAGCGAGAACGAGAGGGACGTGACTCGAATCAGTTCGGTTCGATATTTGAAGAAATGCTTCGTGAAGAAGGGCTCGCCAGTGATGAGACCGATACGAACGGGCAAAGGAGAGCTGTGCCCACGAAGAAGTTCTGGTCGATTGTTGGCGCAGTCAGTGGTGGTGCTTTGGGCTTTATAGTTGCAAATGTCCCTGGCGCGTTAGCTGGTGCTGTGGCTGGTAACAGACTAGGTGCTGTCCGAGATGCGAAAGGAAAGAGTGTTTATGATGTTTTCATTGAGCTGCCACAATCAGATCGTGCCAGACTTTTGAGCGAACTCGCGGCGAAAGTTTTTCAAACAACTTTAGGTCGTTGAAGACTGACTCTGGGCTGTTTGAAGCTTTGCGGCGAATCTAGGCCTCAGTTTTGTTGACTACGTATCAGGATGGGCTGGAGGGCATAGCAATAGTTTGGGCTTTTCATTCACGTTTCGCTTTTTGGGCGTTCACTATGGTCTCTACTGTATTATACCATCAATTCATTTAGATCAGTACCGAATGTGCGTATAAATAGCTGAAACAATCTCTTATCGTGGAGGGCGATTTAACGTTATCGATAAGCAAGACCCTGCCCCCTCACTTCACCGCTTGAATAGACCACATGGCGCGGTAGCTTTGCCCCTTGATCAAATCAACATTCAACTGCTCAATTCTCGTTTCCATTTGTACGACCTGAGAAATTACAATTGAGCATTGTTTGAATCTCGATCAGCATATATCATCCCAAGTTTCAATTCAGTCCCACAGAAAAAATGGCTACGGCCGCTGCCAGCGTTTACCCCTCCCTGGAGAATCGTCCTCTCAAGGGCACTGTTGTCCTGTTTGATGTTGACAAGACTTTGTCGCCTGCTCGGGGGGTATGTTCTTGATCACAAAATATCCCAAACTTCAGATTCTACGAATAAATTGCTAATTAGCTCCAATTGCAACAGAGCGCTTCTCCCGAAATGTTGACCTTACTGTCACAACTCCGCCATAAATGCGCCATTGGTTATGTCAGTACTTGATTCTTTCGAGGCCGTCCATTCTGTGTACAGAATATCTAATGATTATTGCAAAACCAGGTTGGCGGCTCAGACTTCTCAAAACAACAAGAACAACTCGGCTCCTCCACCGTGTCGGTCACCTCGCTATTCGACTTCTGCTTCTCCGAAAACGGGCTCAATGCCTTTCGTCTCGGAAAACCGCTCGCCAGTACCAGTTTCATCCAGTGGCTTGGAGAGGAAAAAWATCAGAATGTGGTCAATTTTCTGTTGAAGTACCTCTCTGAGGTTCGGTTGCCGAAGAAAAGGGGTACTTTCATTGAGTTCCGTACTGGGATGATTAATGTTAGTCCTATTGGAAGGAATGCTACTGTTGAGGAAAGAAACGAGTTTGAAGAGTGGGTGTTTCGTCTCGCTATGGGTTTATGCAAACTAAAAATTTTCAGATATGACCAGGTTCACAACATCAGGAAAACTCTTGTAGAGGCTCTTAAGAAGGAGTTTCCTGACTACGGTTTAACGTGAGTAGAATTGGCAACTAGACTACATAATATGCTTACATTCTATACAAGATACTCAATCGGCGGACAGATCTCATTCGACGTCTTCCCCACTGGATGGGACAAGACCTACTGTCTCCGTCACATCGAGGCAGAGAAAGAGATCACCGGGGTCGAGTATAAAGATATCCACTTCTTTGGCGACAAATGTTTCCCCGGCGGAAACGACTACGAGATTTACAGCGATCCCAGGACTATTGGTCACTCTGTCACCGACCCCGATGACACCATCAAGCAATTGAAGGAGCTGTTCCAGCTGTGAAATAACAGCCCTGAGAGGAAGTCCTCTATGCTATAGTCCCAGGTGCTCGCGAATAGTTTATCGCGACTGAAACATTGCTCCTGATTATGAGGAGAATCCTCTACTAAAAGTGCCTAAATTTAATATGACCGACCAATAAAAAATCATTTTCTGGCAAATTATTCCAAACAACACGACTGATAAGCCCGAAGTATATGTTAGACACCTTACATTGCAGGCACCAATCGTGCTCCACCAGGAAGTTGCGATCTCCACGACCTCTTTCTTTCTTCATTTCCCTAGTTCCCCTTTCTCCGAATCTCCAATTTATCTCACATCCCTGAAATTCCTTCTTGTTTCAGCTTCTCGTCCACAGTCCCTATCCACCGCCGTGCAGATTCCCACATCTTATCGCGTGACGCTACACGCTGACGTCTGACGGCATTAATCCACCTTATCCCGGCAAGGAGGGAGAACAGCTAAGCTGCTTAGGCCTTAGCCTCTTATTTCCTCCGCGAACTGCTGCTACGCATTTACCCGTTCGACTTTTACACACTCTCCACCTGTTGAACAACGCACCTCTTCATCAGTTGCTGCTCTATTCTACAGCACTAAGAAGCTCTCGATAATAGTGCAAAAGCAGTGCTTTCTTCTTGTTTCCTCTTGTTGCATTTCGCAGGGTGGAAGGCGTTGTTAGCGACACGGCTTGCTTCACTGGTTGATCGGTCACCTATATCTCTTCGTTCGCAAACGCATACGGAATACTATTCAAATTCGCGTATCGGTGACAAGGGGATGGATTCGGCGATTCAACAGTTTTCTGTGTGCGAAATCTCTTACTAGCTTTTTCCGAGGCGCTCATCCGACCAGCCTCTCGGCTCGACATCAACGAATTACTCCTCGGGGCGTACTTACGGACAACGTATCAACCAGAAAAGAACAAAAATCACAAAATGGATATTAATTCGCTACTTGCACCACAAGACTCGGCTGCGCAGTCGCGCCAGTCAAACGGTCAAGCACGCTCTAACAACAAGGGCAATGCCTCGACAACCTCGGGCCAGGCGTCGAGTACATCGCCACAAAAACCACGAAGAGGTCGCGCCGCAGGCTCGAAATATAGCTCTGGTCCATCGCCAGTCGCCCGACAAGCTCTAAAATCTCGTCTGCCCGAGCGAGCTACTGCATCCAACCCACCTGGAAACTCCACTAGCCAAGGAAATTCGTCTGGAAAAGGCAATGGATCGATGACGGCTCTAGCAGAAGCAGCAGCGCTTCAAGGTCAAAGTCAGCCTCAAAGCCAAAACCATCCCCCTCACAATCAAAAAGGTAATCAAGGTGTCTATTCGAACATGTCCATCTCGCCCATCTATCCCAATCCGAAACCAGTCAAACTTGTGCAGAATCCGCCACGTGCTCCAGAACCTCGAGAATTTGTGAAACGTAACTTTTCTCAATCTTCCTTGCACCCAGAGGCCCAGCAACAGGCCAATCAGTTGTCAAGTCATATTCAAGCAAACCCTCATTCCTACGAGTCGCATGTTCAGTTCATTCAGCTTCTTCATACTGGGTTCGTGAATCATGTTTATCCGCCACATGATCCTGACGCTCACGGCGATCCAAGAGCCTACGATTTGTTGAAAGATTTGCGCAGCGCTCGAGAGGACATGGATAAGCTCTTTGCAATGGGGGAAGACTTGTGGGTGGAGTGGATTCAAGACGAGACCATGGTGGCACAGACAGTTGATGAGAGGATAGCTGTCATGGAACTTTGTCGACGGGCGGTTGAGGAAGAGTATGGAAGTACGAAGCTTTGGACGATGTTTGGAGAGTGGATGCTTTATCTCTACAACTCCGCAAACGGGCAGGCGGGTCAAAATCAGTGGAGCGAAGAGGATCGATTAGTCGGTCGGGAAGTGTTTAGCTGGCCATCCGTCTTTGAAATATGGCAAAGGGCAGCTGATGCTACAAGATGGCGCATTCATGATAGCCATCTTGTCTGGTCAAAGTTTCTTGAGCTCTGCATCCAGGACTTTTCACATTCCCAAACCAACGAAAAGGCGACCCAGGTCCGAAACACTTTTGAGTCTCGCCTTCAAACTCCACATGCCGCGTGGGATGAGACTTTCCAGATTTTCTCGGGTTTCGTCAGTCAATATTTCAATGCGAACTATGAGGAGATTATGGCCAACACCGTCGCCAGAGCATCGGACGCAAAAGCGAAATATGCAGCTCGGCAGGACTTTGAGCACAAAGTACAGAGGGCGCTAGAGTCAAAGGACCGCAATCTGGAGTGGGCTGTATATTCAGAGTACATCGAATGGGAACTGTTACAGGATCCTCGTAAAAACATGTACAGTCCTCATCTGATCAATGCTTTATATCAACGAGCTCTACTACGGTTTCCTACCGATGTGCCGATGTGGGAGGACTGCGTCATGTTTCTGATACAGCCGCCTGTGCCTGTACCTCCTAATGAGATTGCACCCGTTCTTCCGACCATTGAACGTGCGACGAGACATTGTCCATGGTCAGGATCTTTATGGTCTCAATGTCTGCTTGTTGCAGAACGCGAGGGTCTTTCGTTCGATCAAATCGTAGAGCTCAAGCATAGAGCTACTAGCACAGGCCTCCTAGATGCTGGCGGTCTCGAGGAAGTCATCAAAGTTCACTCGATGTGGTGCAGTTACCTACGCCGACGTGCATTCCTACCTGACGCAATTGACGAAGATCTCGACGTTGCCGAGGTCGGTATTCGTTCTGCGATTGAGAGAGTTCAAGAGCTCGGAGAGAATAAGTATGGCAAATCGTATCAAGGGGACCCTTACTTTCGTCTGGAGAGGATTTATACGCGTTATCTGAGTGAAAGCGGAAGCTGGGATAGCGCTCGCGAATACTACAAAGGCCTTATAGCGACCCGAGGTAACAGCTATGAATTCTGGCTAGACTACTACAACTGGGAAATCATGTCTTGGCGAACATTTGTGGAGCCTGCCATGACACCGGAAGCTGCTCGAAGGACTCCGGGACCTAGCTATGCCACAGGTGTGTTGAAGCAAGCCATCAGACGACCTGATTTGGATTGGCCGGAGAAGATCATGACCAAGTACATTGCGCATTGCGAGGACTACGAGGACGCCGACGAACTTCAGGAAGCTCTAGTTGAGACACAAAAGGCTATGAAAGCCGTGGCACGGAGACGACAAAAAGAGGCGCTGGAGCGTGCTGCCGCGCAACAAAGCGCTGCAGCGAGCGCAGAAGCAGCTCAAGCAGCAGCAGTGGAACCCATGGATACGGAGGATGATGCTGTATCCGCTGTTCCGAAACGCAAACGCGAAGAAGACTCTCTTGAGACTACCGAGACACCTCACAAGAAAGCCCGTCCGGAGACGATATCAAACGACCACAAGGAGCCAGCAGAGTTGAAGAGGGACCGCGAGCATTCCACCGTCATGGTCAAACGCATGCCTTCTGACGTTACCGAGTCTCAGATTCGGCAATTCTTCCGCGATGTGAGTTTCATTCTTGTTTCTACCTCTTGTACTACAAACGTGCTAACAATTTAACAGTGCGGACCCATCGTGGACATTAAATTTCTGCCCTCTGAGCATGGTTTTGCAACGTCTGCTGTGGAGTTTGAAACTCCTGAAGACGCAGCCGCCGCTCTTACTCGGGACCAGAAACGAATTGATGGCCAAACTGTCGATGTCGAAATGGGCAGCGGCTCGACGATCTATGTCACGAACTTTCCTCCGACCGCCGACGAAGCATTTATCAGGAGTCTGTTTAGCGAGGTAAGTGCAACATAGATACTTTGAGAGATGGAATCGTACTGATAGTTTCCAGGCTGGAGAAATTGTTGAAGTTCGCTTCCCGTCTCTCAAGTACAACACACATCGCCGATTCTGTTACGTCCAGTTTAAATCGGCTGATCAAGCCATTGCTGCGACTAAACTGAACAACAATGTTGTCGGCGACGGCCTCAACCTCCAAGTCAAGATCTCTGATCCTTCGGCACGCCAAGATCGTCAAGGGCCAATGTACGAAGAACGAGAAATCCACATTTCGAACATCCATTTCGATGCTCGTGAAAACGACCTGAAGGAGATTTTCTCAAAGTATGGCACCATCGAAACTGTACGAATTCCGAGCAAAGTGAGCGGCGAGCACCGCGGCTTTGGCTTCATAGTCTTTTCGAAAAAGGTACGTGAACTTACTCGTTGTTTCTTAATCGTCACCTTCAGTTGAATCATAGTTAACGGCATGTCTAGGAGGAAGCGACTGCTGCCCTTGCTATGCACAAACAGGAACTTCGGGGACGGCCATTACAAGTCAAGATCTCTCAGCCGGCATCCGTCAAAAGAGCGGCTACTATCATCACCCCCAAAGCACGATCAGAATCAGCCGAACCAGGAAGCACAGACTTGGAAAGTCAAAGAGCGGCTGATGACCGCGCGGCTCGAACGTTGGGATTGATGAATATTCCTGACACAGTGAACGATAGTCGCATCCGAGCAATTGCCGAACCATTTGGTCCTCTTGTCAAGATCGTGCTACGTCCTGATCGCGAGGGAGCTATTGTTGAGTTTGTTGATGTCAAGGCAGCTGGCAAAGCTTCGTTAGAACTGGAAGGACATGAGATTGCTCCTGGTCGCCTAATTCGAGTAGGCACTGCCAACGATGTGTTGAAACGAAGTGGGTCTTCGGTTTCCGGCCCCGCGAAACTGAAAACTACCAAGACATTCATGCCTCAAATTGGTGGGCCTATCAAGCGTCCAACACAGCCAGGAACTGGACGTCGGGGTGGATTAGGCTTCAAGCGAGGTGGAAGTGTGGCCTCAGCTCGCAACGACGAGCATAATGAAAATGCCGAAGGAGCGACAGAGCAAAGGCCGCAGAAAACAAATGACGATTTCCGGGCCATGTTCAGCAATGGAAAGCAGTAGACCGGTCTTTCATAGGATCGATGCCGGTTCCTGTATCGCCCTTATGTTTTCTTTTTACTCCTCAAGCTCTCATCTATCTGTTTCTCTAATAATTACGAAAAGTCTCATCTGATATTACGACGAATCTGTCACACCAGCTGGCATGCTGGATCTCATCGGGTGGATGACTGTTTATAATGTTTGTCTTTGTTATGATATGAAAACTATGTTACAGAAGGAGGTGTATAGAAGAATTAATATACATCTTGACCCAAGATATAGAGTGCCATCATTTCAGATAAAGTTGTACATCTGACTTAAGGGGTTGAGTGCAAGGAGAACTTGAATGTATGATGACAATATTTAATTGACACTTGTTTCAGGTCATATATCTATTTCACATGGCTAGGTGTATTTGTCTCAATCATACAAATAAAAAATCATACCAGAAAGAACTCATCTCTAGATAGGTTCTACTATAGTCACGATTGTCACCTTGTCATAGCCCCTTTCTCCTTTTCTTATATGGCCACAATTTGAGATAGAGCTTTACAACTAACTCAAGATGGTCTGAGCTACTTGTCTTACTCATCAACTCTACCTAGATGAAAGTACGTGTACTTGACTTAACAACAGAAAGTCATGGATGGAAAGAGTCATCTTGCAATGATTTATCGGCCTGACCCAGGTCTATAAGAAGTCGCATCTCACAAATCCTCAACACCGAATACCTAATCCTCAACCACCACAGTCGAACAAACCTCGGGAATAATGGCTGACAGATGATACACAAGGAAAACAGTCGAACTAAGTGCGCAGGAATATGTCCGCATATTCAAAGAAGCCTATGATCTACGCATGCCCCCTTACGACCTCATAGTCTGGGATACATTTCTCTTCTCCAAATACACCAACATTGAGCAAGTGTATGGTTTGTTGATGATGTTCGACTGGCCGATATTGTATCTGTCGGGCAGCACCGATGAGAATATTCGAATGGTTGGTAAGTGGTGCAGAGAAGGCACTTTCGTCGACGAAGTCAAAAAAGTCATGGAAACAACGACATATGATTTTGTGGACATGGAGTTTCTTGAAAAGAATAGGGCAATTTTCGAGAAGTCAACTTCTCAATTCCAACTTCCCACTCCTAACTTTCATGTGTCAACTCTAACTCAGCCACGACGTCAGAGACCTAGGTCACGATGTATAAAGACAATAACTTCCACACAGCCTGCCACAGAACCTCTGGTAGATGTGTCACTTCCAGCTACACAAGAATCCGCACAGCCTCCAGCAGATCGGGCAGGCACTGTACGAAAGCCTAGAATCAAGAGAGACTTGCAGTTCCTTAATTCGAACCGTGAGATACTGGATCTGGGACCAATGAATCTGTCTAGCGTCGACAACGCCCACAAAGAGACATGGTTCATGCAAGCGAAAGCTTGTATCAAGTTGCTTCTTCCTGGAACAAAGGCGAGGATTTCAATGTACAGACGCGAAAACAGTAAGATTCATACCTTGCTTTCGGCGTGGTTGTCTGGGGCATTTTGCCAGAACCAAACTGGGTGCTAGAAGACATCCATTTTGATCTTTGGTACAACATGGGATTTGCTGGTGTCCATTTCAAACACGGCAATGATCTACTACTTTCACGATATCAGAAGGCGTTTGCAAAGATACGGGGTATTGGTGCCATCAGGTTTTGCATCTTTGATGTCAAGTGGAACAATTCCAGAATGAGCTTGTGGTGTGACCTCAAGAAAGAATGGGAGTGCTCCAAACCCATTATCAAGGCTCTCGATTGGTTTTTTCTCCATACATGATCCAAGCCGCCGCGAAAACAGTGTGTACCGACTATATCATTTGATGGCTCTGAGTGATCACGAGTATCTTCGTCTTAAGGCGATAGATAAGACAACGGTGTTCGATGAATCGATGGTAGATTTCTGGCTACGTCGAGGTTCCGAGAGCAAAGAAGCAGACTCAATTGCTCGGAGGGATATCTACCGCCGTGTCCTGGAGCACATCGATGATCCGCAGGATCTAGTTCATGCTTTAGATCATTTTGAGTTGCCAGAATTCGTGCAGAGTGTGTATGAGAAGCTCGGTATGAAAATGACTAAACGTGAATTGGGACTCATTTGGGATGATTCTTGGTGATGGTAGCACTCGTTTGGTTCACTAGTCTTGATTCATACATTTGTTGTCTTGTAAATATGATTTAGTTAGTGTCGAATTTGTAAGACGGTATTCCGGTTGAGCATGAGATCGGCAAGTGCAAAGGTCTTGATACAAATAAAACCAAGTTCTGCATATGACCGCATCAAGCATGGAGCTTGTACGTACTACAGAATAGAGTGGGATGGAGGGGTCTGCATATTTCAAAGGATTCCTCCGAGGTCATCTGCTCACCCATTCCTTGATTTTCCCAGCGATCTAATTGCCCACACTACACTTTACTCAACCGATGGCGTGCATTTCGTATGTATGCGGAGCACTGCACTAATGTAGCGCCGTAAGTGCTAACCTGCTAGGTCGTAAGGAGTAAGGAGGCTTGGAGTTGTTGCAGGAGAAGGACGATGGACCAATAATTGAGCTGTTGTCTACACCGACTTGTAGAACAGAAGTATGAGAATAAGAGCTCGAGCACTAGTACTAGCTGATTATTAGAGGGTCAGTGCTGATCGCGTAGTCTAGATGTTTGTCGAAGAGAGTAGATGGTTTGAAGAAGAAGAATTAGTAGAGTGGGAGAAGGAAGGCATTCCCTTATCCGGCCTGGCTTATTAAGGTCACTTCTTCTGCCGCAGTCAACCTTGAAGTACTTTTTCCTCCTCGAACTCCCCGACTAGACATAGTCGCGCCACCAACGACCGGAGCGCACTCCAATAGTAATTTGATATATCACCTAAGGCTCTTATATACAACAACCCGTCTCTTCTACCCCAACTGGCCGTGGTGGCTGCGATCTCCTCAACCCAGGCCGGTCGGATACAACCACACCTAACACCATCAACAACCACCACAACAATGGCGCCGACAGAATGGGACCCTTTACTCCCAAATGCTAATCACCAAACGGGTCGCAATTATACAGGCATATTAACCAAGACGATTGTCTATGGTATTACTTTGGTGTTGTTCTTGATCGGTGGGTGTTCTTTCTTCTGTAAACGGTGATGCCTTGCGGCTATCCCAGCTACGTCATCGAATTCATACACCGAAGAGAGGTTGCTGATGAATTTCTACAGCCTACGCATTCACCCTTTCGTCGATTATCCTGCCGAGCTGGGTCAGTTATCATAGCGAGAAGGTATTTCTACATCCATATTTATTTTCTCTATCCGATGGTGGTACTGACTTGACCGACAGCCTCCGCTACACTACTCCTACGGTCTCCATCGCCGCTGCTCCTCCCTAACCGACATCTGCGAACCTTTCCCCCAATACGAAGACTGCCATGGTGAAGACCGCTATTTCTGCTCCATGTGGCGGAGCGTCGGCTTCCTCATGACCTTTGCCGTTGTTCTGATGTCGCTCGGAATAGTCGCATATGTGATAATTCTCTCCGGAGGGAAGAAATTGCGCGAAACCGGTTGGGGCGTGCTGAGTACGATTATTGTCTTGTCAGTTGCGGTGCAGGTGGCTAGTATGGCTTTGATTGTGGGTTCCCTCTTTTCGGTCTTATACTCGTCAGAGTGCTAATGGTTTATCAGGCGTATCTTTTTGACAATGATGAGCGTTTCTTTGTCGGTTGGCAACTCGACAAGTCATTTGCATTCTGCACTGTTAGCTGGTGCATTTCGCTTTTCTGCGCCGTCGCTATCGTCGTCGCGGCACGTACCTTACCTTCAGAGGGTGGCTATGAGCTCGTTCCGGGCTTCGGATATGACGCCGAGGAGGTGAACTGACCGACTTACGCCAGTCGTGTACCACAAATATACTATACCCATCGCAACACAGCCTTCTGCCTATATGGTCTTGTCTTAATCTAATATACCCCTTTATCCGTCGACATTTCTCGAAAGTAACCGAAAATGAGGCAAATGTCGGCGAGTGATGATACTACATTCTGAGCTTTCGCCATTCTTGTATTCAGCATGTTGCGGCTTCCTCGTTGCATTTCTGTTCTGGTTGATTCGGCGTCCAAACTTGTCTGTGTCTTGATACGGCTTTTTCTTCATTTTGTGCCTTTTTTCATCATCTTTCAGGTACATAGTTACATTATATACATATCCTCAACTATTTTTAGCCTACTTGAAAACTACAGTCTGTAAACGATACGGCAACTAGCTGCTCCAGCCATGTATTCACGGTTATCTGATTGTGAGGTACGTACATGGACTCTGTAACTCCAGTCACCTCTACCCTCCGACCAAACGCCCACGATGACCCAAAGAGAGAGAATCATAATTAGTACAGCAGAAGAAGAATTATACACTGTCCGGTGGAAGGGAAAAGAAAAGATCCAGAGAGAGAAAAAACTACGCCTTGTTACGCCAAGAGAAAAGGGAAATAGTCTTGAAGAGAAGAGAGGAGAAATGAACATTTGATGAAACTGCTAACCACACAGAGCCCGAAGAATATTGCAAGGTATGGATATACAAGCTGCTCCGTGGTGAGGACTGAAGCGGATGATTAAGAGGTAAGAAATCGGGGAGTGTGATTGACATTATTGAGAAGAAGAAAAGAATGAAGTGGGTATTTGGTATTTGAGTATCAAAAAGATACCCCATGTCTTCATGATATTCAAACACATAATTGGAGTTTCTCGGATTGTGTCAGAAGGTCGAATGATACTGGGACCGAGGAGCGAGGGTTACAATCAATGTGAATGGACAAAGGAGAGTAAAGGAGGTGTTCCAAGTGGAGAAAGAGAGTATGAGACACACAGTCGGTTGATAAGTGGCTATCGACATGCAATTAAATTCATCATCAACATTCCTTACTTAGAAGTCAGGAAGAGGGAACTGCGAGTGGAAAGATGGAAGTGGAAGACCAACAGGACGGCCTTCGTGTTGTTGGTGGTGCTGTAAATCAGTATGTAGCTGAGCATGGGCAGTGCGACCATCATGCTGCTGCGAAGGATTGTAGGACGAGAATTCACGGTAGGGAGTAGAGAACGGCAAAGTCGAATGAGTAGTTGCGTGCTGTGGCACTGGAGGCGGAAGATGGAACGCAGGATTGACGGTAGCCAACTGAGTTGGAGGCGGAAGCTGGTATGAATGATGATGATGATGTTGTTGTGGATGGTACTGCTGGACGTGGTTCGAAGGAATGGGAGCAGCTTGGTAATGATAGCCACGACTAGCGTCACGATAGACGTCAGCATTGGCAGCATTCTCGTAGATATTTGCAGTCTTGGACGAAGACTGGCCAAGACCGACGTTCCCCGCGCGCATGTTGGACTTCTTCACCCGCTTGCTGTCTTCATCCTTCTTGTCCACCTTACACTGATAGCGGCTCGAGAAGACAGGCAAGATCTCAATATCAGGAAAGCGTCGCACCTCTGGGGCTCGACCATGGAGTTCCTCCTCTTCAATCTCGCGAGCCACCTGTTCGGAAGTCTTGTCTTTACCCTGGATGTAGTTCTCGATCTGGTCGATCAGCTCGCGCACCTGGTCGAAGGTACGATACTCGCCGAGATAGGGATAGACAAATTCTGGCACGGGGCAAGGAACGTTCTTTGGAGAGGCTTTGCGACGGCCTGTGGGAGTGAGGCCTGGATGTGCGGTTCGTGCGGCCATAGACTCGAGGGTCAATGCTTCTGGAAGATGGCCTGCCGCTGCGGCAGCAGTGATACGCGCCTTCTGAGATCGAGCAACTTTGCCGGCTGGACGACGAGATGATGCAGCAAAGTAATGGGGATCGCCAGTAGGATATTCCATGGAACCAGCACTACGACGAGTACGGTCCTGACGATCCTGCTCACGCTTGCGTAGCACGACGTTCCAGAACGAAATTTCACCCCATTGTTGAAAGTTATTCAGTGCCTGACGCACAAGATCGACCTGCTTCTGGGGCCACTGGTTGGAGCAGGTGTATTTGCTACGCTGGTAGTGCTTGCGGCAGTACCAGATCCATAGACGCTCGGGAATGTTCTGAGTGGGTTTCTTGTTGCGGCCGAAGATGTGTGAAACGATCTTGCGAGCGTTGATGTCCTCGGGATTAGGATTCTCGGTGCACGGGCCCGTGATGCCGTTCTCTGGGTCGGTGTATTGACAGAAAGGAACATATTTGGAGGATTCAGACTTCTTCCCGTCTTCTGAATCAGCCTTGATTGCATTCCCAGCAGTTCTGCTTATGCCACTACCGACTGTGGTGGCAGTAGCATATGACATTGCATCACGATGGTTGGACGCGCTGGTGTAGTCAATGTCTGTCCCATTTTCGTTACAAACGCCGTCGTAGGCATGAGCCGCGGCACCCGCAGCGGATACAGATGGGAAGCAGTCATTGTGATGGGTATACTCTTGATGTGAGGAAGAGGTGACCGGCGTGAGAAGAGGCTGCTGCCAGTACGAACGCCCTGCCGAATCGTTGTGCTGATAAGTCCAATTAGACTGTTGAGAGTACGTAGGATCAGTAACCAAGTCAGCCATCGCCATAAGTTTATGGTGGCTATGATGGTACTCATCAGGGGCCCGGAAGCCAAACTCGCGTACAGGAACAGGTTTCTCGACAATCTTCGACTCTTCTTCTTCAGGAGGGAGTACGGAATGTTCGGTTTTGTGGTGCGAAGACATCAGAGAAGCAGACGAAGCAGACGGAGGAAACGTAGATGAAGGGGTGAAAGTAGTAGGCGATAAACCTGAGGCTGTCAATGACGCTGAATGAGTGTGTTGGTGTTGTATGACAAACTCAGAAAAACGAGACAAGACGGAGTCGTCAACAGAAGAACGATCGTGGCTCACAACAGGAGAGGGAGAAGGTTTGGAGATGGCGCTGGTCTTATTTAAGATGGATCCAAGCTCCATAATTAGAGAAAAGAGAGAAATGGGAAATTGGAAAGGGAAAAGGGAGGACAGAGCAATTATGACTCTCTTTGTGACTGCCTCGTTCTTCACAAATTGCCAATTAATCGCCTGACTCAGACCGGCGGTGCCGAATCAGATCGGGTAAATAGGTTGCTCGAAGCAGGGCAGCACCCCGTCAGATGGTTTCGATAGCCAGAGAGGCATAAAACGAGGGAAAATTGCTGGAAGTAGAACCCCCACAATGCGCAGATGGAGTGACTGATACTGTACCAAGACTGTGAAGCTGTTGAATTGATCCCAGCAAGGATCATACAGAGCAGCACTGATTTCAATTGTGTTGTATAGGGAATCACTGCAAAGTACGCTTTTTGTGGTTATCCCAGCTTTCAGAGTTGGGTGGAATGAGCGAGGAAGAGATAGAAAGACGTTAGATTAAGAAGACATGAGAGACTTTTATAATGAGAGAGATGATGGTCTATGCCAAATATTCAAGGAAAGATCCGGCTCAGCGTTGAATCAAATACAAACGCTGAGCGGACCTTTCCTGGGCAACTAGATATTGTCATGAAACCTTATTGAGTATCTACAAACGGCCATTGTTCTTCTACCAATTACCTTGTCAGGAACTGTTGACGGAGTTGCCCCGGAGAGAGCATGATTATCACTACTCCAAGGCAGAGGAAACTGACAGCAGAACATTATCTGACACCAAAGGAAAAGCTCTTGATGAACTAGGTTAAAAAGACTCCTCTTCTCACCGAGTATGACAAACAAGGACATATAATTGGTGGTTTCTCCGCCAAATCAGAATATCTGATTTTTGATTGGACGCAAGTTTCAGTTCGGTATTTCGCATACAAAGACTTTATTTCACCGTTTGAGGCTCTTTTCAGTGTTTGTTCTTCGGTGGTCTTCCTTTTCGATAATTCTTTGATAGGGCTACTCCCGAGTCTGCTATCATGTGTTTGCTGATATCCATATATGGCAAAATCAAGAGCAAACTCGTCAGGGGCAAGACCCGTAACTACCCCTCGTTCTATCCACAAACAAAGTCATATCAATCCCGAGTCATGAAAAAGCTGACCCCGCAATATCTTCGTCAATATATCCACCTTGATCCCATACAAACACCCAGTCTTTGTCAGAGCTCGCCTGAACGACAAAGATAACTTTATTCTCACCGAGATTCCCGTTCTAGGCAAAAGTGTGAGAGACGAGCTGCATCCAGCAGGCGCATTGGATTTCTTGCTGGGGCTCGAGGCAAAGAATGACGTTTCTACAAACGGAAAATTAGCGGCCATTTCCAGATCTAGAGATATGTGAACAACATTGAGTCAAAAGCTAAGCCCCGCGAGTAAATAGTTCAATCCACTATCAGAAATTTACCTGGGTATCATTCCTAGTCTATTTTCATCTGCTGGAGGCAAATTAAATAGTCGGGGGTCTTAGGGAGCTAGACTCCCGCTTTCAGACTATCTCCAAGCTGAAAAGACAGTCTCATCACATTTATCAGCGATCTCGGCGAAATGGAGATATCATTTGTATAAATTTATCGAAGTTAGTAAGAAGAGAAGATTGAAATTCAATAAAAATTACCCAGTTACATAGTCATAACAAATACTTGAGTATATAGTTATGAACTCCGCATAACACATATTTAGGGAGAAGAGGGGTAAGGGTTTTATATACACGTGATTAATGGCTCGAGGGCCAGTGGCAAAGAAATTATTTGTCGAACAAAGAGATACTAAAAGCCCACGACGTAATTACACCCAGATGCTTTCTTTTACCTGCTCAAAGTGGCCATTTCACGAGGATTGACGTTGGAAATATATAGGCAACACTCAGATCTTACAGCTCAAGAATAAAGGAGGCGCTGATGCAATATGGCAAGCGAGGATTTTTACTTCGAAACTGTATATATATAGGTGTGTCGCGAAGAATGAGGAAATGATTGTGCCTTCGTCGGGGGAGTTAGGGCAAGTTTAAGCACGGACCAGGTGTCACGGTGCTAGCCAAATTTAGCTCCGTAGGGCTGCAGAAGCGACCCACTTATGCAACCTAACCTTATTCTCGGGCATTTCCCAGACTCCGCCAGCCTTGAAGAATCGTGTCATTTCATCAGTGCAAGTCGTGATGGAATATTGTACGGTAGTCCAAGTTTATAAGTACATTCAGAAAAAAGGAGAGAAGAAAACTAACATAAATAGCACAAACAGAATGCAGACCATGCAAAAACCATGCAAACCTCGTCAAATACGATTGCCGCGCCTTTCCAATTTTGTAACGCCCGACATTGGCCAGAGCCAATAATGCTTTTACCGGTGCTGAATTAATCACCACCGTCATAATTACTGCCGCAACGTAGCCAATCATGATCATCATCCATCGTACCGTTCATCGATAACTACCCCCCCCTGTCACTGGAACTCGAGGTGCGTATCTCCTTACCTGGCGACTACTGTCATACCCTCCAGGCCCGATATCTATTGATTGTATTTCTTGGCTTAGTGCATCCATTCCACCTGTGTATCCACTAGAGGCTGGGGCGGCAATAGGAACCTTGGCTGGAATGGGCGGCCCACTATCCGCGAAAGAGTAAAGTGGTGAAGACCGTGGCTGTGGATTGGGGGAGATAGACCTCCGTCGCGGTGGGGTACTATACGTTGTCGGGGAAGGCGCGTGATGTTGTTGTGGTTGCGCATACGGATCCTGTCTGTCATAGTCTCTAGTGGACGTCCGAGGTGGTGTGTAAGTGGTCGTTGTCGAGGTGCGTTGGTGACGTTCATAGGATTGCCGCGGTTGTTGTATCACGTAAGTACTGCGAGGTCGAACGCCACTCCGAACAACAGCATCCGGGGTTGCGGGAGCAGAATGATGCTGTTCACGGGGTGACGCGCGAGCGGCGTACGAAGAATGTTGGGGGTTATGTTTAAATCGAACGATGACTTCCGGCTTCTTGTTCTTCTTCTCTGGCTCGGGTGCCCAAGACTCTGATGGAAGATGATCTGAAGGATCAATGATTCGTCCATCATCTCCAATTATGGGACCATCATCTGTGTTTGCCTGAGACGGTTGACTGTTCTCGACGTTCCGATCGGGTGTCGCATACTGTGATCCACTTTCACGAGTAGCGGACGGTGAACGTCTGGGGTTGTAGGTGTCAAACGAGTCGGGAGAAAATGGCACGCTAGACACGTCACGCTCGTCCCTAGATGGCGGACGAGGGCTTACAGACTTTCTATAGGATAATGGACGAGGATTTGGGCTGATCGATCTAGCCCTATCCATTATCGGTGCCGGAGAAGTGCGCAATGGTCGAATGGCGGAGCTCTGCTGCGGTACGTTCGGCACATAATTCGTAACTTCCCGAGAAGGAGTACCGCTTTGAAAGCGACCATAAGAGCGGTCCGGACTGTATGCTTGTTGACTGTCGATTGTTTCGTTTGTCGTGTTATAGCCAGGAGCAAGACTGACAGGAACTGATGAGCTCGGTAGTTCCGTATGAAAAGATCTAGGTGGAGCCTGAGATGGTCTTGACATTGAAACTGCAAGATCTTGTTCGGCAGGTGATACAACTGAAGATCGATGTGAATCTCGGACTTCAGGTTGTGGAGGTGTATATTCTTGTGGAGAGTAAGCTTTGTAACCGGCAGTGCCTGATGAATGTGGAATGTTCGTGTTGACGGTCGTCCGATGGATAGGCGGTGGTGGAGGCAAGCCCTCGTCGTTTTCGTCTTCCACAGTTGGTTGCATAGCAGCGTATGCAAACCGATCATCTTCAGGTGCCATAAGCTGACGCAAAGGGCTATGTCGACGCGGGTCCGGCTGAATGAGTGCGTTGTTATACCGATAATGGTCGCTTGCTTCAAAAGAGGGTTCGCTTTGGGCATTTATGGCATATTCATCGGATGGTGCCTGATAAGCGTGTCTATCAGGTATGTAGGGTATCGGCTCCGTACCATAACGCGTGTCATCAGGATGGGAGGTGCGTTGCTGATCCGAATATTGAGAGTACTTCTCTACAGCTTCATGAGCGCCTCGAGCCTGGTAGCTATTAGGGTCATAGGCATCACTGTAGCTTTCTGCAACGGGACGATGCATTTGCCTTTGAGGCTCTCCATAATAAGCGTCGTTTGGTTCCTGATAGGGACGTGGCTGAGCACTGTATAGATCATCCTGCTCAACAACATCATTATAAATGACCCCAGAGGCGCCACGGTCATATTGATTGAACTGAGATGCTCGGGACATTGGCATATCCGCGTGCCTCGAGGATGGCCGAGCATCACTTTGCCGATGAGAGCTCGTTGGCCGAACATGATCTGGGTTAGGTCGTGGAGGTTGGGTGTTCTGAGGCACCGGCGCCGGATAGTCTTGAACAGCCACTGCGGGAGCGACAGGTGCGATAGGAACGACAGGTGCAGCTGGTGGAGCAGATGCCACGGGGCTCGCTCGTGATGGGGAAGCGCTGGTCGGGTCATCTGGTAGGGGTCGGCGTTTAATCGGCCGTGGCTGTCGCGGTCCTGAGAGTGATGACGAGCTAGTAGGCGTGGTGGTGTTATTGCTAGATCTTGACTGCGGCTTCTCTGTCACCACAGTTCTCCTCTCAATGACGGCTTCATCTTCCGGACGAGTATCGTAGTATGTCATCTCGAGCCTGATGTCGCCTGCATACTTGTTCCTGAATCTCAATTCGTGCCATGAATCGCTCTGTCCTCCGCCAGGGATGATCACTGAGCTGAGATCCACCCAAGTTTCTCCGATCAAGTCCGTTTTCTTGTCATCGTTGAAAACAGAAACTTTCAATTGGAGGTAATCCGGCGATTCGTGAACGGTATATCGGATTTCCTGGTCCCTAATTGTGATGTCAGTACTTCGGCAATGTTCTGGAAAAGTTGATGTCCCTACCATCGTGGAGTTTGACCACCTCTCATGTCAGTGTCTGTCTTCTTCGCTTCCTTTCCTAATCGTGCGGCAACGTAGGGATTTTGTTTGCCAATGGTCTTTCGATTGGGTAGATTCTTCGCTCGGTCGAAAATGACCACCAATGTGCCGATTTGGGGACCATCAACAGACATGTCTGCAAATATGCCCGCAGTATGCCCATGGGCAGTGGGCATTTTGACCAGTTTCTGTGCCATCGTGGAGGAGATGAGACTGCCGAGTCTCTGACCGTGGCGCTTTTAATCGCTGAAGGGGTTCGTCCGATACTCTAGGTATTGTTGTCGATATCAAGCATCCTGCAGAAAGTGGTGATGGTAACAATAATGTAAGTCGAACCGAGCCTGTCTTGCGAGACACGAATATCGGAGGATTGAATGCAAGAGATCAGAAGAAAAGAAAGTGTAAGCCTGGCAGTAGGCGCAGCTGTCTCTGGTGGGGGCTTGTTTTGTTCTGGCCTAATCGGGACTGGCCAGGGCGGGGAGGCTGGGAAATGCGCGCTGCGTCACTTGGGAGGTGCGGTGGCAGGGGACGTACTAGGCCATATCGGGAATAATGGATATCGATGAAGCAGCCAATAGAAGAGCATATCGTAAGCAGGGCTAGCGCGCTGCCTTGATCTCTGAAGCGGCATGCGCGTCTCTCGAGCCCAATTGGCCAATAAGCGCCAAACCCTGCAGCGTCAATGCACCACTATCGTCTAACATTCGTCCAGCCACAATTATAGCACGTGATATACTCGGATTATGTACTATGCTGTCTCTTGCTTGTTTGCTGTGTGATCCTTTTCAGCCGAGCTTTTGCAGGGGTCACCCAGCTAAAGCTTATCATGGACGGAGTACGAAGACCTGCTGATGCTCGAATCAGCACAGCGCATTGGACGGCAGACGCAAAGGCCCTCACCTTGTCTGGCCCTTTCTCTTCTACCCTACCCCTGTCAAATGTCGTGAGCTTGTGACCTAATCAGCAAATCTATTACTTGATAGAGCAATTCAAGTAAGACACTTGTGCACATTCCATTTATTCATTGTCTTGGTCTGGGATGTCATGTATCAGAATGGATGTGGCTGGAAGAGCGGTCACTTGAAGCTTTGATTCTCTGGGTACAGTCAATGGGGGTGAAGAGACGAGAAATGGAAGCAAATACAGGAAAGCCAAGCACAAGTGTCGAAGGTGAATGAAACAAAATGATAAAAGTTCAAAATCAGACGCTTAAATTGATCCCGCTGCAACAGCCTTGATTCTCTCTTGCAACGCCGTTGGATCCAAATACACCGTAAAGAAACTCATCTTCTCATCTCCCGGCTTTCTTCCAAACACAGCCATGCCAGGAATGAAAATTTCCTTTCTTTCCGGATCTCCCTTTACTACGTACACAATATCGGCTTCTTGATATATCCGATCCGGGAGAACATCCACATGCTTAATAGTGTGCTTCATGCTATCCAGATGTGGAAATTGGGAGTCGAAGAAGTCGATAATGTTGGATTTGCCAGTGATTGCCGGGCTCGAGGCAAATGTCAGAACGCAGTCATCAGTATAAAATTTGGGGATGGCGAGATTGGAGTCCAGGGCGTCCATATGTTTGTGGAATTCCTTGAGCCATTCTATGGCCTCAGCATGTTGGTCTTGAGCCGCCATTTCGGTAACGCAGGGTATAATCACGGAGGAGAGAGGCTCTGATGCTCATATTGTCAGATCGTGCTGCTAAACTTCTAAGGTTCTTATGAAAACAGGGCTGGGGAGTGTGGCCTACTCGATATATAGAGTGACTGAATACTCAATAGAGGAAAGGTAGAAATAGTAATACCACTACCAGTTTGAAGAGTCAATTGTATCTAGCCATTATATATAGTTTATAATTATCCATCTTTACATATTTGCCATGAGTTGATGACATTTTGTTTTGATCGGTATATAGCGATCAAGATGCCGAGCAACATGTCTGCTGAATAAGCGAAACGTGAATGACAAATGACCTCCCAACCAACAAAATCCACTTCAGTGTTAGATCCTCCTCACCATTGGTCCAAAATGATATCATTCCCAGGTATGTCTGGTAATCGTCGAATCGAAGAGTAATCTCGTCTCTGGATGAATGCGCAAGTGGAGTTATAGTTATGGATGATATCCATTGCCGTCGCGCAGATTGAGGCCGAGATCACTTGGGCTTCGACTAATATTGAGGATTGCAATGCTCCTCTTACCGATTTTCTCTGATTCCAAGTGATCTTTGGTAGCCTTAAAATATTAGGTCCAGCATCGCCTTCAATAAAATCAATATGCTGTGACGGTGTGGTGGTATTCGACGCTGCCTCTACCCTTCATGCCTTGCAGTCGAGTGCAAGATACGATGACCAAGCAGCAATGGTCAGCAGGGATTTTGCCTAGATTCCTGGTATTTCTCCTGGAAGTTTCGTCTAGATCTATGTATTTACTTTTCGATGAATGGTGGCCGTAAAGGCAGCGGCAATACAACAATATCTTGCTCGTAATGGTACGTATTTTGTTGCATCCAATCTCAAGTTTACAATTACGCAGGAAAACCACGCTAAGATAGGGTTACTCAAGATCATTGGTTCATTATACGATAAATAGCGAGTCCCCACTTGAATGTTACGTACCGTGTATTGAGTTGTAATTTTATCCATCGTGAACTTTTTTGGAGACTGCAAAAAAAAATCAAGACCATCTCTGATTCCACGACGAGGTGGTACCACTCTACATTATACTCTTTTCAGCATATCCCTAAATACCAGACACTCATATCATTACATAAAGGCTATCTGAAAACTAATTTCCTCACTTCTGGTCGCAATGGCTGCGCCAGTGCTTCCTCTCCCTCAAGTCAAGCTCCCGCAGCTGCCATCGACAAAACTGACGACTGAACAACTCTACTGGAGATCCTTCAAGAACCCTCTTCTCGTGTCTTCGCCATCCAACAATCCGATAAACCTCATCACACAACCTTCCGTCCCGTCTTCGTTATCTGCTTATCCTTCCGCCGCCCAGCCTCCCGATGTCTTCACCGTTACAACCGGTGCGCGGGTTCAAATTTACTCGGTCCGGACACGAAAACTCTTAAAGACAATTACAAGATTCGACGATACGGCACGGGGTACCGATATTCGACCTGATGGACGTATTATTGCGGTTGGCGATGACACTGGCACCATACAAGTTTTTGATGTGAATTCTCGTGCCATCTTGAAAACATGGAAAGATCACAAACAGCCCGTGTGGGTGACGAAATTTTCACCTAGCGACCCCACGACGCTGCTGAGTACGAGTGATGACCGTACTGTTCGACTGTGGAGTTTACCAAGTGAAAATAGTGAGAGGACATTTACTGGACACACGGACTATGTTCGAAGCGGTGCTTTTCTTCCAGGCTCTATGGCTTCGGCTGGCATGGTTGTATCCGGAAGTTATGACAAAACAGTGAGACTGTGGGATCCGCGTGTGGACGGTCGCGCCGTAATGACCTTCCAGATGGGCGCTGCAATTGAGTGCGTTCTACCTATGCCTTCTGGAACGACAGTGCTGGCTGCTGCAGATAATCAAATCGCAGTCTTGGACGTGGTGGGTGGCAAGCCTTTGCATATGATCAAGAGTCACCAGAAGACAGTCACATCTCTTTCATTGGCATCAAAAGGTGAACGAGTGATCAGTGGTGCTCTAGATGGCCATATGAAGGTGTTTGATACGACTGGTTGGTCGGTCGTGGCTGGGTCGAAGTATCCATCTCCTATTCTTTCATTGCGCGTCCTCACATCAGGCCCTGAGAGGGAGGATAAGCATATTGCTGTTGGTATGCAATCCGGTCTCCTCTCAATCAAGACCAGGCTTTCAGGCGAGCAAAAGATCAAAGAACGAGAGCGTCAGAAGGAAATGCAAGCTTTGATGGAAGGTCGAATCGAAGAATTTGACAAGAAGGAGGCAAAGAAAGCCCGGGGCCGGGGTTTCGAGAAACGCACACGTGGGCAGGATTTCCTTGGTGAAGGCGTCGATATCATCATTCAAGGACAGGAAATCAAAAAGAGAAAGAAGGAATCCGACTGGGAATCTGATCTCCGTCATGCTCGTTACTCTGAGGCACTTGATCGGGTACTGGCCGGGACCGATAAGACCGCTCAATTAACGCTCATCACAGCGCTGCGACATCGTTCGGCTCTCCGGACTGCGTTGAAAAATCGTGACGAGGTCACTCTTCAGCCGATTTTGAAATGGGTATATAGGCATATCATGGAACCACGCCTCGTGAATATTTGCGTTGAAGTTGGAATGAACATACTTGACATCTACTCCGGCAACCTCGGTCAATCAGCAGACGTCGATGCGCAAGTCCTCAAACTTCATAAGCGAGTGCGCGAAGAGGTTGATCGAGCACAGCAAGCCTGGCAAACGAAGGGCATGTTGGATATGCTCAAAGTTTCTTGACATTTCGTCATGAGGAACTATAAAGAAAAGTTTGGTCCTTGGATACCCGCATGGATTGGAGTTAGATTGGCATGACTGCATATGGGTGTTATTGTATAGATATTTAATGAATCGTTGAAACCTCGACAGCAAGCTCCAAATGATGTCGTAGATCTAGTCTTGGTATATTAGAGACGTAATTTACAACTTCAGTTGCTAAGGTAGTAAGCATTCTGACCGGAGTTCACACCGTCAAGCACATTATGTATTAGAAATACCAGTTATTTACAGTGCACACCACGTGCCATTCAAAAAATACGTAAGTGTGGCGTATCGGTTACATGGTAGCCGAAACCTGCTTCACAATCGAGCAGCCCCAGATCCAGATCAAACTTATTTACAGATTCCCCGGATTTTTCTTTCTCTTTTACTTTTCTCCTCTTTCTGTTTTTCTTTTTTTTTTTTTCGATAGGGTTGATACTGACAAATGTCGCTCGTGTCATTGGCCTGAGTGTAGTCAATGTTGCACATACATTCAGTCTCGTGCATACTACATTCCAATCATCTACAGGCCTCGGGACAATTAGTCGAGATATTGATGACGAATCAAAAGCTGTCTTTTGATGATATGAACTTGTAAATATATATATGCATGCCATGAGCGGAAGTTATTGAAAACAGCAAATATGAGTTCGAAACCTCAGACCCAGCGCACTTCGAGAACGCGCGCTAAAAGAGCCTGTATTACATGCAATGCCCGACGGGTCAAATGTAATGTCGTCGAGAAACAGCCTTGCGATAATTGCCGGGCCGCGGGCTCGCATTGCGAGATTGGAGTGTCGAGGAGGGGGAAGTATGTTTCCTTCAACTCGCGACAAATATGTGGCATGGACTGACCTCGTCTAGATATCCTCGTTATATTGTTAGCCCTCATCCAAATGTGGTACATGCAACTCCACAACTTGCAGAATCCGTGAAAAGTACAGCGAATCCACCTAGAGATGGATCAAGAATCAAACGGGACATACTCTCTCCCGACACCAGCGCGCACGTTAACAGCACAACATTCGAACCACCGCGCCCGCAAGTCAAAAGCGAACTCGATCAGATCATTTTCTTCGGCGAATCCAGTCCCCTGACATGCGTCGTCGAAGAAGGCAACAAACCCCTCGAAGCTGGTGGCTCAATAACCCAATCAAACAAAATCCGATGGCAATATCCAATCCCCGAAGACGTATGTCGGCGATCGGCCAGTTTTTCGCTCTTCGCAAGTCGCAAGGCGCGCAAAATTGAGCAATTGACGCGTGAAGGGGCTTTTGACTTTCCCGAGCCTGCTGTGTGTGAGATGCTTCTCAGGGCTTATTTTGAATGGTTCCATCCTTGTTTTCCGATTGTCGATAGGGTGGATATTAGCAAGTCGTGTAACGACAAGACGATATCGCCGCTGTTGCTGCAGTCTATGCTTTTTATCGGTGCTAGTCTGTGTAGTGATGAGGCGCTTCAGGCTTCGGGGTTTCGTGATCGTTATGAGACCAAGTTCCATTTCTACGATCGCGGTAAAGAAATTTTTGACGCGGATTGTGAGACAGATTCGTTGTCGAAGTTGCAGGCGGTGTTTCTGTTGAGTTTTTGGCGGAGTACCCCTGGCCACGAGAAGGATACCCGGTATTGGTTGGGAGCTGCTATCAGTCTTGCTCAGACCGGAGGCTTGCACATGCTGTAAGTTATGACTGTCTTTCTAACTTGGCTTATCTGACCGATCATAGGGCCAAATTATCTCTTCTAAAACCCAAGGAGAAGAGTGTAAGGAAGCGGATATTCTGGTCCCTTTACGTAGGTTTAGTTCTTAATACCTGTGTTTCTGCCTATTGACCGTTCTCTAGATTCGTGATCAACAAGTCGCCGCAGCTTACGGTCTACCACCCCGAATCCGAGACGAGGACTGTGATATTCCAATTCTAGATGAGACGGACTTTGATGAGTCAGGCTTCGTTGGAAATAGGGCCATCTTTGGCACACAACGACCCGAGCATATCTCGTACATAATACAGATGGCAAGGGCGGCTCGGCTGCGTATGTTTATTTATCCGTCATGGAGAGTGAGTGAAGTCTTGTGGCTGACCTGCATATAGTTCGAGAAGTAGTCTCGGCATCATACCTCCCCGGCAGACTTCGATATGATCCCAAGGATCGTGAAAAACTAAAAGCCCGATTGGTGCAATTCGAGTCAGAATTACCTCCAGAACTCAAGCTTTCACAAGCATTAGAGAATGGTACAATGTACTTTGCGGGAATTGTCAATATTACTTACAAGTTAGTTGTTGTGATCATCGTGTTGGCACTGAGCTGACCGTTCCTATTTTAGTTATCTATACATACTTCTTTACCGACCATCATACCTCGATCCTTCTGATGAAAAGAAACAAAAGGAAGGAAGACTCGCTCTTCAAGCTGCGTGCCAGTGTACTCGGATCCTCGAGGATATGCTATCTCACAATTTGATTGAGCATGGCATGTTGCATTTGTAGGTTTACCCAACATAAGTTCTAAAAGCAAGCTGGGTACTGATTCTTTCTCCGCGGTATAGAATCACCAACATATTTGCCGCCCTCTGCATCCATACCGTGCAGTTCTCGCGCTCTGAAGGCACAGAACGAAAACTCGCCGAACACCGAGCAAAGCTCTGCTTACTTGGTTTGAAGGAACTACAAAAATCCTGGGATTTAAATTACTGGGTCTTGGAAATATTCTTTCATTGTCTAGATGAAAACACGGCGGAATACTTGAAGATATCTGAAGAGAAGAACAACAGCAACAAGACAGCTATCATAGCTCACACAACCCTGAATACCGACCATATGAACATCGACTCAACGGCATCCACAACGGCGGGCATTACAAACTCATCGAGACAGTTGCAACTACGCAGTAGTCACTTGTACCCGGACTCAATCAAACCAGCCTCAGCGGTGGCTTCAGTGGAAAGCTCTCCTCAACCTCAGCCACCAGCGGTACAACCAGCACAGCAGCAGGAACCGCAACAGCAACAGCAAAACCAACACCAACGGACAGAAGAAGTCCTCGACGAAGATCAGCCTCAAAACTGGTCGGAGATGACGCCCTTATCTCTGCCCAGCAATGAAGTCGACATCGACTTGACAGAGCCGTACTTATTTGACGAAGAGTTTGCACGGAATTTTGGGTCCTGTACACCACGACTGGACGCATTGAATTCGACGAATTTGGACTTTTTGTATCGTTATCTATAAGTCTGAGACGTGCAATCAAGTCTGTGCCTTTACTAGCTTTCTATCGTAAAGTTGGTGTAGCATGAATCCATGGTCAAGCCCAAAGTAGATAAAGTTTATGACGGCAAAGGCAAACCTTCAATAGTGGCATAAACTGTTCGGCCAGTAAATAGTACCTTTTTCCCAAGAATCCAGGACTCAATCTACTCATACCGTGGAAAAATCTTATGCATTGGCATCTCGCCTCTCGATAGTTCATAAAAATAGATTATGCTTTGCATCGATTACACTGTGGAGCACACATCAAGACTATGACATACAAGTTTTCCAACGACAGGCGCGGAGTACACCTCCGCCCATCCTAATCAGTCCTACCACGACCACAAACTCTAGCGCCCTAGATCAAGAGAACGTGGTTAGGTTCTTCCCGACTCACATACCCACTATGAAGTATCTTCTTCAAATCATCACCTCTCTTACTATCAGACACTTTTCGCTTTTTGGGCTCGATGATCACAGAGGCGACGTTCTACTTCCTAATCGGGAAACACTCTGGCACTTGATGTCATTTTAAGATATTTAGGTTAAGGTTGACAGCTTAGCTTTCCCATGGTCATAGGATTCATTGCCACGGCCTAAAGGTACGTCGGTAGCTTGGGTAGGTCTATATAAAGAGGCCGCATCCTGGTGTTTGTCTCTATCTTCGAGTTGTTATTATCGCTGAGTTTTCTTGTTTCATGTTCATTATTCTCTTTTCATTTCATGTTCTTGCATATCTGTTTGGTTTCATAAAGCGTTAAGCCAGTCCTTTACATTCTATTCTATTGCCAGACTTCAGTTCTCAAGCGAAGATGTCTTCCGACGATACCTCAACCAGTTCCTCATACTACTACAGCTCCGCAACAACAAGCACAACAGGCAGCGAAACAACCGGCCATCGATACACAACAACCTCCCACACCGACCCAACCGGCAACACCGTCGTTCGCACCGCGCACCAAGACCTCGGCGAACCAGCAACCTACGAAGAACGGCGCTTCGACCGCACAGGCCAAGAACTCGTCTCCTCGAGAGCCGGTACGGGTGCAGGCATCGATCCCAGCGGGGGCGGAGGCTCAAGACGCATAATTCAGGATATGACGGATCAAGACAAGAATTACGATCTGTCGTCTACGGGCGCCGCGTCGGTGGATACGAGTACCAATCAGGATTTGTATGCGCTGCAGGATACCTCGCTCTCGGATTTCAGGCCGCAGGATTCGAGTGTAGCGGCGACGAATTCCCCGGCTGACGATGTGGTGGGCAGTGAGAGGCATTATAGGTCGGATTTTGATGAAGGGGCTGTTGATCCAGTGTCGGGGAGGACGTATCACCCGGAGGATTAGTCTGATTGCATGCGTGTATTTGTTATGATGCTTTCTGTATGATGTGCTGCTGCTTTTGCTCCTTCCGTTTCATTCAGCTTGTCTACGCGTTCAAGCGTTCTCGTTCTTACTCGTTTCGTTTCATTCTTCCTCGGCTTGATGTTCGTTTCGTTCTGCGTTCTGTTGCTCACCCAAGTCATTCATTCTGCGTTCGACTGCTTGCATCATGCCATGTTCGTTCTGTCTGCGTATCGCCTTCGTGACGCAATTATTGGTGCTTTGCGTTCGATATTTGCGAGTTTCGTGTACAAAGTCAGGTCAGCGAGCATTGCGTGATTTTCACTGTACATAAACCCAGCAGTCAAATTTATACCATTCGAGATTTCGATATTCTTTTCATTCTGTATAAAGTACAATATGAGACTTCATTGTCCCTCCAAAGCAACATTCAACCGTGAGAAGCCCTCCGCCGGCGGCTGGAGCCAATTCCGCTCATCATAATTCCACCCCTCAGCCCCTTCAATGACGTGAAACGTATACGCATACCGGCTCTTATCGCTCGTATTCTTCTCACTCTTGTGCAGCACATTCCCATGAATAAGCACCAAATCACCAGCCTTGACATTCAGAACCTCAAAATCTTCGTCCTCTTCCTTCCCAGAGGCTTCCTCATCCTTGCCGAGTGGCAGACTGGGTCCATCGTTGGTGATGAATGTTGTACCACCTCCTTCGGCGCGCACGAATCTTCGACGGATGTGGCCGCCTTTTCTGCCCTTGTGGGAGCCCTTCCACATGCCCAACGACGCATTTCCGGGTGTCGCGTCCTGTAGCGCAACCCAGTACCCAACTGCAGACGGAGGCGAAGTATACAGAAACTCGGAGTCGCGGTGTGCAGGTACCGGTCCACCTATGCTCGGCTGCTTGCAAATCAACATACTCTGCAGGCACTTCGGATCCTTGAACCCCAGTGACTGCGCAATAGCCGCGTTACGTTTGGAGATTGTAACCTTCTCGAATGGGGGTGATTTGCTATGCAAAGCATGACCAATCTTGTTGATTGCAAGATGCTTCGGCTTCAATAATCGAGGCGTCTTATCCTGAGTGTTTGCATCAGGTGGCGCAACTGCATCTGGCTCGAAGAAGAAATGGATCTTGTCGCCGGAGGAGAGGAAGTAGTCGTCTCCAACGTGTTTGGCTTTTTCGTCGTCTTCGGCTTCACCGTCGTCTCCAGTGGTGAAGCGAGTCATGGGGTGACTTGCGAGGTCGAAGTTTTCTAGGAGATTATTGGTGGTTGCGAGCAGGGATTGGATCTCCTCTGAGGACAAGTATGAGGGGATCACGAGGAAGCCATTTTCATTGAAGAACTCGACCTGCTCGGGGGTGAGCCCTGCTTCGTTGATGGTACCTAGCATTTTGTAAAATTGACAAGACGTTTCTTTCTGTCAAAGGAGAGTTTGGAGAAGAAGATGGAGTGGTTGTGCGCGGGGTTAAAAGTCGGAGCTTGCCGATGCTTATCGATTAAAAAAGCTTATCTTATCGACATCAACATCTGATCAAGATAGCTCCTTGCAACTTTTACTGAGTATTCTAGAGAAGAATGGATGAATTTGGATATAGAAAGAGAACTGTCGATACATAATAATGGTAATGGCCTTCTCGCACAGTCACTTCAAGTCGGGGCGTCGCGGATCTATGCACGGTTAATTATGTTGTGGAATCAACGGCCAAAGCAGCATACATACCGTCATTTAGCTAGCACTGCTCAGGACTGGTGTCCGAGGTAATCTCATACTCATTCATTAATATAGCGTTATTGAACGCTATATTGAGGATGAAGCCAGTTGTAGGGCCTTGGTCAACACTCAAACTCCTATCTAACGTATATTGCTTTTGTTTCGTGTCTCGCTATCAAACAAATATTAGCATGTGTCTGGTCTCAATAGTGTAGCGTCATAACAAACCTTGATTTCCCACCGATTTTGCCTCAAGCGGCGTTTTTGGTAGGCTCAATAGTCCTTCAATATGACGGAAAAACAGACGAAGCGTCTTCTTGGGGCACTACTGCTCAGTGATTCTTCAAGCTCAAAGGATGGCCTGGACACAAGATAGCGGGAATAAGTAACACGTAGCAAGGGATAAAGATGCTAGATTAGCATTTCCCTATTCTATACAGAAAGGTACGTAGTCGATCGCCACCACGGCGCATTTATGTAATAAAAAAATACATGTCAACAAGATTTGACTGCGTAGGAAAAGAAGTAAATGAGTGTCTGGCTGAATCCGTAATAGAAACATTGAAAGGAAGAAGATGGAAAAATGTTCAGCGGCAGTTGGCAAGGTTTAATACACAGGTAAGCTCGCTTGCCCAGTGCAACGTTGCCTAGGTAGACAGACAATGGCCATTCTCCCGTTCTTGTGTACACTATAACCAGTTAAAAGAATCCTTTCATGGGCTTTTCCCAAATCATTGACCGACTCGTATGATTACTTCCTCGTGGCCGCCGAGCAACAGCTCAGCTTTTGCGTGCAAATTAGTCTTCATTATGCCAAATATCATATTTGTCCATTGACTCGTATGTAGTGCTAATTTCAGTCTCGAAACATTCATAAATCGTGTATATGCGTAATATGCGTAGAATTTAAATAAAACCAGAGAATGCAGACCACGAGGTTTCCCGAAACAACCGCTCATATGCTGGTTGATATGTCAATAAGAACGTTCGTCTGTCATAAGTGCAACCATGTACAGCTTCACTCTGTCAACCGAATCCGTCCCTCCCGTCTCCTTGAATGCAAATAATCTGGAATCTGAAAACTCCAATGACAAAGCATCCCTGCAATGAACCCCACGGCATCATTCTTGAATCCAACCAGAAATCCAATCGTGACGAACATCACCGTATACCTCTTCTTGCGTTCGTCGTCACTCAACACGGGCCCAATCTCGCGTTCACGGTCACCTAGTATGCCAGCTGGCATGTCTTTCCGTAGGTCACGAGCGCCTGTTGTATTCAGGCTTTCGCCTACGCTAGCCAGTTCCAGACCGGCGGCGATGACCATGATACCAAGAAGGGCGTAGGGGAATAACTTAAGTAGTCCCACGAGAGTGTTTCCGAAGAATAAGCCGATCAGTAGTTTCAAGACTCCTAGGAATACAATGCTAGACCCCGACCGGGAACCGAAGCGGTACTGGGCTGCCAGACCTCCTGATCCGTGACAGACGGGCATTGCGCCGAACCAGCAGCTCACGAGGTTCATGATCGAGACGCTCAGGCCGACGGATGTAATTGATGGTGTTGTCACTTCAGGGAGCAGGTCGCCAGCTAGGTGAACAACAGCAATCACCGAATTCAACGTGGTAAGTGGTAACTGCCCAACACCAGCTTGAACAACTCCAACCCGCCAATCGCCATCACTAGGAACAGTGAGAACGGGGATCCACGGCCTGAAATTGGGTAGATCCCTCCCCTGCGTCGCAGTTATTATCGCAAACACCAGACCGACCGCAAGCACTACCAAAGCATACGGAATTTGTCGATAATAGTTCGTCGTCAACAGGAACAAGAAAGCTATAATGGCCCAAATACGGTTATCGGTCCATGATGGTGTAACCCATCCGAGCTTTGAGAGACTGCTACCAGCAGCAATAATCAACGACAACCCCGCCCCGACTTGAATTCCCTTGACCACAGGGATGGGAATCACATCTGCGAACCAGCGCAATAGACCCGTCACCGAAAAGACAAATATACAAGCAGCTACAAATATGCCGGCAGCGGCAATCTCGCCATTCGTAAAAGCATTAGCGATTGCAACGGCCGCGATGGCTTTCATGGGTTGTACGGGGAGTGGGATGCCGAAAAAGAGTCCCGTCAAGATATTGGCTATGCCGGAGAAGACGAGAGTACTGGATAGAGAGATGGTGCCATTTATAGATAGTGCAATGGCGATGGGCAGGAAGGTGCCCAGGTCACCTAGCGAGCCTGATATTTCGGCTATGGGTTGGGTTTTGAGGATGTGTAGGTTTCGCGCGGAGAGGTCGCGAAAGGTGTTTATGAACGACATCGTTCATATGAAGAAGCAACGACGGGATGTTTATATATACATATATGTGCAAGGCGTATGTACAGAACACAAGTGAGGAAAATGAAGAAATACGGAGGGATTACGTAGTAGGGAGGTTGGCAGCACGTGAGACACCAACGTTGTATCATCACGAGATTCCAAGTCGGTGCCTTGGTGCCTGATTTTCAAGGTGTCCATGTCTTATCTTATCGCATCATATCTCCGCGGTAAAAGAAGAATTATCTGAGGGCATCATCTAGAGAGTGGACATGAAAGATCTCTTCCGCAGATATCACTCAGAGACATACTTCCAATCAAAGAAGGAGTATGAATACGTATTGTAGACACAGATCCATCGGAGGATATTCGACCAATCCGGGATCCGAGTCAGGTCACACATAAGACCGGCATATAATTGATCAGGACAGGGATGGTGTGATCCTAGCCACATATTTATGCATATTGATCCCAGTTATCAACGCGCGCATTTTTTTTTTTTCCAAGCATAATCCAGAGTCCATATATCGTTCACAGATCGCCATATGCGATTCTATGTACACGAGGGTTGCATTTACGAGCGAGAAGATGATTGGCTCGGGGATCACTGGGGTTGATATCGCGATTATGGAGGAGTCCCACATCTTCGGGGACCTCTGATCGACTCTGGCAAGACGCAATAATTGAGCGAAGTCTATGCAATTCATCAGTTCGTTCCGAGAAGTTGTACAGACCGGCCCCTTTACTATATACACAAAGAGACTGCCGTATTTGTTACTTTCTCGCCGTCTAGTCAATTCCATGGGGTTCGTACCTGTTGGATGCCGCGAGAGTGCGACATCGAAGCATCGAGACAGATACTGAAGAGCCCGTTGCTCGGCATTTGTAATAAGAACAGCGTAGATCCTGAGTAAGTTGTAATAATCTTAGAGACTGTAGCTAATTAAAGCGCAAACAGACAAATCAGCGCTAACCCCATCGAGTAATCCTCAGGTATCAAATTACAGCAGATACCGGAAACATTACCAAATTCTCTTCTTTTGACCAATCAGAGAGGGCGTGTCAGAATACGATCATAGCACACGGATAGCAGAAGCGTATTCATTACATGATACCGACATAACCCTTTCGGGCTCCATCTCCTGGCGAGGTCCCCGTTGCCTTCTTCCTCTGCATATATCAAAACATGGCCGTTCACTACATCCTACATGTATCCCTGCTGTCTGTGTGACATGCCATTTCAAGAAGGCCCTACCACTACCTACAAATGCGACAAACAATGTCAATCCGCGCACAAGCTTAATTCTAACTCCCTAGTCACTAGTGCTACGACACTTTAAGAGAGCGGGACATCAGCAGGGCCCAACCATGTTCACACCCATCCACACAGCCCTGGGGGCACTGCTGCTCTTCAGCGGCTCATTTGGGCTGCTACTACACAACGGACGCGTCTTTGGCATTTCGTCGATTCTACGGACTTGTCTGTTGGATCCTGGGTTGTTGTTTCGCGGTAGTTGCGACAGGAAGAAGCAAGAGAATAAGCCGACAGAGGAGGTACGGGAAGACGAGAATTTCCCTACATTGGCGGGACTGATTACGAGTCCGTTACTGGTTAAGCTGCTGGTTCCTTCGTTGCTTCCTGCGTATTCTGGGGCAGGGTCTACGACGACGTGGGTTTCGGCGGCTGCGACGGTTGGGTTAGGGTTTTTGACGGGATGGGGAACGAAGGTATTCGATTCCTGCTGAAATCCTCTGCTTAGTCGATTGACTACTAACACAATGTAGAATGACCAAGGCTGCACATCCGGCCACATGCTCTGCGGTCTATCTCGTCTCTCAGCACGCTCCCTGATCGCTACCGCTGTCTTCTTCACTAGTGCTCTCGTCACGGCCAATTTCTCCCCCTTTCTGACAGGTGTGGACGTCATCCCTGCATGCGACGATGGCGCCATTCCCTGCTATTCCCCCGCGTATCCCTCCGGACATGAGTTGGCTGTCATGACGACAAGCTGCGTTTCGGCATTATTTACTACTTTCGTCCTTGGGCCAAAATTTCTGACGCGTTCGTACACGTCGAGGCGAGTTTTTGCCTATCTTGCGGGTGTCCAGTTCGGGCTTGGATTGCTGTTCTCTGGCATGGCCGACCCCCAAAAAGTCATTAGATTTTTCGCCGTGTTTGGCGGAGATGTCGACAAATGGGATCCATCATTGGCGCTGATTATTCTTTTCGGAATCGGTCCCTCGCTTATTGGGTTCTTGATCTTTGAACCGGGAAAGAAAGAAAAATCGCCCACGTTAGCGCATAAATGGTCTCTGCCAAAACTCACAGTTGCCGATATTAAATGGCCGTTCGTTGTGGGAGCAATGACTTTCGGTGTGGCTTGGGGTTCAAGTGGCGTATGTCCTGGACCGGCTATTCTGAGATCTGTTCTTCAACCGATTTGGGGCGTTCTTTGGATGAGTGGATACTACCTGGGTGGTGTTGTAGGATAGCTTTAGACTTGACCTTCGTGTATATGTTATTTGTATTGTAGAACCATAGAGGCGTATTTTCGACATTTGTGTTAATTTTATTCATTGCTAATAAAGTATTAGCCCGTTTCTATCAAAGCAAAATATACAAGAAGCTAATTACATACAGGTAGCAGGGAAAAGGAATATCTTACAATTCAGTTTTCCGAGTATACATCCTCTCGGGGATATCCTGCGCATCATCGAAGTACCCCTCCAACTCCATCCATTCTGCCGCAAATGCTGTGACGAGCATACTCCAGTCCTCGACAGTCGGGAGGTCGAGATGTTCGCCGTCATCATGTATAGAGTGCCAGACATCCGGAAAATGTTCTCTCCCATCTTTTTTCGACGTAGCAATAATGTGAAGAATATCGACTCCTCGGCGCAAGAACGGGATGTGATCATCCTGAATGGTCGTCGGAACACTGATGAGATGCTCACCTTTATCGGCGTCGATGAACCATTGCGGCTCATCAACTGCATGTTCAGGCTTGACATCGTAGTTGGGCGATGACTTGAACTGCTTCAAGGTCCGGAGTCGGCCCTCCAACTCCCCAAGGCTTTGGTATGCCCAATGCGTAGTGGAAAAGTAGGAATGAATCAGCGGGTCTTTCGACCCTAACAAATCCAGAAGCATAAACAACGATATGGAAGACAATGGCGTCCTGTATATCGACATGGGTGAATAGGATGTTTCTCCCCAAGTCTCTGCAAGTGATCGCGCCCCATACAAGGAGTCTGAGTTTGACCATTCCTGAAAAGCCTCCTCTCCGTCGAGGAAGAGTACTTGGATCCCGGTATATGCATCAAGCCCAGCGTCCAGCGCATCGCCTTGTGCTTCCATATCCTCCCATTTCCGCGTCAGCGCCGCATCTATACTTCGCACAGCATGCATAATCATTGCGCACGGCGCCGCACTATCAATCGCACCGATAAACCCCGTTGGGCTGTATTTACTATCGTAGTGCGCGACAAGGGTCAATCTCCCCACATCCCCCTTCGATGCCCACGGTGGATCTCGCGAGGCTATAAGATTCACAAAGGGGACTTCCTTTCCTCCGCTCACGGGCGTTTTGGAGGTTGAGTTTTGGAACTCGATTGTCCAGTCTGGGAGGCTTGTCTTGAAGAAATCGTTGAAATGGTTCAAGACGGCGGTCGAGCCGGGGGTTCCTGGTACGCGCGTCCGAAGGATCGGGGCTAGAAGTTTGCCATTGTGGATGTCAAAGTCGTTTCCTGGTCGAGGGAGTTTTCTTAGGGTGTCCTCTGATAGTTGTTGATATGCCAGGGCGAATTGAACCAAGAATAGGAACGAGATAAGGCGATGCCACATCGAGTGGACCGCGATCGCCATAGTGAGACCGCTGCGTCGACAATATATAACAACAGAAAMAAAAAAAAAAAAGAAGAAGAGGAAACTAACTTCGAAACCGACACATCATGGAAGTAGACTGGCCGACTACAAAAGATGATAGTTGTCATCTGTCGACTGAAGAGGGAGCGCCAAGACCGTCAGCTCCCCGACAGATTGCTCTTGCACTCCGATTCGCTGCCGCCGCCATCCTTCTCCAAGCTTTTATTTTGACGACATCAAAAAGTTCAAGAATTAAAGCATCGCTAATTGCATCACTTACCAGAATGAGGCCTTTTCAATCGCTCGTCCCGCAGCTCCGCTGTGTCGTACTTTCGCCTCCGGTCCCACGATGCGCCTATCGACACAATTTCCGGAGTAAATTCGGATTACGCAACTATTCTACAACCAAGCAAACGTCTTCGTCTCCAAAACCAACCCCGTCAAAAACAGCACCGCCTAAACAAGCTGCCAAAGCCAATGTTGCTCCAAGGAAACCTGTCAAGCCTGTCGCAGCAAAACCCGCCGTCAAATATTCCCCATCCCAGACTTGGAAGCCGACTGCTCAAAAGGGTATGTTGCAGTTTATTCTAGTATACTACCACAGTACAAAGCTGACTGTCGATAGCTGCGCCGGAAAATGTCCTCATATATCACGCTGGAACAGGCAGGATAGTATTCCTCGGCATGTTGCGTACGGCAACCATATTCGTCGCGGGCGTTTCTGCCATGATCATTGCGCCGGCCTTTTTCGCCGATGAATTTCCTTCCTATCTTGCACCACTAAGTATGTGACATCCTCATCCTATACAATGGCAGAAATTGTACTGACTGACTTCAGTTGTCGTTGGCGGCGCACTCCCACTTATATTCGTCGCATATACCACAGCCCCCTTTGTGAACAACATCTACATTCACCTGCCCGTCTTTGCACGAAAATCTCGTGAAGCAGCGCTAGAATATGTCAAAAGTCTCCCACCGACCGCCACACTATCAATTCGAACGATGAAAATCACCACCATCCCGCGCACGACAGAGGTGCGCATATCAGACCTTGTCCCTGATAAAGCGATCTTGAGGCCTGTTTCATTTAGGAATACGTATTCGCTGGGTTGGGGGACATTGAAACAGTTCTATACATCGCCTACGAGTAAGAATGCGCGGTCGACGCCGAAGTTTTATCCGGAGTTGTGGGATCATATTTTTACGCAGATACGGAGTCAGCGGGTCAAGTGATGTTGTACTCTGTTTTGATATGTATTATGTATGTATATTAGTTGATACCTCTCCAGAAATAGGAAATCCATCTCTCGCAGATTACAGACAGCTTGGCGAGTGTATGAAAGTTGCCCTCGCTTACTGGGCCTCCTTTGATGCTGTTCCTGTGAGCGAATATCTTCAGAATTTTGACCACTCTAGGAGAAACCCCTGAGGAAAGTCGGTGAATGAACCGCCGTACTTGAGACAAACACACTAACTAGGCTTGTAACGCGAGGATTCTCGACTAGGAGGCGTCCTTGCCACGATCTCAAACGACTGCAACTCAGTATCCTACAATCTCCAACTCCATGCCAGCCAGATCAAGACTCATTCAAACATTTTTTCCTATCTTAAGTGACGTAGCAGTCTGAGTGAGGTTAAAATAAATAACCTTTAGCGCCCTGAGCCCTTGTCTGATTTCTCTCCTTTCACACAAAACTGAGAGCAACTTTCACGTGCTACCAAACCGGGGCTTTCCTTCCTATCCATCTTAACATCGTCATCTTGTTGCTACTGTGCTCTGGTGAGGTGATTAGCTCTTCTCACAATAGATTCCTTTCTGTCTCTTCTCCTCCCCTCAACCTCTTCCCCATTCTCAACTCTATTTCCGTCGATTCTTCTCTCCTGCTCCAAAAAGTGATCTCTTCCAGAATCAAAGTAAGTTTCCTTCTCTCCTCTTCTTCTCTTTTTTCTTTCATCCTTTCTCTTGGCACTGCTCCAGTCTATTTTCTCTCAGGCTTTGATCTTCCTTCGTCTTGAGAGACGTTTCGCTCTATCTAACAAGCTCAAATCTCTTCAGATCTTTGACTACAAGTCACTTCTCTTCAATCATTCTTTCATATCTCCTATCAACTTTCATCTCTTTCAAGGTAGGTTCCTTTCTTCATCATACCAGTTCTATCCACGACAACCCTCATACGACTTTCCCTCCTCAATCGTTGCTCTCAAAACTAACCAACTCTACCCTTCAAGCACCCTTAACCTTTATCAACAACACAAAATGGCCGCCGACAAAGGTGAAAACCCAGTCAACATGTCCCAGGCGGAACTCAAATTGATCGCCTTGGGATGTCGCTTCTCCGAAGGAGGCAAGGTAAGCAAACAAATTCCCTGCCGATTTTGATTCATGACCCTCCCACTCACAACTTTCTCCTGCAGCCGGACTATGAACAAATCGCCAAATACGGCGGTTACACCAAGGGTTCCGCCCAGGTCATGTACCGCAAGGCCCTACGCAAACTCACCGACGCTTACCCTATCGAAGGCGACGCTGGTGCTGCCTCAGCCTCTACCCCTACCGTTGCTGGCACTGACCCCGTGACTCCATCTGGAAAGGCGAAAACCCCAAAGACGCCTCGAAGCCGTGCTACCGGCGGCAAAAAGCGCAAGGATACTGGTGTTGCTCCTGGTGTCGAGGATCAGGGCGCTTTTACACCATCTGGCGCCGGCCCCCAGACTCCATTTACTCCTAGCGCTGAGAACTTCCTTGAAGCCGGTGCTGACATGGCGATGGAAACACCCACTAAAAAGCCCAAGAAAGCCGCTGCGAAGCAGCCTGTCTCGTAAGTTTCCCACCTATTTCAGACCACTTTTCTCCATCCGAGTCTAGAAACCTGCTAACAGTTTTGATTTTTCTGATATTAGATCCTTCACCAGCGTTAAACCCGAGGATGACAACGATTTCATGAAGGACGAGCCCCTTTTCGACGAGCCTGCTATCAAGATGGAGTAAACCGACCACAGATCTGAGCAATGACACTTTCTGGAAATTGGGTATGTCAGTTCATTGCAACTTTGTATCATGGCTATATTCTAACATGTCTCATACTTAGGCTTTGATTCTCGTCGATAATACACCATTTACTACAATCTGAAGCACAGCCTCATTCTTGAAGTCATCAATTCTCATCTTTTTCTTGGTCTCAGTCATTGAGCAGTATACCGAAAACTCAAAGAAAAGAAAAAGTGATCTCAACTCAGTGTTATGATGGATATCTGGAGAAGTTCCCCACCGACTTGATCATATTTTTTTTTAACTTGGGATTGGTTTGGTCTTGACAATGAGAATGATGCTGGATTGGGGGAATTGCATACTTTTTTTTTTTTTGGTCTTGTTTCTTTCGAGAAGGGTTGGGGATGGTTCGATGGGGTTGGAGAGTTCCTTCTCAGTTCAGCTTAACTCAGATAGCTTAATTACATTGGATGATCGATTTCTTCAAGTTTTGTTTAGGAAGGAGATTATATGACCAAGATGGACTGTGTCTGATAAGAAAGTATGTATTCGGTCCCTTCCCCAAGATGACAGTTGAAGACTAAGTAACGAACGAGTAATTAGTTAAAAGATAGATTCCTAATCTATGGATTATACATACATGTATCGAATGTCAAAAGACAAGACGGACAGATATATTTTAAGGAAACACTGAAAATACCCGTGACAATTTCACCTATATAGTAACCGAATAACCCATAAAAGTTCCAGATAGAAAGAGAAACCGAAATATCTAAACAGTTACAACGTCTCAATAGCCTTGCGAAGAATCTCCAGTCCTCGATCGGATACATCGACATTGTCGCCCTCACGGAGCATCCAGGCTACATCACTCCACCATCCGAGCCCGACAAGACCGCCACCCTTACGACGCTCGAGACTCTCAGTCAATCGACTCGTATGCTCCCATTGTTTGGCAGAGTTCTCTGCATTCTCAATGACCTTATTGGGGATGCCGCACATCGAGGCACAGTGCATACCGAAACTACCCTCAGCGACGCCGTCTTCTAGTTTGTAGAGGAATGTGACTCGTCGCTCTTCGTCGTCGACGTGGATCCGCATTCGTTTAGGGGAAATTTCCGGGTGGTTCTCGAACTCGGCTGCAAGGGAATGGTAATGGGTTGCGAAGAAGCCTAGGGCTCCAACGTGTGTGGCGATGTGATGCAACACGGCCTGTGCGACGGCTACGCCGTCGTAAGAGCTAGTACCACGACCAAGCTCGTCAAGAATCACTAATGATTTAGGCGTTGCCTCCGATAGGATTTTCTTTGTTTCAGACAGCTCGACAAAGAAGGTTGATTGAGCCGCGAAAATGTTGTCGTTTGCTCCGAGTCGAGACATTATTCGATCGACAGGGGTGAGACGAGCGCTTTGGCATGGTATGTAGCAGCCAATCTGAGCCATAATGACCGCAACACAGGTCTATTTTTATTAGCAAGAGAGAGAGAGAGAGAGAGAGTAGCAATGAGGGTATACGTACCATGCGAAGAATTGTCGATTTACCAGCCGCATTTGCGCCGGTCAACAGGTTGATACTGGCTCTATCACCTCCCAGCTGCACGTCGTTCGGAATAAAGTCGGTGACATTCAACATACACGGATGTCGGAGCTCTTCAAATTCGAGCACACTTTTATCACTGTCGACAAACTCTGGTCTGCAGCTTGGTTGTCCCAGAGACGACGAAGCTTTGGCCAGACTAATTAGACAATCTAATTGAGCGACGATTCTAATAGACTTCAACCAAGTCTCATACTCCTCATCAAATCGTGCATAGAATCGACCTGCGACTTCCTTCACGATCTGATTGTGAGTTTCTTGTGCCTCCTGAAGCTTGCGGATAAGTGCTCGCAGTTCTGGAAAGTAGTAACGCTTCACTTGTTTCGTTGCCGACATCTGATCCCAAGTCTTTGGAACATTTTTGACCTTGATAGGTACCTCAAGTTGGTAGATTTCTTTGCCATTATCTCTGTAACAGATGGTGGTCGATCCAAGATCACGGCGAGCCTTCTTCAGCAAATTTTCTAGATCACGATGTATCTGCTCGATAATTGCTTGAGAAGCATCGAAGTCTTCTTCGATGCCTAGCTCAGGAACGAGAATACCGTTCTCCTTGGCTTTGAGTCGATCAAAGGCGGTCTTCCAATACTCGAGTGGTGACACTAAGTCTGGCATAGATGAAACGAGTTTGCCGATAAGCCCTTCTCCAGATCCGAGGTCTTTTAGCAAGCTCATAGTATATTCAATCTGCTCGAAACCTTCAAGAACGCGTAGAAAATCCTGCGCCTTGCAAGCACCAGCGTGGATACGAGATATCAGTCGCTCCAAATCCGGCATTTTGGTTAATTGTGACGAGAACTGGTCACGAATAGTGGAATCAGCATTCAACGCATCAACCGCATCAAAGCGAGCATTGATTTTATCAATATCCATCAATGGATGGCAAACCCATTGCTTGAACATGCGTTTGCCGAATGGAGTGATACAGCGGTTGAGAAGCTGGAACAAGGTACCCTCAGATCCGCCGTCAAACGAATTGGCAAATATCTCCAAGTTGATCAGAGTCTGACCATCTAGAACCAAACTCGTAGCCTTGCGGATGGGATCGTACCATGTAAAGTTACCGATGGAAATTAGATCACGGTCAAGCTTCAGAACCCTGAGGTACTGAACCAAAGCACCAAATGCCGACATGGCGTTTTCTTTCTCACGAGCTTCACGTAAGACTTGAGGCCAGGCATCGATATTGTCACTGTCTGGGGACACGAAATAGTCCGAAGCGTCCAATTCTCGCACTGCAATATCAGCTTCCCAGAACTCCTTGCCTGGTTTAAGATGATTCCAAAGAGTCGTCGGGCCAGTGTTGTTCTTCAAAATACGCATTGCTTTCTGGCTGACAGCAGATTTCTCCAGCAGCAACTCTTGGGGTCGCGTCTGGGCGACAAAGGTCTCAAATTTGGTCATGTCGGCATCATCCTTGAACTCGGACAAGTAGAATTGACCAGTGGCAGTGTCCACGAATGCAAGCCCAAAGGCGGGTGCTCCATCAAGAATGATTTCTTTAATTGCAACGCAATATGTCGACATGTCATCCTGAAGCATAGAGCCTTCAACCAGTGTTCCAGCGGTAAGAACGCACGATAGTTCTCGCTTGATGATCTTGTCTTCCTTGCCACCTTTAACCTTTTTATCGTCACGCTCACGCATCTCCTTGCCCAATGCTGACTCTGATTGATCAACTCGTGCAATCTTAAAACCTTTGGCAACGAATTGGTTTGCCCAGTGGTCGAGACTCATCTCAGGCACACCGACCATACGCATGTTTACTCGATCGGTGAGTTTGAGATCAAACAGTTGATGGCCAATCGTCGCATCATTCTCGTAGAGTTCATAAAACTTTCCCTTCTTGAAGAAGACAATAGTATCCCAGAATTTCTGTTTGATCTCCCAGTACTGCTTCTCGAATGGGGAAAATTTACTCCACGCCAAAGGTGGAATGTATATGTTACGAGGGTCGTAGTCGGGATGACCAGGTGGATTCTTGTCCATGTCCATGATATTGGCCAACCATGGATATCTCTTCTCCGGCTCGGTCTCATGTGCCTTTTCCTTGCGCTTTGTTCCACTCGAAGAAGGCTGCCGTTCTTGTCGCTCTTGACGAGGCTCCGTGTTTTCTGGGTCATATGTCCATTTCTGTGCGGTGCCTCCTGCCGACGCTTCTGGGATGTCCAAGTCAAGGTCTGCATCTGTTGGGCGGACAAGTTCTTCGGGAGTTCCTTTATTGCGTTGCGCGGGCTTCGCAGAGGCTTTCTTCCTCTTTTTGTTCGGGCGAGCATCTTCCTCCGACTCATCGGCAACGACAAAGTCATCCATTTCTACACAATTAGCCATGGTATTGATGTTGAGTAGGTGCCATACCATCATCAGACACAGGATCATCTTTTCCATCATCCTGAAATTCATCTTCACTTTCAATAGCTGGTCGACGTCTCTTTCGGGATGGTTGGGGTCGGAAGATCTCCTCGTCATCGTCTACGCCTTCACTGTCGGATTCCAGATAATTTATTTTCTTCTTCGTCTATTCTTCATAAGCACTTGTCGTTGGAAAGGGACGGACAGAACATACCCTCCTGGACGGCGTTAAAGACTGATCATCTTGTGCATTTTTGCCGGCCTGTAAACCACATTGCTTGTCAATATAATCCTCAACGCATCCCATCTTTGCCAACAAACCTTCGGAGTTGCAGAATCATCCTCATCCGGCTCAATCACATCACTGCTCGGCGCCGGCGTCAAGTTCGGGACAGAAGTCCTCTTGGTAGACGACTTAGTTTCGCCGGCGCGTTGCGCTGGAGATGACGCAGGTTCTGCCGGAGGTGCAGCCTTACGCGGCGCTGTAGAAGGAGTTGCTGGCGAAGACTTTTGGAAGAAACCCAAGATAGACCGCTGATTCTTCATGTTTTGCGTGCTGGAAGTCGAGCGCTTCAGGGCAGGTGTTGATGCGGGAGGCGGCGAGGATGCGACGCCGCTTCCTTTGGCCATTGTCAATTACTGATCAGCCAAAGGATGACTGTATCGATGAATAACGGATGGATTCAGAGATTTAGCATTGTAGTCAAACTCTCGATGTATTGAAATAAGTCTGGGTGTGGAGTTGTGTGAAAGTGAAAGTAAGGAAGGAGCTCCCCTGGTGTACTATGGTAGGTAATCAACGCGTCCAACGCGTTGAGTGGTTTGCTAGCGCGCTCCCGCCCAATCACCTTGTGCCGATTGCGGCCTCATTATCAGAGTTCGCTATTCAGGGCTTCTCCCTGAGCTTGAATGCAATTGAATGGGAATTAAATTCGCTGGATGCTTGATAAACAATGAGAGCGGGTCTTCCTTTTATATGTACAGTATATAATCACCTATATCATACAGATTCCATCAACACCGTCTAATAATACAAATCTATCTTATACATCGACCCTTCATTTCGAATTCCTGTCCGGGTTATTATTATGATACTTCCTGAGTTTGAAAGGGGCCTCTGGCATTTCCTCCACCTTGTTGATAGTGTTGATTTCGCCTGCAGCCTTTTTCTCCTTGAACTCTGCCCATCCGGGAACGTCCAAGCCCTGTTTCTCAAACTCCTCGTCATCGATAAGCTCGATCAGCTTAAGCTTCCACTTGCCAATCTTGACGATCAAAAGGCTGCCATCAATTAGAAAATCGGGGGTCTTTCCTGGAACCCAGGTCTTGATAGGAGTGAACTCCAACGCGTCGGACATCTGACCCGAGTCTCCGGGTCGGCTACCAATGGACACTCCCCTACCAACGATAAGACGGTGGCCCTCACTATTAGACGAGACCAAGCCAGCATTATAAAGAACTTTGGCAAGAGGCTGTTCGAGCACAAGGGATCGAGGAAGTAGAACACGGTTGCTTTCCATGTTCTTGTAGTTCAATGGCTTGGCATATGGGTTTCCTGAAGCTCTGTTCATGAAGCTGTATTGAGGGTTACTAGCCAGGTTTGTAGGTATGTTGGGGGGCTGTGTTGGCGGCGGGGTTGGCTCCGAGGTGGATGAACGAGGTCTAAAGAGCTGTCGGTGCTGCGTTGCTGCGGCCTCCGCCTCTGTCGGGCCGTGGACGAGGTCAACAAACTCTTTGGCGAGCGCATGCTGTGCGATTCTCTTCGAAGGATCTTGCGCCGACTCTGCCATGATCTCGGCAATTTTGTCGAGAGGCAAGAAAGTAAACATTTTCAAGTATTTTTCCACTTGTTCATCAGGCGTCCGTACGAAGTACTATCATTCGTTAGCTGAGCACAGCTACTACAATGATAGGAGACTGCTCACCTGGTAAAGCTCGAAAGTTGAAGTCATATCCTTGTCCAGCCACACTGCATTTCCGGCCGATTTTCCGAGCTTCTCGCCCGCGGCAGTAGTCAAGAGGGGAGTGGTAAGGCCAACTGGCTTGTCCACATCCTCTTCGACTGACCTTCGGTCAATGTCTATAGCCGTATTCTTGGCTACGTGTTTCACAGCGTCCATGCCAAAAAGGATATTGCCGAATTGATCGGCACCTCCAACCTGAACCTGGACGCCTTTTTTGAACAACACCCACCAATCCCATGCCTGCATAAGAGGGTAGGAGAACTCGGCATATGACATGCCGCTGCCCTCCAAGCGAGTTTTGACCCTGTTAGCAAAGTAAGTAATTCTGTCCTTGTACAGGTTCACCCGAAGAGCCGTATACGTACGTGTCTCGTCCCAACATCGGACCTAGTCTCATGTACATACCCAAATCTCGCAACACTTCGACGAATGGCGTCTTGTTCCACCAGGTATTATTGTTCGTGAGAGCTCGTCTCCACACCCATTCTTTTGTGTAGCCATAACGTCGACCGTAGTCCTCAATACTGGCGCTGATTCTTTTCAGTTGCATGTGCATGGCGGCCATGTTCGCCACTCGGACACTTCGATGTTCAGTAGCTCGGGGCCCGAGTCTGCCTGTAGGATCACCGAATTTTGCTGTTGCGCCTCCTAACTGTATGACTGAGTTAGCCACGGCCAATGATAACCCAGGCTTCGTAGACGTACTATAAAGTGAACGGGGTAACCCCAATTGAAGGCCCACGCCAGAACCATAATCGGAAGCATATGACCAACATGTAGAGAGGGTGCTGTCGGGTCGACACCGGTGTATAGGCCTGTTCTTTTATTCGTAAAGACTTTATCGAGGACTTCTCGTTCACTGGATTTCCAAACAAAAGTTAACCACCGATCACCATCGTAATAACAATTGCAGAGTATCTGAAAGTTCCTGTACAAGGTACGAGGGATGCTGACCCAACAACCTGATTCACAAGTCCGCGCTCTTCGAGATGGTCGAGGAAAGCCTTCCGTTTTCCCGCCCTAATTTCTTCCGCAAACCCTTGCCATTGCTCCTCGGCCTCCTTCATACGGCGTACATTTTGCTGGGTTATACCCCTTTTCTGTAAATTTACCGGTTCGATGTTGGATGAAGCAACAGCTCTTGGTCTTTGTACCAAGGTGTGGAGTGAGTGTTGTCCGGCGCATGCGCAAATCGAGCTCGAACGTCGGGTGACTGAAACATCTCGGAAAAAATGCACTCGGCAGGTTGTCACTCGTCTCATGGTGGGTAATGTCTGGCCTTTTCAAGGCTCAGATGCCAACGGAAAGAGAAAACAAGAGGTGGTGAGCTTGATGCGCAAATCTTCGGTCACCCGAAGCTGAGCTCCGAAGGAACAAATAATTTCTGGAGTCATACTAAAATAATATTGACGCTAATCCAATTAAGGCTAGAATATCTCAAAAATCAATCTTACAGCACCAGTCAGTCAAGCAGCCAGTAAATGCAACATTTTGGTATCTTCTGAATACTTTTGGCAATATGTATAGTCGATTGAAGGACACGAGTTGTTACATTCAGAAATAGTTCTAGTTCATGTTGAACGGTCCGATAGTAATCTACTTGTTGGGAGAACACCTGGGGATCGTATTGGTACGAGCATCATTCATATTCGATTAAAACTAAAACAATGACAGATATTGGAACATCCCCTTCGGAATCGGCCTTTCGATGAGTTAAGCTCTGATGAGATAGCGAGGACGTTCGAGGAGATTCAAGGTGGAAACCTGTTACGTGTATTAGCAACACATATCACCAAGAAATCTTTGCAAACAGAAACAGAACTGAATCAAGATCAGAAGGAAGGCAACGGAAAATATCCACACGGCTTTGCGCTTTCAGAACAGGTCTGTGATTTACATCCGAAATTTTTCATCCTAAGATTCAGGGAAGGAGACAGTGAAAGACAAGTCGAACGTACCTTTTAGACTACTGGCAAGAGTCAGGATGTATCCTGTTTAGAATTAGTTCGCATTGAACGTATTTCACTCATTCAAGCGTTCTTCATCACAACGCTTTGAAAAGTGTGTCCAATCCTTCATCATCCACCACAACCCCTGACATGACACCACCAAGTAATGATTGTATGGATCAGAGATGCCTTCATCGCGTCCGTTGATTAACAAGGTTGGTTGTGCCGAACGCCTATATCACTCTCTCACCCTCTTCCGTTCTGCAATCCTTGAGCTTCCGAGGAAGAGAATCAACAGCCCAGTGAAGAGGACGAGATAATCAAATAGAACACACTAGGCTTTCATCATCTAATGAGGAAGAAACATTAGCATATTTGAAGCGTCTAGCTGGGAATTGGAAGTGTGTGGCTCACTTGTTCAAAACTTGGAAGGATGGGAGAAAGAAGAGAAAAAATGCGAGTGGTGGGACATTTTTATACTTAGCGCGTATCCTCCGCGCTAGTGCGGATTGGGGCAGGAGCTAAGAAATTACTCTCGAGCACCTTCCGACTCTACACCTCGCGATCAATCAGTCAATTGGTTTTGTGTATAGAACATTGATACTAACATTCATTCGTCTTGATTTCTTCTTGTCTTGTTTGACATTGCCAAATACCTCTTCATCTGCGTTTTTTGCGGCGATGCTCGCCGCTTCCGTTCGCCGAAGCCCACATGCTTTGCGAACTTCATCTCGACTAAGCTACCTTGAGATCTGGAATTTCGCTCGTCAACGAGGTCTCGGTCGCGCACAGTCCCTGCCTCTGGTCGGACGAAGAAACAATCACCATGGGTCGTTGAAACCTTTGCAGCAGGTTCCAGAAATCGAGAACATTACCACTCCACTTGAGCGTTATAAGAATGCTGGTTAGAAGAGCCTGAAACCCAAAAGCCTTTCCAATTGTAAGATACTAATCAAGAAGTTTATAGTCGATTTTCCGAAAGCGACGCATAATTTTTCATCTTTATTGCAAAATGCCAGCCCTGGAGATACCGTTGTCCTTCATGGATACTTGGGAAACCGAGCAGACATATCCAAGAAGCTGTCATTTGTTAGATTGACAGACTCCACAATGAGACAAAACATTCAACTCATTTCTTTTGCAAAAAATGAAGTTCATCAGCATTTGAAGTCTCTTTCTAGTCATACCCCCGTTGCAATTCGTGGAACAGTACAAGCGAAAAAGAGTAGCGGTGAAGGTGAACGCGAAGGTCCAGACGTCGAGAAGATTGATAGTCTTGAAATCAGCCTGACGGACATTTGGCTCTTGAACGAGTTCTCCAAGGAGATCATCATGACTGCTGAGACTGTCTTTCCGGCAGAACAGAGGCATTTACAAATACGGTCAGACCGAAGCCTTCGTGAAGCACTACGGTTCCGCTCAGAAGCTCGCAAGGTTTGCAGAGAGGAACTTGAAACCATGTCTCCACCGTTCATAGAAATAGAGACGCCATTGTTGTTCAAATCTACACCTGAAGGTGCACGGGAATTCATAGTTCCCACTCGCCGCAAAGGTCTGGCGTATGCTCTACCTCAAAGTCCTCAGCAGTATAAACAGATCCTTATGGCCAGCGGTATTCCTCGCTATTATCAGTTCGCACGCTGTTTCAGAGATGAGGATCTAAGGGCTGATAGACAGCCTGAGTTCACTCAAGTATGTTTTTCTCTATTGTGATCTACAGGCAAAAACTAAAAATGATGAAATAGCTCGATTTAGAAATGTCATTTGCCACTGGCGAAGATGTCATGAATTCCATCGAAAAAGTGATCCGCAAGCTGTGGTCAAGCCTACTCAGTATTGATCTCGGCACAGAACCATTTACTAGAATGCCATACCAGGAAGCAATGGGTCGGTTCGGCTCCGATAAACCTGACACCCGTCTTGGAATGGAGATTGTTAGACTTGACTATATGCTACCGGTAGATCTCGTGCAAAAGATCACTCCTCTCAAAGATCCCATCGTTGAAGCTTTTAAGCTAGAGAGTGAAGATAATGATCCAGCCAAAACACTAGAGCTCGTTACCCGCTTCCTTGACTCCCCTGCCGGGGCGGAATTCAACAAAAATCCAGAGGGTGGTCCTGGAATATTCGTGTACGATGCCAAGAGACCCCTGCGTGGTCTGATGCCTTTTGGTTTTGAGGCTGCAGAGCAAGTTGAAGAGCTCTTAGAGCCAGATCACGGCGACCTTATCGTTTTGCAAGCACGCAAGAATACCCCTTTCTCCGGAGGATCAACGCCTTTAGGAGACCTTCGAAAAGCTCTCCATTCCGAAGCTGTTAAGGCAGGTGTCAAGGAGGCACCGAAGGGCTTCAATTTCTTATGGATTGTGGACTTTCCTCTTTTTTCCCMAATTGATGAGAATGAACCCGGACAAGGTGGCACGGCGGGCCTCGCATCTACACATCACCCTTTCACCGCACCTAAATCGGCCGCTGATGTCGATCTGATGGTGACAGATCCTGCTGCAGTAGTAGCCGACCATTATGACCTTGTAGTTAATGGCGTCGAATTGGGAGGTGGCAGCCGACGTATTCATGATGCTCGTGTGCAGGAGATTGTCTTCAGAGATATTCTCAAGATGCCAGCTTCACGCTTGACTGAGTTCTCGCATCTACTAGAAGCACTCAAAGCTGGATGTCCACCTCATGCCGGTATTGCGCTCGGATTCGATAGATTGATTGCTATCATGCTAGGCAAGGAATCTGTCCGTGACGTTATTGCATTCCCAAAGTCGGGCAAAGGAGAGGATGTCATGGTAGGTTCTCCCAGTGAGTTGTCCGAAGAGGGTTTGAATACCTATCATCTCCGTCTGAGGGAATGACCAGTTTTGGATCTCCCAAAGCAGAGAAACCACTCCTGTGGTGATGTATTATATGTATCATACGATCTATGAATACCCAATTCTTTATCATACTCGGTCTTACACGCTTGACACAAGTCTATCTACTCAGTGGCTATGTGTACGACATTTTGTAACGTTGAAAACTCCCTATCGCATGTCATAAATATCGGATACACTGTGTGATGATTCATATTCTTCAGCCGTGGAGCATTAGAGAGCCCCGCTCATACATCGCAAGGCTGAAGGACTTTTCAGGCAAGTTGATTGGTTCAAAATGAAAGGATTTATTACGCAGAGCCATAATCAGTCATGGTGATTTGAACTCGAGGGCATTCTCTCGGCAACGTGCATGTATGTAGCACATAGATGCAACAGAAAATGTGTTGTTTGTACAACTAAAACCAACTCATCCCTTATTTATCAGTCTCTCCCTTTTTTTCAGGAAATTTCACGGAGAAATCCTTGACACATCCAAGCTCAAAGAGAGATTATCGTCATGGCAGAGCCAGTGAAGCCAATCTTGGAAAAGATGCGACTCCTATGGAGAAAAGCAAGATCATCGACCAAAAGCCCGCAAGATCTTGGAGTTCCTGCTCGACAGGAGGAACCAGAACCGAGCCCTCAGCCTACAAAGAGTCCTGAAAGCGAGAACGATCAAGACCTGTGGCGATTTGCTTACAATGAGCTTCAAAAGGAAGATCCGGAGCTACTTGAATATTATAGCCTTTCACTCAAGTGTATAAATCCAACCAACTCCGACCCACTATCAAGCCCGGAGTCAACCCAAACCATTGTTTCCGCTCTCACCAAAGTCCGCGAAGAGAAGCAGTGGAAGGTGGCATGGGGTACACGTCAAATTAAGGTCCGCGTACAGGTTGTAAAGTTGATCAAGTTCGCTCTCGGATGCAATTCGATCATTGGGCCAGCTGCAAAGTCCCAGCCGTATGCGGCCTTGGCTTGGTCGGGAGTGACTGCTTGTCTTTCAGTGAGTGAACACTCCGTATTTTGACGATATAAATAACATTCTTACTCGTTTTTAGTTGCTTTCGGATGGTCTGAAGCAAGCAGAAGTTATGCTGGCAGGGTTCAATTACACTTGTGACAAACAACCGTACTGGGGGATTTACGAAAAGAGTCTCGGTCCAATTCCGCCGGATATACTAGGAACCCTGGTCAAGCTTTATGCACACATATTGAAGTACCAAGCAACTGTCATATCCCACCTGTCCAAGAAACAAGTGCAACGTGCATTGAAATCCAAAAACCTTTGGGAGGAAATGCGACTGAACGTTGAAAGGCAAGACAAGGTCTGTCTGGATATGATCAACATGATTGAACGTACCAATACCCAGAAAAGGTTCGATGCGAAATGGAAGGCCATTGAAGAGTCACCTGCTGTGCAAAGGGAGATCAGAGATTCACTAGGCCTCATCAGGTCAGAAAACCAATCATGGCGAGACCAGGAAGACAGGAGACGACTTCTAGAGATTCTGTCCAGCGACTGTGACTATGAACGTGGCAAAAATCTGAATCCTCATACTGTCGCCGGAACGTGTGAGTGGTTTTTCAAGCACGAAAAGTTTAGGACGTGGCGAGACATGGATTCAGCTTGTATTTTGTGGCTGTCGGCCGGTCCTGACTGCGGGAAATCGGTCCTTTCACGAGCGCTTATCAACGACGATATGCTAACTACGGAAGAGTCTACATCAACAGTCTGTTACTTTTTCTTCAAGGAGGAAGATCCACAGTGAGTCACCAACAGCAATGCCTTAAGTGCTATGCTGCATCAACTATTCACATTGCATCCCAATCTTATCAATTGCGCCCTAGACAGTCATAATGCCTTTGGGAAGAATCTGCGCAACAACTTTCTCAGGCTATGGGATATCCTGCTGAAAAGTGCCGAGCAAAATGAAGCAGGGGATATCATTTGTCTTATTGATGCTCTTGACGAATGCAAGGAAAATGACTGCAAAGAGCTTATAGCCTGCATTATCCAATTTTATGAAAAGGGCATTCAAGATAGACCTCTACCACACCTCAAGCTCCTGGTGACAGGCCGCCCATACGATTACATCGCGGAGCTTCAGAAGCTTTCCCCCCATCTTTATTTCTGCTTTGACAAAACAGTCCGACAAAAGCTATAAGAGACGATATTAAATTGGTCATCCAAGCAAGGACCCACAAACTCACACGTTTTGACGACGGCAAAAAACAAGAAATTGTGTGCCTTTTCAACAAACAGGAAAATTGCACCTACCTTTGGTTCACGCTTAGTTTCAATATTATTGAGTCCGCACCTTCCGCATATTCCAGATTATCTGATATTGAAAAGCTTTTGGCTGAAATACCCCCTGAGGTAGATGCGTACGAGCTTATTTTGAAAAGGGTTCAGAATCAAAGCGTGGCTATGAAATTGTTTCAGATCGTAACAGTATCCCGGTCTAACCACATCGACGATCTCATTGTTGCTCTTACTCTCGCAATCGGAAGCGAGAAAATCAAGACATATGAAGATATAGATAAGAGCTTGTACAAGTCCGAGTCTTACAGCGAGATTCTACGAAACTTGTCTGGGCTGTTTCTTGTCATTCGGATGGCGACACTGAATTGCATAAGGCCATATCAGTGGCTAAAGCTTTTGTGACGGAATGTTTGATCGAAAATGGAGCAAGTATCGAAATCACCAATAATAAAGGCGAGACACCGTTACATGTAGCGACCAAATGCGAGTTTTGGATAGACGTGGATAGCAAGATAAGGTGGCTTTGTAGAAAGGGAGCTACAGTAGAAGCTGAGGACACCTCTGGGTCATCCGTTCTTGGTCTTATTCTGGCGAGGGTTGAGAAAGAGTTACAAGACTCGCGAGATACTGCGGCTATCAATAGCGCAGCAGACAGCGTTCGTTTCTTACTGATGGACAGGTAAGCAAACACATCCCACCCGAGCGTCAAGATGCCCTTGGAGCTACTAATGGCGCGTAAGCACCTTCCGGAAGACTTGAGCAGCGTGTTTGACGAATACAAAGCATACAAGGAGAAAAAGGGCATACCATGGGCTCTGTCAATAGTCACTATGAAATTGCTTCTGATACTTTGATGATAGGTATCGTCGATTAAATGCTTAGGGGAGAAAAAGTCCTAAATTCTCACTACCTACTTCAGCTATCAAATTCCCTCTCACTACCTCCAACTTGCCTTTTTCTGAATTAGTCAGTACTCGATCCATTCATATCCAGCAGATGACCCGAAATATGACTACCTACAAACCCTAAGCCACCCTACAAGCCGTACTTGGACAATACCCATGATTACAAGCAAAACTACACAATCCCAAATATGAATCATCCTCATTGGACAACGGCACACCGACCGTGCCCGTAACCGGTGGCGTGGGCACAGGTGCACCGTATGCGGTGCAAGTGCATGGTCCCGGAGGACAGTAGCCGTAGTTGCAGCAGAAATTGCAGAGACCGACGTAGTTTCCTGGTCCGGTGCCGGCGACGCAAACCGTGCCTGATGTTGAGGTACTTGTTGATGAGGTGGTTGTGGATGTGGTCTTGGTGGTTGATGTACTTGTTATTGTGGGCGATGTTGTAGTTGTGCTGCTGGTTTTGGTACTGCTTGTGGTCGTAGTGGTAGTGCTTTTGGTTGTGGTCACTGGAACTGAGGTTGTGGTTACTGGTGGTGCAGTTCCGAGACTAGGAGTAGCAGCACAGGTTGAAACGTGCAGGCCCTGTACGAGCGATGCAAGACCAGCAGGTCCTAGAGGATCACTAAATCCAGCTGGCAGGCTTCCAACTATGTCATCCCAGAAGAGAAAGGGTCAGCTTAGTGCACAGGAAGGGCAACAGGGAGACAAACCGTAAGCATTGAAGTTATACAACCCACAAACACATCCATTTATAATCTGCTTCAAACTCGTACCCTGGAAGACAGTAGCGCCATTCCGAGTCACAGAAAATGTCTGGGTGCCGACTCCCATAGGGACCTGGAACGCATTCGCCCCAGCCGATGCCTGAAAAGTCTGCGAATTACTGCCGGAAGTCACAGTAATCTCAGCAGCGGCTGTGAACAACGAAACTACAAAGACGGAGTCCTCCATGGTCTGGTATCCATTGGGGCGGCCAATGAAGTAGTTTCCGCTGGAGTTGCTGGCATTGGGATCCATGCAGGTATCTGTCGCGTCACAGTCGACGTCCTTCGGAGTAGGTCTGTACCAGTAGATGAGCTCATCGCTGGTGATGTAGCTGTCGACTGCTGTGGCGCCGGCTTTGAAGGCTGCGATGAATGGTTTGGCGAGATCGAGCCAGCCGTCGTGTGGCCTTTAACGAAGTATTAGCATACATGTTTCAGCCTAATGACAAAAGGACCTTACATATCATTGACCCATTTGGAAGCTCCATCGTCCGTGTGAGGAGAGTCAAGAGGTCCGACATAATGAGACTCGCCGTAGTCGTTCCATGTAACAATTTCAATGAATCGAGGGCCTAGTGTCAATAGCTCCTCCCAGCGATTGTACCATAGCAGATCAGAAGGGAAGACCCAGTTCTTGCTGTAAGAGACTTCGGGGCCAAAGTGGGTCGAGAACCAGGGAGAGGCAGCTATTTATATCGCATCAGTCTTGAGTAAATAGAAAGCACGAAGCCACCCAGGTAAACGTACGAGCAATGTATGCCTTTCCAGCGAGAGCTGAGATATATTGCTGATCACCCTGTTCCACCGTCACATTTCCAGTAGCATCTGGTGCCTTATTGTTCCCATCATTCGGCCACGCCATCCAATTCAACAACCCATCAACATTCGACAGATCCGTGCCATATGAAGGATGGAAATTGGGCGCAAAGAACAGTTCGGAGCCAGCCGCCGAACGCAGTGCAGCAACATCAACACCGTCTCCGGCAAAGGACGAAACAAAGACTTTGTTATCGACCATGAGCTGGGCGGGTAGACTGGCATACTGAGCAATCTTTTGCCCGATGGCGGTAGCTTGGCTGGTGCTCCACCAATTGAAGTCGAAGGAGATGAACACTTTCATCCCATTGTTTGCGGCCGAGGCGTAGGCATAGCCTAGTTGTTGATCTGTGTAAGGGTCGACGCCGATGTTGAGGGCGAAGGCGTCGATGCCATATGATTTGGCGCGTTGCATGTCAGCGTCATAGTCGGCTGAGCTGGTGCGGTCACTGGTGATGCCAATCTGTAATGATACGGTCAGCCATTGTCGTCCCTATAAACGAATCCACCAACGTACCATGAAATGAGCAAAGACAAATCGATCAGTCGACTGTCTCTCGCTCAAGGAGCGTTCCTGGCTCGGATGCCCCTGAACCAAGGTAGTCACAGCGGACAACGCCGCAAGAAGAAAGCTCTTTACAATCATCGTGATCAAAGACTCTCAAAGTAGAATAATTTGATCCCTAATGTTGACCATGGGATACGAAGAGGAGACCCGGGGGCTGACTCACTCATATATAGGCAACATTTCGTCCCATGTTCCCCATCCTCATTGTTGGATTCATTTGGGCCTAGCGGACATGGCTTGCTGACAATGTAACTGTGATATACTCACGTTGGTTTCTTCAGCAATATTCCCGTAAACAAGATGATCGCCTGGACGAGTGAATAAATCCGATTGGAACTACGGCCGAGCATATTCGAAAACGAAACATATCATACGCAGCTCTCAATGTAAGTCGACCTCCCTCGAGGCATCGAGAGAGGTCATAGGCTCAAAGACCCGCTAAACTAGCTGGGAAAGACCTCACGGTCATCAATTGATCTTCGTCAAGTGATGATGATTCTTGGCGGCGCAGGATAGGTTGGGGAGGATGTAACATCGCCAGCCCCAATATGGAAATCTATGAGAATTGGCGCGAAAATTCTGGCTAAAGTGCCTGTAGAGCTAATAATAGTTTAATCGAGCCTCAAGGTAAATTAAATCAATATGTATATGTAATTATTGATTCAAGGTTGGAGTCTTCAACGTTGGTTTGGCCCACCCGGCAAGAAAGACTGCTTGACGTTGATATATTCCCGAAGGTCGCCTCACTCATCAACCAGATGCGTTCACGGATGTCTCTGCAATCCAAGTATTTGGAGATACAAAAAACAAGTACTATTGTCAGAGCACACATCGCTTATCTCCCATTTCTGTCGGCAGATTAAAGTGATGCTTGCCGGTATAAACAAGGAACAACAAGAAATCGCCGCTCGGGCTGGCAGCACATGAATGAAGTTAGGGCAAGCCATCGAGTCACGCCATGGTTACATCCTGTCAACCTCCCACATGAACGCTTGTACGACGGGAATATGCACTGAAAATAGAAAATGGTCAATTCTATGTACGATGTAAAGAACAGGCTCATGATTACGAGAGAACGATCGGTGGAATTTTTACATGTCAGGTGGTATGTCTCAAACATCCCCGCGCTTAATGTTCAAACCGGAGTAGGGCAGTCTTCAGTAGATCTTCGAAAGCTGCCAGTAATTAAAGTTGACCTAACTATGCTCACTTGATATATAACACCATTTTCGCTGGGAATGCCTAAAAGCATGAGATTACATCGCGAGCTGCATGCACTGACCTCTCAGCGTAGTAGTATCAAAATTCATTCCAGGCCATATGATATAAAACATCCTTATCCAAACAAATCAAACTTTCGTGACACTCAAGAATCCATGATTAGCTACTTAAATCAACCAATCTTTGCATTCGAAAAGTCCATTTCTGAAATACAAAAACACGTCAGCTGTCAAAACACGAAAATGCCGGCTTAAATCCTCCTCCTGCTGGGTTGAATCGTCACTAACCTGGATGCTCCTCCTGAAATTTCTTGAACAAATCCATCTTCCGCTGCTCATCACTGGTCGGCTTCCCTATCTCCTTTTGTCTCTGATCAAACATCATCTTCTCCACCATCGCCCTCGTTTCACCATCCAAGTCACCCAGCGACGAATTCTCGGGCGTGATCTTGGTGACGTCGATTTTGGGTGCGCTGGTCACGATGTGCGGCCACCATTCCATTTTGTTGACTTTATCGAGGTGGATGGTTACTTGTTTGCCCGTGGGAATGGTTTCGAGCATCCATGTAGAGTCGTCTGCGTGAATCGCGTGGGGGAAGTCGCCCTATTCTCGTAAGTACATAGTCCTTAACCTTTATTCACGACGCTCTTGGATATGGATAATTTTTACCTCGATAATCGGCGCCTGCCCTTTGAGAGCAACCTTGATCTTTGTCTTTGTAAGAACTACATCCAGGTCCCTCCCCTTGATTGTGCCTGGTACAGGGATTGAAACTTCTGCTTCGCCGATTGTTTGTGTCCATTTGTAGGGTAATAGTGCCTGCTCGGCCTCTTCCTTGGCCTTGCGCTCTTTCTCTTCTTGTTCTCGCAGGGCAGTCTCCTCCCGGGTAGGACCGTTGGGTTCTTCGATGTCGTCCATATTAAACTGAGTGTTCTGGAGAAATGGAGAGGTGAGAGTCGATTTGCGAATTACTGCCCGCCTGCGATGTAGCTATCGCGAGTATGATATCAGCTACCGTAAGCGGGGTATGGGCTGTTGCTTTGTAAGGTACGCTTGGTTCGTGGTCTAGAAGCACCGCAAGAACTATACCACAATAATATGTGATTATATGAGAGGTAGAATGACTCAAGCAAGCTGTTTTATAAGGGAAAAAAAATACAATTGTATGATTGTTTCTAAGAGCTTCTGGCGGATTAAAGAACCGCCCCGCAGCAGATCCCATTCCCCACATGAGCATCGACCCTAACCCTGATTGCAGCTTTAAGGTATTTGATATATCCATATACAAGATACAATATGCATTTGACACTACCACGCTGTGTTCTTTTACAGAAGCTACACGGTAGCGGAAAACTATATTTTTCGAATGGTCCCCAAGGGCAATGTCCCAAGATGCGTCGGATAATTTTGAATAGTGTTCATTTTATCGTCTTTGTTTTCTCTCGTACAACAATTCGATAAGCGTCCATGACCACCGAGGCACGTACTTCTCAGCTACACAAGGGAAAAGAACGCGCAATCTAACAATAACGCCTTATTTCATGGTAGACAATAGATAGAAAGAGTTGTCCCTCCGCACAATCTTTTGTCTTCTCTCCAAGCTCTTATCCCCCTCACGATTCCACGTAACTCGTTGGGATGGACTTTGACATTCGGGTCGCATTAAAAGGAAAGAGAAGGAAAAGGATAAAGAAGATTTTTGGAGTCCCGTAAATCCCGACTGGTATCGCATTGTGTGAAAATTTTTGGTTTTAAAAGTTGTAACTTCATTAATTACATGACAACACCGGAGTTGGAGGCGATACGCTGGAGAAGAGGTTAGTTACGTGGACATGGTCTTGGACCTCTGCAGATAACTTACAGGCCAGAGCTCAGCAGCTTCCTTTCCAACGGGACCAGTGATGGCAGAGCCCTTCATTTCACCCTTGGCGTTGACAATCTAGAGTTCGTTAGTTTTTAGTTTCTGATCTCGATAGCGGCACGGAGAAGGGTGATTCGACATCGAAGCTTAACGAGATCTTCAGACAACAATTTCAAGACAACTCGTATCTAGCGACTATGCAAATCACCCTTTCCCAGTAAGTGAATCACTTACAACACCAGCATTGTCCTCAAAGTAAAGGAAAATGCCGTCGGGTCGTCGCCAGGGCTTGCTCTGACGGACAACGACAGCGGGCATAACTTTCTTTCGCAATTCGGGCTTTCCCTTCTTAACAGTGGCCATGACCATGTCGCCAACACCAGCGGCGGGGAGACGGTTGAGGCGGGCACCGGCACCSGTAACGGAGATGATGTACAAGTTGCGGGCTCCGGAGTTGTCGCAGCAGTTCATCACGGCGCCACTATATCACGTTAGTTCTTTCATATCATTAAACATCGTTTCGTGATCGTTCGATTTCGTGGCAGGAAACATTCGCAATTTGACGTTGATCCGGGGTTCACGTACACAGGCAGACCGAGAGTCATTCTAAGCTTGTTGCCAGCGGCACCACGACTATACACAAATATTGGTTAGCTTCACGATCGAAAAATTCTTGCAAGTCCAGATTCTCCTCTTGTCGCCCATCCAGACTGTATATCAAGCGGAATACACAGATTTCTCGAATAGCAGTCGAATATAGACGAAATCGGTTGTCGTAGTATGGTTGTCCAGCTCCAAAACCGTTGCAACGAGATTTTCAAGCCCATTCCACCCAAATTCACCAACCAGAAGAATTCCAGGATAAAAGAAATAGAACTCACCCTCTGTTCGACATTTTGGCGGTATGTCAAGTTAACTGTTTAAATTGGCTGGACGGGGAATACGCAGGTCGGGAGAGAGAAAGGTCGACTGGGTGCGAGTCGAAGGTATTCACACAACCAAAAAGCGGGTCGGGAATTGGATCTCGCTTAGTGTGTGAGCGTCGGCCTGGAAGACGAAATCTTGGCACACGCGCGGTGATTGGCGGAAGTGCGGGATGTAGGTCGTGCCCTAATACTAGTCCCAATTCAGACATGCCCTAATAGTTTTACATTCCGGGGATGATGTCCGTTATGTCAATCTGTATGGCTATATTCTGCAACAAACTGCTTCTAGCGCTGCTGGATTAATGCTTAATGATACATACAAACATAAATAGAAGATGACAACAGATCCCAGAGAGACAACTACCAGATGTGATGCAACATCCAATAATCGAAAAAAAAACACCATAAGTCCAAAACACCATTCCGATTTTCGTCCCGGACGCCAGAAACTCAAGATGTGGCCCTCGCCCCCCTGGGTACTGACTATGATTCAGTCTTCTCAGGCTCTTTAGATTCACTATCAACCTGCTTTCCTGATCCTACCTCGGTCGTTGTAGGTTCTTCTGCTGTAGTCTTTTGTTCTGCTTTGGGCTCATCGTTAGCTTTCTCTTCCTGTTTGGTTTCAGGCTCTTCGGCAATGGTTGTATCAGCAGCTGGCGGGGATGGTGCAGCCGGTTCGGTCTCTACAGCAGCGGCAGCAGGTGGGGATGCTGGAGGTGTTTTCTGCTGTCCGACAGTTTCTTCTGACGGAGCAGCCTCTGCTTCAGTTGCCGTTACGTTGGCATCCTCCATATCAATATCTGAGTGCACATCGCTCAGAGCTGATGCAGGTGACTCGGCACGCGTGGAAGGTTCCTGGGCGTTGTCCTTGGTTTCCGCAGCTAGCTTCTCTTCTATCTTCGAGCCTGTGTCTGCATCGGAAGGAGATTGGCGGCTTTCTGCTCCAGTTTCTGGTGCCGATGTCAGGGGCTTCTCGGCCTCGATATCAGCCGTCACATCCATCTCCTCGTCCTGGTCAGGCACTGCAGAGGCTTCTCTGGGTGTTGCCATGCCACTTTCCAAGCCAGAGTCCGCAGCATCAAGGTGACGATGACTGATGTGGTTTCTTCGGCGGGCTGCTCCTGGCTGCCGACGAACACCGTTGGCAGCAAGTTCGTCTTCGTCTTCGCTGTCACTAAGCTCACCAGTCTTTTCGACATATTGATCGAAACGACGTTGTGTGTATCGCTTGTCTTTATTCTCATCTTCATCGAGGTCATCCATGATTGCGTCTGCCTCGTCGTCCAAGCCATCGATAAGTGGATCGCGGGGGACGTCAGTCATTTGTACGGAAGGTGCGAAGCCAGTGCGTCTGAGGTTCTCAATGACTTGATTACGGATCTTGTCAAGATATTCCTTCGTATTGGCATTATCCATATTCGATGGTCGCACGTCCAGTTCGTAGTCGGGCGAGAAGTACTGTATACTGTTAGCTTGAGCTTCACGGTGTAGAATAGCGACAGCCTTACCTCATAGTAGTCGTTGTAGGGCAATTGCGAGTCGAGTTGCTCGTTCAGGAGAATACCCGTCTCAAAAGCCCAGGTACGGGCTACGTTGCGCATAGTATAGCCACCACMTCCCAAAACCAAAGTTGGCAAATTAAAACTCTTCACAAAGTTGACACAGTTGGCATGACCTCTCATGCTGAGGTTGAAGCAACCAAGACGATCGCCAGACAAGCTGTCTCCACCACACTGTAGAACAACGGCCTCGGGTCGGTACCATTCCATGACGTTGCTGATAACCGGCTCGAAGATGCTCTTGTAGGAGACATCGTCGATTCCGTCACGCAGAGGAAAGTTGACGGCGTAGTATTTTCCTGATCCAACACCGATATCGCGAAGCTCACCAGTACCGGGGAAGTATTCTCCATACTTGTGGAAGGAAACGGTCATGACACGATCTGTAGTATAAAAAGCCTCCTCGACACCATCACCATGATGGACATCAATATCAATGTATAAAACACGCTGCTTGAATCGTAGAAGTTCGAGGATACCGAGGACGATGTCTGTAGACCGTTAGTTAGAACGCTGGTCTTTGCGATCGTCTGACACTGGAGCTTACCGTTCACATAACAGAAACCGCTAGCCTCGCTCTTCTTAGCGTGGTGAAGACCTCCTGCCCAGTTGACTGCGATGTCACACTTGTTGCGGTTCAAACGGGCTGCGCCTTCCATACTACCTCCAGCGCTGATGCCACAAAACTCGAACAAGCCATCAAACACTGGACAATCATCTCCGACATTGTACTTGCTCTGTTCTTTCGAGTACTGCTCCATATTGTCGGGTGTCACTTTCGATAAAAAGTCGATATATTCATCCGTGTGGAATTGGGTCATTTCGTACTTGGAGGCTGGTTTGGCACGCTGCATAAATTAGCGCAACTAATCTTTAAGTAAGAGCGATGCGCAAGCTAATAAAACTCACATAAATCTCCATCTTTTTGTACAGACCATAGTTCATCACTAGACTGTGGGCCATTCGTATACGGTGTGGCTTCATGGGATGGCCTGAGACGTAGGCATAGTTACCGACGTCCGAATCATAAAAATATGCCACTTTCTTTCCCCGATCAGCGGCACCATTCAGGTTGATCGGGTCAAGGGGTGCAACGCCAGTCATGGCTATGCGTCCTCGTTGACTGCACTCGAAATCGGGGTGGCAGGACAGAAGACCGTCTCCAAGTCAGGCTTGCGAGGATTGAAAGGATAGCAAAGGACTTGAAAGTCCTGTGTGGGGTGGCGAATAGCGAGATCAGTGGACTGCAAGTAACTCAATGAGGCGAGCAAAGAAGTTAAAGGCTCTCACCAACACCGAAGAAGTGAAGGGTGTGAAATAAGGGAAGTTGAGGGGAAAGGGAAGAAAGTGATGCGCATAGATTCCAGAAAGGAAAGACCAAGGCGGTAAGGCGGGAGCGGGCGAATGACATCGCGCGCTGGCTGGGTGGACTCTCGGAGCTATGGACGACGGACCGGGCTGCTGATTGATCTTGCCTCATCAACAATTAACACCCTTCCTATCACCTCAGACTAAAGCAACTTTACGAATCTTCTTTGCTCTTTCAAATCCTGTACCACACTTTCAAGTTCCATCTTCTTGTCTAGTCGCACCTGGTACTTCCAGCTTGAGCTCTGCAACTTGCCTCAAGCTTCCCGCAAAGGGAGCTCTCGCCCTCATCACAATCCTTCACCACTCTAACTCGATTACGAATCGCTCATCATGGAGCGAATAAACCGCATGCTTCAGACTGCCCATGGCATGGGAATGGGTAGCGCAGCCCCAGGAGCTGTAAGTAGCTCAGCTTGCGTGACCACGAGACCATTTCAGTCAAGCTAACATCATCGCTAACAGGACAGCCCCAACTTGATCGATAATTCGGAGACCGTTCACATCTCGTCGTTGGCGTTGTTGAAGATGTTACGACATGGCCGAGCTGGTGTTCCTATGGAAGTCATGGGTTTGATGCTGGGAGACTTTGTCGATGAATATACCGTGCGAGTTGTGGATGTGTTTGCTATGCCTCAGAGTGGAACGGGTGTGAGTGTCGAGGCTGTGGATCCTGTTTTTCAAACGAAGATGATGGACTTTTTGAAGCAAACCGGCCGGTATGACTATAGTTGTACGTTCTTCGAGCAGATAACTGATTTGTGACAGACCTGAATCAGTCGTTGGCTGGTACCACTCGCATCCCGGTTTCGGTTGCTGGCTTTCGTCCGTCGATATCAACACCCAGCAATCCTTCGAACAGCTCACCCCTCGCGCCGTTGCCGTCGTGGTCGACCCAATTCAGTCCGTCAAGGGCAAAGTCGTCATTGATGCCTTTCGACTAATCGCACCACAGACCGTTGTCATGGGCCAAGAGCCTCGTCAGACCACATCTAACTTGGGTCATCTCAACAAACCGTCTATCCAAGCTCTTATCCACGGCTTGAACCGTCACTATTACAGCCTTGCAATCAACTACCGCAAGACAGGTCTTGAGGAGAACATGTTGATGAACCTACACAAACACGTCTGGACAGAAGCACTGCAGATGAATGACTTCCATGAAGATGGTAAGAAAAACGTGGACAGCATGCAACGCCTCGTCGAGTTGGCGGAAGGTTACGAGAAGCGAGTCAAGGAAGAATCCACATTGACCAAGGAGCAATTGAAGACTCGATATGTGGGCAAAGTTGATCCTAAGAAACGTAAGAACACGCTTTTCAACGCTTTACTTGATAAGGCTATGACTGAATACTTACCGTTTAATAGACATCGAGGACGTCGGACAGCAATTAATCGAGGACAACATCGTCGCCGTGTCAAGACAAATGATCAACAAGGAATCGTCAGTTGCAAGGGTGGCGAATGGACAAGATAAAGAGAACGAGGCACAGATGGACGTGGATGATGAGAAACTATAACCGTAAAATTACTTCTCTTCTAATAGATGTCGTTGCATTCTATAAACATGATTTAGCACTTGTAAGCCTACATCGAACTGTGATATAACTACACATTACGATCTTGTTCTCATTATTTCTCACTCAGACAAGTATTTATTGATAGATTGACTCTGCTCGAACGCGGAGCTCAAGTACTCAGGATTAATATACACTTTTTTGTGCTTGACAGAAACACAAACACAAACACAAAATTGACTCTTGACTTCACCAACACACCAAAAGAAAAGAGGGGATTGCTCTAATAGAAGTTTTGCAAAGGACATGATCAAGATGGATGCAGATAGGTGGACCACATGGCATTGAAAAATAACCCCGGAGAATGCACTTTAATAAGGGGAGGGAAAAGAAAGGAAAACATACAGAAGAAGGTAGTGACCAAAAAAGTAAAAAGACATGATTAGAAGAGTGTAACTTCGTATGAAGGGGGTAAGCGGGAAAGGGGAAGAATGTGCAATGCCAGTCATAAAATCATTCGACTAGAAGACATGGCTGGACTAGACTATTTCTTCTGAACTTCCTCTCCGGCAGCACCAAAGAAGCCGGTCAAACTTCCCTTCATGCTCTTCATCTGCTCTTGCCGTGCCTTCTCTTCTTCTTCAGCCATCATCTTGAGCCATGTCTCTCCGTTCTCACGAATTTCTTGCTCCATCATCTCATAATTCTTCTGACCGCGTTCACGGATCTGGTCCCAGAGCATCTTCTCTTCGGAGGGGCCTTGGCCGTCGATACTGCTCTGTGGCTTCAAGCCGAGAAGACCGGCAAGGTTGCCGACACCGCGGCGGGGGCGGCCCTTTTGTTCTTCTTCCAGTTGTTTCTGGAATTTTTCGCGCATCACCTTCTCGCGTGCGGCGAATTCGGCGGGTATGTATGTGCCCTCGAATGATTTGATGACGGGACGGACGTCCTCGACGTTCATGCCTGCTACATATTCAAGGAAGGGGATCAAAGCGACGAGGGATTTGTCCTGAGGGTCGCCTTTCCACTTGGGTAGGATGATGGCGTTTTCGGGCTGTTCACGAGCGTGACCGGGTACGGTATCGATGAGGATGACTTTGGAGAGGTCACGATTCAAGTAAGACAGATCCTATCAAAAGTAAGTATTGCGTGTAAGAATCGAAATCAGAAGGGTGAGATCTACCTTGACGTATTCTCCATCCTTGTACTTGGTGGCTTCGCGGAACAAAGGCCATCTGATGATGCGGAAAGGATCGAGCTTTCGCAAGACCTGGTCTGCCATCATACTTGGAACACTGGTGAACAAAACAAGCTCATAGTACTGGTTCAGATAGCGCAGGAAATAGTCGACACCAGGTCGCTTGGCCACACGCCAGCCGTGCTCTCTCGTCCACTCGCTGTGAACCAAAAGGTCTTCTAAACTGAGTACCAATGTATACGGCTGTCTCAATGAGGGATCTTCTTCAGGCAGCAGCTTATCAAAGGCAGGGTCTCTGTAATAGCTAGTGAAGCTGTTCATACGAGCCTTGATTCGGTCCCAGAAGAGTCCAACACCCCATCCAGATGGAGCATCTTTGTGAGCTCGAGCTTCTTCCTCCGAATCCCAATTTCGACCCATATAGACTGTTCCACCGAGGAGACCACCGAGAAGGATACCATACATCACATTAGCGACGCGAGCTCGGCGACGGTCCAGCGAAGACTCGTACGCCTCCTTTGATCGGCTGCCACTAGCGCCTTCATCTTCGTAGTCTTCGTAGTCATGCTTGGAAGGATCCTCAGTCAGATTTAGAGAAGTCGTTTTGCGTCCTTTGCGCGCTGCATCAAGTTCTGCTCCCAGCGTAGATGGGATACCTTGTGTCAAATCCGGAAGAGGTTTCTGCGGTTTTTGGGCCTGAGCCGGTTCCTCGGCCTGGGCTACTGTCTCGAATTCGGGCTGTTCGGGTGACACATCAGGTTCAGACGAGGGTTTCTCAGATGTAGACTTCGCAGACGTAGTCTTAGCGGTACCAGTTGAGGCGCTCGCTGCTGCTTTTGCTCCTGAAGAAGCGCCAACAACAACTGGTTTCGACTTCGGCTGCGCCGATTGATTCTTGGCTGATGTATTCCTCTGCTGAGAAGGCTTCGACTGTGACGAACTCGCCTTTTGGTTGGGGAGAACGTACGGTGTTTTCGGTTTATTGTTCTGTGCGTACCATCGTGGATATGAAGATGCCGTGAGGGATGAACGGAGGGTGGAAGGCACTGGGCGAGCCCTGGCGAGCGGCAGAACGGAACGAACAAGCATGATGCAGGAGTGTGTATGAAGGAAAGACAACTGCGAGATCTATATAATCATTTCCTGGTCATCAATGCCCAAGCGCCTGGTCCAATCGGGATGAATGCCTGGCTTAATCGAGAAGAATGGTCGACATCAATTGATTGATGATGTCTGTCTCTAAAAAATCCAGTGAGAAGCTCGACCACGAGCGTCATCCATCAGGCCAGTCCCGATCTGTCCTAGCGCCAAAACAAACTCGGCAGAACTGCCGGCCCGTGCCAAGAAATTGTATCCCGCCTTTAAATCTTCGTTCTTTCGTCCCTCTCTTCTTTCTCTCTTCTTTTCTTTCCCATAAATGAAAGTTGAATCCACCCAGATTATCGAAATTTGACCCATCACTCTTCCTCTCCCATGGATGCCGGGTTGTATTAGCTGGGGAGACCCAATGAATCTGATTCAGTCTTGCACCCAAGAGCGGCAGCTAGGCCTCCTGTGAGCTGTGCAGCCCCGTATGCGAGACACATCTATTGCCACCATGATGTCTACTATCTATAATATCCATATCTCAATATAAACAGACTATGAAGTTGCGCTTTTCCATCTCTTGGTATTCCTTTCAGCTAGACACATGAACCCGGATCGGTATATATAAGCGAAACCCATTCGACATGGCCGCCCTGGAAGCTGAACTCAGCAAGCTCACTCTTTCGAGTCCTTCCGAGGACAAAGGGAAACAGAAGGAGAAGGAGAGAAATGACCGTTACAACACGGATGACGAGGATTTCGACGATGAACCTAGGGAAATCCCGCCTTTCAGATTTTTCGACCTACCTTCGGAAATCCGTTTGAAGGTGTATGAATACGTGCTATTCGGAGAAACGAAGAGGAAAGGACCACCGCGCACAAATGGCAACGCGGGCTCGTCACGCAAAAATAAAATTCCAGCGCCCTTGTCCCATCGACTTTCCCTTTTTCTTTCGTCGCGACGCATCCATGGCGAAGCCTCGGTTCTGTTCTACTCTGTGCAAACATTCCGCGTTTTTCAGATCCAGGATTACTCTAAACAACCTACGCTAATCAGCCTTGCGCCGTCTTACCGACCACTTATAAAAAAGATTGAACTCATCCTAGGATCAAGCTGGACCGCACCTCCAAAGTCATGGAAAGTCACGAAGCACCTTGGCTTGACGGAAATGACGGGTGTTCGGACATTGAAGATCTTTATCCAGTGCGATCCATCGCATCCTGTCTTTGAGGGGTTCCGAGTTTCTTCGGACTTTTATACTGGATTCGCCGGGGGTTTGGTGCAGAAGATCCTGGAACAGTTGCCGAATTTGGAACAGGTTGAGTTTGACGCTTGGCCGTCGGTGCAAAAAAGTGGTCCTTTGATGAGACGCTTGCTTTCCGAGGTAAGGGCCACGAATGTAAATATTCACTGGGGACCTGAGCGTGGATGGAATGATTGGGAAGATGAAGATTGGAATGCTCCTGCAAGCAAACCGGTGGCCGTCAGCGGACATAAGAGTTCCGTGCCCGTCACTTTTAGGAACCATGTATCGGCTACGGGCATAACGACAGTCTCTCTTCATATTGACAGCTAAGCGCCATCACAATCTTGTTCAGGGAAATGTCTTGATGGCCATGTACAACACAAAATTATATTCTCTAAATGCAACAATGAATAGCTCATGAACGCCTGAATGAAATCGGTACGGGCCATGACCGCACATATATATCATCATCATCATCAATCATTACATATACCCGCCTGTAACCTTATGATTCTCTAACTGCTTTCCAGCCTTCTTATCCTCTATAAGCATCGTCATCGCATCAACAAGCCGCGACGCTGCCGCCGCCGAGATCTGATGATGGAACACAAGCCGTCCAGTCGGGAACACCGTTACACCAGCTCGCTTTCCATATTCCACAAAGGCCGCTGGTGGAATACCGGCTTCTTCGAGGTCCAGAACGATCATGTTCGTCTGCACGGGGAGGCTGATTTTATATCCGGCTTCGCGCAGGGAGTCGGCGGTTTGCTTGGTTAAAGCGTGGACCTTGGGTAACAAAGGCATTGTATATTCTAGGGCGCAGAGGGCGGCAGCAGCCATCATACCAGGCTATGAATGTTAGTTTTTGGTGATAGGTACCGATGTCAAGGAATATAACATACCTGCCGCGTACCACCACCAAACATCTTTCTAAACAATCGGGCACGATGTATAAACTTTTTCGATCCAACAATAATACTTCCCATTGGGGCACCGAGACCCTTTGCAAGACAGATACTGACCGAGTCGAAATTGGCGCAGTAGTCTTTCAGACTGACGCCCTCGGCTGCTACGGCGTCAAACAGACGGGCACCGTCGAGGTGCATAGCAATAGGCTTTTCGCCTTCTTCAACGGGGAAGTTTCGGACATAGTCTGAAATTTCCTTGGCGTCTTTGAGGGGTAGAATAGTACCGCTTAATGAGTTTTCCAACGAGACCACGCGTGTTGGAGGGAAGTGAACTGAAGCATGTCAATATACGTGTGATTTATTAGCTAGGGGGCAGATGGACGTACTGTTCCCATCAGCAATGATATGCTTCTTGACATCCTCCAGCGTCAAATGCAAACCATTCTTCGGATGCACCTGCGTCACAGAAGCCTGGGACATCACGGGCATAGCACCGGTCTCCCAACAATGGACATGGGCCCTATAGTCGAGCAACACTGTGTGCGGCGGTTGCGTCAAATGGGTCCGGAGACAGATCTGGTTTCCCATTGTGCCGGACAGAGCCCACATGGCGGCTTCTTTGCCGGTTAACTCGATCAGACGCTGCTGCAGGCGGTTGACGGATTCGTCTCCTGTTGCGTCGTACATGTCGTCTTGGAAGGAGGATTCGATCATGGCCTGGCGGGTTAGCCTTATTCTACATATACGTATATATTCCCGGTATCGGTAGACCCTAGGATAGACAATAAACTACTCACCTGCATCATATGTACCGTCGGCACCGTAACCGTATCCGACCGAAAGTCATGCTCAMCCCGCCGCTGAGCCTCTCTCAACTTATGAATAGAAGGCATCGTGAACACGGGCGTCTCATCCTCCGCAGTAGAGTCTGTGTTGTTGACGGCGGCAGTGGATACATCCGACCGACCATTCATCTGATGTCCCTCTTCGTCCCGTCCACCATGACTATACCCATTGTTCAGAGCCTTGATGGCATCCAACTTGGAAGCTTTCTTGGCCTCGAATCTCTCCTCCTCCACGACCTCTGTGATTCCAGGGGCCATTATATCTGTAATTTAAATAATAATAGCGTCTGTATCGTCGTATTATATTTTCTTTGTGCAATTGATCGATCGTCAAATGTTATATGCCGTTTTCGATGAAGGCTGTCGGGGAAGTGTTTGCAGAGACGAATGAGTGCAGGTCGATTCCGCGGGAAAGAAAATTCTTGTGGGAGGGGGTGTATGGTATTTTTCGGCAAAATGAGTCATAGGGTTTGCGGTAATTTTTGTTAGCCCTCTCTTTCGTTGAGAAGGGAATGGCGTGGTGGGCCGGCGATGGGCTTAGGGTTTGTGGTTGCACGTGTCGGCCGTTGTACACTGTACGTTCAGTCAACGGGATGGTCGGGTGGGTGCTCTATAAGAGATGGAGAAGACTGAGATTATTAGAGGCGCATATTTCAAGGCGGAAAACCTATTCTCAAATCAATCGTCGTTCCAAGGATTCCTCAGGCACGTCCCACAGAAAGCCCATCGCTGGATCCTGACTTATGTACACGCCACGACGCATCACCATTTAGTGGTGTTTACCTAAGATTTGCAACTTCAACCTACTCATTTGTAATGTCTCAGTCCGGGGTATTTCATAAATGGTAGGGATTATCCATGTGCTTGGATCGTATCAGTGCTGGCGAATCCAGGCTTTATCGGCTTAGTACAGGTGTTTTCGGCTCTGAGCTTCTAGATTGGAAGGCTATCGGCTCTGCGCGAGTCTACTTTATCGCATTCACTAAGAAAAGAGGATGCTGATCTAGAGTTCACTAACATATCTTATTTTCTTGTTTTGGTAGTCTTGTCTTGTCTTGTCTTGACGTGACCAACGATGACGCCGTGGTTTTAATTATTTCACCATTGGCCAGGCGCATGATGAAGCCATCAATTCCAATTCGTGAAAAGCATGTCGAAATAATATACTTCGTAGTGAATTAATGGAACATTGATTTGAAACAGAGACATCCCCGGAAGATAATCTTGTTTCCACACACATGGAATCCGAGCACAAGATAGAACCCCTGCTTCGATGGATACACGACAATAACTCTTTGTCAGGCTCAGCATTGATAGGTGAGCCTGTCTCTAAATCCCTGTAGACACTAGACACTGAACAAAGTAAATGTGCTGGTGGACCTCAAGCTACCAGGAAAGCCGGACGGCCTGGACCCATAATCTGATATCGTATTAGTAAATMCCGGCTCCAGCCGGTCCCTGCCGCGACCAAGCGAAAACGTCGCTGTCAGCATTCTGATCGTTCGTGCATCCTATAGACGATCTTTTTTGATCAGTCCCATTTTTATTTCTCAGTACAGCCCCTTGTCTATGCTGGGCCAGACCGCTGCTTGTGGGAAAGACCTGTGACTTGCGCCCTTTCCACGGGAAACCGAAGTATTGGACGATCTAGCGGCGATGATTGCACGGAAAGAGACGTTTCCCATGTATGGAGTACTATGGAGTATGGGCAAAGCTTGTATCTAAAGCTCTTTCAAGATCGACTGCGTGGTCGTTCTTTCAGGTGAAATTTACGTCTTGAAACCCAGAAACGTCCCAAATACCAGTCATGTCGAATGGGAAACCGTCCATCGTGCCGAATGTTCCGGAGATGGACATCATGTCATCGACGATGTCGTTGTTTGTTGTGGTTTCAGGTAGAATGATAGCGGCAGGATTCATGGCCATTGTTTCTTCGACCGGGCCTCTGTATACTGCTTGATCTTCTGGCTGACCGCCTGCTGCGGCCGTCAGGTTGCTGATCTCTGGGTGCTGAGTAATGATTCTTTCGCAATGGTCCAAGCACATGTCGGCCACGTCAAAGTCTTCTTCGTCGCGAATTTTTCGTAGAAAATTTCGTAAGTTGTCAACATTTGTCAAACATGACCGCGCGATTTCTTGGTCTGTAGTTTCGAGCGCACAACGTACAAGCAAGGTGGCCGTGGAAGTGAGGTGGAAAGCGCTGTCTGGACGAAATTAGATCTAGACTGGCGTGGAAAAGATACATTGACTTACAAGGCAACCAGAATTCTCTAAAGTTTGCCGGTTGTAATGAGCACATAAAGTGGACGATTTCTTCTGCAGCCTTGCGACACTCGGTTTGAAAGTATCGACGGGCTTCTGGGTTGTCGGTTTCCGTATTATTTACCTCCTGTAGAATCATTAGCATTGAGGCAAAGCATGGGTCACAAAAGTAACCTACGTGGAGTTCCACTCGACAAACAAGCATCTTTACAGCAAGGAACGCCAGATGTAAGCTGCTTGCTCCACTAGCAGGATTCTCCGATTCAGATACTGGGGCACGCAGCCATTCCGGCAATGAGTCCTCCCAGGTATCGAGATCGGTCCGTATATGTCTGAGTTTCTTGGAATTTTCCCGACCAGGTTTATTCTGCAATTGGTAAACCAGCGGCAGCAGCTCGCCTAAAATTTCTGTCAACCGACAAAGAGAGATATGGCAATGTGCCGCACGAATGTGCTGGCTTGTGGCTCTAGGCTGTGTCACCAAAACCTCTACACTGGGCAGAGGAACATCATATTGGCTTTTGGAGATCTGAGGCGGCACGCCGTGTCCAAAACTTCCCCATCGATCATGGATGACAGCACCCCACCACAACCTGATTCGTTGCTTTTTGTCACTCAGAGGAACCTTCCAATTGCTTGGATCTCTATTCAGACCTAAACAATGCGCGAGCGAAACTAGCCGTCCGCAGCTGATCGCATTGCCTGTCATGGAGAATATGGGACGTCCTGTAAGATCCAGTAACGCTGCGCTTACTGTAGACAATCCCGGTGCCGAATAATCTTCGTGCAATGCTGCCACAGTCAGGTTGATGGCATACCGGACATCAGGCTTGGGGTGACGGGCAAATTTCGGCGTATGTTTCCAATAGACAAGAGACATCGCATATACATGACACAAAAGGGTAGTTGGTAGGTCATCGGCATCAGAAATATATGCGTCCCAAAAGGCTTGGCCATCAAATACGGGAAACGCCACATTGAATCGATCGATGAAGCTGTCGAGATCTATTAGAGTACATTGCTTTTTCGAGGCACAGAAACTTACAGTCTGACTAAGTCTTGCTTGAATGGTCCAAGTAGATGCTCCAGGATCTCTTTCTGATTTTCACCTGGTGGACACCCAATGCGCACACCTTGGCGCCGCCTTGAAACCGTAGTGTAGAGAATCGGCTTTCGAGGGTCGTTCGAATATACGTTATACGGCTTGTTCCCATTCTCAATCTTGCTCGATCGTTCCGAAGGCATGAACTTCTCAATTACTTGAGCGTCTTCCGCGGCGACCGGACCCACGATCAGCACTGACTCATTTTGAGGGTCGTCGATTTTCCGGCGCAAACTTTCATCACGCTTCTCGCTGGGTATATGAAAAGTCGATGAGCCGTTCACTTGCTCTGATGCCGAGTTATCGTAGCTATCAATATCTTGGTCAAGAGCTTCGGACCTCCGCTTGCGCTTGTGCCCCGCGAAAGATGACGATGAAGCATGCTTGTCAGTTCCAATGGTTGGTGCATCTTCTGGCATAGAGTCCTCTTGGTAATGGCAATCGGCGCCTTGGATTCGGCATAACACACATGACTGACCCGGAATATCGACCGTACATCGCGACTTGCGCTTGCGACACAGGTCGCATGCTCTTACTTTGTGAGATCGATAGGGTCGCGAACCCGTATTGACGATACCAGGGTTTGCCTTTGGAGCCGGCGCATTCGTAGGAGGCGTGTTCGAAGGCATGGTGGTGAATTCGCGCCGCTAGCTGGCAGACATTATCTCGTTCGCCGACAGATTATTTGATGCGGCAGACCGATGTCGGCGCATTCAACTGGTATTAGTCTTTGCCTTTGACGTCGCACAATATGCTGTATAGTCGCCGTGAAATCAGTCAGCGAAGACAGTCCATGACCGCGCATCCAATAAACTGCTTGCAAGGGACGAGTCTTCGTCAGCTCATAATCAATTGATTAGCAAACTTTCTGCTGTTCAACCGAAGCCGCTTTAATCGGTATCCGTATCAGCGACCAATCATAGCCTTACAATTGATGGCTGACTAAGATCTTAGTCATTGGTCCATCTTAGTGCCTCAGCGATAAAGCCTATATTGTCATCTCTTACTCTGATGGTCTAATCCAACGATCAACAATACTATAGTATAGCACAATGTAGGGATGCTGCATGACAGGATCCACGCTGACCTGCGAGAGATTTTTGTGTTCTTTCAGATTTCGTCGAGTTGGCTTCAGTCACCAGTCATTGGATCCTCTAGTGGAATAGTTGCCTAGTATAAACATAAGTGTAAATGGAGTCAACCTGTGCCAACCGGAGCGGGTGCTGGAGGCATGTTTATCCTTCATTCACGCTGAGACCGTATAATCACGTCAGGTTCTATGGCGCTCTGGGCGTGGAAAAAATTGACTGGCTGAGGTGGTAGATTAAATACCTGTACGGCAACTTAGGGCTTTTTGCGTTTAGCTACGAATTTTACCTAGCGAAGCAGCACTAAGTAATTTTCGATGTGACTGCTTATTTAGAGTTAGGAAACCAGCCACTGGTATCTGGCCATATAGAATTTTCGATTGACCCAACCTGAATTTAGGCCTCATTTTCTATGTTTGATCGATTTACGATAATCAGTAAGAACACTTCCTGAAACAGCTCAAAATGACTGGAAATTGTGTAAGGCCTACTACCTAAGTGACTACAACGGATTTAATCGCAACTCAACGTGGTACGAATCGTTTGAACATGGATTGGACTTAGGTCTCATTGCCCCCAGCACTTGCATGCGGCGCAGGATCAACATATGTTGCCAAGGAGAAATGCTGGACGGTAGGAAGTTCGGAAATTCGATAAGGCCTCCGAACCCTGTTGACTCGAACTTGATAAATCCCAACAGGACCCTGCAGTAACAGGGTTGGCTGCAGGGGGAATTAGGCTCCCTGATGGCCACGAACGCTGCGCCGCCCGAGCTCCTCCGTTACAGTCCAGATATCATGCCATTCACCATCCCAATCCTAGTAGATGGACCTAATGCAGAATACTAAGTGATGTGATATAGGGCCCGCACTCATCTCGTGTACTGCTGGCATTGGAAAAATCCAGCGCTAGGCCAAAGGCGCTTGATTTCTTTGTTCTGGACCCGATAATTACGGAGGAATTGAAGCCCCGTGGCAAGGCAACCATCGCATTTGGTGTCTTGGCTAAGGGCTTCTCAAGGAATTTCATATGGAGGTAGTCATCATCATCACTGAGAACGAGAAATTCAACTCAAATCGTACACGTACTAGCGCCAGTTCGTTAATACCTGAAACGTGTATCCATGTAAGGTACGTTCTGGGATTCATTTCAGCCGTATTTTGTCTACCTCGGTAAGTATATGACCCGAGATAGCACTCATTTATACAGAAGCAAGACTGATCCTGGAAAGCAGAAAATATTGCATGGAGCTTTGCCTGTTTGAACCAATCAATCAGGTTGAAAGACCTTTATTCGAGATTCCTCCTTTACAACGTCAAAATTTGTTTACTTTTGTTTACTTCCCCCCTATCTATGCAGTTCATGTACCTGTTATAGTGTCCCTCAACCAGGCCTTTCATACCATGGAATCCATAAGTATCGTGAGACCATTAGTGAGACCATTATATCTGTGGCCGCACTTCAACAAAGCGTTTGAGTTCATCGCTGGTTACCCTACTGACAATTTTGAGTTCATTGTGGGCCAGACCCCATTGTCAACATTTAATGAAACTTTTCTTTTCGTGGTATCCTACTACGTGATCATATTTGGTGGCCGCGAACTCATGCGAGACCGAGCGCCTTTCCAGCTCTCGTCCTCGTTTTTGGCGCACAATTTCTGTTTAGCGGTCATCAGCAGTGTTCTGCTCGCTCTTTAAATTGAGGCTATCGTTCCTACACTAATGCGCAAAGGCGTGTTATTTGCCATATGCGATATTGATGGCGGGTGGACGCAGCATTTGGTTGTTTTGTACTATGTGGGTGTTTAAAATCTTGGACTTTGACGATTGTAGATCGAAAGCTAATTATCTCTGTCCATCGATAACAGTTGACTTTGTTAACCAAATACCTCGAATTTCTCGACACTGTATTCCTCATCCTCAAGAAAAGATCCTTGACTTTCCTGCACTGCTACCACCACGGTGCAACCGCGGTCCTCTGTTACACGCAATTAATTGGCCACACAGCCGTGTCATGGGTCGTGATCACCCTCAACCTTGCTGTCCACTGCATCATGTACTGGTACTACTTCCAGAGCACGCGCGGTGTCCGTGTCTGGTGGAAAGAATGGGTCACTCGGCTACAAGTGATTCAGTTCATGATCGACCTTGGATTCGTCTATTTTGCGTCCTATACATATTTCGCCTCGACATATTTTCCCTGGATGCCCCATATGGGTTCGTGTGCAGGCGAGGAGTTCGCGGCTTTGATTGGCATTGGCGTTCTGACTTCATATCTCGTGCTGTTTCTTGGATTCTACTTTGCGACGTATAGAAAAGAAGTGAAGCCGCGTAGTTCACGTGGAACTCTTCGTCCTATGTCTGAAGCTGAAGCTATTACCTCTAGCGGTGTCGAAGCTACTAAGCTTACAAGGGGCAATCTCTCGATGAGAGCTCGGGAGATGTAAGTGCCAAGTTATGTTTCTCGTATGGAAAAACGTAGCTTCCTCCCATCTCCAGGGCTCAACTGCCAAGGTCAAAATTGTATGGGGAAAATCTAGGTCGATTTTGAGCTTCTTTTACTCTTTCTTGGGGCTTAGAATGTATATTTCATATATTTTATAGTATGGTGTATACAGTCTAATCCAATCGTTGTGGTGTGTTATGGGATATTATTTAAAATTCGATTTTGTTAGCGACCCCAAACAATGTTGTAAGTCCGTATCAACAAAGTTGATGGCTGCCTTCGTTGGTCCGTCTTGGTGCCTCAGCGATAAGGCCTGCATAGCATGTTCTCATCTCTTACTTTAATGGACTAATTCATGGATCTACCATGTACTATGTAGTACAACCAGTCTCATTGGCCGATATCAGCCACTCACTAATGGACCAAACATGCCATTCTACAGCCTGTAACACAGGCACAAATAGTCCCCGTTAAACAAGCAATATTCAATCTCACCGCTGATCATTGCCTCAGGCTACCAGATATCTGTTCGAGATTACGTCTACGCCATACCACTTCTGGTAGGATAGATCCCATATACTGCGCTAAGCTATTCAGAGTTAGATCATATGTCTATTATTAGGGCAGTGCACATCTCCGCTGAATCAACAGACAATCAAAGACGACCTCTAGATCAACCACAATGCTCATGTTGTTTAGGACCATCTGGCCATTCAACAGTCGCGGCGACGTCCCTATTCGCAAATAGCTGCACTTAAAACTCTATTGTCATCCCCCGCATTCGCCGTTGAGAAGACTGCTACCCACTCGCCGTTTCAGGTGCGAAACACCAAGCTCTTATCAAGTGGCTCGACCGTTAAACTGGGATTCTTGGCTTGGGCATCACCAAACTTGTCCGGATGGAATGAATGACTCCGCTTGTCGTGTTACATGATGCATGCCTATGAGCTAGCTTTTGGTTTTCTGTGTTGGAATCACCGACCGTCGCCTCGGCAGCCCATGTAGACCGCCAGACGATTGCGAGGATGGATCTGGACACGAAGGAGCACAGGAACGATAACGGTACCTCGAATCATGAAGAAAGGACTGTGCAGGAGTCAAGTGCTTTTAATCACTTGCCCCTCGACGTCATCCGGAAGTAGGTTCTTCGCGGGATCAAAACACGAGCTAGTCTCATAATGAATAACAGCTAATCATGAACTGATATAGGATCCTCTACACAGTCGATGCCAACACGTTCGCCTCCCTCGCCGCCTTGAACGAGCAATGGAGGCAAGCGTCAAATGATGCCGAACTCTATGCACACCACCTTGCCCGATGCCCCTTATACGCAGCATATAATGGTACCAATACTGTATTGACGGATACACAGAACCTCGGCTGGTTGAAGCGGGTGTTCAGCCGAGAGATCAGAAAGAACGCATTTCAAATCTTTCTACGTCCGCGCAAAACTTTGGTGACATTAATATCAAGCTCGGTTGGATCGTCAGCAGCACTGCCAACAGGCGAGGCGATAAAGTTCGAGTTTTCTACAAACGGTCGCATTCTGCTTTGCCTCAGCTCTTCTCGTATTTTCGTTCTAGATCTGACTGCATCAGAGATCAAAGTGTTATATGAATTGAAGACTTCGCGCATGCCTCTGGCTGCTACGATCCTTGATGATGGTCGTGTTCTCGCCGTTGTCTCACATCGCCACCAGGTCAACATCTATCATTTGTCTAAAGATGAAGCGAAACATGTCCAAGTATTGACGTTGAACGATGTTCCGCGGGCTCTCGCTCTTGCGCCGAACGGGAGTGTACTTGGCATTGCATATGACGGGAGCATAGAAGTACACGCGTTGGGTGAAGATGTGATACCGACTCAGTGTCGAGCTGTTCGCTGCGGGAGGATTGATACTCTATCGTTTTCCCCAGATGGGTCTATGCTCCTTGGTTCATCCCTAGACTGTCCTGATGTCGGCTTTGCCACTATTACAGCACCGTTTCCAGCCGACTCAATGGCTGATTTGAGTAGCCAAGAGGCTCATATGTGGACCACGCAGATATTATTTCCCGATATAGTACCTGGCTACAGTTATGTAACATTGTTACCAAGTCGAATCAGCGGTGATGACGACTGGATAATGGGTTTTGACAATAGCCTCAAGAGTTTCCGAGCGGTTCGGCCGAAGGAGCCCAGAATCGGTTCGACCTATTTTCCAGGACCGGCTCCCCAAGACGGCACAGAGGAGTTTATGCCTTCGCTGAGCCCTGCCGTTGACCCAAAGGGTGAACTCGTTGCCCTGGCGTTCCGTGGTGGTGGCCTGTTTCTATATGGGCTTCCGGACGATCTCAATGCAACGCCAATAGAGTTTAACGATACCAGTATTTTGACGAACTCAACCTCTGAAACCTCCGGAGCCGTCGTCAAAGGGCCTGGAAAAGGGTTTGACCAGCCATCGCTATTCATTGGAGGCCGAAAGGTAGCTGATATTCCTGGATTGACTGCCGCTCGCTGGGTAGGTCGAGGACGTTCTGAAAAATTTGATGTGTTTTGCCGACAAAGACTGGTCGCAGTCGCGCCAGGCGGTGTCACTTCTTCTTCGCTCGGGGATGAGACCATACCGGTGGATGGAGGAAGAATATCGATATTTGATTTCCGAACATCAATAGAAGATGGCGAGACAGTCGAACTGACGATTGAGCTTGGAGTGGAAGTGCCACTAGTACTTCGAGAACCCGATGCAAATCTTGAACAAGAAGTGGAGCTCGAGAGACGAAGAACTCAGCTGCGTCGTGGTGTGAGCAATGCACCAAGATCAGAGGTAAGGAACTCGCTTATCATTCCTGTTCCTCCGATACCAGACATGTCAAGCCAAAGAAGTCAATCGTCGGTCTCTCCAACCTTGGGTCCCGAAGTTGGCGACGTTACATTGTTTTTGGAAGGCCCGTACAGCAATACCGCTCCTCGTTCTCGAGATACTCTACAGCGTGCAGCAACTGCAGCAGCTAGCAATCGGCGACCTCAGCATGTGGTTCGGGAACCGGAACGCCCTAGGGTACCTGTCCTGCATATTCCTCATGAGAGCGATGCAGACAACTGGGTACCGCCTCCGCCACCTTATACACGGAATCCTGACCAACCACTTCCTGAGCATCTTAGACAACTGCTACTTCCTACAATGACAGCCCCTCCTGGTGGTGCTATGGAGCTGCTACCTCAGCAACCGAGGAGAGCGAGTACGAACGAGGTTGATCGTGCCGAAGGAGCTGGTTCCGGTGGCAGCTCTGGTATACTTTCGAGACGTTGGAGTACGCGTAGGCGTACCGTCGATGCAAGCGAAGATGCTACTAGTAGGGCTCGTTTGAACTTCAGGCCACTGTCTTTCCATAGAGCGGTAGCTTCTTCAAGCGGGCATCCGCAACCTCCAGCCACCCAGGATCAAATCCATCCGCCTGAGCGGTCGAATCAACCTGCAGCGTCTGGGGAGAGCGAGAGAAACAGACAATCTTCTACAATGCAACGTCAGGTATTGCGAGAATCAACCGATAGCGGGAGTCGAGCAGCACCTCCGGCAGTTCTCAAAAAGCAACCCAGAAACAGCAGACTATTCGGTACATTTCGAAAAGCAACTAGCCACGGCTCAGTAGCCAGCCAATCTAACACCGATGATCAACAGCAATACCTACAACCTCCTGGCTCAAGAAGAAACAAATCGATTATGCGCAATGGCAGATTCTCACGATCATCGCCAAACCTCGCCTTTGGCGGCAACGGGGCAATAAATCGCATGTCTACTATATATAGCAATGCATCTCGATCCGCAGACCATCAAAATGGCGGCGTGCACCGGACCCGGTCTCGATCTGAAGCTGCACAACTACCTCCTGCGCCACTAACGGAGGAAGCTCTACAACACGCTCTCGAATTGCAGCATGCCTCAGACGGAAGACGATTACAAACACAATCGGTACCTATGCATACCGAGCCATTACCGGTACAGCAGCAACCACCACAAAACCCAGCAGCACCCGAGACAGACTGGCAACAACCGAACCCACTCGAATCTGAAGACTGGCGCGCACGAATAGAAGCATGGAACATGAATACAATCAATGAAAGAAGGAAAAGCAAAAGCAAAAATGCGCGATGCATCGTCATGTAAGAAAATAAAGTTTGATCCTCTTGTGTATATAGATAGTTCGTTTTTTTTCTCTTTCTTTTTTGATTTGGTATGTCTGAAGCGAAGTTTTTGTTACCTTTGCTATGTCATGATTTGAATTTTGATTTGTTATTAATGTTTTATACCCATGTCAGTGAGTCAGATTGATGCGGACTATTTGAAGTTAAAGCGATATACATGTAGGACTTGAGTCTCTACCATTTTACATCATGCTTATGTAGTCGTATCTTATCAAGAATAGGTTTGCTCAATTCAAACTAGCAACATAAGAACATAATTGCAAGACGCGACAAGCAAGTATCAGCACGAAGAAAGGGTATAGGGAATTCATCAATCATAAACCAAGTAGTATCATCAGATCAACCACCTCCTCCACCACCGCAACCACCACCACCACCACCCCCTCCTCCACATCCTCCACCTCCGCCTCCACCACAACCACCGCCTCCGCCTCCTCCACAGGCACCACCACCGCAACCACCGCCCCCAGCACCAGCACAAGCGCCCGATGCAACGCTCGCACCACAAGTACCAGCCGCACAATTGCCATACGCACCGGACACAGCGCTCATACAAGCCGGGTTACACGGATACGCACCCCCATAGATATACGGATCCGCCATATACGGCGCATAATACGGCATGAAGTACGGATACCCATAAACCATCGGGTAGTACGGATCAACAGCCTCATTATATGACCTTGACTTGTTGTTGGCGTTGCCGTTCCGAGCTTGCTTCTGCTGTCGTTTCAGGTTCCGACGATGCGCTTTGTCCCACATCTGTCGTAGGCGCATTGCCTTGAAATGAGCGTTGGCGTCATATTTGCCGTCAGCACCCGTTACGCGCACGGCGTTGTGTGCGGATATGTGTGGGTTTTTGTCTGGTTCGGGGGAGATACTTGGATCGTCGTGCAGGCTTTCGGCGAGGGTGCGGGCACGTCTGGTCGATGACGAGGGGATGGACAGTGTAGGGTACAGGAATGACTCTCGCGTGGCTTCGCAGTACCAGCATGTGCATTCGCTGTACAACTCGCCATTGGTCATCTCAAAGTACTTCTTGGAAGTCCACTGGAATGCATCTGAGAGCTGGGCTTCGTCAACCTTGTCGTCGTGGTCGATGAAGGCTGGGATGCCCACTCGGACTTTTGATGTCTTGGCCTGGGAATACATAAAGTATCGGCTGGGKGACATTTGGTGCGTGTGCCATGCGAGGTCGACGTCCAAGGTAGGCACGGCCATCTTTCTGGAATGGGAAATCATGATCTGGAAGAAAACGTCGTATTTGCGAATCAATCTCTCCATGGTGGCTGCGACGGCAGGTGAATGAATCCAATCGAGATTGTCCATCTTTTGGATAAATGTGCCCTGACGGATGACGGCTCCAACTAGATCCAGGCCGAAGATTGAGCTGTTCTCCCAGTAGTGAGCCATCATGCGCCGTATAGATATTCTTTGCTCGCGCTTCAGTCTGAACGAGTTACGGCGGCCGCCATTGATCCTTATCACGATACTTATGTCAGACATAAGAGCCTCTACGAGTTTCTTTACGTCAGTCATGATCTGTCCTTCCTTTTTGGGCTTGGTGAGTTCGGAAACCGCGTCTTTGCCAGCACGAATGAGTTGGTTAGGAAACATGTGGTCGTTGCTGGTTATGTAATTTGGCATACCCTGAAGATTCAGATAGGTTCCGGGCATAGGGCGATGTTCCTGCAGGAGATCATCAACATCTTGATGGAACCGAGCGACCCTCAGGGCTTGATGGTCATGTTTGAAACTGCAGTCCGAAGACTGGCAGTATGTCAAAAAGTCTTTGTCAGCATACCCAGAGCATCCTTCAAAGGGGGCATCTGGATCGGTTCCAAAATCGCCAAAGGTCCAGGCAACTTTGATTGATCGCGAGCAATTGAGACATTTCAGTTCTTTCTCCTCGGGGTCGTCTAAGTTCTCCCACTGATGTCCAGTGTTCTTTGTAAAGTACTCCAAAGCTTCGTCGCCAGGATTGTAGTCTAGCGTTTTGTTGTCGATAGCAGCGTCGATTAATTGCCAGGGGAATTCAGTCGCCCAGGCGCGCATTCTGCCGCCTCGAATGCAATCCTCTAGATAGTTACGAGGATTGAGCATGTGAGCATGCCAGACCATGAGAACATCTATTCACACATTAGTACAGGTTGAGCCTATCTTCGGATGTCACTTACCAAGGGGCGGAAGGTTCTTTGCCAACCATGGTGACGGATATGCACTAGTAATAGCAGTGTACGACTTTTCCCGAACCGAATATATAGTAGGAGGCACCTCAGACACCGGTACACAGTGTGCCCACCAGTCCGCATAACGGTCTACTGCTCTAGCGGTGTACACAGCCCAGCGCTTCTCCCTAATACGGATAAGAGCCTGGTTCTTTTGGTTCTCATCCTCAAACTTGAAAGCCTGTGAGTCATGGATACCGAATAATCCATCGATAGAAGAGATGGTTTCTCGCAAGTCGGCTAGTGAGGCAAGTAGCTTGAGATGTAGAATACATCGGTCTTTTTCTACCGTCGTTTCCTCTGCGAGTCCCGGGTCGGGGAAGTTGAGGGATGGAATGTCGACGACGAATTGTTCGTCGTCTAGCTGTTGGTGCTCTTCGTATGTTGGCGGTGCCTCTCCGTCTGAAGATGCATCCTTGAGGTCTTTTTCTTTCTCGATTATTTTCTCGCTTTTGCTTTCTTTGGAAAGCGTAAGCTTTGAAAAGGCTTTTTCAACAACGGTCATTTTGACGGTGTTGAAGGGATGTGATTAAGAGTTCACCATGAGAGTAGTGGGTGAAAGAATGATGGAGTAATCATAAATGTATCGTCTATCATATGTTGCTGGATGCTTGGATTCAGAAGGAGTTACCCGGGGTTCACGGCCGACTTATATACGCGATGCTTTGGATAGCTGTACGCGGACAGCCAATGAAAGCGTTAATTTAACGAGTAGCTTCGGGCGTTCTATCTCGTACGGACACTGCCCCAGAAAAGCAACAACTTGCGGGATGATACCAAGGATGCTAAGCCCCTCGTGTCTATATTGTGGGGGAAGATTTAATTTAGGACGGGCAGTTCATACTACTTGCAGACCGAAACTAGAAGACCAACATGGCACTAGGATGCCATTTAGCCGATGATTCGACGGTAAAACTTCGATTCGAAGGACACATTTCCTTGATTAGAAATGGATGGCCTTGCCCGAGTCAGCCTCTGGGCGTATATATTAAAAAAATTGCAACATCGGCCGTGGCAATGCCCCCCATGACAAGCATTTCTTTGGCATTCAAGCATTCTGATACGGAGTCATCCAAGTGTAATTGTCCAATCACAACAGTGTCCTCCAGCTGAAGCCGATCGCATCGTCATAAGAGCCGCGGCGATGTTCAGGCGTCCAATTTGGGAAGGTTTCCAGAATGTTGCTCGAGCTCACTTGGCGACTCGGAAGACGTTGACTGGACGACTAATTATTGATTACTCACTTAGTGATGATATACCGTAAATTTGATTGGCTTCGTTGGATCATGTACGGAGTTCTACGGTAGAAGGTCAGAGGGTCCCTCTAAGCCTCCTCTTGCCCCGACGAGAAGCGCTGATTAGTTGGGACTCGGTCAATCACGTGGCTCGAATGTCCATACGACGTAGTGCCTCAGGTGTCAGTTTCTGCCTTAGACCGCTCATCACATGACCTGTCCCCGAAACCGGCAACCCCCACTTGCCGGCTCACGTTCCAGCGCTGACTCAAAATCCCTACAGAAAAAGAAACGAGAAAGGAGAAGAAAGAGGCAACTTTGCTAGCTAACTAGCAGATAGTGGGGTGATATCGCCTAACATTAAGACCGAGCGCTGCGCGATCATCGTATGATCGCCTAAAACAAATTTTCCAGGGTCAATCCAAGCGACCTACGAGGATAGTCTACTATCTGCCCACCATCCAGCTCGTCTTTGCGACATCGGACGTAGCCGCTCGCGCTGATCAGAGAAAACAAAAACACCAACCTATCGGCGACATTCACTAAATCGCAATATATCCTGTTTCGATCGAATAAACCAGCCCTGCGCATAGCCGCGGGCCAGCCAGAGTGGCGGCGCACGGGGTGACGAGCGGCATCGGAGGGGGAGGGGCCATAGGGGTTGGCCAGATATCGACTGGTTCTCAGAATGCGACGCCATTGACTAGTCCTGCCCGTATTCACGCGAAGATACATTCTGGTGCGTCTGGGTTAGTCAGTAGGAAGCGCAATGGTGCTGGTGCCGGACTGGATAGCTCGCCGGGTAGCATCGACGAGATTGATGGTGATGAGGAGAGGAAGCGGCAGCCAGTCAAGAGGGCTTGCAATGAGTGTCGTCAACAAAAGGTAGCAATAGTCTGTGCTTGTTATGATATTTATGCTGATCGTCTTGACAGCTCCGCTGCGATGTGATCCAAGAGCCCTTTATGGACTGTTCCCGCTGCCGTCGTCTCAAACTCGATTGCAAAATCGAGTCCAACTTCAAGCGAGTCGGAAAACGCAGTCGCAACGCCGAGATGGAAAGGGAAATAATCGAGCTGAGGAGACAAATTGCAAATGCCAATGCAACAAATGCGTCGTTGAAAACTCAGGTGACGCCGGCCAAGCAGGATGTATCTGCCATGTCGACACCACTAAGTGGAGCGATGTATCAGACCCCGACTCCGCTGTCGACAGATCAGTACATGGGTTCACATGAAGCGGTTGCGTCTCTGTTGGACTTGAGGTCTGGGTTTGATGGGCAGAATTATATGCGGTCTGGCAGCCACCAATTCAAGAGGATAGAGGATGTTATGGTGGCAACAGATCGGATCAACGAACTATTCAATTTGTAAGTGCGGGAGAAAAGTACAACCTCATCTGTTCACTTGGCTAATTGGACCAGGTTCTTCACCTTTTATCATCCCTATCTGCCGTTCCTCGACCGCGAGGTCACACCTGAAGAGTACTACGTGACCTCACCACTACTCTTCTGGATGATTATCAGCGTAGGGGCACGCCGATACCAAACCGATATTCAGCTACTGAACTCGTTGGCTGGTCCGGTGACACGTCTTGTCTGGAGCACAATCGCCGACATCCCTCAGAGCTTCCATGCAGTCAAGGCTCTTTGCTTGCTTTGCACTTGGCCGTTCCCGACAAGTAGTACATCGACTGACCCGACGTTCATGCTATCCGGCCTGATGGTCCACGTTGCGATGCAATTGGGACTTCACCGACCTTCTCATACTCAGGACTTTTCCAAGTTTCGAGTTGAGCTTATTGAGTCGGAACTGCGGGACAAAGTCCGGACGTGGGCTATTTGCAACGTAGTTGCACAAAGGTAAGCCATATCTTTCCGTCTGTGCTACCTGTCACTAACTAGTCAGGGTTGCTACTGGCTACGGACAACCCCCTTCGACACTGTATGACTGGACGTTAGGTGCTGGTGAACTCCTCGATGTCAACTTTCAGCTACCTAGGGAGATCAAGTCTCGGCTACAAATCGAAGTGTTTGTTGACAAAGTTACAAAGGCATTGTATAACAATCGGAGGAATCCAGTGGGCTTGGCGGAAGACGGTCAACGATCGTCTCTGATGTCGTTCTTGACTCGGGATTTTGAGGAATTAGAGGATCAATTGAGATCTGAAAACGATGGTACGTTTGATCCTATCTGTGAATAGCAACGAGCATACTGACTTTGTTAGTGATTACGGATCTATATCTCAAAGCAGCGAACCTTCACCTACAGCTATGTTCTTTCTTTGACGACCCCTCATCGCAAGGATACCGAGAGCGTTTGCTTTCATTGCATTCAGCGACCTGCAATTTTTTGGAATTGGCATTGAACTTGGAAACAAACGTGGGCCCCGTGCTTCCTTATACGCCATATTACATTTACCAGATCATGCTCGCGGCGGGATTTACTCTGATGAAGCTTTGCAAGAGTTTCTTCTCAGCTCATATAGATCTTGAGTACACGAAAAGACTGTTCAATCGAACCATCTGGTCCATCCGAGCAATTTCGGTCTCCAACAACGATCTACCACAGCGATTGACTGAAGTTATGACCCAAATGTGGAAGCAAGGGGGCGCTCCCACGCCACGACCGGCCTCTGCATCATCGGAAATCGACGATCAATTACAACTCAAGGTGCGATGCCGAATGAGTATGTCACTTGTTTTTGATTCCGTCTGGCGTTGGCGAGAGGACGCTTTGGCCAAGGGTCGGAACATAGAAGGTATGCTTCTGCTTCTTTTGACCTTTGCAAAATTCTAACAGACTGCAATAGCATCACTCAAAAACCCCACCGACCCCGATTCCAACGGCGACACAGCAGGCTCATCTCTCGCTCCACGCGCGTCGTCAACCACACCAGGAGTAACCGGCGACCCTAGCCTGGCACCTGCTCCACCACTGCCACATGGTCTATCACTATCCTCCTCTTCCACTGGGGTCAACAACCTACCCAGTGGATTCATGGAACCCAATTACGAGGTCTTTGATCCGCTGAACTGGCTTCTTGACGGACTGGTTGATTTCCCGTATACGATGCCTATGCAGGGTATGGAAACGCAGGGAATGGTTTGATCATGCCAATACATACATTTGCTTGCTGGAGTTGATTTGAACATATTACTGCTGGGCGGATTTTTTCTTTCCCATTCAACGGTATACCGACTTTATCATTGTTTTACGACGTTATGTAGCTATCTTAGTGTATATGTGCCTTTTTTATCGTGAATACATTGTTTGTATAGTCGATCATCAATAAGTCCATACCCTAGGGCCTGGTGGGAAAGTGTCGATGTGGGGAAACGTCAACCCACAGATGAACCTCAGATCCATCTCGCTCCTTCAATCAAGCCTTCTACGTACCACGTACTACGTAGTACACAAGCCATGGAATCATCAGAAGCGCCGAATAGCAATAAGATGACCTCCAACAGGAAGCGGATTATCACACATAAACGTGGCCTCTTACCTATATCATCATCATCATCCTCATCCTCAAGATCAGCCTCAATTTCGGCGCCATCATCGTCATCAGCCAAAACAATTATTCACAAAACAATAAATCCCAGCGCTGTTCCAGCAATCATCCAGCTTCAGCGACCGGTCTTTTCCTCCTTGAAGGAGACCGCTCCAGATCGAGAGCATGAAGACCAAAAGTCTGAAAAAGGGCGATACACCACCGACCTAGACAACGATGAATCTAGTCACAGGGTAATTCGCATCGAGTTCGATTCTTCGCACGCTCCTCAGCCGTTCTTAGAGCCGGAACGACTCCAGAAAATCATGGAAGCGAGGCGCCATAGGAGGTCGAATGAACTCGATGATGAGGAAGGAGACGCGACCGAGGACAATACAGCCACAGTGGCTACAGAAAGAGAAGTCCGACGAAGAGCAGCACAGACGGATTATGGCAGCATGGCGATTCGAGATCGGATGATTGTTAGTGGAAAGGGGAGGAGAGGGTCAAGGAGGTGACTTGATCTGTTCGATCGATCTAGACTTGTCTGCGACCAGCCGGAGTCAAAAGGCTACGGAGATCGGTTTGCGGGAAGTGAAATACCCAATGACATCAGCGCGTATCCGCGACGACAATGTTGTGGTTTTTTCCCCCTTTAATCAATTCATTCTTTGATTCAATTTCTCTGAAAGGGTCATTAAAGGAATGATAATATCTGTATTGCGACCGTGCTGTTTGTCAACTGTTCGCGCACCTGCTCTGTATCTACGGAGGCATCATCGATTCCATCACTTGATTACAACAGCTACCAGACCACAAATGGCAGCGCAAAAACGAAAAATGTCGGCGGGTGCAACCTCATCGACTGCAAAACGGAGCAATAGCTCTCAGTCAAATGGAGCCAACGATATCAAAACCCCTCACCCCGGCGCGCAACAAGCCGAAGATTTTGGCATTGTCCTCCGCGAGTTCTACCCTCCTGAGATGAGTAATGCGCGCTGCGACGCATACAACAACGGTACACTCGAACGGCCCATCGACACACTCAACAGAGTCTACGCGGAGACCGAGAAAAGCCGAAAAGCCATCAAACCCCGAAACGCAGTTGTGCATTGGTTCAAAGGCGATTTGCGTCTGAAAGACAACCGAGCGCTGAAGATGGCGTCTGACTTAGCTGCCAAAAACGACGTTCCGTTGATATGCATGTATATTAATTCACCACAAGATTTGACGGCCCATTTGTCAAGTCCGGCGAGAGTGGATTTTACGTTCCGGAATTTGAAGGTGTTGCAGCAGAAGCTGGATGAGTTGGATATACCACTGTACATGGAGACGCAGGAAAGGCGGCAAAATATTCCCGGAAGAATTGCGGAGTTATGTGAGCAGTGGGGTGCGAGTCATTTGTTTGCCAATATTGAGTATGAGGTCGATGAACTGAGGAGAGAGGCGAAACTTGTACGGCTGTTGGCTGATAAGGGTGTTGCGTTTGAGACAGCGCATGATTCGTGTGTTGTCACTCCTGGTGCGTTGCAGAGTCAGCAGGGGAAACAGTATGCGGTGTATTCGCCGTGGTATCGTGCCTGGATGGCCTATTTGCACCAGCACAGTGATCATAATTTGAATGTTCTGGATACCCCTGGCAAAAATCACGAGAGTGCGCGAAAGCATTTCAAAGATTTGTTTGGCTGTGAAACTCCGGATGCGCCGGAGAACAAGCGTCTTTCAGACGAAGAGAAGCAGCGGTTTGAGAAGATGTACCCTGAAGGCGAAGAAGAGGCGATGCAGAGATTGGATACATTCCTCAAGACCCGCGCAAAGGATTACAACAAGATGCGTAGCATGGTGGACGGTCAATACACAGCCGTCCTCAGTCCGTACTTTGCTGCTGGCGTACTAAGCGCAAGGACAGCCGTCTCCAAAGCCAAAGATGCCAACAACGGCTACCTCGACGGCAAGAACGCCGGCATCGCTTCATGGATCAGCGAAGTCGCCTGGCGCGATTTCTACAAGCACGTCCTCGTGCACTGGCCATACATCTGGTAAGTCCTTTTTAAAATACCCATTTCTCTATTCAATCTAACAGTGGACAGTATGAATAAATGCTTTAAACCCGAATTCACCAATGTCAACTGGGAATACGACACAGACCTCTTCACGCTCTGGACCGAAGGCCGCACTGGCTTCCCCATCGTCGACGCCGCCATGCGCCAAATCAAGCACGACGCCTGGATGCACAACCGCAACCGCATGATCGTGTCCTCCTTCTTGTCGAAGGATCTAATGATCGACTGGCGCCGCGGCGAGCGGTACTTTATGGAGAACCTGATCGACGGCGACTTTGCGTCCAACCACGGTGGATGGGGGTTCGGATCTAGTACGGGCGTTGATCCGCAACCTTACTTTCGCATTTTCAATCCGCTGTTACAAAGTGAAAAGTTTGATCCCAACGGGGACTTTATCCGGAAGTGGGTGCCGGAATTGAGGGCTATCAAGGATAAGAAGGCGATTCATGATCCGTATGCAAGAGGTGCAGGGCCTGTGGCGCAAAAGGCTGGGTATCCGAGGCCGGTAGTTGAGCATGCGAAGAGCCGGGATAGGGCGTTGCAGAGGTATAAGGAGGGGATTGAGCGGGATAAGCCATGATCTAGGCATTCGAAGTAGTAGCTAATCTTCAATAATACTTAATCTGTTGATCACAAGTATCATATTCATCCATTGCTTCATACAAGAGAGACACCGGAGCATGCCGAACAATACCCGTTACCAGATCAATACCGGAGATCCGGTGCAGGGTCCCAGCTGAGTGGGCGCAGTGGGGCGTGCCAACCACTGACAAAACAAGTTCAAGACGAAAATGACATCATTGAAATTACAGTCGTGTATGTGTAGTACAATGTCCACATGCGGCTGTGCCAAGACTTTGATTGCAGATTTTGCCCTCGTGATCTCCCCTGGATTTTCGTGTAAGATAAAGTACCGACGCACTACACTGGCCCTATTCAAGTACTCGCGATATCTAGTGAACAGCAATAGAAGACTACATACGTAGTAGAGAAAGCCAGGGCTGAAGGCGTCAAGCCACCCGATGCATCGCCGCTTGCCGCTTGCCGCTTGGCGACCCGCTTGAACACTCACTCACATTGGGCAGTAGATTTCATTATGTAAATCATCTACTTTGTATGAATTTACTCCGTACCGCGCAATACGAGATGGAATCAACCTCAGTCGACCTGAAAGATCTTGGATTATTGATCGCGGTGTGTTGACTTACTTCGCATTATCAATGTGCATGTCGTACGCAGATTATACAAGAAGTAAATAGGCAAAATATGCAAGAACACGAGGGCTGTGCGCCGCTTCGATCGACTCGCAGTCTCGCCGAGCGCATAAATACACGCCGGATGGGGGTTAAATACGAGCTTGGGGTAAAGCCCACCGATCATTTCCACGATCCACCTATCAGACCGTTTAAGACATACAGAAACTGTTGAAAAAACATGGAAAGACATCAAATGCGCGCTTCGGATTGGTTGATGATTTATCTCGGCAATAGGATGATGTCGTATCGGCCGGTGCGCTGATTGATTCGTTTGATTTCTGTTGCAAGACTAAGGATGGGGTAAAAGAGTCACTGCATTGGCATGGAATGATCGCGTGGGATGGGCTGGAGAGGAAAACTTTTTCGCTGCATAGTATGTATAAGTAGTTGCTTCTGCCTCGGTCCTTCCTCCAGGACAACCTCAATACCATCCTTTCTTTTTTTTTTTCCTACTCGCCACTGTCCTCTACATATTCGAATACACGACGTTTGTGTAGAAGACTGATTGTGCTCACCGTCTCTCCTTGCAATCAATTGTCTACTCATCTATTGCTTTAGCAGTTAGAACACACGAGTAGCATCAACACAATCCGCATACACGTACATTACATAGAAGACATTCTAGACTCATTCGACCTCTAGCCCTTGCGACAATCACCCACTGCGCCAATCCTTCTTCTGTCTATTTTTAAGAAGTTCAAAATGAAAACCTGGATCAACCCATTCACGCGCCATGACCGGCAAGAATTCCTCGGCGTCGTGATCCCCCTCTCTCAAGCAACTCGCTTCCAGCACCTGAACACCGTGACCTCCGACTCTGAGACGCCCGACCACAAACCACAAGACGCCGAGGATAAAGACAAGCTGGACCGAATCGGATCCGAGGAAAATGGCGCTGCTTCCAACCCGGAGTATAGCCATCAGACCATCGAAGCCATTCGCGCCGAAGTTGAGTCTGAGATCTCGACATCGGGACATGACACTACTTATGACCGTAGGTTCTTTCTGTCTTTTGTCTCGTAGCTCTTTCCGAGCCGGATGCAACATGCCCTATGCGCTTAGTCATGCCGATGGACTGTCTCGTAGATTGCCAGACTCGTTACGAAATTACCGAAAATCGGATCTAATGGACTTATAGGAAAGGCTAAAGTGATCAACTTGGCCATCCAGGACATCGGAATGGGCCGTTATCAGTGGCAGCTCTTTATTTTGTGTGGATTTGGCTGGTTTGCGGACAAGTACGTTTCCATAACTCTTCTTGTGGTGATTGATGCTAACATGACTTAGTCTCTGGCTTCAGGTATTGTAATTCAACTTCTAGGTTGGCTACATACTAACGTGACTAGGGCATTGCATTGACCTTGAACCAAGTGTCTCAAGAATTCGGCATCTCCGATACCCGCGTACGCTTCACGACAGCTGCTTTGTTCGTCGGTTTATGTATCGGCGCTTCCTTCTGGGGAATCGCTTCTGACGTTGTTGGACGTCGTTTGGCGTTCAACATGACTCTTCTGATTTGCGGCATCTTTGGTATTTGTATTGCAGCAAGCCCTACTTGGATTGGTGTATGCGGTTTGGCTGCTGCAATGGGTCTCGGTGTGGGTGGAAACTTGCCTGTTGATGGTGCTCTCTTCCTCGAGTTTCTGCCCTTTGCGTCGGGTAATTTGCTCACTTTACTGAGTGTTTGGTGGCCCGTTGGCCAGTTGGTGGGAAGGTATGTTATCAATTTGTCCTCAAGAGATGGGTATACTAATTAGATATAGTCTCATTGCTTGGGGCTTCATCCCTAATTACAGCTGTGATGCCGATTTGCTTGCCTGTTCGGCCGTTTCTCCTGGAGAAGCATGCTGCCGTAGAGAAGACAACATGGGCTGGCGATACCTGTGTCTCACCTTGGGAGCTATAACGTTGGCCATGTTTGCTTGCCGCTTCTTCTTGTTCCATCTCTACGAGTCTCCCAAGTTCTTGCTTTCTCGTGGCCGCCAAGAAGAGGCTGTGAGGACTGTACATGCTATCGCATACAAGAACAAGGCCAAGACATGGCTCACTGTCGACATCCTCAACGAGATTGGAGGTCATCCCAGCGAAGGTGGCGACGCAAAACTGACCCGCTTCGAGATTATCAAACGTTCTCTTTCAAAATTCTCTGGCGAGCGCCTCGGCCCCCTTTTCCACACCAAGAGACTAGGTACCACTACTGCACTTCTCTGGTTCTGCTGGGCTACTATCGGAATGGGATACCCTCTTTTCAACGCCTTCTTGCCACAATACCTTGCTCACGCAGGATCCGACGCTGTCACACCGATCAATATCACATACCGAAACTATGCCATTACCTCCGTTGTTGGCGTTCCTGGCTCAATCATCGGCTGCTACACCGTCAACATTAAATATATTGGTCGCAAAGGCACCATGGCAATCGCAACCATGTTGACTGGCATCATCCTCTTCTGCTTCACAGTCTCCAACGACTCCAACATCCAACTAGTTTGCAGCTCTCTGGAATCCTTCTTCCAAAACATCATGTACGGCGTCCTGTACGCCTACACACCCGAAGTCTTTCCCGCACCGAACCGTGGATCCGGAACTGGAATCGCCAGTTTTTTCAACAGATTGTGCGGTGTCATGGCTCCGATTGTGGCCATCTATGGCGCGAAGAATAATGCAAGTGCGCCGGTTTATGCTTCCGGTGGCCTGATTTTGGCGGCTTTTTGTGCGATGGTGTTTTTGCCGATTGAGACGAGGGGGAAGCAATCATTGTAATGATGTGACTATCCACTTGTACATAACTTTCCAGGATCGGTTATATACAACATTGAATAGACCTGTCAGCGAGTTATTGTATATATTAGTACCTAGGTGGCTAGGTTGAAAAAAGTAATTGAGATATTCATATCCCAGTCGTCCGAAAACTCAAATATCAAGCTGAAGAGTCAGGAAACATAGTTGGTCGGTGGACACATCAAAACTCGATAGTCAATATATTTTTTTTTGGCACACAGCACTGAGGCATGAGATAAAGATGTAGGAGTTATGGCTGTCTGTAGCCGTCAGGTATAAGTAGAACCTGACTCTTTTAAATCTATATATCCATCAATTCAGTAATTAGGAGTATTCCCAGTAATAAATATCGAGATGGATTAGTGTATTTGTGTTCTCTTCACATCCGTATCAAGTAAAGTTCTTTGTAAAAAGATGCGAAAAGGGGGGTTTCACTTATTGATCAAGCCAGGTCTTGGTATGCTGATATCGCAAACCTTCTCACAATTCATAATACGATCATTCCGAATAGTCAACACAGTCGCACAAGTGGTTGATGTCAGACTTTGTAATTGTGTAGGTGGCGCCTGGTGATGCATGTTATTTGCCTACCTACTGTTGCCTGCAGCCGTGAATGTATAAATATTGAAAGACTCCGGAAGTAAAATTCGAGAACACTTGGTATTCACTTATCCTCTCATTAATACTTTAACAAAGAAAGAAGCCAGGAGTCAGTCGTACGGAACGGATTATTGGGTTTATATGCTTTTAGGTATGGATTGCTATTACGGAGATGAATAGAATGTGTGATAGTACTCTCGAGGGACCTTTAGATAGCTCTATACTACACAGGTCTTTTCACTAGATTACTGCTCAATGAAATGCGTCATCTAAGCAAACAGCTTGTCCACAAAAGTGGTCTTCTTCCCTTCCTGATCAATGTCATACATAACCTCATAGTGATCAATCTCCTCCTTCAGTCCATCGAGACTCAGATCCGCTGTTCCAGGCCAGACATATTTAGTTCTGAAGATCAACTTCCAGCCCACGAACAGAACGATAAAGAATCCAATCATGCCGTAATCGAGGAAGAACCACAATACGCTCCACCCTCCCTTGAGAAAGACATCGTATCCTCCGGCAAGAAGCATAAATAAAGTTCCACCCATGGCTAAGTAGGAGGTATACGGCTGGAAGCGTCCCTTGTAGGCGAGAGTATCACGCGAGATACCCTGTTTCTTGAGAGACGAGTAGAAATGGCGATATGTGAATGCCGTGAAACCGTAGTTGATCATTTGGCAGCACGTAACGAGATCGACGAGGTAGTCCATTACCTCTGCAGAGGAGCTGTTGACCTGCAAGAAGGCCAGGAGACAGAATGATAGAGATATGGCGAGGGCCCAGATGGGGACACCTTTCTTTGTGCAGTAGGATAGGATTTTTGGTGCGTGCCCGGTGATGGACATTCCGTGTAGGGTTCGGGTTGCGGTGAAGAGGAGACCATTGCCGGCGCTGAAGATGGATGTCATGATCAGTGCGTTTACAATGTGAGGCAAGACGTGGATTTGAAGCCGTTGCATGGCGATGACATATGGCCTAGCGCATCATTAGTTCGCAAAATTAAAGGTATTGTATACAAGGAGAACTTACGATGCTGCACCGGTACCAGATCCGGAAACGGTGCCCCCTAGAATGCCGAGGAGAGTCGTATCATTGTATGGAATGACGATTCCCATGCAGAGGGAAGATCCAACAAAAAAGACAAGGATACGCCAGACGAATGAGCGGAAAGCCGGAGGTAGAACCTTTCGAGGAGCCTCTGTTTCGGCGGCGACCATTGAAATATATTCAGGGCCGGTGATTCTGTTCAAGTGTGTCAGCCTTAAAGTCTCCGGGTGAATGTAGACGGGAAATACCCACGAGAAACTGGCTTGGTACATGCACGACAATATACCCAGAAATCTGCCTGTGTTGCCCGTAGAATGGTGCTCAACAAACGCGCCCGGCTTGTCCCAATACCTGAACCCATACCGATCATGGATCGGATTGCCTCCCAGCATCGTAATAAAGGTGAAAAAGAACAAACCTATCATCAAAACCACCTTGAAGATCGATAGATAAAACTCCGCGATACCAAAGTACCGCACACTAATCACATTCAACAGCGCATAAATGACTATCATAGCCACAATGATTGCCTCAACGGGTACCTTGTCCGTCCAGAAAGTGATCATGATATTCATGGCGACAATTTCAAAGGGAACCAGAAACGCCATGTTCAGGAAAAAGTTCCATGCCATGGCGAAGCCCAATGCGTCGTCGACCCATTCTCTGCCGAAACGGATGAAAGGGGATGGGACAGGCATGTATGTCACCATCTCAGCAAAACATTCGTTTACAGCCCACATGATGAGGCCCCAGATGAGAAAAGCGATGAAGAGACCGGCTGGKCCGCCYTTGGGGAGGGCGGAGGCCATTTGCACGTAGAGAGCTGTATCGTTCACATTAGCTGGCTGTCGAATTTGATGCTTAGTATCTTCTTTGGAAGCATGTGACTTACAAGTACCAATCGCACCACCAATAGCAAAAAGCTGCACTTCTCTTCCCCTCAGCTTACGATGCAGAGCTTGCGAGCCAGCAGGGATACTAGTCACTGATCCCGTTGTGGCTGCCTCGCCATCGCTAGGTGGGAAGGAGGAATCGCTGTTTACATCCTTGGATGTGGCAAATGCTCCCTTTTCGGGGTATGCTGCGTTGATTGACATTTTGTCCCAGCTGTGTCTGTGACCAGCATAAGGGGGGGAAGCACGAGAGCTAGAATCAATCCCAGTGGACTGGACAATAAGTCGTGCAAAAGTCAAGGATGGATCTATCGAGATTATTATGGTGTTTAGGCAGGGCTATCAGTAGGGCACCTGCAGTTCGGGGGAGTAAGATAAGTTGACGAGGCTTGTCGTGTCGAGGCAGCGTTATCATTGCGTCGGTCCGTCCGATGTTAATGGCTGGCTTGGGAGAACAGCGACGACATCATTTTCATATCTAAACAGCTTAGTATAGTTTCCACGCTTGGACCTTTTCTTAACACGCATGTATAATTCTTGAGATATTCATTCACAGAAAAGTAAAAGGTTTCTGGAATATAAGACAGACCTGATTAGATTTCATAAATCAGGATGTTGTTTACCCTAACGGTAGCCCGTCCTATTAACGGAATGTTGATAACGTGAACTGGCACTGGAGTTGCAAAAACATCGATTATTATTTGAATGTAAAGGAATGCATTCTACGAATTACAATAGATAAATATGATGTGTAGAATACATATACTGTCCTTCGAAGACGACAGTAAACTCTGATCTATACAAGGAAGCCCTATCTAAGAGTGTCGGGCAGACCGACAAGATCTCTACTTGGCATGACTCTTCAGTCGACGATGACAAAGACACTAAACTCAGGGGAATTTGTCATAGTTACTACAATTTCAGTGGCAAGGATCTGTGCAATGAACAGAGGGTAAGCCCTTCTCAACTAATTCTTGAAATCACCCTTTGACAAGAATTCTTCATATTGGTAATGTGGTTGAAACTCCACATATAATGTCTCCTATATTATGTATCAGCTAACAGATGTTCTCGGATGCAGAGGGACCAACGTACCGGTGTAGAGGCCATTTTATAATTATAAGCTGCTTCCTCGTCGCTCACGATCATCTTCTCAAGCCCAGTTCGATCAGCCAACAACTGAACCTTGCAACTCCGCTCCATAAGGCAAAAAAGGAAAGCTGCCTCATCTACAGTCTGGCCCACGGTAAGAAGACCGTGATTCATCAAGATTGAGGCCTTTCCAGTCCCCAAACTCTTAGCAATCTTCTCTCCCTCTGACGACTCGTTCGCAATACCACCGTAATCAGAGTAGACTGAATGCGCCTTATAGAAATAGCACACATCCTGATTTATCATCTCAAGAGGCCTTGCGAACGCTGACCAAGCGCGGCCGTGGACTGAGTGTGTATGGCAGATGGCATGTACATCTTTTCGTGATTTGTGCACTGCGGAATGGATCTGGAAGCCCGCAGCGTTGATCGAGCCCTCGGTGTTGCCGCCAATAACCTCGCCATCCAAGTTTACGCAGATCATGTCACTGGCCTTCAACATTCCGAAATGTACAGCAAGTGGGTTGATCCAGAACCGGTCCTCGAACTCTGGGTCTCGTACACTGATGTGTCCTGATATACCTAAAAAAAGTCAATCAGACTAACGTGGCTTCAGAGTCCGCTAGTCTGCATACCCCAAACATACCTTCAGCGTATCCCTCGCGAGCAAAGACTCGGAATGCGCCGGCCATATGCTCTAGCTGCCATTGACGCTTCTCGGCGAACGAATCAAAAACTGGGATGCCTGGAAGAGCCTTGCCATTGTGCGCCATAGCAGCCATAACGTCGACATCTTTTGTCTCGGCTGACTTGACCGGCACGGATTGGATAGACGTTTCAGGGGTTGCACTGGGTGCCATTCTGACGGAAATGTGCGCTGCTGAGCGAGAATGAATCAATAATTCAGATTTTTATGTTGCGATACTCTGAGTAGTTGATAGGTACTAAAAGCATATCTATAAGTCTCAGACGATGATTGAGATGGAGGGGTGCTTGATTGGGGCTAAGTGATCGGGCATAATTCACCAGGTCGGAGGGTCCGATTGATCGAGTCGGGGTTGCCGATATGTAGCGTTATGGTTGTACTACCGGAGACGACGCGGGGTATGCATGCATATTTGGAAGGCAAATGAAATATAGAGTTGCGGCCAATTTGGACTCTATGAAAAGGTGACGAATCGTTATAACTTGAATCAGAATTTGTAAAAACGGTGAGCTGCTCATGCCTATATACGCCATAGCCCTAATCAAGTATAGATAGCTGAAAAGTACTAGACATCCATTGCCGAAATGATCGTGTTAGCAACGGCAGTGGCCTTGTCACTATTCGTCATATATCACTTCGTCTATTGCACGCTGTGGACAGGTCCCCTGCAGAAAGTCTCCGGTCCCAAAGCATACGCGATAACAAAATGGCGTCTTGCCCTTGACGACTACAATGGAGTCAGAACACGATCTATCCACTCCTTACACCAAAAGTACGGTACAGCAGTACGCATCAGTCCAAATGAAGTATCTTTCTCATCTCTCTCAGCGTTGAGGACAATCTACGGTGCTGGATCGGGCTTTGAGAGAACGAGCTTCTATCGCATGTTTGACGTCTACGGCAGACAGAATTTGTTTACCTTTGCAGGCGTCAAGCAGCATGCCGACAGGAAAAAGCTGTTGGCACACGCATACTCGAAGAGCGCGATATTGTCCCCCACTGCAATTGCAAAGCCGCTGATTGAGAAGAATGTGAAGAGCTACTTAGAATTACTGGAGTACGAGAAGGGCGTGACGGAGGAGATATTTCAGAGCCTTCACTGGTTTAGTCTTGATAGCATTACTGGCTTTCTCTATGGGGACCAGCATGGGGGAACTCATGCACTCAAAGGAGACTCCGGGGATAGAGCACTTCTAGGTGATATCATTGACCCTAGCCGGAGGTTACTGAGTTGGTATGCCGTTCATATGAAGAATTACACCAAATGGCTTTATACCCGGACCGGATTGATGGAGAAAATTGTGACGAATCTGGGATTATTGCCAATGAAAAAGCCCGCAACGTACACTGGTATTCGAGCACATGCGTTGAAGGCGTGGAATAGCTTCGAGGCTTCAGTCACTGAAAACCCTCCAACTCGGGACATTTCTATCATGGAGAAATTATGGCGACACAGCATATCCGAGAAAGGCACTCAACTTGATGGACTTGATATCGCGTCAGAAGCAGCAGATCACTTTCTAGCCGGAATCGACACGACCAGCGACACATTAATGTTCACAATATGGGCACTCTCACGCCCTGAGAATCGAAAATACCAAGAAAAGTTGATCCAGGAAGTTGACAAAATCGCCGAAACAGACTGCAATGCAGATGGAAATCCTACAGCTGAGGTTGCAGACAAGTTGCCATATCTCGATGCTATTATTAAGGAGACTCTTCGACTTTATGCTCCGTTACCAGCGTCAGAACCACGAACATCTCTAGTTGATACAAAGATTGATGGTTATATAATCCCAGCTGGCACGGTGGTAAGCATGTCGCCATATACCCTTCACAGAAATCCAGAGGTGTTTCCGGAGCCGTTGAAGTTCAACCCAGAGCGATGGTTGGGTGAGAATGGCGATTGTGCGGAGATGAAGAAGTGGTTCTGGGCTTTTTCGAGTGGAGGTCGTATGTGTATCGGGTTACAGTACGTTTGATTGTTCATTCTTGAAGTAGACAGAGAAGGTCTAACAGTTTTCAATCTAGTCTTGCAATGGCCGAAATGACAACACTGCTTGCAGCGATTTACAGAACATACACGACGAGTGTGTACGATCGACAAAAGGGAATCAGCCCAGGAATTACGAGTCGGTTTGAAGTCTTTTATGACGAAACTCTTCCCAAATTTGAGGTGAGTCCATATACGGTTTTCAGCTTATTACACAGGCTCAAATGCTCATTGCATCTTAATCTAGGAGCATGAATGTTGGGTCAATTTCATTAAACGGCAAAGCAACACAACATGGTCATATCACAAGCAGAGATTTGGCACCATTGAGATGTTTCCTAATTCATTGACCTGATCGCCGAGACACATCTCCAGGTCTTGAAGACCGCAGCAGCCGCATTGTGGGTTGCAATAGCAGTTTGTTCAGCTTGTAATTTGAATATGAATCATGAGTAAAAAGACAAGTTTCGGCATTGGGTTGGCGCAAATGTGACCCACTGAGTGAGATGTTCATTTGTAGGAGACTTGTTATAAACGAAGACACCTGCCCATTGATTCCTCTCAACTGGGTAGGTTGTGCGCCTTTGTTCAAAAGGTAGTTTCCCCTCTTGATACTAGCCGATCAGCCGCTCAATTTAGTACCGAGGGATGAAGTCATCCTGCATACACCAAATGATCTGTTTTCGGGAGTTCATATGTTCCGCCATCGATACATCCTATACTGTCTTGCCACGTTATGCAAACCAGTCGTACCAAGAAAAACATGTACCCCTTTTCCGCCCCCTGATTTTGCGCACCTCATCGAATAAATCAATACTTACATCGCTTGTGTTAATGACGTGCGTAGCTCCCAGTACCTTGGCGTGATTCAATCGAGATGCCGTATAATCAATGATGATGAAAATTTGGCAAGCAACCATTGCACAAGCGTAGTGGCCAAAGAATACGAGGAAAAAATATGAGCGGACTATTCTATGCCTTCGCCATTTCCAGAACGTACTCTTACAGAAAAATGCCGCGGGCAACAAGTTGGAACTGCAGCTCATTGTCCTTGAATGTGAGAGAGGTTAAATAGTTCAAGTGCCATTGTCCCTAACAGAGAGATCCATGTGTAACCACTGCCAACCAGTGTTAGGGTTTCTGACATTCTGAAAGGCAAAATGATATATGTTGCTCAAGTTGATTGGCCATTACCTAGTCTGGAAAGAGTGTTCATGATATTCATGAAATCTTTCGAAACAAATGGTGGACAATTTATAGAAATAGATACCAAGATTATTGTATTTTAGATTAAACTGTAAACCCTTCTTAGCTTTTACATTATTATTTTTATCTCTAAGTAGTTTTTTACTATCCAGCTAGAGCTACAGAATGAGGGTGGTTAAAGATTGAACTCAACTAGGCAGCTGTCTCTTTTTAATTTATTCTAGAAAGTAATAAATTTTAAAAGAGTTTCCCTTAGCTTTTTTTCATCGACAGCCTCCTCATAAGACTTGGATTTCCGCCATTGCATAAGGAAGTATGACCACAGGATCTCCAACTCCATAGGTTTGATAGTCTCCTGAGCGAGATGCATATGGCGGGKTTGCGTACGCCGAGCTCGTTTCAATGTTATAATCAAGACCCAGAAGCCGATTTGAAGCGTTGTTGCTATCTGAATTTCTAGTTCATTGGTTCCAATTTCCAAACTTCCTGTGATGTCAATCCAGGGGTCGAAGAGCTCAAAGGGGTCCAAAGCTCTGCCGTTAAGGGTCGCTCCCTGCGTATGAAATATTGGGCCCGTAGCGAGGATCGCGCCGTCTGTCGTTGAGCCATACCAGTCAAAGGTGGTCCTATAGTAGCCAATCCCAGATACGTTGCGCAACTGCGGATCGATTGAAGTCCAATTACTGATCGCTGGCCCACTGAAATTATCATATTGATATATAGTTTCCGTGTGGTTGGTTGCATCATATATGTTGGCTGTGGGTTCCCATCCGTGAATGGTGATGTTCCAGATGTCCAATGTTTGGCGTTCAGGAGGGTTGGAGATTGTCACGTTTACCGTGGATGAATTGAACAGATTGATCGTCATCTCGCCACCTGTGAAAGATTTGACGACAAGAGAATTTGCTCCGTAGGTGACATTAGCTTGGAGGCTGGGGTTCGGGACAGCATGCGTCTTCAATCCAGCGCCATTGCCATTGAAGTTGTCGGGTGGACCAATTGCAATGAGAGCAATTGCATCTTGCGTAAGAATCACTTCAACCGATGTAGTCAAGGAGGTCTGTGTATATGCTGCAATCCGTTCAATGCTACCAGTCAAGGAGTCCAAAAGGAATGGAACCCCTTCTCCGGTTCGAAAAGTGATGATCTGCGTTGACGCAGCTCCTTGATTGTAGAGATAGACATAATGAGTCAATTCCGTGGCATTCCATCGGTGGACAGTCAAAAGGGTGGTATTGACAAAGGGCAAGACATTTAATTCCTCGAGGGCAGAGACGACATCGCTTTGTGAAGGCACAATTTTGACATTCGTGTTAGACAAGATCGATGCCATGGTGGCATTAACGTAAGCGTCACCCGTGATATTATTCCCGGGAGTGGAGGATGGTGTCGTCCCTATAAAAATAACAGGAAAACCAGCATTCGCGTATGACGATATGTATCCAGCCGCAGCTGGAGGCATAGAGCTCTCATTATTCACCAAGATCGCCTTGTACGAAGGACCCTGGGCCGCGAGAACGCCATCTGTCAGAGTACCTGTAGGCAGTTCCAAATTTGCAGGAGATATGTAATTCCATGTATATCCAGCGTCGTACAATCCCTGGTCAGACCAAATGGTCCCAAGACCGGTGCTGAAACTGTAACGATAAATGGCCAGGTCAATTTGCGGTACCCCGTTTTGAAGAACAAAGTTAGTTCTTGCAACTTGATCAATTATGGAAGGGTACATTGACCATGATGGCTGGCGCACATTATGACTGCCTGAGTAGCCCTCCCAGATAAAAGCCGTGTAACCTGGCCAGGTCGTATTCGGATAGTTACCACTATAGGGTGAGCCGTGGAAAACTTGGAGGTTCACCTTTCAGAAGTCAGTATGTGCGAATTAGACGATATTCAACCCCTTCACTCAAACCTACCCCTCCTGCATGATTCGACCGAACATCCAACAGCAAAGTCGGCCACGTCAGGGAGTATGATTGGCCATAGTGAGCCCCTGTCTCACTACTCATGATACGAGCTTGAGCCATATTCACGCCCCCTGCAAATTGACGTTAAGCGTCGACATTATCGTTGAACTCCAAACTCTCGCACTCTGGCGCATCTGCTACAGAGGAAGCTGCAACGAAGTCGATAGGAAAACCGTAAGGTTGGTTAGAATACTGAAAGCCGCGAGAGTGGGCCCATTGTTTGAAAGTCTGTAGGTATTCCAGATAGCATTCTGTCAGGGTCTGGTAGTAGTCATTGACATATTTTTGGCCCTGGTCTGGCTGATCATAATAGAATGTACGGGCAGGATAGGATGTGAAAAACAATGGTAAGGCAGTTGTAGGAGAATACCCACGTCTGGAAAGGAAAGATTGAGTGAAATTGTCTGTCCACAAGAGGGGTGCCACCAGTTCTGCCGAATCCTCCCAAGCGTACATGCTGACAGTTTCAAAGTCTCCAGCAGTAATGGCATTTTGGTCCATGAACTGTGTAGACAGCTGCGCTCCCGCGGCACTGAAGTGGTCCACGATGAAGGATCCATTCGATGTCAATGGGTAATTGTTTGTTAAGCCTTGACGTGACTCGTACTGACCAGTACGTCTCTGCCAAAAGGAAAAAAGGATCCACTGGTCAGAGACTACTCCTGGCACCGTGAAATTCACATTGCCATCCTGGACCATAGCAGTGAGATCGATCATTGTCGATTGGTTCAAGAATATTTCGTTGTTAGTGGAGCGAGTAGTTTGCCCAGCTACCGCAGCAACCAATGTTGCTGGACTTGCGGACGTGTCTGGAAATACCCAGTAGCCTGGACTGCGTCCTGAATATGAAAGATCCGGGTCAGGCAATGGTCCTGAATATTGCTGTCCACCACTGATATTCAGATGTCCATACTCTAGCCCAGTGCTCAATCCTGGCGCTGTCTGATCCTGGACTGGTACCCCTGCCCCCTGGTTTGGACCTAGTGCGAAGTCCATATTCAAATCGTTCTCGGCAGCAGCTGATGCAAAAGCACCAATCATATTTTTCCATGCTACAGACCCAAATCCATATTGTCCCCAGTCAACTGCTTCTTGGCCTTATATTCCTGGTGTCGGGTCTCCGTAAAGCTGATAGGAGATTAATTCAAATCCGCCGAAACCAGCACCTGAACATTGTATCAACCATAGGATGCCGCGGACTAGCTTCAGAATATTGGTTATACATACATCTGAGCTCTTTAATATCAAATTTCACACGTTCTTCATCAATATAAGCATCAGGAGCCCAATAGCGGACTTTTGGGCGTGCATTGGAACTCGGATTGGCAAATGTGCCTCTATCCCAAGCATCACTCGTCGTGCCTGAGGTTCGATTTCTCCCCGCAGATTGAGCCAAGCGCGCCAGCCAAGAAAGTACCAGCAGTACGTAGATTGAAGTGACGTGCATTTTTTGAATTGGCTTGAAAACCCTTAGGGGACAATAGCATTCATAGATGTTGAGACACGCGCAGTCTTATATGCCCCAGTTCTCACGGTAAAAACTATTCCAAGATGCCTCAAATAAAGTATTCTCGGTCATCTCGCTTTCACTTCGCCCGAACGATTCAAATCCGGGTCCGTATTCCCCGAAGGACTCTTGTAGATGGAACCATCCATGGGTAGTTTTGCTAAAGTGTTAAGCTACCTGAGATCCACGATTTCCTTACATCCCCCGCGATGGCAACTTCTGTTTGCAAGCCGGGGAATATTCTAGCCCAAAAATAACGAGCCTTAATCAATTGTTAAATCCATTGTTTTGGTATCGAGAGGAGCTTCCCCATGCTCAGACAAGGTTTCACCACTTGATGCGGGGAATTGCTCATTATGGCCTAAGAATATTCACCGCGGACCGCGGTGAATTATTGCTCGGACCATAGCATTATTTTCAGGTTCTTTTCCACAATGATTAACATGGGTGCGACTTATGAATCTCTGCAGGGTAGTGGTGCCAATGTAATGTATAGCCCACCTGGAGGCTATTTTAACCACACTGCTGGCATGTCAGGGAACTCCACGACTGGTAGCCCGACCCAGTATCACTACTGCAGTGCCTGCACCATCGAACGCTCTCAACGGATCGAGCACAGATTGCGGCAAGTGGTACATCATAAACGAAACCTCATCAAATAACACAAGATAGCTAGCTAATGTTAGGAATCCATCAGGTTGTGGAAGTCGACGACTCCAGTATAGTATCTGTCGCCAACTCAATTTCTATAACGAATTTTTATTTCTTGAATCCTGAGATTGATGCAAACTGCACGAATCTTGAGCTTGGTGAAGCCTACTGTATCGCTGCTGTTGGAGACATCAGCATTTACTCTGGCTATCCTACAACAACCCCCTTGTTCACTGTGACAACTGCTAGCTTTCTCCAGTGTCGATACATCCATTTCCACTGCCACCAGCAATCCAGGATATATCTATGTACCGAGATATTTCCCGACTCTGCGCACCGGGCCCCCGGTCAGGCTGCGAATTATATAGAAATTATGATAATAGCACGTTACATGCCAACTCTTGCAAACTAATCGCATGGCTCAGTGAGATCACAACCGACGATTTTCTCGCATGGAACCGCAATTTCGACTCTAACATGACCACATATCCCTCGCAGCCGGGTTAAAGCCACTGCGACTTACTAGATGACAGTACCGTTAGTGACACTCCCCCTTTTTCTAAAAAGGAAATATATACGTAAGTAGGGTGCTGAGATAAATTATCATATCCCTAAATTGACTAGCACAGCCTTACCGAACAATCAAGTATCACAAACCATTCCAAAGTAGGGGAATCTCAGATCAGAACGGGAAGGTCATCTCAGGAGGACGAACATACAAGTCTGCCCATGCGCCGTCGCTGGTAATATGTGCAGAGGGCCCTATCTGAGCCCGTTTATAGTCAACCTTCATCCAGCCCACTTCTTCCAGCGTGCACCCCTCTACCGGCTCAAAATTATTCTCTGGCGGGGGACTACCACAGCCCTCTAATTCCTCTTCAGTCAGAAACCTCGGTTTCCATCGGCCTTCAATCAGGATCACAAAGGCGCCATCTTCTACCTCCTCAGGTGGAATGCTCAGAACAGACAGCAACGCTTCCTCATCAACCATTATACAGAGTCTGTAACGGGCTGACATCCCCTGCGAAGCACGATTAAATGGAATGCCTTGCTCGGTCTCACATGCACTATGCGCCCACTGGTTGAAATAATCACGCACAATAGCTGGACTCACGCCATCGAATCGTGTTTTGTCGTCCATCACAGTAGGCTTGAAATAATCAAGTAGGTCAAGACCATCTGCATATTCAAGTGTATGGTTTACATGGTAGAGAAAGCGACGCATGAACTCTTCCCAGTCGGAGTCGCTCTTGTAGGTACATCTGTAGACGACAAGGCCCCATGACTGGAAGCCGTCGCTGAGCATATGCCTCGCGATAAGATCGGCTTCATTATTATCATGATCGGAGGCCGGGACTGGATCTCGTTTAGATTTCTCGGGTGGCCATATTGGTGGCAATACGAGAGAAGGGAACTGTTTCTTTATATTATTGGTCCATGCTTGTCGCGTGCTGTTATTTAGTGATTGGCGGTGGAAGTTCCAGGCGACTCGCGGTAGCTTGGAGAATGAACTTGGTTTTGACAGGGTCCAGCTGGCAGTGCTCGGTAATTGGCGTCGATTTATGAGAAGAGGTTTTGCACCCCGAGCGTAGGGCGTCATCTTGACAGCTTTGGTGGGAGATGGGAGATGGGAGCTGCAGTGCGTTTGTCACCCAAGCTGGACATGTAGATTACCGTCCTTCACCGCCTAGTGACTAGACTGAATTTTGTTGCGATCATTTCCCTACGCATATATCAATCATTTCAATCATTTTGGACTACCGATAATATGAGTTCGCTTTTGAAGCATTACACTTTCTGAAGCCAGGAGAAGAGCCCAATGTAAGTTTAGTAGTACGAATATACAAGTTGAAGTACTTAAATCTCTTAAACCTATTTCTGCAGAGCTACAGGCTCAAAATATGAGCAATATAACAACTAATAATCACTTAATCACTTGTAGTCAACAGTACTTAAAATATACATAAAGGAATGCGATACATCCACACCCCCGAAGGTCGGGCCACGCCCTTTCAAGCACATTCTCATTCTGAAATCAGCATAGCATTAAAAAAAGAAAGAAGAAAGATTGAATGTGGCATCAATCAATTAGCTGTGGAAAAATGTATTCCAGGCGAATTACGAATTTTGTCGTTAAAGTCGACACAGGCCCTGTACCGAAGATTGCGGGTCGTTCCTGATCAGCAGGCGATCGCGGGAACGGGCCGAAGCCCGATATTCCATCTTAGTTCACTTTCACAGTGTTTAACGCAGGAACAGGATGGATTCTCCTACATGATACACCAACCAGACAGGCAGAGAAAATATCTCTAGAAGAAAAGAAAATGACAGGATTACTTTACCGCTATCCCAAATATGGTGAGTGCAGCGCATATATCCACTCAACTGTCCTCATTGGATGGCGAAMATCCCTCCCCTTCCTAAACTAGCGTGCATGGCTTTGCACAATCTCCTGTATGGCAGCCTATTTCAAGTAATTTCTCTCTTTTAGTTAGACACACAGTACAATACGTTACTAACGATCACGAATCTAGGTCCAGATCAAACTCTATTCTTCTTAATTTTAGTTAAGAATTACCGAAGGCACTTTCTACCAGATCGCATCGTCTATTTGAAGGGGCGGCACCTGAGCTCGTCCGTCACTCCGCGACAATGTTCGCTTGCCGACAACACGCATTCAGGTTATGAATGCCCGAGCCTGTTTCTGGACTCTGATGTGACCTTGGTTCCTAGACTGAGCAGTTTAACAGGAAGATCAGGAATACCGTTGCATACTTATGCTGAGGCTCAATGAAAGGAAACATTGGAAGGCCTGGCCAGATACTATATGAATCAATTTCATCCATCCATGAAGTCGATGCTATCTCATTACCATAAAAATCTTCTACCAAGTCAGCTGTAATTGAACAGCATCGGGATACCGGGGAGTCGTCAGAGGACATGCAGTATAACACTACCTAGGTTTAGGTCATCATCCCCTTGTTTAAAAAATGATGGATGAAACCCCTGTCAATGAGCAATTTCAGGTTCTAATATTCAATAGCGTGATTCTTATCCGAGAGCAAGCGCTAAAGGATTGTAAGACCTCTTGACGTTACCACTATAACCTCAAGAATATACAGCCTTTCCACTTTCTGAGCAGCATTGAATGTTGTTGACGAGTGACTAGGATTTGAGAAGAGAAATTAGGAATAATACTTCTTCAAGAGAAAGGATGAAATGGCGTGCTAAGTACTATAATGTGGGGGTTTGAAGAACACCACCTTAGCTACTGCATCTGATATTACCAACCCCAGGATTTACGCTACATGTAAATTTAGCCTAGGCATGACGATCTCCCAGCCAGCTCTTTGTGGCTTGGTGCGTGATTGGATGGKCAAGCACCATTTGGAAATGTATTGTCGAGATTCCCCGGGCCACTCAGGCTGTCACTTTAAGATTCGCAGTATGAAAATGCCGGAGGACGACGACTAGAATCTTGATGGTGTGAGTATGCAACGCACGGCAATATAAAAGAAAGCTGGGTTTTCCTCGATATTAAAAAAATTGTCTATATTGGAGTAAGGGGTAAAAAAAGCCCTACTCTTTAGCTGCCTCTAATTGAATATGGCGGCTAAGCTATTCTCATTCCTCGCCCTTGAGGCACTCTTGGGTCTAGCACGAGCAAGCCTTCAGTGTTCTGGACAGTTTGAGAAGGTCTCAGCTGGGGAATGGGTCAATCGTGCAAACCCGGGATGGAATCTGGGAAATACCCTTGATGCTTTGCCCACCGAGGGGAGTTGGGGAAACGTCGCTAACTTCTCGACATTTGATGACTTGGTTCATGGAGGATTCAAGGGACTCCGTCTACCCGGTATGAGTGCTTGAAATTTCAAATATTCTTTGCTTCTCTAAAGGGAAAACAAAAGGCCAGGAGACTGACTTCAACGACATTTAGTCAGCTGGGCTGATCATTTCATCACGGGAGCACCGAGCTACACCGTGAATGCTACCTGGTTGCAACGCGTTGAGGATGTCGTAGACGCTGCACTGGAGCGTGGCCTTCACACCATTGTCAATGCGCACCACGAGTCGTGGTTTGATCTTCCCGATGCCAATGGCAACTACACTGCTATTGAACAGCAGTTCTACCAACTGTGGTATCAAATTGGAACCAAGCTAGGCTGCAAGTCTTCGTTGCTTGCCTTTGAACCCATCAATGAACCATCGGCAAACACGGCGGATCAGATTGCAGAGTTGAACAAGATCGAGGCTTTGTTCATCCAGGCACTCGCCGACAGCGGTGGTTTCAATGCGGACCGTGTTGTGACTCTGATTGGACCAGGCGAAGGTCTCGATATACCCGGCAACCTCGTGTTGCCTACAAATATCACGAATCCCTACGCTTTCCAGTTCCATTACTACTCTCCCTACGAATTCATCTTCCAGGCATGGGGAGAAACGCTGTGGGGATCCGACTCGGATAAAGCAGGCGTCGATACTGATTTCTCTGAAATTCGAAACAATTACACTGATGTTCCTCTCCTGATTGGCGAGTGGGATGCTAATCCATCGACTGAGCGTGCAGCTCGTTGGAAGTACATTGACTACCTGATCCGTGACGCCCGCAAATACAACATCACTACATTCATGTGGGATGCCGGCTCAGATCTGCTCAACCGCACTTCCAATACATGGACTGACCCTGTCGCCCATTCAATCATCATCGAAGCTACAGCTGGAGTCAATAACAGTCTTGCCGACAGCACCGAGGACGGTGGCGCTACTACACAGTGGTCGTCTGCCTACGTCTGGCACCAACTCGGAACACCAGTCGTTGACATTACCAACCCTTATATCTTGAATGGCAATCAGCTAAAGAGCATCAGTGGACCACACGGAAATCTTGTCCACGGTCGAGACTATGTTGTGAGCGGAGCCAATGTGACGTACAAGGCCAGCTTCCTCTCGCAATATTTGTCCAGTAGCGCCACCGCTGCTCCCGGCGAGAAAGCCGTCCTGACCCTGAATTTCTCACACGGCACATTCCTCTACGCGACCCTTATCGAGTGGGATACACCAGTTCTCGCTACGACCGAAGTATCTGCCGCTTCTGTGGGCAGCAATGATCTGTATATCCCTATCACCTACAAAGGTTATCCCCAGGTTGCTGCTGTTCAGGCGACACTCTCAGACGGCACGTATCTGTTCGATTCCTGGACCCAATGGCTTGGACCACTTCAAAAAGGTCGAACGACCTCTGGTAGCCAATTCAATTGGGATGCTAGCAGTGTGACCATTCTGAACAGTGCCGTTCGAGCTGTGACCCAGGCTGGTATCGAGGCTAATTTCACCGTGGAATTCTTCCCTCGACTCGGCAACCAGGGACCGAACGCAGTCAATGTTACCATCACGCCTTGAAGAGAATACCTAATAGTATGACTGCAGCGGTGGGTTCCAGTATCGATATGCTGCTATGATGCGTAAGGACACTTATCATTGATGCTATATGTCTTCTTAGTATTCATTCCAATTTAGTCTTCTTCTTCTTCTTCTTCTTCATTTTGTGCAGATCTTCAAATTACTACTGGTCTAGAGCCACCCCAAAGGATCCCCCGTCAACCCTAAAGCCCAGGGTATTGCCGTACAATCACATGCCAGCAGCTACTAATCGACAGTCCACCCTTAGTTTCGAACCCAACAGAAAAGCCAGTTTACAGGAGGATTTCTTCGCTGAAATTGATTCAGCTCCGATTCTCTCTTTAGAAAGTTTCCCTTACAGCTGTCGCCTAAAAATAGCCAGAGCTTATACTCGTAAATCAATAGCCACTATTTACCCGCTCAGCCGCGGTTAGTCTCAGCATTGGCGATTGCTGACGGGGGAAGTCCCACAGCGCCAGGAGAAATCAAGTACGTAGGTATCTATGGGTATAAACTATTCTAAGTATTCATTTTTTTTTTCGTACGTAGTACCATTTGATAGCTGAGTGACTAAGTCTATATAAATTATTATACCTATATACCTGGGTACACTGGATGACACTTGTTCAACGTATGGGAAACACGAGACTCAGCCCACTAGACCCCACGGTAGGCATCCCCCGACACCGACGGGACGAAGGCCGAGATTCCATATTCGTTCACTTTTACAGTGTTTAATGCAGGCACAGGATGAATTCTGCTACTGTTCCTGCATTATATACCAACCAGACAGGCTCTACTAAGCTCAAAAGAACTCGGTCAATCTCCGCACTAATTAGTGTTTTCATACCAGAGACGCTACAATGACTGAACGCTCCACTCCACCGTCCCCCATCCGTGAGCTGCGAGATGCATTTGGCGATCCCAAGCCTCCAGACATCAGCCGAAAGATTACGGCTTKCGTCGCATGTCGCAAACAAAAAATCAAATGTCATATGCCGGGATCTGCGCCGCCGTGTACTCGGTGCAGGAAGCGGGGGCTTTCGTGTACAGTGAATCGCAGTCTACAGATGCTACTGGAAAGTGATACCATGTAAGTATGCCGGAGATAAGTTAGGGCCGCATTGACCACTAATTGACTTTGGTCTTCTAGGTGGAAACACGAGATGGAGAAGAAGATACAGGCGCTTCAAGATGAACTTAGCAGGATCACTCGACATGGCCTTGTACATTCTCAGCATGAAACTCCTACCACAATAGCAAGTGGTGTTGGTAGTGAAGATCCCGCCCCGTCAGCAGATACGAATCTTCAACATGAAAGTCAATGGAACATTCACCTAAATCCAAAGTCGGGTCCGGGTGCGGTCCCAGGGTCTTACATCGCGCAGGCATCCACACCTACATCACCAGCCACAACCCATCAAGACCTCATATCAAAAGGAATTATTAGTATCGAAACTGGAATGAACTACTTTGAAAAGTACCATCAATGGCTTGATCACTTCGTTTATCGAATTCTCGGAGACCACGACAAGGTGACTTTTGATGGTACACGCGAGTCATCACCACTCCTGATTGCTGCAGTGTGTACAATCGGCGCCCTACATTCTCCTTCTAGGATAGATGACTTTAGCGCATGCCGAAGCGAGTTCATTGCATTGAGCGAGAAGCTCAGTCTTGCGCAAACCGGCGGTATCGCGGATGTTCAAGCACTTTGCATTGGAGCATTCTGGCTTCCGGATCTGTCCTGGTCACTGGCTGGGGCAGCTGTACGTCTAGCCACTGAACTGCAGCTTCATAAGAGCTTCTTCAAAGTTTTAGATGGTGATCAGCAGCATTATTTACGCACTCGCCTCTATTATCATGTATACGCCTGTGATCATCATGCCTCCATACCATTCGGAAGACCTCCGATGACTCGTGAGTGTGAAGCTATCCGGGAAGCAAGGAAATTTCTCAACTGCAAATATGCTACGGAAGACGACTCGCGTCTCGTCAGCCAAGTCAGTCGCTGGAGCGTTCTTTCAAATATATACGACACGTTCGGTGTCGACGTCGACCGGCCACTTTCAGATACTGAAGTACCCTGCCTAAGAAAATTCAATCTTGCACTTGACAATCTGCGAGCAGAGTGGATTGACAAGTTTATTCCGAATGACCATGTCGGAAACTATCCTCGCAAAGGGGTCAATTTGCAGTATTATTTTGCTAAACTATATCTTTGCTCTCACGCCTTCCGAGGAGCGGGCTCACAAGAATTTCAGTCGAGATCGCACGAGGTGGCTATGGAAGTGGACCACGTAGCCAATACTGCAGTGCTATCAGCCCTATCTATACTATGTTCTGTACTTGCCGATGTCGAGACTCAATCATTTCTGGATGGCCTACCAACCTACTTCCACATTATGATTACCTTCGCTGCTGTGTTTCTCATCAAGGTATCGTCCAGGCCTTCATCCTATGTACGGCTTGATGTACAAGAAGTGAAGCGTCTTGTAGAGGATACTGGCAGGACATTGAAACGCGTAACATCGAACATGCATCCACGACATCTACTCGTCAGCATCGCCAAGGGTATTGAAAATCTGTTACAGCAGTTCAGTCAGACCGATGAGCAAGTCTCTTCTACTACTAACACTGCTGCTCCAGAGACAACCACACAAATGCCTGAAATGGATGTTTGGAATAGTAACTTTGCGTTTGATCCATACTTCCTCGGCGAGTACGATTTCTACTCTGATCCGTCTATGGATGTTGGTCTTGACTTCTCTTTCGAAAACGTGGCTCTTCCAGAGTAAAATCGGGATTTAGTCTTTTTGAAATGAGGTATATATGCTAGTGATAGCGAACTTCAAGACACAACATTGATTCATGATCAATGACATAATTCCCAAAAGATATCCAGGACGAGTTTCCGTCTACCAGTTAAGCGCCAAATCAAAAATATCATAGTTCCTCCAATTATAATTGTGCTTTGCCTTTGCTCCGTCAGCATTTCCTATAGGACGGGATAACAGCAACGGAATCTGCTGCTCAGACAAACCACCATGCGACCTCAATGGATGATCACCAATCGTAGACAAGTCATGCTCATCCTTTCGGCTCCCAATGACCGCATTTTTCTTCGAAATGACGACAAAATCACCTTCCCTATCCAGCGGCATTTCATATACCTCGGACGCCGCTTTTCCGTCGAGGACCTGCTCAACCTGTGGCAGGGACTTGGTGAAAGCAATCATATCAGATATATGATTTTCCTCTTTTGCATAGACTCGTACAAAGGAGCCAAGAGCTCCATGGTGCTTGACAAACGGGTCGGTGATGGGGCATATGACTCTTGCAGACTTTGAGCCCCATTTCTCAGCCAATGCGTCTTCCAGAAATAGAATATTGGGTTTTCCATCATTGTCAGATTTACTGCTCATGCCGTGGTCGCCTGTGACAGCAACGACGGCGCCGCGGGCGACTAACTGACCAATTCGCTGATCAAGTGCAATGAAAAAGTCATTGGCCTCTAGTGACCCGGGCGCGTGTTTGTGCTGAACGTAGTCGGATAGCGTAAGATAGAGTAGATCCGCGCGTTTTTCTTCAAGTAACTTGATACCCACGTCGAGCACGTAGAGGGATAAATCGCCCGAATACTGACTAGGCGCCTTGCGTCCAATCCAGTCTTCCACACCTTCAATACCATTTTCGGCAAGTGTACAACTTGTTACCCGCTGGGATGAGAAGCAAATATCTCCCTTGCTAGGCTGGAGTCCATGAGCCAGAATGCGGCGTAGCTTGTCTTTAGCCGTGATAGCCGCAACTCTTACCCCGTGTAGGGACATTTGCTCTAGGATCGTGGAACCACGGAGCAGAGAGTCATCCTGTATCATCTTTTCTTTTCCTGTCTCGCGGTCGAGGAAGAAGTTACCTGCGATTCCATGGATGGCAGGTGGCTGGCCGGTGATTATGGAGACGTTGTTGGGGTTGGTGAAGGATGGCATGCATGAGTTTGCCGTGGCGTGGAAACCCTGTTGGACGAATTGCGCGAGGGTTGGGATAATGCCATCGGAGATTCCTTGGGTAAGGTATTCCGGGTCGAAGCCATCTACGCAAATGACGACTGTAGGTAGTTTGGGCAGGGCGTAGGACCGGCCGTGTAAAGTGATGGAATCAGCCATTATTACGAACAGTGAGATAGTTCAAATGAAGATAATAAGATGGTGTACAGTAATCTAGAGTGAGACGGTTTCCCTTATTTATAACTTAATAGTGTCTCCAGCACTGAACATACTAACTCAAAAGGACGGGACGAAGGCCGGACGTTAGGGCTAATATTTAGGGTTAGTGCTTGAGACAGTGGCGGACTTCGTCCCGGCACCTGCATCTTCTTCCATCCATTATCCTAGATGCAGATAGGAAATATTATCTGCCGTGAGGTATGATATTGGCCATGTTTGAAATAGATAGTTAGCTATACGTCCCATCGGAGCAATGAGCTGGGAACTTTAGGGGTTCCAACCCCGAATGCATCAGATTTTGTTACTTTGTATGGCGTATTCTCGCTTCCCATTGACATTATGCCTAGGTGGGAAAGGCTCTCAGTCAATCAAATATCAAATACCATATTAAAAGTCAAATAGGGATATCTAGATACATGCGCACACCTTTGCATATTGAAGGTTAAGACTTCTCGATTTGTAAAGCTACCAAAGTGTCACGTCTGTAGGTATTTAAATTATTAGCTACATTTGGAAATCAGGGTTAGGGCTATGATATGCTTCATCAACACAATTTGATCCAATCAGAGACGTCCATAGATGGAGAAGCACTAGGGGGGATCCACAGGCGGGTATAAGCTTTATTTTGATTTATCACAACATACTTAGCAGTTTTGATACCAAAAGATAAATATGATCACATGTTCAGTTTAGAGTGTGGCGCTTGTTTTGGGGAGGCAAATTGAGCAACTATGCTGCCGTCTCTTTCAAGGGAGAGTGCTAACACCACTCTGGTGACGCCGCAACCTGGGCAGGACGGAGGCAATCGGGTTTCTTTTGGTTCAGTGGAGGATGATTCTTTTGGGAGGTTACAGGAATCTCTTTTTGGGGAAGAGGAGGATTTTGACGAACTCGAGGATTCCCCATGTCGAAGATTACGTGGGAAACGCCCAGGAAGAACACGCTTGATTTATCTGAATACTGGAAGTTCTACGTCTGGGGCAGAAATTAGTGGTGAGGATGAGCTTAATGAAGATAATGAAGACGGGAGAGATGAAGACAACGAAGACGGCGATGACGAAGATGACGAAGAAGACGGCAAGGAGGATGAGGACGGTGAAGACGACGAGGAAGAAGACGTTCACGACGATGAATCTATTCAGTCAATAAAGGCTGAACCCTTACCTGTGACGCAACCAAATCATAACGACGGACAAAGCAACTTTTTAGAACGATACCAACATGAAAATAAATGGCTTGAATTAAAAAGCAAACCCATTCCAAAGTTGGAACCTGATCGGAGCAAGTGGGTCGATGAATGGTTTCAAGCTTTCCAAGAGGGTGTCCGCTTGAAGATTCCCCGTTTCGTCAATGACGGATCTAAAATGGCCATACTTGACTTTTTAGCTGCTGTCGACCTGCAAGATGCCGAGACATTAGGAGAATTGATATTCATGGGATACAAAGCTGATATTGAACTGAGCGGGATGTCAGAGACATTCCACTTTGAAAGCATCCTTCTCGACTTTATGCTTCTGCGGTCCGATAGAGAACCCGCCACCACAACCCAGGGCGAGGATAAGTCTCACCATATCAAGGAAATGGATCAAATCAGAGAAGACTGGTATGGACTTTGTTTCAGCAATTTCCCGTCCACAGAATACGCTCTAGATGCGTGGCTTGAAAAGTGGAGGTTGACCTACGACCGCGGTGTTGCCCTAAAGATCCCATCATTCATTGAGGACAATGGCAAAGAAGCTATATACACCTTCCTCTATCGTGTCAAAAACGAAACAGGATTTTCTTGGTTTCTTCCATGTTATCGCTCTGAACTGGAATTTAACGATCCTGTCCCATCTTTTGCTAGTATTCTTGATGATTTCCAGCTTGAGTGGATAGGGCATAAGGAAGTCGCTGAGGAAAAAGCGGCCGAAGCGAAGAAAAAGTGCGTCTGCGGACTGAAGAACCACCAGAAATGGGTTGAATGTTACTACCTCAACTCATCAATCAGGCCAGAAGGATGGATACCAAAGACTACGGTTATGGCCCGCATCGATGAACAAGCAAGAACCGACAGAAAGCTCAAGAACTTCATCCGAAAACACAGAAAGAAGCAATCTCCGCCCCCACCAGAACAAGAAGAGCCGAAAAAAGAAGAGAAGCCGAAAGACGCGGAGACAGAGGAAGAGAAAGAAGCAAAACGCGGTCCAATCCAAGTCATATTCCCCCATCTTTCGGGCGAAGCCCTCGAAACCAACGAAAAGATAAAAACCAGCTTTTTCGTCTTCAAGGATTCGCCAATCCATTTCTGCAACGACCGTAGCCGATTCATGACTTTCAAACAACGCGATCCGACCTTGCCACAAAACAGGATCCATTGTATGGATCCCTTCAAGACTACTATCGGTATACACGGAGTCGGGCGCGTAAAAGTTAAAGCGACAACGCCCGATGGGGTTGAGAAGGGCGTTCATATAGAATTGCACGAGGTCAAATATTGCCCAGAGGCACCGTGGAACGCGATATCGATAGACCTATTTAACTCCTGGAGATATTATTTTGATGAAGTGAAGCTTATGTTCTACTACATCACAAACAAAGAGCGCAAGTATTTTGCGAAAGTGGAAGAGAGATTTGGTCGACGGATGCTCGAGTATAACCTGGTTGAATAGAGGCAATCTAAATGTATAATACCTACGTCTGCCTAGCAAATCTGAAATAAGTGAAAAAGGGGCGGGTACCGATCATACAAGAGGTGCAAGGATGTATGTATATTTGGCGACGTGTCATGCCATACATTTCTACTGCTCAAATCTTAATTAGATCAACTTATCAAGGCTGTGTTATGACAACTTATTTGTATTCAAATCATCAGAGAATATCTAGGTATCGTATACTAATAGTCATGCTTATGCTCATGCCATGCCCATGTCCATGAAAATTATACCTAATCCATTGAAGCGCAAAAGAAAAAACATAAATCATGCAAAATTCATTAACAAGGAAAAGCAAAAAACAACGCTAATATTCCGGTCCATCCAAGTAGCTGGAATCAGCAGATGGTATGACAGTAAACGCCGGGGCCCAAAATGAAACAGAAGTGAGAGGATATGTGTGTTACATTGATAAAATAATGGATGACAGCAGGTTATACCATTTGTTCGGCTGGACCTTTTCTCCCTCTCCGTTCGAGTAGAGTTGCATTAGCCATGTTAAGTTCGAACGGTTGTCTAGCTGCTCGTGCCGCGTTTTGTCGCGCTGCTGCTGCAACAGTTGCGCTGTGTTGACCATATCCACCGGCTGCTGGTTGCTTCTGACGCGCAGTCGTTGTGGCCCCGCCATATCGATTGACTGTTCGTGCTTGAGCAGCACTGCTTGGTTGTGTTCCCAAATTAGTCTGGCGCAATTTGGCTTCCATAGCGGCGACATCGTTGGCGGCGGTTTGTGATGATCGCGGAATCTTCGCAGGTGGATCTCCTTTTTGGTTGTTGGCATCTTGCTCGTAATAGGCTGCCTCTTCGTCGTCGTCATAATCTTCGTTAAGAGGGTTGAGCTGAGAACTGAATCCTGCCGCTGGGTTGGCACCGCGGTATCCTTGTCGGAAATTCTTTCTTCGCTTGCCTTCCTCCTCTTGTCGGTGCACTGCATAACCGACATCAAAGACCTCGCGCAGATTAACAACGCCAGGCGAACGGAAGTCCATTCGTCGCTCAGCGGCTGAAAGGGGTGTTTGCTGGACGTCGAACATTTGAGAAGCATTTTCCTTGTGGCGAGAAATTTGAGGAGTGGCTAGAGGGGGGGCATCAGCAGCAGCATGTGTCGATTCATTTGTATTCTTAATCCATGGGTGGTCAAGAAACTGGCGAATAGTGTACCGTTTATCGGGGTCAACCGTGAGAAGGTGAGATACAAGATCTTGCGCCGGCTTGGAGATGTCATCCCACCATGGCGACAAGAAAGTGTATTGTCCTCGGGCGACCTTTTCCGTAAGAACTTGGATACTTTCGTCGTAGAAAGGTGGGAAACCGCAGAGAAGAGTATAAAGCACACAACCAAGTGCCCACATATCAACACTCTTTGAGTACCGCTCATCCTTCACAATCTCTGGTGCAGTATAACCCACGGTACCACAGGGCGTCATCGTCTGGCTATCCCAAATGACTTTAGAAAGACCAAAGTCGGCAATCTTAATCTTGCCAATACCACCAGCACCCACACCAGGAATGTATTCACCCTCGTCTACTTTGTCTTCGTCGCCAGGCTGGCGTGGTTTTGGATTTTTGCTGGGTACGAATTCAGTAGGGTAAAACAATAGGTTTTCGGGTTTGATATCACTATCAGAATACATCAGCGACCATTTTTCACACACTTCTGTTGGGCGGGGAACCTACCGATGGACCACGCCCGAGATCTCGTGAAGATACTCGATAGCTTCTGCAACTTGTGTAATAACGTGACGACTGAGTTCCTCGCTAAAGTATGTCAATCGCACGATTTGGTGGAACAGCTCGCCACCTGGGCAGAGCTCGAGAACAATATAGTAGAACTGGGACGATTCGGAAAAATCAACCAACTTGACGATGTTGGGGTGATCGAGTTGGCGCATAATCTGAACTTCCTTGAGGATGTTTGCTCGCTATAGACATGTAACAATATATTAGCAAGGGTAACGAAAGAGAAGCATATCACGCAATATTGACAAGACAGATCAGGCATAAGAATAGAGAGATATGTTCAAGGAAATGATGCGGATATGGAGTAAAAGAAGTATCTCGCACCTCCACGGCTTTGTGTTTCTTCTTATACGGTTGAGGGTGTTGATCGTCCTAGATCCCCGTCGACAGACGTTGGCGATGGACATTACGGCAGTCGGCGCATGAGAAAACAGATAATGACAAAACAAGTTCAAAAAAGCAGCGACAACAGCAAAACATAATGGACGCGCAACAAGTGAACAAAGAAGGGAAAGAAGATGGGAAGTACTTCCTGATCCATACCTGATTGTTGTTCATTTCAAATTTTCGCACGACCTTGATGGCCACCTCCTCCATGTGCGAAAGTGTATCTTTGGCTCTGTAAACATTGCTAAAGGCTCCGTCACCCATTTTCTCGACGAGGATATATCGATCTAGGCCAGGATATTTGGGCATCTTTGACTTGCTATGTCGCTCCTCGGCGACTAGTTTCTCGATGTCGGCCCTTGAAATCTTATTGTTACTGGTTTCCTTTTGCTGGGACGGTGCTTGGCCGTTTCCGCTGCCATGTTGGATCGTGTCGAGGTTATTGGCGTATTGTCCCTGGGGTTGCCGTTGTTGTTGGGCGTGGACAGGTGTGACATCGGTAGTTGGTTCGGCGTGAGGCGTCACTATGCGGGCTTGTTTGCCATGACGGATAAAGTTCTTCAGGTTCTGTATTGTGCTCATGGTGGCGGTGGGGAATCTATTTAGGTTTGGAATGTGAGGGAGGAGCGGAGAGAAAGGGAAGAAAAGAGAAGAAGTGCTCGAGTTGATGGAGTACTCCTAAGGAAGGAATGTTGAGACAGTGAAGGAGAGAACCGAAGAAATAAGGAAAAGGACAGAGGGTAGGAAGGGGATGACGAATGGGGTAGTTAATCAGAAAATGAGAAGAGGGAGGAGAGAAAGTCTCTGTAGGGCATGACAGTTTGGGTAAGCGATGACGGAAGAAGAGGAGCAGGGACCAACGGCGCTGATTAGACCACTGTGGCTTGACTCTCCTGACCGGCCGTTGTACCAATGACGACGCCAGAAATGACTTTTATTTCCTTTTTTTTCTGCTGCGTGTTGATTTCTTCTGTCTTCCAGCTCAGTTTGTTTTTGTCTGGATATTTCAGAGCACTCTCAAGCGCTGAGAGAATGCGACAAGCAACTAAAAGTGATTTCAAAGAAAAGCGGGAAATGACGAGGGGCAACTCTATCTTCGGGAACCCCAGATGACGACGGTCAAGTCAGAATAGAGGGAAATGACAATTCGGTTTAACAGTAGATGAACGGTGCAGGAAATAGCAAGCAAGTAGCAGCAGCAGCACCAGGGGGTTGGGAGATATGGAGGAGGCAAAGGAACAAGAGAGCAAATCAGAAGTGAAATCGAAAGAGACGAGGGAGCGCGCGGAAGGTGGGATGAGGTCAGAGGGAAAGCGACTGCCGTACATTAGTAATTGACCGCTAGCCGGAATCGGCTAGCGGCTGGAGCATCTGTGGCTGACTCAGGCATCCACGGGCAGATAAAGTGGTGGGGCCATGACATCAGGCTCCCACTGCCTTCCAGGCTGTCTCCGCCGATGCGTCATTACCCTATCGACGTGCTCTATGAAAGATGAGCTGAGAGGGGATCGCTATATCAAGTCTACGCTATTGACTGGGTTATATTGTATGATCACCAATTTGTGAGGAAGTCCCCTCAGCCCGTGCTTCGTATACTGAAATATGTTGACACAATCAAACGCATCTCGGTATGAACCATAACATTTATGACCTTGGGGATATGGAGTCGCAGGGAAGATGTAGGGACTAGCATAGGAGATGTCTGATTGCGTTGAAACGTGCTCGTAGAGCACAGAGAGTGTCACCTGATTGCATCATCAAAACTACAGCTTCAATTTGAAACCACATCAGCTACATTCTACAGAATGTCATAGGTTCGACGTCATCTTAAATCCGAGATAAAGTAGATAACATTCCTGGCTAGATTCATCAAATACCTCGACGATCTCCATGTTTCCCCGTTTCCTGTACCTATTGAAAACTCTCTTCTCTACCATGACGCCGCAAACCATGGATAAGTCTTAGCCTCACCCAGAACCGCAATGAAACTGTTTAGTGACCTGTTTCACAATCATGACACCTCAGCCAGTTGTGGTGCGTTTCTGACTGGTCCGGATGAGGTCGTTTTGACGACATGCCCAGTCCCTAAGGCCTCGAGTGAACGGTCTCGGCCGTCCACACAAAGTCAACCTTCCCGCCAATGATTGAAGACCTTCCACATGGCTATCGTGCCAAGGATGCTGGAAGGTTGACGTATCTATGTGTTTCGTTGCATTGAATTGACTACCAGGTTCGTGAATAGATAGCCTCAGGCTTCCAAATCATTGTATATGATCAGTCTGACAAGACCTATCACAGCACTCGGCACCCAGGGGCAATTGGCCCCTCCAAATATCTCACACTGTCACACAGTCTGACTGCGGTTGCAATATTTCATTATCTGCCTGTCGGGTATTGGTTGGGCGATACACTCGTAAATGGCACACCAACCACGTTGTGCGTACCTGATACGCTGCGCAGTCGTACCATGATGGAGTGTACTATGGCGTTAATCAAGCCGATGGACCGGCTAGAGAGTTTCGAGAAACCAGCAAGTCGAAACCAAACTAGCGACAGAGGCTAAAGTGTAGATCAACCTGTCAAACGGCTTGCCCACGTCTTGGGTTACCGATCAGACGTCCGGTACTCATATGAGATGCTAGATGTAGTTTAAATGAGAAAATATTGGTCAATATGCCAGCAATGCAGGAGTCACACTGCGAGGATGAACCCCGTTGGCTTCGCAGAATAGGAGACCTGCATACGTAGTAAGTACTATTGAGTAGTGAGGGAGCAGTGGGAGAGCGCGCTGATTCGAGGGTTACCGTTGCAGCCAGATTGCCCGTTCGTGACTGGCCTGAGGCCTCTCCTTCCGAGGAGTCGTGCCTTAGCCCCCTCTCGAATCCCTTCGCTCTTTTCCCTCTTCCGCTTCCCTACCTCTTTGATTCACTTCCATGTCGATATGTCCAAGTAATCTATTGATGGCGGATGTGTCGGTCCCAGCGTTGTGGTAGCTGAAGGATTTCGACCCCAGAAGCAATTTCTCTTCATTATCGCGCTTTCCTCACTTGAGACGGTGGCTGTCACTGGCTGACGGGCCATTTACCACCAGAATAACTTCGTCGGCTTTTCTCTTTACTACATACTACACCATCACTATCTCAAATCGCCTGTATTTTGCATACAAGGCTTTCCGCCGACGCAACCTTCAACCCCTCGCTCTTTATCGTCGATACCACATATACAGTGCCAAACGTGTCATCTCAAGTCTCACGTCACCCGACCGCAGTCCACCACCACGCTAATCGTGAATACCACCTCGCAAAAACCACCGTGTCTATATCTCAAGTGTCTAAACACCGTTTCATACTTTCAATAACTTAGTCGCGATCCGAAGTTTTAGCGTTTCATTCTATGCGACTTACTATAGGCTTGTTTTTCCCAAGAATGCAACAATCAGCCACATTGGTAGTTTTTATATAGTGTCTTCAAGGCACTTGGTCATTATTGTCCTGTCAGATGAATCGCCACTGAGCTAGAAATTGCTCCGCAAAGCACGATTTTTGGATACAGCGACACGGAATCTATCGTTATATCACGATGCCGGATCTTGAATTCGTGGGCGCGATGAACGGCTCCTCACATTACGACCGTCCTCTTCTCAAGGGTCACAAATCGCTTCCTCGGCGCCGGCAACCCATGCCTAGTATTGAAACGACTGATAATAGTTCACCCATTGATGTCAAGGATGATTTTGTCAACGGTGGTGACATGCCTATCACACCAACATTGCCGCTTACACCTCCGAATCAAGTTCAAGATGACGCTCAACAAGACAGCCCGCCGCGCTTGAATGGCCAACCTTCACTTCCGTTGAGCCTTCGTAACATGGCAACTCCTACGACAGGCTCTCACCAGTTCAGTCCTCCCACGCCGGATGTCACTCCACCACGCACGAAAGATACAACGCCAAAGGCTCGTCCTGTTTTCCCGTCTCTGCAATCCTCGACAACGTCGCGAGCCGATTCTTTCCAGACAGCACGGGAAAACTTCTCCGATGATGACACTACAGACGGCTTGTATCCACCAGCTCACTCTTTGATTGTCCAAAAAAAGCAGAGATTATTTCCAGAACCATCACCTCTCGCCAACGGCTTCGATAGTGTTTCTAGCTCCACCGAGGGCGAACAAGATAAGACAAGAGATGAAACCACGGGAACTGGCCTCGTGGCCAAGAGCTCGGAAGTGACCGAGAAAAATCAAGATCTCAAGCGTACGGCGAGGCTGGCCTCGTCACCACTACCCAGATCCCAGATCAGGAAGAGATCGGGTCAAACGCGTCGAAATACCACGGTCCTAGAAAAGGAGAAACTCGAAGTGGCTCTACCGGAACCCAAAGAGGGGCCTCCTTCAATGCGCAACAATGAGCAGTCGCCCGGACCTTCAAACCCTGAAAAAATTGATGGAGACTACGCATCTGAATTGACAGACACTGAACAAAAACTCATGGATCGGGTAAACACGTGGAGACATTCTGGTGCATCGTTCACTTCGACTATTGAGGCCATGGTAATTGAAACGTCACCTCCAAAGCAGCGCACGCTGAGACACACTGAGAAAAGAACGTCGTTACGGTCAGTCAGCTCGCCACAGCCGCGATCGACACGGACATCTACGGAGTCTAATGGAGATTCGGCCCATCGCTTGGTGCATAAAGCCGGTCGCATATCGAATGATAACCGCAACAGTGTCGCATCCGACATGTCAGTTCCAGTCAGCATTACGTCTATCAATAAAGACGTGCACGAAGTTATTCCCGTCGTTGTTGTTCCCCAAAGGCGTTCTTCACTCAAATCCTCCACATCCAGCACTAGAAATCAATCAGTCGTACCGTCCTCCACTTCTAGTCGTCGCAAGGCTAGCGTTTCTCGCAGCAGAGCTAGTGATCAACATCCACCTCAAAGAAGCCGCACTATGTCTGATGCTACCAGTTCAGCAGCAGGGCAGAGCGGACGGGAGAACCGTGGCCGTGGTGTCGGCCGCCCTCCTATACCAGCGCGCAGCTCGTCCCTTTCAGCTCCGACAAGTCGCAACAACTCGCACACGACCTCTCTTACTTCTGATAGCTTGCGCCGACACACTGAACAGATGCAACTGGCTTTTGAAGTGCCACCACACAACACATCTGATGTTCTCCCGTCTCCAAGACTAGTGCTCCACGAAGGTTCCGATCCTGCGAACGGGGATACCCCTGTGTCTGCATTTCCACAGAGCAATATTGAGGATATACAGCGACTTCATGCACCGTCACTACATTTCACTCAGTCATCCGTTGTGTCATATTCTCCAGGACCCATTGAAATTAACGAAGCCACGATGGTTACTTATTTTCCGCATAACAATGATTCGCTCTTGGTGATTAATCCTTATATGCAACCTGAATCGAAGGCTGTCAAAGCTTTGCGTGGCCAAGACCTGAGCGAACATGTTGTTCTACGCACCCCGACACACTCTACAGCGGCGTTAGACGTTGAATCGCCTCTTCGCAACCCTCGTACGCCTCCAAAGCCACCGACACAGAAAGCTGTACTTCCGGAACCTGTGGACAGCAGACAACCAAGAACGGAACTCAGTCGACAGGGAAGCAACCCCCTAAGTCGAGGATTCGGCTCAGTGAAGCGCGCACTAAGTGCCCGTCGAAATTCAGATGGTGTACACCCACAACCATTAACTCGTTCCCTATCGGTTAGATCGGCCAAGAGTCGGAGAGCTGAGAAAGCAAGAGATAGCCAACTGTACTCTTTTTGGCGACCGCGTGGATTTTGGGACGATTTTGACAGTTCTCCGAGCAATGAGCGCGGTCCAGTGACCCCGAATCAGCGAAATGGATATCCGACGACAACAGATAGAGAAGACACATATGTGAGTAATTCTTTAGGATTGCCACAGAAGCGAGTGATACTCAGTGGACCTCTTATACTTGCTCGTCGCATTTCAAAATCAAGAAAGGCGCGTCGTCAGCAAGCTCGGCGTCAACAATTCAGCCATAGCGATTTGAATCTTGCCATGGGTATTGTTCGTCCGCATTCGCCATATCAACGCCAGACAGTTAAATATAGGTTGCAGAGAGGAGTCCTATTCCCAGTGAGGTCCTTCCGCAACATCAGACAGCGAGTCAAAGAGGCACGACAGCAGCGAGCTCGCGCAGCACTAGAAGCACGTCGAGAAAGATTGAAGCAAAGCATTGGGCCAAAGAAGATCACAGACCCGTACGCGGTTGGTCCTTTCAATCACGGCGTCCCATATGAAGACAGCAATTCAACCCGAGGGTATTAGATATAAGAGATAGAGACGATCGGAGCTTATGACATTACGAAAAAATACTTGACTTATGATTTACGAATACGTGGAGAAAGCAAAACGACTACACGCTTCCCCTGAATGAACGACGACTGAATGTGACTACAGATTACGAGATTTTACGACACGATTGAATGAAGCGGCATGTTTGTTTCGAGGCGCGATTTCGATGCTTATTTTGAATTTTGATGATTGATGATTTCGATTTGATACAAATGTATACTACCATGTCTAGTTGTTGATTATTGATTTATATGCTATACTCAATCACGCGGGGTTGAACTTCGGAAAAATAACCGCCATTACCGCCTCGTGCCGTACAGTACAATCTCGTAACAATACACCCAATACCAGATCTGTACGAAAAACGATGGCACTGGATCGATGCGATTGGCCAGGTCTGCCCTAAAATCTCCGCAAAACCGCAAAGCCCACAAATTTCCGAAAGTGGTAAATAAGATGAGAAAACTTTCCCCAACCTAGCCTGATTAAATCTCTAACTAAAAGCTTAGTCTGAGAGCTAGGAAAAGGGAAAGGAAAAATGATCTGGTTTGGAAAACTTTCTCTTTCCGTGTTGATTTACGTATCGAATAAAGTGGTCTGTTGTAAGGCGGATTTTTGAGTGCAGATGACTAACCTTGGCGATGACAACGACCATGGCGAGAGCAATGGGATTGCAAGCACTGAACCCACTCAGTTAGGAGCAGAGCCACAACCGGAACCCCAAACGCAAATGAAGAAAAGCGGGGTGAACGTACATGGTGCATGTCCGTCTGGACAACCTCTCGAGCATACTACTGAAAATGTCCACGGCCATGAGAATCAGGATCAAAACGAAAACGAGACGAACGAAGAAGACATAACACCCAGCCTGACCCGCATCTCAACCGACCCCTACGGCAACACCTACCCCGAAGGCGGCCTAGAAGCCTGGCTCGTCGTGCTAGGTAGTTTCTCGGGGCTCTTCGGCGCTATGGGCCTAATCAACACCATCGGCACATTCCAAACATACATCTCCACTCACCAACTTCGGGATTATTCATCTGGAAGCATTGGATGGATATTCGGTATCTATGCCTGCCTCACTTTCTTCTGCGGGTTGCAGATTGGGCCTGTCTTTGATGCAAAGGGCCCCCGGTTGTTGGTGCTGGCGGGGKCGGTGGTGATTATGGTGTCGATGATCGCTTTGGGGTTTTGTACGCGGTATTGGCATTTTATGCTTGTGTTGGGGGTGTTGATGGGAATTGGGACGTCGTTGATCTTTACGCCCGCGATTGCGGCAGTAGGGCATTATTTTCATGAGAGGAGGGGTGAGGCGACTGGTATTGCTGCCATGGGTGGTTCGGTGGGCGGTGTTGTTTTCCCGCTTGTCCTTGAAGCGTTGTTTCCGAGGATAGGGTGGGCGTGGGCTACGAGGGTGATTGCGTTTTTCTGTTTGATATCGCTGGGTATGGCGTGTATGCTGATTAGGTCACGGTTACCGCCCAAACCGGCCTCGAAGGAGAATATCTTGCCTGACTTTAGGATTTTCCGTGATCCCATATTCACGCTTACGACGGCGGGTGTGTTCTTGATTGAATGGGGCTTGTTCGTGCCGGTGACATATATATCCTCCTACGCACTGGCAGAAGGCTTTTCGTCAACCTTCTCATACCAAATCCTGGCAATCCTAAACGCTGGCTCTGCATTCGGAAGATGGCTACCAGGCTACATAGCAGATTACCTCGGTCGCTTCAACACCATGATCCTGGCCTCGCTAGGCTGTTTGGTAACCACCGCCTGTCTCTGGTTACCTGCCGGTGGCAGTCTGGCGCTGCTGGTTGTCTATTCGGTCCTCTTTGGCTTCTTCAGTGGAAGTAATATCAGCTTGACGCCGGTTTGCGTGGGTCAGTTGTGTAAGACGGAGCATTATGGGAGGTATTATGCTACTGCTTATACTATTGTTAGCATGGGGTATGTCTCTCTCTTCTCCTGCCTTTCTGCTGTGGATATACTAACCAGTTAGGACGTTGACTGGTGTGCCCATTGCAGGCGAGATATTGTCGAGATGTGGTGGCCATTACTGGGGTCTCATTGCCTTTGTGGCGTGTTGTTATTTTAGCGGAGCGATTGCATTTACAGCTGCTAAATTACTCAAGGTCGGATGGAGACATCCGTGGGTTGTGTTCTAATACGTATACATGAATATTTCGGCATAGACATCTCGGTACATACAAGTATTCATCATTGAAGGGGCTTTCGGTGTATATATTTCGGCTCAATCATAAGTTATCAAGTTCCACCATATTTACCTACCCTGTCTCAGATCAGGCTTAAACGCCTCCAAATGTCGTCTTACATCATGTGAACTCACGGCCGCTTTCCAGACAGCTTGGAGGTGAGTTCCGAGAGCAGAGGCAAGTTCTGAATATGGACCCATTCTGATGGCAACACAACATAGATCTTACTGGCTTCTCTTACAGGCACCAAGAAGCCAAACGAAATAGCAGGTTCAGTTTACAAATCCCAAGTATCAGAACATCCTCCCAAACGGTATAAAATCTTAGTTTTTTCAGGGTATCAATCGTGTTCTACGTTGACTGGTTTGACTTTACGCTTTAGAGTTTCCGATATTATCCTACAAGCCTTTATGAAATGCGTAACCAGAGCAAAAATCCACGGCCCGACGGGAGGAAAATCCGCAAAGTTTCGCAACTCAACCCTAAACCCTTGGAAATTGATTGGGTGTACTAAGTTCCTAAAATGGCGAACTTGATGAATATGTGATATCAAATGAGGCGGCTTTGTAGAATGATGTTGAAGGCTGTATAATACTATTTTCCTCCCTTCTTCTGCTTCTATTCTTTTCTTCTTCTCACACACTAGTTGAAGCTACCTGCCCTCTGCCTGCTCATTAATGCCCACGAAACACACTCAAACAGCAAATCAATAAAAAAAAATGAGGGTTTTGGCTCTTCTCATGACGCTTTGCGCGTCCGATGTCATTGCAATTCCACAGGGTAATGGAAACGCTCATGTGGGCCCAGTCAGTGTTCAGATTTCTACCAGAAGCGTCCCTGGCATCTCAACGAGACCTGCGCCGGCTATCTCGTCAAGCCCATCTATCCCCCGAATCTCGCCTACCCCTCAAAGGACATCTTTCAGTGTTTCTCTACCACGCACATCACTGTCATCCCCCACACCACCTCGACCGTCGTTGTCTCCGGTTCCTGTTTGTGCGACAACTACAATATACACTACGACGACTGCTAATTGTCCTCCGTCACCCTCGCTATCGCCGAATTCTCTGATTTTTCCTACTTCAACTATAACAATCACTTCGTCGCCAGTACCGGCTACTGTCACGGTAACTGTGACGGCAACAACAGGAAGTACATCTCCATCTGCACCTCCAGGTCCCCCACTGCCGCCAGTGACGCCCCCTCGTCCGTCATCGGTTCCACCACCTGCTGCTTCTTCAAGCCGTCGCTTCGGCCTTCCTTCAGTAGTACCGTCTGCACCGGTACCCGTCCTGCCAAGTTCACCTGCAAGGACCCCGACTGCGAGCGTGGTCGTCCCTAGCGGTGAACCCAGTGGCAGTGTTGCTATCGGTCCGGCTGCACAAGGTACAAGTACGACTTCACTGTTAACATCGACAACACGCGAAAATATTGGTGGACCAGCGGCTTCTCCTTCAACACCACCTGCACCACCCTCGACAGGTCCACCAACGACAGGTACGGGCGAACCAACGACAACCAGAGCCGTACAGTCTGTTGCTGCTTCTGTTCCTGCTCCTTTCCCTCCACCACTAGGTGGACCACCAACTACTATTGTGGGTGGACCGGTGACAACTGTACCTTTGGGAGGCCCACCGACGATCGAGCCTCTACAGTCTGCTCCTGCACCACCTCCAATTCCATCACCCCCTGGTGGCCCTCTTGGTAGTCTTCCTCCTGGACCATCAGCATTCACTTCCGCGCCTCTGCGTATGATGCGCCGAAACTTCGATCACGGCAGTTCGAGTATGCAATCAAGCAGATCATCGTGTACGTCGAGGCCAACTCCGTCGTCGACAATGACGAAGACTCATCGATGGCATTATTGGCATTAAACAGGTCTTTCGAGGGAAAGGAACAAGCTGGCTGTGGGAAGCGGTAAGCAATATGCGATAAGTGGTGTCGGAGGACATAGAGGGAACGGAGGATGAGAAAAGTCTAGAATTACTCAAGTTCAGAAGCTAGTTCTAATTTAGATATTAGAACTAAAATATATCTTGTTTAAGAATACATAGTATCATCTCATCAATCTTCATTAGTGATGTAGCAGAAGCCTACACTAAGGCCCGCACGGCCACGTCTAACCCTATTTAACCGAATGGGGAAGGGCCTTCCCGTTTGGGGTATCCGCATTTCAAATTCTCGTACCACCGACATCATCCTATTCCTTTATGGGACATGCTGATAAAACCCAAGTTTCAAATATCATCCAAACAATGTTACAAGCAAAGGCAAACATGTCTATAACTAAATAGTCTGACGTACTACTTTGCTTTCAAAAACATAAGAGTTCTCAATCCTCCCTTTCAAAAATTCATAGACCGTGAATGTAACAGCCTGGCCAGGCGCAACCCGCATAATACGAGGCGTAATACCCTTATAAAAAGATTTGAATCCTTCCTGGCGTAACATGTCAGTCGTAGTTCCTATAATATGTGATAGACTGCTCTTCCCAGGAGGGGCCGGGGTCTGCTGTATTCTAGTCTTGATAGTATCAATCGGCGCGTTGAAAAATGGACCAACGGCACCAGATATCAAGCCGATGATGGTGGTTTGATATGATGGCAGTTCTTTTACATCGCCTTGATTGTGCACTCCGTGGTGATTTTGCCGCTGCCACTTCTGCAGGCGTGTCTTCAGCTCCGTATAAACCGTGAAATTGGCGGCTTGATTAGTCCCCTGACGAAGAGCCGTTAAAGTGACGCCCCGCCAGAGAAAGCCAATGCCCTCTGTGCGAACTAGTGTTGAGATTGCGTGTGATGTACTTTTGTATTTTGGAGTCAAAGCGCCATTTGGAGCTTTGTGTAAGGCTTGAAGGCGAATTTTGATTACTTCGACGGCGTTGACGACTGTGACTGCTTCCGTTATACCTGCAGCTAGACCGGCTGTAAAACATTCTCAGATATTAGGCTCCGACATAAATTAAGTGAAAAAAGAAGTAGATCCAGAGAAAAATGAGCCTTACCGAGAAATGTCCCATTTCGCGATATTCTCATTGCATCATTGTCGGTAAGAAGTCGCTTATAATATTCATAGGATGTAAATCGAATGGCCATCTTGGGAATGATTCCTCCCAGAACTGGTCCTAAGCCTCTGTATAGACTAAAAAAGCCCTCATTTTTGACAATTCCAACTGCAGTCCCGACAACTCCTCGTGGTGGTGGCTTGATTACACATATTAGATGACAGATTCATGGTAAGGGTTCAGAAGAAGCTCACTTACCCCAAAGCTATTGGCTCGTCGCGACAGTTGCATGCGTACTTTGATCGTGTCTGTAAAGTACGAGCATCGTCAAACTACTGTTGGACAAGTATCAGGAATTTGAGCCAGGATGCATACCTAAAGGATGACAAACTAGCACCTCGCTCATTCCTGCTCCTCCTCCGGCTATAGTACGACAGGTTAGTAAAGCCTAAATTTATAGCGACAGAAACATGAGATTACCGATCAATGTAGTCGCTGTCGACGTTGAGCGTGTGCTCTCTGAACTTTTTCGAGACATTTCAGCGTGTTTGAAAATTTGAATTCTAGTAACGATATGTGATTGTGTAGTAGATGATTGAAGAAACAAAAAAGATAATCCAGAAGTTTATTGTGTTCTGTGTTCTGTGTTCTGTGTTCTGTTGTACACAGTAAACGGCTTCAAGGCTACGGCAAACGCGACCGATTTCTACACTGAGGGAACAATCCAAATCATACACTGCTGATCCGGCAATATCGAGATTGGGGCACACCCCTTGTCTCTCACTTAGCTGACAAGGATTCAAGAATATCAAGACAACCTAACCCGGAACAAAGACCAAATTTGGTTGATTCTACACTGCCTCACTGTTATCTCTTGGCTCATGGCACATAGTACCATTTTCGCGATGCCTTGTGTGATTTCCCAACAGCGGACGTGTATAACATTGTGTTCGAGACGATGTCATCTCTCCTGAAGATTGTCTGTGGCAATGCGCGCATTGCTCGGCAATCAACTCGGGCAATTGACGAACCGCGCATAGAGAACGTGGTGGACCTTTGATGTGTTGGTCAGGTTCTAGGCTGCACATAGCATGCAGGTATCAGTCTTCAGCTCCGTATCAAAGCATTTCTTGTGATACTCGGAATGTCGCATGGCTTGCAATTCTTGGTCCAACAGAAAAAGAAAAGAAAAGTCGCTCTTATCGTGATCCCTGCTGGTACAGGTGATTCATCCTTGCAAAATCATTTGTTGATGTTCAGTCTCGTTTTTGGCTGTCTTGATCTTCGTTTCTGGGCATCAAGAACATGGCGATGTTAGGGCTTGGCTGTTCCTTGGCTCTGTATCTTCCGATAGTACATTGAGGAGCAATATAGGTGTGAGTGGGACATGCATGCCACCCAATACAACGAGCTTTCAAGGCATAATCCTGGTAATTCAAGTGATACCAGCGTCTACTTGTCTGAAATACCCGAGAAGACACCAACCGATCTACATGGCAATGCCGAGATGTTACTGGGGCTGCATTATCGGAATTAGTCACTTGGCAAGTCTCGGCTCGCCGAAATTTTAGGCCTTTGTGGCTATTATTATCACTTTTTAAAAAGAAGACAGACATATGAGTATATGAATTTCTACATTGAGTTCTAATGCTCTCGATTCAAGTCTTAGTCTAAACTATTCTCGACCCCTGCATAAAGATTCTCATCTTCAGAGACCCAAATGCCTACGGGGTTAGTTCTCCTTCGGCTTCGTCGGAAAGTTCTTGGGAAGCCAACTTTATTTTGTGTTTCGGCATCTCGGGTACGTAGATCACGGGTGAGTAGGAGGGTCCTTTGAATCGACTTCTCGTACAAGTTGAAGATCAACACCAAGGTTGTTCTGTCGCAAATTCTCTACTAAAGAGGAGCCGAGACCCACCAGTCATTTACAAGCTGTCTACCTACAAGTTGCATAATCATGCAGGGTCTAGTATGTAAGTATGGGGCCGCTCACGTCGAGGTTATCTGCACAAGACAAACTTTCCTCAGACGGAAGAGTATTGATGTTACAACGATTAGATTGCCAATAGCTTGGCTTTGTTGGTATAAAGAGGGAATTTAGCGTGGTGGATCACACGTAACGCACTTGTCCTTGGCAGCATGTCTTCACCGGCCCTCATATTGCGATATTTGGTGCCTTGGCCATACTAGATTTGGAATACAACGGTTAATATTTATGTAGGACTGGCGTCATACAGAATTTGTGGATGCAAATCTTAGGTCTTCGTAGGCACTATAAGTGGTATATGCTCTCATTAGAGTGAAAGGGGTCCGAATATAGGAGTCTCAAGGCTAGACCTTGATTGGAAATCTCAATTTAATCTATACACCAACAGTCTCCGCTAGCATTACTTGGCTTCCGCTCTGTTTGGCAAGTAGATCTAGGTTCTTCAGCTCCACAGTAGTGAACGGAATACCCTCAAGACGCCTCCGGGTCTCCATCTCAGTAGCGTTCTCGCCCGGAACACGGATTCTATCCACCCCTTCCGCTTTCTCGCAAGACCGGATCCTCCCCAATAGAGTATCCATTCTATCAGCTAGCTCATCCCTCGAATCCAGAAACATCTCCGGCTTGAACACCATGAACCAATGGCCCACCCCCTGAGGATCCTTGGTGTTATTGTACTGATCATTCACACCCCCAGCAAAAGAAGAGGCAGTGAGCAAGCCACCAAATATGTCCATCATCATTGCTAGTCCTGAGCCTTTGGCACCCCCGATTGGCAACATGACCCCTTTTAGAGCTGCCTCTGCGTCGGTGGTAGGCCTCCCTTCAGCGTCAAGAGCGTAACCCTCAGGTATGGGTTCTCCTCGTCGGGCAGCTTTTCGAATCTTGCCCCTCGCCGCAACCGTAGGACTCATATCAAGAACAAAATCTCCTTCTTTGCCACCGGGGATTCCAACTGCTAGAGGACTTGTACCCAATAATGCTGCTTTCCCACCCCACGGAGGCATTGCGCGGGATGCATTAGTAAAGGCAAAAGCACCATACCCCTGTTTGATGGCGCGTAAAACATACGTAGCACCCATTCCGTAGTGATTACTATTCTTAACACCGATCACGGAAAAGCCGTATGTGCTAGCAATCTCAATACCTTTGTCAATTGACATGCATCCAGCGACAAAGCCAAAGGTGTTGCGAGCGTCTAGATGAGCCATGATGGGAGTTTTCATGATAAACTTCAACTCCGGATTTGGATCGAGCACTTTGCATTTTATGCGCTCTATGTAGCCGCTTAGTCGGTTGATGCCGTGCGTATCGACTCCTCGGAGGTCAGCAAGAACCAGAGCATCTGCTATCATGGCAGCGCGATCCGCTGGGACATTGTACATTTGGAGTATAGAATAGGCATAGTCGTAAGCTTGAGAGGCTTTGATGTGGACTTGTTGGTCTGTTTTGATGCCCATTTTGAAAAGAAAAACAAAAGCTGGTTTTTCACAGAGTAAAAAGCTGTTGAAGGAAAGTTTGATTTTGATGCAGGAAGATTTGTTCCAAAGCTATAATGTAGATAATTTCAAACACTATGGATAGTATCACTTCCAGTATCATTTCCATCTACGCATATTTCTATTTTGAGGTTTCCTGTTCCCACGTCTTTCCCCTTCCAGATCAGGTATTCCCGAGAATCCTACGCAGGCAATAGCTCTCACGGAACAGTTCGGACTTTCCAACAACACATCTCATGCATACGGGCTTGTTCCTCTTTCGACTTATGCAAGTCCGTCTCAGAATATTGCTCATGAGGTGGAGGATGAGACAACAACTTTGATTCTTCTCATTTGGCACTGATAAGAGGGGAGTCTCGGCGAGTGGCAACTAGATAATGTTTCCTTTCTTGGCTCATATCCAGACATCAGACTGCTTGATCACGAATGCCGTGATCATTGGTGTGGTGGAGCTGAGGCACTAGTTGCCTATCTACGAGACAGGGGTCGGCCATCGAAGGAAGAGGAGTGGTCCCTGTGGATACGAGCGATATATTCACAATTTTTCGTTATCGATAGTACGCCTTAATCAAGTTGAATGTTTACTTGGCATTTGACCTGAAGCAAGTGCCATAAACGGTATAGGTTCATGGGGGATTGGTTGTGGGAGGATGTCACAAAGACCTCTGAAGGCACACGCAGAGACAAGATATATCGGGGAAAGAGAGCTGTTCCCCCGAACAGTTGACATCAAAAGTGTCAAAAAACTCTCTTCCTTTTTTTATCTCTGTTGTCTTGAATAAGCAAACTTAGTCTAAAATCAAAATGGGTTCTATCCAACAGTTCAAAATCTATGTCTTAGACCCCTTTCATCAGGATGCTATCGACCTAGTCCAAAGCCTTCCTCATGTTCAGGTCATTCTCCCTGATGACCCTCAGAAGACATATTGGCACGCCGATGCAGACGGAATCATGATCCGCTCAGACTCTCGTCTGACAGAAGAAGATTTCGCAAAAGCCGCATGCCTCCGTGCCGTTGTCAAGCAAGGCGTTGGCGTCGACAACATCGACCTCGCCGGGGCAAAAAAACACGGCATTGCTGTCCATAACACTCCCGCACTAAACAGCGAGAGCGTGGCGGAACTCTCTATGGCGCTGACTCTCACTCTGAGCCGAAGAGTCTCTGAAATTGATCGTGCGGTACGCAGTGGTCAAAGAGTCGTTCGTTCAACCATGTTGAGTACAAGCATGTTTCGCAAACGAGTGGGTGTCGTTGGGATGGGTAATATAGGCAAAATCGTTGCTCAGAAATGGATTGGAGCCTTTGAGTGTGAGATTGTGGCATATGATCCATATGCACCTGCGGATGCGTGGAAGGGTCTCAATCATATCCGAGTCGACGCTTTGGATAAGCTTTTGAAGGATGTCGATGTGGTCACCCTTCATGTGCCGCTACTCGAGTCGACCAGAGGTTTGATTAGCGATCACGAGCTTAGTATCATGAAGGATAATGCTATTCTTGTGAATTGCGCTAGAGGCGGCGTGGTAGATGAGAAAGCCCTACTTAGGGCTTTGGATGAGAAGAAGATGGGCGGTGCTGCGCTTGATGTTATGGAGATCGAACCTCCCACTTTGGATGTTTACGGAGAGTTTTTGAAGCATGAAAATGTTATCATGACTCCTCATATTGGAGGGAGCACGAAGGAGAATCAGAGCCGGACTGGAAGGGCTGTGGTTGAGACGCTGATGGATGTGTTAGAGGGGCGTGAGGCTGGTGGAAAGTTGGTTTGATTCATTCATCATCTACAGCTATTTGAGTCTATAATTACCTCCTACGTCCTTCAATAATTTGTTCGTAGTCCAATTTTCTAAAAGTAGACAATTAGCCCTAACTAGAGCCAACCTGGTCAGAATTCACCAGATAAAAGCCCACCACACTGTCTCAACATATAATTATGAGAAATGAATTTTGACTGCAAACTGAAGAGAGTGACCGGAAGAAACAAATAAGCGACAGCTCACATTGCCAAATTAGGCAACGGTTCAATTGCCCTGCCAAGTGCGGCTGGCCAAGCCCTAATCTCCAACGACCGATATTCGGAGAATTCGCAAAGACTGATAATCTTTTCGCAAATTTAAGTAATCTATGCACTATTATACGATGGATCCACTTGGTAATGCCGTGGTGATATGGACATGGTTTCCGCACGCCGCAGCTGAGCGTGGCATATGCACTCATTCACGTATCCGTTAGGTGGTGTTGAATCCACACGAGTGATTTTCCATTGAGGTACTCGATGCAATGTTAGTGTAACAACTTGGCTTAGACGACGCATTTCCACAATTTTGAACATGGATATTGATAAGGAATTCTAAGCCTGCATTGATTGTTGCTCTTGGCGATGTGGGATCTCGCTGGGTGAGGAAGGTATCATCAAAATCGGACAGACAAAGGGTCAGTCAAGTAATCACCATTATTCAATCATTTTTCTGCGCAATAATTGCTCGTGACTCACTTCGCTCTACCTCAAGTCTTCAGGTTGACTGCATTAACTTTCTCTGATACCTCAAAAAAATTCGATATACAAGCAAATCTACTAAAAAGCACCCACATAGGCCAAAATGTCCTCCTCTCAATCGACCCAAGATGGCAAACAGGCAGTATTCAGAACCCTCTTCCGCAAAAAGAACCCTTCCCCAACCAGCGAGACAACCAATACCGACGAATCATCATCACCATCAACAACTTTAGAAACCTTCAAGGACCAACAATCCAACATCCTCCCGCACAATAAACTAATGATCGTCTTCCCAACCATCGCCCTGGCACAAATGATTTCCTATCTAGACCAAACCTCTGTCTCGACCGCCGTGCCTGCAATCGGGGCATCTTTGAACATGGGACCATCCATCTCATGGATTGCGACCAGTTTCTTGCTCGCGAGTACCAGTGTTCAACTCATCAATGGCCGGTTGAGTGATATCGTAGGCCGGAAGCCATTGCTGCTGACGTGCATGGGTATCCTGGCGGGTGCGAATCTGTGTGCTGGGTTTGCGCAGAATGCGGCTATGTTATTTGCCTTTCGATCTATTGCCGGTTTAGGTGGTGGTGCCATGTATGTCCCCTTCCTTCCCTCGAACCTAGGTATTCATAGAACGAAGCTGATAGTGGGTAGAACCGCGCTTGTCATGATAATAGCAAGCGACATCACAACACTCGAACAACGTGGTAAATATAACGGCTTTATTGGCGCCATGGTCGGTTTGGGTAATGGCATCGGACCCCTGATAGGCGGCGCATTGACGCAGCGCGCTTCGTGGAGATGGTGTTTTTGGTTTATTGTCCCCGTCATACTGGTCGTGATGGTCGTAATTGCGATTGTGATTCCGCCGTCTCCGGTTAGGGGTAATACATGGACGAAGGTGAGGATGGTTGATTGGTTGGGGTTGGTGGTGAATCTGGCTGCTGTTGTGTTGGTTCTGGTACGTCACTCTTTTCTACCTTTCGCAATGCATTCGTTTAACCTTGTGGAATAGATTCCCATCTCCCAAGGAGGCTCGACATATGCATGGAACAGCGCCTTGGTAATCGCTATGCTTACCATCGGCGGCCTCCTCATCATAGCCTTCGTGCTCGTGGAATGGAAATTTGCAAAACTGCCCATGATGCCCAGTAAGCCCCCTTTCCCTTTTTCCTCTTCAAACACAGTAAAACAGACCTGACAGATAAAGTCCGCCTCTTCCAAAGCGACAAATCCGCAAACCTAGTGCTTCTCCAAGGCACCCTGCACGGCATCGTCTACTGGGCAAACCTCTTCTACATACCAATGTACCTCCAAACCGTGCGCGGCTACAGCCCCATTCTCTCCGGCGTAATCATTCTACCCATGGTAGCATCCCACGGCGTCGGATCACTGGTTTCGGGTCAAATAATCTCAAAGACGGGCCATTACGGGCCTACCATCGTATTCTCGAACTGTGTCTGGTTGGTAGGTGTCTCGTTGCAGACGATTTATACGAGATCGAGTCCTGTGTGGGCCATTTGTTTGATCGGATTTCTGCAGGGGATTGGGATTGGAGGTGCTTTTCAGCGTTTGTCTTTCTCTCTTCCTGTCTCGCTATCAAGGGAAGATGATAATACTGATTTCTAGAATAGCTGGATTGGTAGCGCTATTAGCTCACTCCAGAAAAGCAGATAGAGCAGTCGCAAACTCTCTTCGGAACTTTCTGCGTATCCTTGGTGGCTCAATAGGGTTAACCAGTACGTCCACCCTTCCATTTATCCTCTTTAGTACTAATAACGGACCAGTCTCCGGCACAATCCTAAACAACACCCTCAAAACCCACCTTCAAAACATCCTTTCCCCCGATACAATCAACACAATAACATCCTCCGCCTACGCTCTATCATCCATCAATCTGTCCCACAATCAATACGAGATGGTTATGGATGCATACATGGCTGGTATGCATACTATATTTGTCATGTATGCGCCTATCATTGGGGTGTGTTTTGTATGTGCGGTTTTGATTAGGGATGAGGGCGTCGCGGAGAAAGATGCTAAGCCACCGGCTGTGCCTCTTGCTGAGAGGGAGGTTAGGGATGTAAGTGAGGGTGTTTCGGTTGACAGTCCGCCGGTTGGAAGACAGGCGCAGGTTTAAAAATTCATATCCTCGTATCTGACAGCAAGGATCAATCTTTCATAGGAAAAGACGGTTTGATATTCGACATCTAGTGATCATTCATGAACCCCCAAGAGAAGAAGTATGGTGCCTTGTAGCAACTCAAAGCAAGATCAAAATGCAAGTAGGATAGATCAAAACAACCATAAAAATATATTCCTAATTCGAGACTGATTTCAGGCTCAAGGCAATTGGCCTTGGGGTATGATAGCCAAAATGAAAAGTCAAATGCAACCGACAAACACGCTAACGCCCAAAAAAGGTTATGCATATAACCTTTGACCTAACTTATAACAAGAATTGAAATAGTCAGGTAAAGAAGACCCGTCGTCGGAAAGGTTCAGACGAGAGTGTATAATGTAACGCCTTTAGTATAAAGACAACAACCGATATCACAAGTAGGGATATGCAAGATGGTTTAGGTTGAGGTTGGACGTGAAGGTACAACCGAACTGAGAAGACAGAACAACCTCTTACTGAAGATAAAACAAGTCGCTACCAAATGATAAGAAAAATCATAATATAATCGAAGAGAAATCATCAGCTGCTATGAGATCGCAACAACAGCTTTTGCTAAGCCATGCGTTAGTGCTTAATCAAACAATAATCATGATAAGTATCAACTTACTCGATCGACTTCAACTTCTCCCTCTTCAGTGCCTGGGCTATCAGTTTCCGCAGATATCTGCCCTGACGTTGTGATTGCTCGACCCTCCATGCCAGGGCGCTGTTGGTGCGCAGACACAGGCGCAAGGTGTCCTTCAGGTCCCGCAAGTCGTGACTCTTTGTTCTTATCCATAAAATTTCCACCAAGTGTCGCGCACTTGAGAATGGTCTGGATCATTTGGTTTTGTTTCAAAGGCTTGGATAGATATTCGTCCATCTGAGCCTGTATACACTTTTCTCTGTCGCCCAACATAGCGTGTGCTGTAAGGGCGATGATTGGAGTGCGAGATAGATTATTCTCACGTTCATACTCGCGAATCTTGGCCGTGGCTTCGAAACCTCCCATGATAGGCATTTGGACGTCCATGAGGATGATATCAAACCGCCGGTTCTTGACGGCATCCAAGGCTTCCTGACCGTTGCCCACAACTGTGACTCCGTGGTTGCATTTCTCCAGGATCTTGACTGCCAGCTTCTGATTGACCTCGTTATCTTCTGCAAGCAGTATGTCAAATGACCGCGAGTGATCTGTTGTGATCGGTGTTGAGCGACCTTCTAAGGCAGGCAACATTCCATTACCCAGATCAATCGGTTGACATGGAGTTGTCATATATGAGGTGATACCGAGATCGAGGGCAGACTTCAAGCTCACAGACACCACTGGACATAATAGGACAATCGGTATGTATTTGAACTCGTCGTAGGTTCGTAACGTACGAGCGGTGTCAACCGTGTCCACGATGATGACGTCGTAAGCATGACCGGACTCCTTTCCTGACGGATCGTGAATCTCTGGTGGCGGTACTTCATCTTCATCCTTGACAACCAGAGGTTCTAGGTCGAGTTGTTGCAGCATCAAGGTGATCTGTTCGGCATGTCCACCAGTGTGTCCCTTGTCGATAAAGAGAACACGATGGTTCTTGTAAGGAATGAGTTGTGAGCTGATTACATTCAAGGATTGGTCTGCAAGTTTAACGACGCAAGTAAAGTGGAAGGTACTGCCATGACCGTATTCGGAAGTGACCCAAACATCACCGCCCATGAGATTGACAAGACGTTTGGAGATAGACAGACCAAGACCAGTACCACCAAACCGACGAGTTGTTGATCCATCGGCTTGTTGGAAAGTATCGAAAATGAGATCAAGTTTGTCTTCCTCAATACCAATTCCAGTATCAGAAACAGAAAACTCAAAGGCATATTCGTCTCTGGCACACTGCTCCCTTTCGGATTTGCTGATGGTCAATTTGACTTCACCATGTTCAGTGAATTTGATAGCGTTTCCGACCAAGTTGAGAATAATCTGACGAAGACGGAATGGATCACCGATAACGTAATCGGGAACAGAGCTATCCACTTGATATGCCAGGTTGAGGAACTTTTCATTGGCCTTGACCGCGAGGGTCTTTAGCGCATTAAATACAGTTCCTCGGACGGTGAAAGGAATACTTTCGATAACCATCCTGTTAGCCTCAATCTTGGAGATATCGAGAATGTCGTCAATAATGGTCAGCAGACTGTTGGCCAAGTTGTGGACCACGTTCAACATCTCACGGGGATACGGTTTCAGGTCGTCGGTATCCAGAGTGAGCTGTGTCATACCGATGATACCGTTCATCGGTGTTCGAATTTCGTGGGACATATTAGCCAAGAACTCTGATTTGGTGCGATTGGCCTGTTCGGCAGCCTCCCTGGCGGCCGTGTTACGTTGAATACTGTCACGCAAATTGGAAACCATCTTATTGATCTTGCGCTTCAACTCGTCCATTTCACCAGAGGCATTGACGGTAATGAGTTTGGTGAAGTCACCATCAGTAGCAGCATCAGTAATTTCGCCGAAAGCTCGGACTTGGGATGTAAGATTCTCGGCCATAGTATTGACATCCTCTGTGATTTCTTTCCATCGACCTGCGATGCCCTCAACATTAGCCTGACCACCCATCTTTCCGTCGACACCGACGTCGCGGGCAACCCTCTTCAACTCTGTGGCGAATTTGGCCAAACGGTCCACCATGTTATTGATCGTGACCTTCAGAGTGAGGATCTCTCCCTGTGCGTGAACTTCAATCTTCTTGCTGAGATCACCTTTGGCAATAGCCTGGGTAACGTCAGAAATACCTCGCACCTGCGAAGTAAGATTCTGGGCCATGGTGTTGACATTGTCGGTGAGGTCTTTCCATTTACCCTCCACATTATCGACCTTTGCTTGACCACCAAGAGTTCCATCTGTACCGACCTCTCTGGCGACTTTGCTGACTTCAAATGCAAACTTATTCAAACGATCCACCATGTCATTGATGGTGTTCTTCAAATCCAAGATCTCACCCTGCACATTGGCGGTGACTTTCCTGGTAAGATCACCCTTGGCAACAGCGGTAGTAACCTCCGCAATCTCACGCACGTGAGTCGTGAGGTTGTTGGCCATTCGGTTGACGTTTTCGGTTAGGTCTTTCCAAGTACCTTCAACATCGTGAACTGTGGCTTGACCACCAAGTACGCCATCAGTTCCGACCTCCTTGGCGATCTTTGTGACTTCTTGAGCGAACTGGCGGAGCTGGTCCACCATGGAATTGATAATATTCTTAAGCTCTGCAATTTCTCCTTTGCAGTTGGCCTGCACTTTCTGGGTCAAGTCACCCTTGGCGACGGCTTTAGTGACGTTGGCAATATCACGCACTTGTGTGGTCAAATTGTTGGCCATGGCGTTCACATTGACTGTCAATTCGTTCCACATGCCTTGCACCCCTTCGATCTGTGCCTGTCCGCCTAGAACACCTTCGGTACCGACATCACGAGCGACACGTGTGACTTCTGTGGCAAAGGTACGGAGTTGATCCACCATGGTATTGATAGTCTGTTGTAGTTCGAAGATTTCACCATGGGCCCGACTTTCGATCTTCTGACTAAGATCACCGTGTGCGACAGCAGTGGTGACGGTTGCGATTTCACGCACTTGGTCAGTAAGATTCTTGGCCATGATGTTGACGTTTTCTGTCAGTTCCTTCCAGATACCGTGCACGCCAGTGATTTGGGCTTGTCCACCTAGTATTCCTTCGGTTCCGACTTCACGGGCCACCCTGGACACCTCACTACCAAACACTTGCAGTTGGTCCATCATAGTGTTGATTGTGCGTTTGAAGGTTGCAATTTCTGGGTCCATCTCCAACGGGTGAATTTGCACCTTCATGGAAAGATCACCATTGGCAACCTGGGTGATAATACCGCCTATTTCTCGTAACGCCTTTTGGAAAGCTTCATTCGCTTGCTGATGTTTGCGCAGTTCACGTTGCAAAACTCCGACATCCTCGTGCTCTACTTTGACAAGCGTTCGCCGTGTACGTTCTTCTTGCATGTCGAGTTCTTCTCGTACACGTGCGATAATATCCTTTTGTACGCTGATTTCATGAGCCTGTTTCTCGACATGGTTCTGAAGCGATCGAAGGGTTTCAGCACCGCCACGCAGCGTTCTACGGCGAGTGACGAGAACTCCATTGGCGGCATGATCATCATCTTCATTGTCATCGTCGTCTTCGTCACTTCCCTCGGTATCATCCTCATCATCGTCATCATCCGCAGTATCATCATCATCGTATTTGCGCTTGAGTTTTCGCGATCTGCGGGGTCTCTTGTACTGCTAGAAGAAAGGCCCGAATTAGCTTAAAGCAGAAGGAGGGGAAAGAAGCAACAATAAATGCAAGACAAAGACGGAAAAGCAAAACAAACATTAGGATGACTGACTAATTCTGTCTCTAATTCATGCACTCGACGTATCAAGCACTCTAGTTCAGTGGTAAATGCCTTTTTACCCGGAGTATCTTCTCCAGGGAGTTGAACGCGCTTCTTGTCAAAGCCGTTTATCACCCGTTTGACAGGGATCTCTGCATCATCGTCACTGGGCGGAGGCTCGACGGCGAGAGTTTTCAGGATTGCCGCAGCGGCGAAGAATGGATCCTCGTCACTCCCCATGCTGATTTGTTTGTCCGTACTGGCTACCGAGAAGCGGCAAAATGTCGAAAACTAAATCGATCAATATTCGGTCCGGCCTGTTACTGAACAAGGCTCGGAGAGAAAATGTTACCCGTGTCTTGACGGTTAAGGAAGGAGAGATCGATTAAGGAAACGACATGAGTGTTGCGGTGGTTGGGTGATTTTGGGCGGTGAGGTCGATGACTCGCAACAAATAATGAAAGAACCACTAGCACAATCCGATTGAGGGAGTCGTTGTATAGTTGAGGAAACCAAGTCGGTGCGGTTCGTGCGATCGGATCACAAATGATCAGAGCAGCGAGATATGGCGATATAACGCGTTGATAGGGTGTTGCAGCGATCGAGGTCAATGGTAGGGACCTGTCTATAAAGCAGGCACAGTGGTGGAGTTAGTCGAGACACCTCGGTGGGAGAAAAATGATGGAGAGAGAACAAAAGCACGGACAGTCATGGGCAAATGTGACAAGTCAAAGCTGGTCGTAGCTTCTTGGGATGATTTGAAAGCAAGAGCGATAGAGGGAGGAAGGAACAGGGAAGAGGAGGGGAGAAAGGGGAATAGCCTACTTCCGCCTTAGTACGGAGTTTGCTGTAAGAGGCATGTACATGCACGTACTCGCGATTCGCAGTATTGTACACACTTTAGAAAAGGAGGAGGATCAGATGAGAAGAAACCAAGAGGAAAAAAAAAATCAAAACCACCACGCAGGTTTCGTATCGGAAGTCGAGCAAGATGCTTCCACCCTCTGAAGAACGAAAGAAGGGAAGAAAAAAGCGCGAGGCGGAGCGATAACAGCAGCAGGGCTACTGGCCGATTAGCAACTTAGCGATTTCCTTCGGGAGTGCCGTACGCCTCATTCGGGTGGTTACTTACGATGTTACCTGCGTACGCTTCGAATAGGTTATTTTACCGTCTCCTCTTGTACGGAGCTTGGCTGTATCTGGTGTAGCTGCTCCTCCTGAAAAGAATAGCAACCCGGGGCAAGGACGTCCACCAAATAATCAAACAGAAAAACATGCATCGCCGTGGATAACGGATGAATGGCAGTGTGGGTGACTGATTCTTCTTTGGGCTTAGTGCAGCATCAGGGGATGGTCCGGTCGAGATGCCGCCAATGGGAAGCACACTAGTGGATAAATCTTGCAGTAGTTCGTGGCTCCTACTGGCCAAGACTCAGATCAGCTGGTGTATGTGTGGAGAGGAGTGGGCCCACTTAGAGTTTGGATCAGCCAATTGTCAATCAGGTGTGTTTTGTGCATGCCGTGATTGATACGGTGTCAGTACGGGGTACATGCTGTATAGTTACTATAGTACCAGGTCTGTACAACAGCTGGTACGTGCGTGGTGAAGGAAGACGTTTATTTAGAGTCGAAGTCACGACTCTAAACCATCGCGACTCCTAGTGTCTACCAACTTCATAGTAAACTTCTCTCGGGAAAAGGCAGGTATATTTCATACAAGACGGCCACGAGTTTGTCGATGGGGCAATCCACTTAGTGCCAGCTCCATAGGGACTCCGTAGCCCTCCGTACCTACATAGCATAGTAAAGCTCAAGACGGCGGAAGTCCAAAGTTTTCAATCTGTTGGAGTGTTGATTGGCCGTACTGGAACATCCCATCCGCTAAAAGTTCAAACACAACCTATTACAGAAAATCATCTACTCACTAACTTCTATCAGATTAGTACGGTCTCTTATCCAGATGTTATCTTCTCTTATGGGAGGATTACGATTCCCTCTATCATCCATTCGTCTATTCAAGCAGGTGCCAGAAAGAAAATCTTGCAAGCATTCGGTGTCCTTTTTCATAGATTGCTTAGAGACAGCTTTTACCACATCCGCCAAGACAGCTGAAGTTTCAATGCCATGAACCATACCCCGTTCCATGGTACTATCACGGCACCATCTGGGACGTACCTATTCCGAATCAGATTACTTTTTAGTATCACAGGGGCTCATTATTTTTGCTTTGACATCACACCAATAGCAGACCAGGGAACAGATCAAGTCGCAAAACATTTTTAAAAAAAAATATCATCGGTGCCTCGGTTCACCGAATCACAGATTGAGTTTCATTGGCACAGTTTCAAGTGCTTACTTAGTACAGAGCTAGCTCATTCCATATCGTATCAGAAATGAATATCCGCTTGTTAGTCTACCAGAACAATGGTGATCTTACGAACGCCCACATCTGTAGCACTATTGCAGTATTAAGCAGCACTTCAAGCCCAAGTCATGTGATACTTCAGGCACCTGAGATGAAGATCCAACGAACTAATTCGTAGTCAACATTGTCACTCAGAAACATGTATTCGCAAAGCCATTTTCATGCGAGCGATTGCATCAGTCAAGCAAATAGCGACCGGGCAAGCTGTAAATCTAATCTAAGCACTCCGCGCCAGCGTAGTTCATGGGTATTTAAATTGACGACTCGACGCCAAGATGCTTCTCGGACTGGCCCCTTACTTTCCCAGCGTGCTAGTATGCTACACACTTTTTGCCGGTAGAAGCTTCAAGGTGAAATACGTACAGCACGTAATATACCAACCCAAACCCCAGAGAACATCGCTGTAAGAACGCCGATAATACGACTTATCCAAGAAGAAATGATACATACAACTAACTAGCCAGTACGTACACATGTCAGACCTTGGCAGGGCTTGTAAGACGACGTCATCCATCAAAATTTCAGGATTGAGCGGCAGCACTATATCAACCATCATATACCCGTACTGCTGCCATTTTGGACTAGTATCACTTGACTGGTTCATGCGATTGTCGGGCATATCGCGTGTTAACAGACACTTTAGTTGATTCGACTAAATGTTGGAACAATATTAGTGTTGTACCGGTACTGTACTGGGAATTTCTCGCCATGTGCTGTGTACAAATCAGTCCGCTTTTTCGGGAAATTGTGACTTGGATAGATCATCACGGGTGAAGCTAGTTTGTGGTTGAGATATGGGGATGCTATCAGTGCTCAAGGAGAGTTTCCGGAGTGACATCGTCAATTTGGAATCAACCTGAGTATAGGAAGATTGACTTGGTTGAAATAATTTAGGAGGTCGTTACCGGTTAGAGTGTATGGACAGTATATTGCGATCATCACGATCGTTTACTATGGTCTGGCAGCTTCGTAACTTTAACTACTTGAAGATGACTAAGGCATCAAGGCATCAATGCCAGTCACATGATACCATGTGACTCATGCAAAACCGCGGGGCAGCAACTGCACAGGCAGGTTGAATAGCTTACCGTATCGAATTTTGACTAATTTTGTCCGAAAGAGTCATACACACAGCGACAACCGATCCACTCAATTTGAGCTACTTGAGACGTCGCTCGACTCATTGTCACAGTCATTGAAATACGAAAACCAACAGATCCAACACGAAATGGCGTCTGACTTGACAGCGCCCGTTTTGGACGCTTTGTCGTCAACCGACCAACCTCTCCTATCTAACGAAACCTTCCCCTCCGTCCCGTTCTTAAACATAAAATCTGCATTGGATCGCCTAGCGTCACGGTCGATGGTGGAATATGAGGCGATAGACAAAGAAGCTCTCGTTTTGACAGAGGAAGGCGAGTCCATTGCCGCCAATGGCTCGCACGAAGCCAAGGTCTTCGACGCCGTCGTTGCAGCTCTCGACGGATTGAAAATCGCAGATCTCCCCGGTATCGTTGGAAAGGATATCGCCAAGGTCGGGCAGGGCAATGCCTTCAAGCGAGGCTGGATCAAGAAAGACAAAGACTTGTTACGAGCGAACACAGACAAGATTGAAGATGAGACGAGACTGTTACTGCAGACCATCAAGGAATCACAGACCTACCCTGACGGCAAAGTGGTCGCAGACTTGAAGAAGAGGAAACTGATTGCGGTACAAAAAGTGATTAGCTACAAGTTCAAAAAGGGTCCCAAGTATGCGCGGGAATTCGTCAAGGAAGAAACCGACTTGACAGAGGAGATGCTCACGAGCGGAGCGTGGAAAACCGCTCATATGAAACCATACAACTTCAAGGCAAAGGGAGCTCTGACTCCAAGTGGCGCATTGCACCCTCTCAACAAAGTCCGACAAGAATTCAGGAATATCTTCTTCGAGATGGGATTCGAGGAAATGCCCACCAACCGCTTCGTCGAAACGGGTTTCTGGAACTTCGACGCCTTGTATGTACCGCAACAACACCCGGCTCGTGACTTGCAAGATACCTTCTACATTTCCGATCCTCTCAAGGCCGACCCTCCTCGTGAGGACCCTCCCAACAACCCTCATTTGAAAAAGGTATCGGCTGTGCCATCATCTGCCAAGACGCAAGAAGACAAGCCCCTCGACTATCAAGCGTACTGGGACAATGTTCGCGCTGTCCACGAAACCGGTAAATATGGCTCAATTGGATACCGGTATCCCTGGAACCCCGACGAAGCTCTTCGCCTTGTCCTCCGAACACACACAACCTCCGTGTCGACATACATGCTACACAAACTCGCCGCCAACCCCCGTCCTGCCCGCTACTTCAGTATCGACCGCGTTTTCCGAAACGAAGCGGTCGACGCCACTCACTTGGCCGAATTCCACCAAGTGGAAGGTGTCATTGCCGATTTCGGTCTTGCGCTCGGCGGTCTGATCGGCTTCATGGAAGTCTTTTTCGCGAAAATGGGTATCCATCGCCTTCGTTTCAAGCCCGCTTACAACCCTTATACCGAGCCCAGTATGGAGATTTTCGGATATCATGATGGATTGGCTAAATGGGTCGAGATTGGAAACAGTGGTATGTTCAGGCCGGAGATGTTGGAGTCTATGGGATTACCGAAGGATATGCGTGTGTATGGTTGGGGTTTGAGTCTTGAGAGGCCTACCATGATCAAGTGAGTTCCCAGTTATAGTCTAATTATTGCCTACTAACTTCGAAAAATAGGTACGGAGTGAGCAATATTCGTGAACTTCTCGGCCACAAAGTCGATTTGAACTTCATCGAGTCGAATCCAGCTGTTCGTCTTGACAGGGATTAAATCATCAATCTAGCAAAAGACTAAAAGAAGGAACGAGACTCAGCGGAATGTGTAATGATCACGGTATAAAAAACAATTTCATTCAAATAGAACAGATAGAACAATTCCCTAGCTGTTCATCTTCTATCAAATAATCTACGATGTCCCGCCCGTATCTGTGCCCCAGCTCGTAATCTCAGAATAACCGTGGCTCTTCAATAGGCGGGTATGCTATAATATTCGGCGTATGGATGTATTTAATGTTATGTTCTACCTCCTCTCTCATGGAAGTCATCTCCTGAAGAGAAAGAGTGAGGAGGCCTTGATATGCCGTTTGCACCATTCTAGTAACAAGTCCTTTTTTGTGATTTTTTTTTTTGTTTCTTTTGTATTGTGTGTAAGGTATGGATAGTATGGATGTAGATTAGAGTTTGAGATCTAGTCTCGGGGTTGATTTCATTCTTTTTTTCGAGATTTTGTTCTTTCATTGAGAGGTTGAGGTTGATTGGGAACGAATAGGATTGGATATGTATATCGTTCATACAAGTGTCATCTGTATGAATTAGCATTCTCGTTCGTTTGCTTGAATTTGCCAGAGCTAAGGTAAACTCACCATCAGGCACATAACCCTAGTCCACATTTCATCCCCCACTCCAGCACACACATAAAAAGAACACGAAGAGAAAGAAAAAAAACGCATCAATCATATCATCGATCCCGATCCGATATCTGAACCGAGTCCGTCAACCCATTTTTAACCCCAAAAACAATAATCCCCTGCTTGAAAAAGCCGAAAATTTATCGCTGAGCACTCCAGACACTCTTCAAATATCCATCGCGCTGCGCAAGACGGTTGAGCGAGTCATCAGCCTCGCCGCGAGCGCGCACGAATCCGCTGAGCGCATAGACGCCGTTCTCGCCGGTGTAGCGGCCGTTCTCGTCAACGTTGCCGATGGAGATTTGCACGGAGGCGTGGTCGTTGGCTTTGATAATGCGGTTGGTAGCGCTGCACTTGCGGGGGACGTAGCTGTTGTTCGTTAGTCTTTTTCTCTCGTCAAGAAATTTTCAAGAGGGATCGGGGGCACCGACAGATCGACAATCTCTCCCTTTTCGTTCTCCATTTTGGCTGATTTGTGTGGTTTTGAAGGTGGTGACTTCGAGGGGCGTGGTTGATTGAAGATGGAGGTAACGAAAATTTCAATGTGCAACTCGGCGTCCCAAGCGAATTTGGTCTGTTTGGCTTACCCGTCGAATTCGAGAAATTGGGTGGGGAATCGTTGTGTGGGTCATGTGACTTTGCCGGAAGCGTGCGTGTGTTTATTGTGGCTAGTGCGTATATATAGTTTCTTGTTATGATCTCAACTCTTAGCACCAACTATAAAGAACTCTTCTCATCCTTCAAAACATCCCTTTTCCATCGCACATCAACGTTCCTCGGCCCATCTTTCCCGAACTTCACTAAAATTACTCTCTCGTCATCCCCCTTCTTCCCTGAACCAACCAACTCCGGCCCCGGATGATCCAATGCCAGAACAGCTCTCTGATCATCCAGCAATTGCAGACTTCGCGGGGAGACAAACTTATCTGTCCACGGCGGATTGCCGGCGTGAATAAACTCAAGTAATTCTTTCCTTCGCGCTTGTCTCTCCGTTGCATTAGACGTAGGAGGAGCTTTATCCAAGAACTGAGCAACGATCGAAAGAAGTAAAAATTGAGGCGGATAAAGAATTATTTCTCCCGCTTGAGCTTGCTGTAGCCAGGTCGATGCTGGTAAGAACCTGGCTTCGTTGATCTCCACGCCGCCGTCTGAAGAAGGAACTTGCACTTCCTGCCTTCCTCCTTCGGGTAATCCTTGCGCTAGACTCTCACCTGCTGCGGACGAGTCCGGAATGGGTAAGAAGTAGAGATACATCTGCGTCGAGAACCGCTTTGGCAGATTCGGCGGTGTTATCCAATGCGTAAATGGGACCAGATTATCTTCAACATCGTCAGCCCACTCCATACTTTTGGAAATAGAGAAGTTACATACCAGTATCCATCTCAGCCTTCGAATTCTGTCTCTTCAACCACTCCTCAAAGCCAATCTTATTACTGTGAATGTCATGCCTCCCCTTCTCCCTCTCCGCCTCATCTACATGCACCAGTTTCCTGGGGTTAGTAACGTCTCTCGCAAGTAAGATTCCACTCTCCTCAAACAGTTCCCGGATAGCTGCCCGCCGATAATTGATGGCATCATAATGTCGCCGCGGATCTTCCGGGCTGACTGTGAATTCTCCATCGTGTCGGACGGAGATGTTGCCTCCAGGGAAGACGTGCGCTGATGCGAATGAGGTTGAAGTCTTTACGCGGTGGAGGAGGAGGACTTCATTTTCTGGGGAGATGAGGACGACGCTTATCACCGGGGTTAGGGATTGGATTGTTAAAGTTGATTTGACAGTATTTGACTTACCTTGAGCTTGGGCGAGGGATTGCTAGTTCCTTCTTTTTGGATTTTGCGGACATTGCTGAGTCGGATGGACTACGAGAGCTTTGGCGACTTGCTATTGCTGAGAACGATCGATACTGGATATGACAGAAAGGATTCTTCGCGCGATAGCGTCTAGTTAAGATTCCTCCGTGGTGAGAAATAGAGCTCAGGTATAGGCCAACCGTCTTGGTACCACTATGATTATAGACTGTAATTCTCTGGTACCTAGTGACAGGTAGCATTTTACCTTCAATGATGTACCAAGTAGGAAACATTAGACATAAGCTGTAACCTCGGTTGCATGCTAGTATGTTGTTGGACTACTGCACGACGGAGCCAGGAAACGCGGGGAGAGCAAGGGCCGAGGCTAGCCACCTCCGGATCTACATACAAGTATTTAAAAACTTAGATCACTAGCAAATTCAAGCTGAATAGTAAATCATAATACATTATCACTTTTTTTCTATCTTCACTCATACAATCATTGCTTATACCCGTCGCAAAACCTAAGAGTAGAGCTTCTTGTCGAAGCTGTGAAGGCCGTGGACATTACCCTCTGCCTGGGCACTGCCACTACGCAGTTCGAAGCGAACAGTCTTATTGTTGACTGATTCGTGCAAATCCTGGACGCTGCGCACACCAATGTCTTGCAATGAGTGCTGGATACCAGCAATAAGGTATGGCACGAATTTGGTCACGGAGCCGCGGTCAAGGACAGATCCAGACACACCTTGTGCGACAAGGACTCGGTCTTTCTCCGAGAAGTATCTGGCAGTACCAGCATTGCTGGCCTTGCTATCCTTTCCACCCTTGCCAGCCTTCTTGTCCTCCATAGCGTCAATGCTACCCATTCCACGGTAGGCCTTGACAAGCTGACCCTCGCTGCTGACAAAGTATTCACCAGGAGATTCGGTGGTACCGGCAAGCAAGCCACCCATCATGATAGTGGAGGCACCCATAGCAAGACCTTTGACAATGTGACCAACGTTCTGGATACCACCGTCGGCAATGCAAGGAACACCAAAGCGGGCAGCAAATGAGGCAACGCTGTGGACAGACAAAGCCTGGGGACGGCCAACAGCCATGACCTCCTGGGTAATGCACGCACTACCGCTGCCCATGCCAATTCTCAGGCCATCGACACCGGCGGCGATCAGACTGGCGGCCTGCTCTCGCGTGACCACATTGCCGCCAATAACATCAATCTGAGGGAAGGTCTTCTTAACCCACTTGATCATATCAATCTGGTACATACTGTTTCCCTGACTGCTGTCAAGAATAACAATATCAAGACCTGCATCAACAAGCATCTGCAATCGTTCCTTATCGCTTTCGCGAGTACCGATAGCAGCAGCAGCAATGAGTTGCTTGGAGTGAGGAAGCTTGGATGCAAGAGGGTAGTGGAGATTCTTTCTCAAATCAGAGCGGGAGAGCAAAGAAACGAGGTTTCCGTCCTTGTCAACGATAGGAAGCTTGCCCTTCTTGGAGTTACGCAACACCTCGTTGGCCTCAGCCAAGGTGGTGCCGGCAGGAGCGGTGACGAGATCGGTAGACATGACTTCGGTGACGGGATCTTGGTCGGAAGTGTGGAACTGAATGTCACGGCTGGTGACAATACCGACGAGTTTGGATCGGAGAGTACCATTTTCTATATGCTAAATTAGCAATGATCGCAACAAGAATGAATAATATAAGTATAGCATGAGGAGCTAAAATCAGATAGAAATCTTTTCTCCACACAGCTTGCGCTGACTACGGTGGAACGAAAGTTATTTGTAAAGATGTTGGAACATCATGAAAGCGAAAAAACACGTGAAAATGACGGTAAAAACAATAAAGAGAACCTACCAGTAACAGGGAAACCACCGAAGCCCCAGGTAGACTTAAGCTCCTTGGCCTCCGCAACAGTAGTCTTGGGAGAGATGACGACAGGGTCAAGAATGAAACCATTCTCATATCTCTTGACCTTTCGAACCATCTCGGCCTGGTCTTCGGCAGAGCAGTTGTGATGAATTACACCGAGACCTCCGAGAAGCGCCATGTGGATGGCCATATTGTGTTCGGTGACAGTGTCCATAGGAGAGGACAAAAGAGGCGCCTTCAATGAAATGCGCTTGGTGACGGGGGTATCAAGAGTAACTTCGGAAGCAGGGAATCCTGATGGAGGCGTCAGTACAATTTCGATTTTTGTATACTAAAATGAGCTATGCCATACCAATATAACCAGGTAAGATAAGGAAATCATTATATGTCAAGGCACCGTGCTTGTCAGAGTCAAGCAGGGTATCGACATCCAACCCATCTCGGGTAGGATAGTCCTTCTCAAGGATCTCCAGAGCCTTGGTGTAGTCCTGGATATCTCCCTTGGCTTGGAAAAAGCCCTGGGCGTCGCCGTTGGTGATAGTCATGGTGATAAATTGAAAAATACAAAAATAGGGAAAATTGAGGGGTATCAAAGAGTAAAGTCAAGAAGAATGGATGAGAAAACAGTCAACAGACAACTATGATAGGTTCCTGCTGACGGGGAAGAGTTTCCTTTCCCAAAGAAAAGAAAGAAAAAAAAAAGAGAGAAGGAAGAGGGCGAGTTCTGGATTGAGGCAGATAACTTTTTTTCGGTTGTGGGGTTCGAAGTCACGCTAGTCTCGGATTGGTCAAGACCACGAGGCGGTGAATCATGGCCTGAGGCAACCGCCTCTCGTTATCGATAACACCGATGGTTATCGATTATTGGCTGCTTGCTTCGACCACTCGAGTATTTTATTCATGATGATTCAAGCTAAATACCCTCATCATGGGTGACTAAAGTATGATCCTGTCAGAAAGGAGTAGGAATACTATTGTGGCTGACATGGCTTTGATTTATGGGACCCAATATTGAATAGATCGTGGACATTTGGACCTCTATCTACTTGGGTAGGCTAGACAGTGTCGATATATAGTAATTTCCAAGGTCATGTACAGACCAGACATCACGCAGATTCAAATTCATTGTTAATGCCGAGGTACCATTTGAATCAAAAATAGATGCTTTAAACACGACCATTGGCTTCTATCTGACTACGGGTGGATGACTTCCCATATTTTACTTCAGTCACTATCAATAAACCTTTTGTAAGCATGGTGTCGGACTGCCTCGCGATACAATGACGACAGCATGATCTTCGATAAAGTCAAACGAATGAGCTATTAAATACATAAGATATAATGCAGATTGTGAAATACTTGCTATTGACTCTTAAATGCTAAGATTTTATTGTCAAGATGGCATCGCAAGAAATGAAACTACCAGGCACTTTCCAGCCTCCTCGTGTTCCTCAAAGCCAAGCAAAGCCAGGGTAATGATATATGTATATAATGTCATGTCTATGACAGGGCTAACTCTAATGTTCTTACCAAAGACTCGAGAAAAATATGCAGCCGGCTAGTGAACCAACACAACTTAAAGGCGATGGATTCGTTGATTATGTTGGAAATAACAAATTGAAAGACAAGAGTGTGCTGATTACGGGAGGCGAGTAAGTGTATATCTCGGATGTTGCCTGAGAATACTTAAACGAACATTAATGAATATGTCAGCTCCGGCATTGGTCGAGCCGTTGCTGTTCTTATGGCAAGGGAAGGCGCCGACGTTACAATCGCCCATCTTCCCGAGGAGCAAGAAGACGCGAAAGACACCAAGCAAATGGTGGAAGCTGAAAAGAGATCTTGCTTTCTCTTTGCCGGTGATCTGACCAACTATGAAAATTGTCGTCGAGTTGTTGACGAACACTTTCGAAGGTATGAATATGTCTCGATAATCGCATACTGATGGGCATCGAGATATGTACTAACGCTAGGGCCGATAGTTACGGAAGTCTCAACATCCTTGTCAACAACGCATCCCAGCAATACATGTGTAAGGCCTTCACCGATATCGACCTCAATACTGTTGAGCATATCTTTCGAAGCAACATCCTACAGATGTTCGCAATGACCAAGTATGCACTTACATACATGAAGAAAGGAGACACGTAAGTATCGCCCATATCCACTTGACTGGAACTCTGTACTGATTACCCTTCTTTCGAGTATCATAAACACTACTTCTGTGGTCACTTTTCGTGGTTCTCCGAGTATGGTCGACTATGCAGCGACCAAAGGAGCTATCGTAGGATTCACACGTTCCTTAGCAACCCAGTTGATTTCAAAGGGTATAAGGGTCAATGCCGTGGCGTAATATCTTAGAATCCTGAGTTTCACAAAAACAAGTACTTACGACCTGATGCTAAAGACCCGGTGCCATCTATACCCCTATTCAACCCGATACACGAACAGCGAAGCAAATGGAAGGCTGGCATACCAAGAGCCCACTCGGACGTCCCGGACAGCCAAGCGAGGTTGCTCCTACCTTTGTGTTCCTGGCTAGCCCCGAAGCTTCGCTATACTGTGTGTGAGCCAGCCCTTCTTGGGTAGAGTGAACTGACATTCATTCATAGACGGTCAAACACTGCATTGTTATCCTATCGGTGATTGAGTCGTTCTATCCTCTGCCCTGGGACATCACCTGAATAAAAATTTCAAATTGTTCTAGTCTATCGGGGAATTTAAATCAGCCATGAGGCAGCTTCCTCTAATGCATTATCCCAGCCGTTTTCATTCTTCCAAGTAGCGACACTTTCGATCTCGTCCTTTCCTAGTTTTAGACCATTGTAGAGATGCTGAATTAAACTATTAATAAGACCTATAGTGTAGCCGTACAGGATATGATCATGCTTACCGGAAACATTCCCTCCCCATCCCGTGGTCCGCAAATCTTCGCATCCGGGCTTTCCCATCGTATATTGTCTTCGACCATGGCATACTCGAGTCGGAGTACATATAAAACAGGCTCGTCCTTGAAGAAGAACTTCAGAGTATTCGGTACCTGACGAGCCGAAGAAAGATGGATGAAGCCCGACTGTAGGTCTAGATCGCTGACGGGCAGTCGGTCTGGTAAAGACTCGGGAATGGGCGCACTTGACGGAACGAGTTTGTAGACATATTTCAGAGCATCTGAAGAAGCCATCTTCACTCTAGGAATGCCAAAGAAGCTGATCAATCCAATATGTAAGATCTGGCCTGAGCTCGAATCTGGCTTTTGCAAATCTTGGAATGTCGTTTATGGTGGGGCGATCTTACTTCTTCGTGGTCGTCATTTCGGGGATTAAGCACCAAGGCTTGAAACATCTGAGTACGGATATTACACAAATTCTGGCAATAGTCTGCTACAAATACCGTAATTACAATGAAACGCGGCTGTTTGGCGCTAGTAAGTCACATGACTTTCCGCGCAAAGCAAGCCTCAGCAACCGGCAACGCGCGGCTATGCCCGATCGGGACAAATGTAAACAAGGCGGACGGGCAACCCCTCCCGAAAAGATCACAAACCTCTGGGAAGCTGCGACCGAAACCAGGCACTTGCCCCGTTCCTGCTAGTTTTGTTGTCATCGTCGTCCATCATCAAAGGTCAGCCTTATCTGGCGGCACCACTCGGCGAGTCACTCAACTATTCAATATCACCATCTCGGCCAAACTCCTTGCTCGCACGTTGTTTGTAGAGCCCCTTGATTGAAATATATACGCCGGCCGTCGATTAAGCCTTTCATTGTTCATACGCTGCTGGCGCAGGCATGTGTTCCTTGGTGTCGAATTGTTTGCTTAACTCATATCTTCGAACCTCCCGCCTTTCGCCCTACACTGCGTAATGTCACATCCATCAGCTTTCAGACGATCACAAACCGATATCGGGACCTCTGCCTCGAGCCCGTTGCGGCACGATTCCGTTGCTTCTACGACAAGTTCATCAGCCTACTCTGTCTTCTCGAATAATGCGGCGCCAAGTCGAAGTAGTACCATCTCTTCGAATGCTTCTTCCGTGAATAATTTTGGCCACAAACGTGGCATGAGCGAAGTCAGTGTCTTGGCTTCGAATACTTCCAGTATGCACGACAGACGGCCTTCCGCGGCCGAAACTTATGGCAATATTCGACGCTCTTTGCGCCCGCTGCCTCAAGCGCCCAATGCCTCTCCAAAGAGCTCGCTAAAGGAAGGCACAACTCGCCATGCCAGGAGCTACACCATTGATGATACGGTATACCGAAAGTCTGTATCTCCCGCAGGAACACCTGAGCGTAAGATAAGATGGCAGGACGAGGAGCAATCTCCTCAGCCTATGACAGAGTACCCCTTCCCAGCATCAACGCCTCCACGACCGCGTTCTCAGCACTCTTACAGTCAGAACAGCCCTCTCGCACCCAACCTGACTGCGTCCTTTACGGCCCCGGAACTCGAGACGTTTCAAAAATCATCGACTGGTCACCTTCGAACTCTATCAAAGTTTGCAAAATCTGGAGAGACCGAAGACTTCGCCATTGATTCGGCTCTGCCTTCAGTTGTCGGCCTGCAGAATCGAAGACGGTTGAAACGATCAGACTCTATCCGAGAAACCACTGTCACCAAAACCAAAAATGTTTCGTCATCATGGGCAGCTGGCAATTGGATGGATAAACAGAGGCAGTTTCTTCAGGCGTACGAATATCTTTGTCATATCGGAGAAGCTAAAGAATGGATAGAAGATGTTATTCAAAAGGAAATCCCGCCCATTGTTCAGCTTGAAGAGGCCCTTCGGGATGGTGTGACTTTGGCCGAGATCGTACAAGCTTTATATCCCAATAGAGCGCTACGAATCTTTAGAAATCCGCGTCTGCAATATCGACACTCCGATAACATTGCGTTGTTCTTCCGCTTTCTCGACGAGGTCGCCCTACCTGATATATTTCGGTTCGAACTAATTGATCTGTACGAGAAGAAGAATATTCCCAAGGTTATCCACTGTATCCATGCTCTTTCATGGCTGCTTTATAAAAATGGAATCGTTGCTTTCCGGATAGGGAACTTGGTGGGCCAGCTCCAATTCGAACATCATGAGCTCGAACAGACGCAAAAGGGATTGGACAAAGCAGGAGTCAGTATGCCTAGTTTTTCTGGAATGGGTGCGTCTTTTGGCGCCGAACCTGAGCCCGAACCGGAACCGGAGCCTGTTGAAACCGAAGAAGAACGTATCGAGCGCGAACTACACGAAAACGAAGACTCTATCAGTGACCTCCAAACACAGATCAGAGGTGCTTTGCTACGGGTCAGATTGGGCAAAGTTATGAACGAGCTTTGGGACAATGAACATGTGATTGTTGAGCTACAGTCCATGATACGAGGTGATTGGGCGCGTCAAATCTCTGGCTATCGATTACAAATGCGCCAATTCGCAGTCAATCTTCAGGCTATCTCCAGGGGTTTCTTGGTACGAGCGCGCAGACAAAGCGACGAGGAATGGTGGCAGCTTAAGGAGCCGGAAGTCTTGAAAATTCAAAACCTCGTCAGAGGCCGCAAAGTCAGGGACCAGATATCACAACTAAAGATGAGGATGCGACGCGAAGAATCTGGAGTAAAGTCTATTCAAGCAGCAATCAGGGGCGCGCTACAACGAAAACATGCCTCTGACCGAGTCCAGCAAACTAAAGGTGCAGAAAACGAGGTAAGAGGCCTTCAAGCAGCTATTAGGGGTATGCACGCACGCCAGTCAGTAGGTCAGACGCTAGCTCAGCTAGAGCACGAAACTCCATCCGTTTTATTCCTCCAATCAGTCATTCGAGCCTCAGCTCAAAGGGCTCGTGTGGCAGGCTTAAAGAAGGAGCTGACGCGGGATGAAGACAAAATATGCTCACTGCAGTCCTCTGTTCGTGCTGCAGCAGTCCGTAAGCAGCTCAAGTCTCTCCACGATCAACTTAGGCAACATCAAAATGAGGTTGTGGACCTGCAGAGTATTATTCGGGCCAACGCATTAAGGTCCAAACTTGAAGAGCAACGGTCCTCCTTAGCCGGTACAGAACCAGAAGTACTGCTTCTTCAGTCCATGACACGTGGGATGTTCCTCAGGAAACGAGTCACGTCCGATCTTCAAGATCTTGAAAAGAACACGTCGCTATTCACAACCTTGCAGTCTCTCGCTCGGGCTGCTCTAGTACGAAGAGATATTGGACAGATCCTCTCACAGCTCGAAGAGAACGAAGATGAAGTTGTACAACTTCAAGGGCTAATTCGAGCAATGCTCGTCCGTATCGATGTAGGCAACATCTTGTCGGACCTAGAGGCCGAAGAAGACATCGTCACGGACTTTCAAGCACGCATTAGAGGTTATCTCATTCGACTACGATTCGCCGAAAAGCAACGCTTCTTCCGAGAAAACATGGAAAAGGTTATCAAAGTCCAGAGTTTCGTTCGAGGCAAGATTCAAGGTCAGGCATACAAAAGCCTCACCAGTGGGAAGAATCCTCCTGTGGGCACCATCAAAGGTTTTGTCCATTTACTCAACGATAGTGATTTTGATTTTGATGAGGAAATTGAATTTGAAAGACTCAGAAAAAATGTTGTACAGCAGGTTCGACAAAATGAGATGGCAGATCAGTACGTCTCACAATTGGACATCAAAATTGCACTGCTAGTCAAGAACAAGATTACCCTGGATGAAGTCGTCAAGCATCAGAAACACTTTGGTGGACACGTCGGATCTCTACTGTCGAATAACAATATCCTGTCGAAGGACCCATTTGATCTCAAAGCATTGAACAAGACCTCACGGAAAAAGCTCGAGCAATACCAAGTTTTGTTTTTCTTGCTCCAGACCCAGCCACAATACCTCTCCAGATTGTTCCGCAAACTACGAGAACAAAATACCAGCGATAAGGAGTACGACAAGACCAAGCACATCATCATGGGTCTTTTCGGCTACGCACAAAAGAGACGAGAAGAATACTACCTTATCAAGCTGATTACACGTTCTATCAAAGAAGAGATACAGAGTTGCCCGTCTTTGCAAGACTGGGTTCGATGTAACTCATTCTGGCTCAAGCTGTTCGTGGCATACGTCAAGTCGCCAAGAGACCGGAAGTTCTTGCGAGAGATTCTCAATCCTATTGTTAAAGAATGGATTCTTGAGAACCCGGATATAGACCTTGAAAGCGATCCTATGCAAATTTATCGCACTGCCGTCATCAACGAAGAACTCCGAACCGGACAGAAGAGTCAACGACCTCTTGACATACCGAAAGAAGCTGCTATTCGGGATCCCGAGACAAGGGCTATCTTCATCCAACACCTTGAAAACCTTCGCGACATCTCAGAGCAATTCCTTGGCAGGTTCCATGAAGCGCTTCCAAAGATGCCTTTTGGCATACGCTATATCGCCAAGGAGTTGTATGAAATGCTCATCGCTCAGTACAGCAACGAAGATCCTGGTCTCGTTTTACAGGTGGCCGGCCAATGCATCTGGAAGAATTATCTCCAATCTGCTGTCTTGGAACCCGAGAAGCATGGTGTAGTCGATCATAGCTTGGACCCTAAGCACAAAAAGGATCTAAGCGAGATCGCAAAGGTTCTCTCTCAGGTGGCATCAGGACGTCTGTTTGGCGAAGAGGGTGTCTTCCTCCAACCGTTGAATCCTCATATCGGCAACTTTATTCTGCGTCTAGGTGATATTTGGGGCGACAGTAAGTTTCTCTTTGAAGCCTTTTATTCAAAATGTCTAACTTGTGTCTAGTGATCTCCGTGCAAGATGCGGAATCGTATTTCGACATTGATGAATTTAACGATCTGTATGCTAAGACCAAACCAACCCTGTACATCAAAATGTCGGACATCTTCTCCATCCATCAACTTGTTGCATCCGAGATTGACTTCCTATGCACACGACCGGATGATACCCTCAAGGAGATCATACGTGATCTCGGTAATGTAAAATCCAATCAGCATGAGCTTATGGCTGTCAGGTCTTCTGAAATCAGTCTGACACTCCATCCGAAGCTTACCAACATGGAAGGTAAGAAATTACATTCTACGAGAGCTATGTGCAGGTACTAATGTGATATATAGATCCGGAAGCCGGCACCAAAGCCCTGTTCATGGAGACCAAGAGATGCATCCTTTACATCATCAGAGTTCAGTCTGGAGCAAATCTTATGGAAATCATGCTCAAGCCTCCAACGGAAGAGGATGAACAAAGATGGCTGTCTCTGGTTCACGATGAACTTTCCGCGAACAACAAAAGGAAAGGTGCTTACTCTGAAGTCAATACAGCGCTAGATCTGAGCACCATGAATTATGCGGACCTAAAGAGTGTCGCTCTCGAAAATATACTTCGATTAGAGCAATCTGGAAAAATCAGCCGGCATAATCAGTACCAAGACATATTGAATGCGATTGCGGTAGACATTCGAACCAAGCACCGCCGAAGGATCCAACGGGAACGAGAGCTAGAGAGCGTTCGTCTGACATTGTCCAGATTGAATGATCAGGCTGAATTTCTTGAACAGCAGCTTAAGACTTATAATGACTACATTGAGCATTCGATGACGACTCTTCAGAACAAAAAAGGAAAGAAGCGATTCCTGATGCCTTTCACGAAGCAATGGGACCATGAACGTGAACTTCAGAAAACGGGCCGAGTATTCAAGCTTGGTTCCTACAAATACTCAGCACGTACTCTTGCCGAAAAAGGAGTGTTGGTGCACTGGAAAGGCTATACAGAGCGTCAATGGGACCGGGTTGACCTCAGTATCTCTAGTAATGAAGTTGGTGTGTTCATTCTCGATGGAAGTAGTGGTAATATGATGATACCTGGTGCCAACGCCCAGGTACCGCTCGACGACCTCTTGCAAGCACAGTACAACAATACGCAATTCCTCGATTTCTTCGAGGGCACTTTGCGAGTGAACGTTGATTATTTCTTGCATCTGATTATGAAGAAGTTCTACAACGAGTGATGACTTCTATTTGCTACATCCACTTGTTTCGATGATGATACATGCCATCAACGGCCTGACTTTATGGCTTTAATGATCTCAAAATTACGTTCAATGATATCCTTAGTAGGGCTTCGGAGTGTCGACTGTTTTGATATGGTTTCCAGGCAAGCGAGTTGACTTTTATGTTTTCATGTTTTATTGCAATTGTTATGCATATTGATTTGATGCTTTGTTTCTGTTTACTGCCGCGATATTGCACATATTTTATATCCCTGTCTCGTTTTGTACACTTCTCAAGTGAGATTGAGCTCAATCACCGTTGAAACCCTCATTTTTAAATGCTGGGTGGCATTCTTCCCAACCTGTACGTAACTTATCTTTGGCGATAGTCGCTATTATTTACCACTCGATACCAGAATAAATTCGATTTCAGCAGATTTTCGAATAAGTTTGAAAAAGAGATGGACAGTTCACGTGACCGAACTCGAAGGTGCGGCGGAACCGCTGCCTCAGGCCAGCAACTCCTGATGCCATATGGCATCAGGCACGTTTGTTTGGCCACCCAATCTCCTGTCCAAACCATCTTGAACCAGCCCAGCGCGACGTTGGCAATATCGTATCTTGATATTTTCGATAGAGATTTTTCTTTTCTTTCACGGCCATTTCATTTGTTTTAAAGAAGAAGATACGATGGATTTCAACAGTCTCAAAGAGCAGGTTAGCAACCTGACCTTGTACGATATCAAGGCCGGTGTTCGCAAGGTTCAAAATGGTTCGTTCAATAGCAATTGCTTCAATCCAAGTAGCAGCACTAATCTCTTATTGGATATGTAGCTGTCATGAATTATACCGAGATGGAGGCCAAGGTCCGAGAAGCCACCAACAATGAACCGTGGGGCGCATCGTCGACGTTGATGCAGGAGATTGCGAGTGGAACACACAACTAGTCAGTGGGATTGCGATTCAATGATTATGCTTGGTTATTAATAAGTTTGATCTGAACAGTCACCTTCTCAACGAGATTATGCCTATGATTTACAAGCGATTCACAGAAAAGACGGCGGAGGAGTGGAGGCAAATCTACAAGGTCTGTCGATCGACATATCTACAGACCGAAAAGTTTAGGGGAAATTGGAACTAAACAATTGCATGGATAGGCATTGCAACTCCTCGAATTCCTCATCAAACACGGCTCCGAACGCGTTGTCGACGATGCTCGATCCCACTTGTCCCTGATCCGCATGCTTCGCCAATTCCACTATATCGACCCCAATGGCAAGGATCAGGGCATCAATGTGCGCAACAGATCTCAGGAGCTCGTCAAATTGCTGGGTGATGTAGACGCCATTCGCGCAGAAAGGAAGAAAGCTCGCGCCAACCGCAATAAGTTCGGCGGCATGGAAGGGACTGGCGGTGCGTTCTCGAGCGGCGGCGGTGGTGGTGGCAGATACGGCGGTTTCGGCAGCGATTCATATGGTGGTTACAGCGGAGGCGTGTTTGGAGATGGAGGCGGATTCGGCGGTGCAGGCGACCCTAGCGATTTCAGGGACAGTGCCAGACGATCGAGCCGGTTTGAGGAATACGATGAAGAAGATGATGAGCCCTCTGCGGCGCCTACATCCCGACGACCTGCAGAACCTAGAGCACAGGCCAAAGCGCCTCAGCCGCCACCAAAGGGGCAAGATGTTGATTTATTCGACTTTGGTGATGATGATGTCCTTGCGGCCCCGGCGGCAGTACCGTCTTCCACGGCCGCTGGGAAGAAGCCTGCTACCGGTATAGATATCCTCGGCGGCACCGCCGGGGGAGCGGACGACGATGACTTTGATGATTTCCAGTCTGCCTCACCACCTGCTCCCGCGCCAACGGCGGTTACCACAACCGCAAGCACGCAATTCGTTGCACCGAAACCAGTCTCCGCAGCCCAAGGCGCCGATTTGACAGGTCTTGTGGGGTTCACATCAAACACCACCACGCCCACAGGCTCAACGACAATGTCCCCGCCTCCTCTATCGACAGGCTCGGCATTCGCAGCACCAGCAGCACCGCTCCAACAACAACAGAAACCATCCGGCTACCAAGCCCCAACACCAAACTACTATACCTCCGTAAACGCAGGCTTCAACAACCAGCCCTCCGTACTATCGCCCACCTCAACTCTCAGCGGCAGACCCGGCATGGGCGGAACCACATCCTCTTTCTCCTCCCTCACCTCCCCAACCAGCACTACAGCATCATCCCCATCTCTCACCTCAGCAGGCCAAAAACCCGCCACCAAATCTGCCGGCGGAGACGTCTTTGGATCCCTGTGGAACACCGCAAGCGCCAGCGCCGGAATCCAGAAGACTGCAGCGCAAAAGGGACCTAATCTGGCAAGTATGGCCAAGGAGAAGTCCAGTGCCGGTATTTGGGGCACTACTGGAAACACATCAAATAACAACAGCGGATTCTCGTCGTCTAACAGGCCGGCTAATGGAGGGGGGGATTTGCTTGGTTGAGATTTCAAAGTACAGATTGAACTATAAGGAAGATGGTTTAGTAGATAAGACCTTTCTTCATTTTTCTGTTGCGTACGATCGATTAGCTTGATGTGTTAGTTACTTATATAGCCTTTTGTCTTTTTTTGCTATTGTCTGTTATTTCGCCGTCTTGATTCAATCATTCAATGTTGACTATAATGCCAGTTGATACTCTAGCCCATTGATATAATGCTGGTTGCGATAGACAAAATTGATGTTTACTTCTGGAAGTTTGAAATTATGTTGATATACGTGATACTAACCTCGATGCCAAACGTCCATGGACACCAAATGTCAATAAAGCGAACTTGATATAAAGTCATTATATTCAACTATAATACAACAGCGATCATGCACCACTTTCGACCATTCAAACAAGAGGGAAAACCTATTGTCAATTCCGACGTAATACCATGATTCCATGCCACTGTCATTGCCATAGAAAAGAAGAAAAGTGTCCTTAAAACCAAAATGCAATTCCTGCATTAAAAAGAAAGTAAAAGGGGAATGGGAATTATGTAACAAGTAGTTGATGTTGCGGCGAAATGGACAGAAATGTTCATACAAAAATATAAAAAGAAAAAATCTTGTCCCCGACAAAATATATTCCAAACATGAATTAGAATGTAGATGCAATAAAATAAAAAGAATCAATCATTGAATCATTCATGTCATGAACATGTCTCTCCTGTCCCTATCCAGTTTTGGCTTTGTCGAAAGAAAATAGAATGAGATGAAAAAACAGAGGAACGGATTGTTTATCGGAAGTCGTCGCTATTGCCTTCGTCAAGCTCAAGCTGATCAATGCGTTGGACGAGTTCCTTCGTTTCACGGGCAATTTCAAAAGCGATGGGAGGCAATTTGGCGGTCAGGTCACGAAGTTGTTCGGGGCTTTCGATCTCTTCTCCTTCAGCTGCTGTGTGAGATAAACGGTCTGAGCATTCGGCTAGGCTTTGAACAACTGGTCCTAAGCGTTCGCGTACTGCGGGACTGATCTCGGCTTTGTCCATGGCATGGTCTGTCGATGCAACCACGTTGCCTACCACAATCGATATCGCGCTGATGTGGTTACGGATGGCTGAGATATTTTCTGCGCCACGGATGCTGGCCACAAGCGCTTGAATAGTCTGCACAAGGCCCTCAGTTTGATCCTCAAGATATAGCTGTCAAATGATTAGTATCTAGGTCTACCATAGACGATTGGGGAAAATACCTTCAACTCCTCCAATTCATGGTCTTGAGGACGCACGGCGCCGTATCCTGCCTTTCCAATAGCAAGGCCCTGAATAGGAATTCCACTGCGAGACATTGTTCGTCGCGAATGAGCTATACTTCGAGTCCTGGCTGACGGACTGCTGATCGCACTATATACAGACTCATTGTTGCTCAATCGAGATTGACTGGCAGCTATGCTGAAGTAGCCGGGCGATTGCATTGGAGCAATATTGTCCTCGTTTTCATCTTCAAAATCTTCAATGGGACTGGCTTGAACTTTGACCAGGCGCAAGAGCTCAATGACTGCAGTGCTTAGGTGAGATGCAGCCGCATCAAGCAAAGACACAGGCGATAGGCCGTTGGAGCCGGCAAAGTTCTTGGATGCCGTGATCAGGTTGTTGGCAGTGGCCGAGACTCTGGACTTTGCTCGTTTCTGTGCAGGAGACACCTCAGCTCCGGTCTCGGTGTCATTCATCATATGACGCACAGCTACAACGACCACTTTCATCTGCTCGAGGACGAGACTGGGCTCACCAGAACGAGCTGAACGCAACAGTTCATCAATAGACATTTGGAACTTGGTGACATGTGCATCTTTGACCAGTCCATGCTCATGGATGAGTTCGTTCTCTCTCGCGGCCATACCAACGTCGGTATGTAGATTAGGAATTCCGACAGTCGATGTACGCAAGTGTCGTAGCTGAGTCTTGGCCCTGACATATCGATTTTTCCACTCCTTGACTTCTTCCTCGAGTCGGTTGAAATCGCGAGAAAGCTTTTCTTCTTGTTCCCAAGTGGCATTACTTCGTTCCGACATGGCCCTCATTTCCTTCAAGAAGTTGCTAGCGTCGCGGCGCACTTCTTCGGTGGTCTTCTGTTGCTCTTGCAATTGCGACTGAAGAGATTCGTGTCGTATCTCGAGGTCGCTGTATCGTTCTTGAAGCTCGACATCTACACCCGCACTTTGCGCAGCCTCGATTTGTTCCCGCAATTCGCGCTCTTTCTGGGCATGTTCTTGCTGCATTTGTTCTAGCTTATTCTGAAGGTATGTGTTTGCATTTTCGACGTCGGTGAGTTTGGTCTCCAGCTCAGACTTGACGCCTTCCCATTCATTGCGTTCACTGGTACTGATCTACATACTGTCAGCACTCTTCATTCCTCAATCTTAGATCATACACACCTGTGATTTCTCCTGCTCGTCCTGCAAGCGAGATATTTCCTCATCTTTGCTCTTCATCAAAGCTTGGAGTTCATCAACACGTTCTTGTAACGTTGTAACTTGGGCTTGGCTGTCTGACAGAAGTTTTTTCTCCCCTAAAGTGGTTGTCGTTCCTCTTCGACTCTGTAAGGCGTCCAGTCCAAAAGCATCGCTGCGTCCATCAAAATCGTCGTCCAATCCGCCATCATCGTCATCCTCCACGAGAGTACTCTTATTCGGGACGATCGTATTGCTCTGAAATGACTTCGCCAAAGGCTCCTCTCCGCCAGGGCTTATTCCACCGCTGAGAGATTGCTGACGCGGAGGGAATCGTCCACCAGGAGGCCCGCCAGGGCCTCCGGGACCCCCAGGACCAGGAGGATACCCTCTGCCACCAGGGCCACGCGACGCTGGTCGAGACCCGCCGGGATATCCGTTCGGTGGAAATCCGTTCGAACCAGGTCGAAAACCATTCATCGGCCCGTTTCCTCGAGGCGGACCACCGCGCATACTACCTGCAGGACTTCCAACACGCGGGACATCTGGACCAGCAAACTGGGGGAACCGTCGTTCCAACTCACAAAAGACGTCGGTAGCCAAGTCACGGAATCGTGGATGCTGCAACGATGCAAGTTTCTGACGAGCCTGGTTTCGCTTTTCGTGAAAGTCTGGCCGAGGTGGTAGTGAAGGTGGAATATCTGTCCGCGGAGGCCGTCCTGGACCTCCGGCAGCTTGTTGACGGCGGACAAGCTCATCAAAAACGTCGGTACTCAATTCGTGAAATTGTGTTGGTGATAGTCTCAAAAGTTTATCCCGAGCTTTGTTCGTTTTCATAGCAGCCCTATCACTCGCATGCGGGTTTCCCAGAAACCGGCGAACTGCATTGTAATGTTGAGCAAGCGAATCTTCCATCCTGCGATAACGGCCGCCTTGCTGGTCTGGTAGCGTTCCTACACTTGATCTGGCAGCAACAGAACTCGGAGGCGATGGGTTACCGGGGTCGCCCGGTCGTCGAGGCATCGGGTTGCCACCATTCAGACCTAGAGAGCCAGTCGGGGTGGGAGCACCTGAACTCGGAGGAGTCGCTAGATTTCCGCGATTCTGTACTGACGGAGAGAGGGGAGCATTGAGTCCGAGTTGATATTGGCCGATGCCAGACCATTCGCTGTCATCAGCGGAGACGGGGGACATTGTACCGTTGCGGCCATTCATATCGGTCGGTAGTTATGGTGTAGAGAGGCAATGAAAAGAAACAGAATAACAGATGGCGTACAGTCCGGTCACCCCATGTATTCGAAGAAACGAATTTCAGCTGAAATGCGCAGATAACCGATCTGACTTGAGTAGAAATCGTCGATGAACAAATCGCAAAGTGATAATCCCCTCAACATCCAGCCTCGTTGTGTGTGGTTGGGCGCCGGCAAGGTTCTCGATACTGCAGGCAGCGGTTTAGGGAGAGCGTGTCTCAGGAGTATACTCGTCACACCGGCCGGGACGCAAGGAGCAAGATAAGAAGGGCAGCGCAAAAAGGACCGCGATAAACCACAGTCATAAATATATGTACGACGTAATAGTAGGGATGGCTGAAGAATTGAACGGAGAGTCTGTACAGCACAAGTCGGGAAGCACAGAAGAAAGAAATCGGGCTGGTCTGGCTGGAGTGGAGATTTTTGCGACGGACATGCTCCTTCCTCCAGACGAGGGAAAGGGCAAGGCACGAACGGCTTGTGGCTAGACCAGACTGTCCGACCCGCCCGCTCCTTCCCCGTTGACTGACGAGTACGTACCTGACACAGCCACAGTTCTCCTTTCTCTCTGCTCTCTCCCTCTTCTCTTTATTCCACTTCTACATTCTATTCGTGTCTTGTTTGCGCCAGGCACACAACCCTTTTACAGTGAACTGCGGAGTATGCTGTATACCTCCCCTCAACAAGCCGGCAAGAGAGATCACTGGTCACCCTGCCCTGAAGCCAAGCATCCAGGCACAACCCGTCTACCAATCATCGTGCCAAACCGACTTTTCTATATCACCCCATAGTATAGACGCTCATTTCGTTCGCATGACCCAAAGTTCCAAACACCTGGTTAAGTGAGCTGTCTCGACTCTCTAGTCCCCTATCAATCAAATCAGTGATTGCGATTCTTTCAGATAAGCAGGTCTAATGAATTGCAAGGAATAAACTCCGTCGGGATAATTAAAATTGCTTACTCCATTCTAATTCCTGCCGCTTAGCCTCGTAGTATCCTAGGGAGACTGCTTTCTGGTACAACATAGGACCTTTCCTCAGTCCGAGGTACCCCTTCTTCTTGAATACCTTTGTAGCATTGTCAGTCAAGCCATTCACCACGATCCTCCGAGTTCAAGTCCCCTTCTTTCCTCAGACAAAGGTATGGACAAAGTTAAGCTTTGAACTTATCATGCAAAAGTATGTACTAAGTAGTAGACGGCAAGTACTAGAGAGACGCCACCACGAACCTATATCAACCAAAGTTCGCGCCATCACCTTGCAATCCCCGTATTAACGTGCTAGTCGTATATGAAGTACCAAAGACACGCATATCATTCGTTCTGCAAGCAGGAAGATGAAGGATCATGGCGTCGTCCCACGCCTGTTGGGGCTAGCAAGGACGGTTTACTTTGGTCACTAGGGCTAGTATGGTATAGTAGATACGCCAGCGTATTATTAACACTGCAAACGTACGGCTATTGTAACTTTTGATTGTCCTTGAATATCTCGGGCCGACCGATGTGATATTGAAATTGTGCTACAAAAGGGTATCTCTAAATAAACAAAAGCAATGAGAATCAAGTCAATCATGTCCCAGCTATCCGTCCGTCAGTCTGGACCCTCCTCAGCCTTGATCACCTCGTCAGACTCACCCCCCTCAATTTTGACCTCCCTCTCCTCCTGCTTTAAAAGCATCTCCCTTCTATCTTTATACCACCTCTCGAGACAAGCCCGTCTCTGCGCCTGCGTCATCCCTTCCACCACAAGCGCAAACTCAGTCGCATTCGGAAACCCGAATTTCTGCGCCATACTGCAAAACTGGCGTTTGCGTACGTCCTGCGGAGGATGGAATTTGAATTTAATTGTTTTGCTACCGTCTATGGTGCGAATTTTGAAGTTTTCGTAGTTGCTTAAATTGCTGGTGCTGTTTTTGAGGCGATTGTTGGGTTGAGAGGACGAATCAAAAACGTGCATGTCGCCCTGTAATGGGTCGTTGTGTTGTTCGGCGCGACGGCTGAGACGTTCTTCGACTTTGGAAGAGCCGATGACTTCGTTGTTGAGATGGCTGTATTCGACGCCGGCGCCTGCCAGGATGGCTTGTACGGGGTCGTGTTTCTTGTTGCCTTGAATTGACGAAGAAGCTGGAGTCGTTGTTGATGGCGTGTCACCACGTATCAAGGCTGCTATCTGGCTAATGGTCTCATTATCGTCGTCATCACCAGCACTGCCAGATTTGACCGAGGCATTGTCAGGGATATCTACATCCCCGTCCTGCTCGAGTTCAACGCCGACGACTTGCACGCCTGCCTTGCTCTCGGCAATATTGGTCTTGTTCACGATATCTCTCAGAACGATATTGTTGTTCTGATACTCAAACAGATTGGAAAGACCAAAGATCTCGCCCTTTTGATCCTTCTTCTCCTGCACTCCTTTGAAGTACCTTCGCTCAGTGCTGGCATTGTATCCGATATTGGCTTGCTGTTGTTTGTAAATCTGACGAGCATAGACAATCTCTTCAATGGTACCTGCAGAAATGAGTCGGAATACTTCGACATCTCTGTGTTGTCCGATTCGATACGCCCGATCCTGCGCCTGCAAGTCATGAGAGGGGTTCCAGTTCGGATCGACCACAACGACTTTATTCGCAGACACAATATTCAACCCAACACCTCCTGCGCGTGTCGAGATCAAAAATACGAATTGCTGAGGATCCGAGTTGAAATCATCGACAGCTTTCGCTCGATCTTCGTAAGACATGGCGCCATCCAGATAACTGACGTTATAACTAGTGTGATTGAAAAGCATCTGAAGCATTTTCAACAGTCGAACACTATGCGAAAACACCAGGACTTTGTCACCGTTGGCATGCCACCATTTGAGGAGCTTTCGAAGGACTTTCCACTTTCCACAGAATTCCGGATTGGCATAGTTGATGATCGAATCCCGGGTTTGATAGAGCTCGCGCCATTGATCTGGGACTGCAAGCTGTAGCATTTCCAAGTCTTTGTCTTGCTTTTCCCGCGGGTCCTGTCCCTGTGGTATGAGGATTGCGAGGTGATTGCTGAGTTTTTGCAGATTTTGTATAGCTGGAAACACGTAGTTTTGCCATTTCTGGCCAGACGGTAGGAATCTATTGCAGCACCAACCGGATTTCTTCCCTGAACCACAGTCACACATTTCTGATGCGTTCTTGATATACACCACTGCATCGCTGTTCAAGAAGTTTTCATATGCATCTGCTTGCGTGTCTGTCAAAGGACAGAAAACTACCCTATCGCTCTTTTTTGGTAGTTGATCCGCAATCAACGTCTTCATGCGCCGAAGGAAGAATTCCGGGAGCAAATTCTGCACGAGTTTCTTGGCTGTCTTGCGCGCTTTGCTCAGCTGATACAGAGTAGCATCATGAGACTGACCAATCTTCAAAGGATCCGCCACAGCTCTCTTCCACGCAGTTACCGGGCCCAGCTTCCCGGGATTCGTCCAATTCAACAACGTCCACAATTCCTCATATTTGTTCTGAATAGCTGTGCCCGTAAGCCCAATCCGACAGAGAGCATTAATCTCGTTCATCGCTATAGTTGTCTCCGACTTGCGCTCCTTGATCTGGTGGCATTCATCGGCAACGATGCAGTCCCATTCCACCATATTGATAGCATCCTTATTCATGCGATACGTCACATACGTCGTAATCAAAATCTCCAACCTGCCAGCCTTAGCAGCTTGCAGCGCTTCTTCCTTTCGGTCACCATGAAACACTCCAACAGCCCACCACCCCCAGCGCTGTAATTCAGATTTCCAGTTCTCAATCAACGTGCCGGGGCAAACAATCAGTGTGCGCGGGTACCAAACATCGTCCCCGCTCCGCCTCAACTTCCTCATCCTTTTCATGTCTCGCTCATCTGCCGTTTTGCCGTACGCAGCAGTAAGAAAAGCAATGACCTGCACCGTTTTACCCAGACCCATATCATCGCCCAATATCCCACCTTTCTGATAAACGAACAATTCATGCATAAACGCAGCCCCTTCAACCTGATAATCCCTCAACCACTGCGCAATAGGCGCGGGAATCAGACCCAGAGAAAACGGTAATGGAACATCCTCGTAAGGTTTCGGGGGCGTGATATCCCTAAACGCAGGCTTCTCCTTTAAGAATTCCAGGTTTTCGTCATCCGAGAAGTCGACATCGTCAAAGTTTGGCGGTAGTCGTAACCCGGCTTCTTTGAGACGGTTCATGCGCGCATCGAATTGGGAACGGCGCTGTTGTAAGAAGTCTGGTAGTGTATGTTCCATCAAATCGTCTTCGGACGAAACAGGGTCTTCTGTGAAATCTCGCGTAGGCCATTTGGACTTTCGTGCTGCTGCTGACGCTGACTCTACGGGGAGTCGACCGACCAGCGCGTCGCGAGCAGGCACTGATCTCCTTTTCCGACCTGGGTTGACATCGCTTTCTCGTTCTTTTCCCTTTCCTTTTCGTGCTCGATGCGCATTTAGAGAGGCGCGTTTGCGTTGGATGCTTTTCCGGTTCTTGAATTGTTGGTATGCGGCTTCGCCGTCGTTGAATTCGTCGTCGAGGATACTGGAGGAGGAGGAAGAGGAGGGATCGGGAGATTCGTCTCGTTCATGTAAGCGGCGTTTTTTATGGCTATTTATAGGTTCTTGCTCGTCTCGTCGCGATTTCTTGGGTGAATCTGTTGTCTGTCAGATTTGCCTGATCCAACATGTAGACAGACATTGTTACCAGCAGATGACTTTGGCTGGACAGAAACAATCTCCAAATCATCGTCATCATCTGAATCGGTCACAGTGACAACTGAATCTATATCCGACGCCATGTCGCATGCTGTTTATAGTACTTAGCTGTATCTAGTTGTAGGTAGTTGGAGCTTATCAGTCGCGGGGCTAGACTTCCTGCCGGCCCAAACACTCCGCATCGGGAAAGGAGCTTTTAACTTTAAATTTTGCGGCGAGATTTCTTCAATTATCATCCATATCAGATTTCATTACACCACTACGCAGAACCGAATACTCTTAACGCTAAACTCCACTACTATCTTTCATCCATAGCCACTGATTGAAAGCACAAATTGCATACACATTCCCAATTTGGACATCTACATTGCGCAAAAAACTTATCACCGGACAACCAAAAAGACATAAAAGGCACTCCGTGCCTCTCAACCTCACGACACAAAAATGCCACTCGACACTTCAACAACCTACCCTCTCACAAAACTCCGCCTCGACGGTCGACGATGGAACGAACTCCGGCTGCTCCAAGCGCAACTATCCACCAATCCCGCCAGCTCAGGCTCCTCATATCTCTCCATGGGCAACACATCGATAATGTGTACCGTCCACGGTCCCCACGAGACCAGCGGCGCAGGTAGCGCGACCGAAGCAGTGGTTGATGTCGACGTTAATATCGCTGGGTTTGCGGGCGTGGATCGCAAGAGGAGGGCTGGGGGGAGTGATCGGTTCGTTCCATACCCGTTAGGGATATGAAGTAGAATACTGACTGACTGACTATGGCAGACAATCAACCCAACTCTCAACAGCACTCAAATCCGCTTTCCAGTCTCACCTCCACACCTCGCTCTATCCGCACAGCACAATCACAGTGCAAGTTTCCGTCCTCTCGTCTGACGGCTCCCTCTTCGCCGCCGCCATAAACGCATGTACCCTCGCGCTCGTGGATGCTGGTATCCCCATGCCGGGCTTACTTTGTGGATGCACAGCAGGCATGAGCGGTAGCGCATCCACGCCTCGCGATCCATCTTCCTCATCAGCAGAAGACTCGCTAGATCCGTTACTTGACTTGTCGTTGCCCGAGGAGCAGGAATTGCCGTTTATAACGATCGGGACTACGACGGCCCTGCCCGCGGCGTCGGCGGCGGCGGCGGAGGATGATGTGGATGATATGAAGGTTTCGGTGCTGCATATGGAGACGAGGGCACATACGTCATATTTGGATGCGATGCTCGCGGTGGGTATTGATGGGTGTAAACAGATTAGGGAGATACTCGAGGGGGTGATCAAGGGGTCGAATGGGGGTGTTGTGCCGGGTTTGGGAGGTGGTGATGAGAGTGATGAGATGGATATATAATGTATGATATACAGCAATGATGTTTACGTAGATTATCCATGATTTTTACGGAAGAATAATGCCAAAGCCAAGACCTCACTCGAAAGTAAGAATCTCAGAAACACATGATTGCATTTCCTCAAAGGACTGACTTGTAAGCTACTGGCAAGTAAAATAGACACCAATCTACTAGCCCTTCTGCAGAGTTGAGAGGTAGATGAATCTATCGCCGGAACACGTTTTAGGAAAAATATGGAAACATTTTAAGCAGCGCCAGAGTTGACGATCTTGGCGGTTCCGCGGACGGAGCCGCTAGAGGTGCCAAGTCGCTCAATGTCCTCGACGACATCGTATCCCTTGGTGACCTCGCCGAAGACGACGTGCTTGCCATCGAGCCAGTTGGTCTTGACGGTGGTGATGAAAAATTGGGAGCCGTTACTATCGAAGCCTGTTAGTGGATGACAGCTTCATGGGAGAGGAAAGGCTTACGTGTTGGGACCAGCGTTGGCCATGGAGAGAAGACCAGGGCGCTCGTGGCGGATTTTGAAGTTCTCGTCGGCGAACTTATCACCGTAGATGGACTTACCACCGGTACCCTAGACAAAAATTAGCATTTGATTGGATTATACACTCAGACAACAGAAGACATACGTTGCCGCGGGTGAAGTCACCACCCTGGAGCATGAACTGGGGGATGACACGGTGGAAGGAAGAGCCCTTGTAGGTCAAGACCTTGCCAGTCGAATCGGTGAAGCCGTTGCAGAGCTCAGCAAAGTTCTTGGCGGTTTTGGGGACGACATCGTCGTAGAGCTTGAATTCGACACGACCTGTCTTGGCTGGTAGGAATTAGCATTTGATTGTAGATGTGGAGTGATGACTTGATAGTCGAAGATGGCTCAAGATGAGTCCAAGAGCTTGAGCTGAGCTGATGCAAGAGGGGCAGGAAGGATAACTTACTTTGGCCAGCAGGGCCGTACTCAATTTCAAAGAAGGCAGTAGACATGATTGCAGATGATTGAGAGAATGCACGAGAAGAGCAATTGAAACCTGGGGAGAAGGAAGTAGGACGACGGATGAAGGAAGCAGAAGCTGAAGTGGCAGGAGAAGAGGKAATGAAGGAGGAGACCGAGCGAAAAGCAGAAGGTGGGGTGGACAGTGATGCTCTGAGGCTTCGGGAGAACATTGTTGCCATTTTGCCTTGGAGTGCTAACAAAAGCAGCCTGTTCTGGAGGGGCAGCGCAAGTCACGGGCGAGGGGCAGAATGAGGGGTTCTTCTTTTTGGGTTAGTCAAGCCTCTTGGTAAGTTAAGTTGGTATGCGGGTATCGGTATTACCTGTACGAGATTGAGTCGTATTATGAGACTACTACCAGACCACCAACACTTGTGTCAGCCGGCATGACTTTAATATACAGCTCAAGAGTAAAGGTATCGGTGTCATGTATCTTCCATTTCCTGACTCGATAGATGGATTATACGTACCAATCAAATAGCCAATTGAAGCAGTTCAACCAGCCAAATAGACAAGATCAAGAGAATTTTATGCCGGTTTGGTGATGCGAGATGAATGCAGCACAAAAGCGTCACGGAAACAAACAAAAGAGTAATTAAAGAGTAGACAAGGAGTAATACACTTCAGAAGCAAGACAATGAAATAGTATTACAGATGGTAGCCTCGGTTGAAAGGATAGCAAGATGATGAATGGCAAACAAATAAGATGAAGTTCACGAGAGAGAGAAAAAGGAGACGTGGAAGGTTCTGCTTACTAAGGCGACAGCTACGGCTAAGCTATGCAAGGAGAACTTAGCCCCGAATTTAGCAGGCGTTGCCGGGGCGGAAAACGGATCCGGCAAGTAGATGTAACAGGCTTGTTTCTGGAATACTTGATGGTAATATACTGCGTATTGATACGCGCAATACAATAATTCGATACGGATGTAGTGATTAATTAGTCGACACCTAAGGTACGTAACCTGGATTCATGTCCTGATCACGGAATACTCAGGAAGCGAAAGGTCTGCCTTCAATTGGCTCATGCAAGAAAAACAAGGTATGCCTTGATTCATTTACCATTGAGACAGGTCTCGCCCATGTCCATCGCCGTGCATCTTATGGCTCSGTCAGCTTGAGCCAGCTATTATCGATAGCATACCAAGGTAATATATTGTTGGATAATACAGTCGTCAAGTAGACTCATCAATCGTATTCTCATTCTCATTCCATCCGCATCTCTATCTGATCAAGAGTTCTTTCCCTCTGTCCTATCCTCACTCTGATTATTCCCATTCGTTGGTGTCGCCGCTCCACCTTGCTCCAATTCATTGCTCGCTTCCTTGTCAGTCGAAAACGTTGTGTTTTCTGACTGCTGCTGGTCATTTGCACCAGCCAACTCTCCATTCAAAGAGCTAAGACCTCCTTCAATATCACGTACCAATCGCACGAATTCCTCCGGCACCAGCCCGGATTCACCCGTCTTTGGATCCTCTGCAACGAGCCAACCCTGACCATGTCTATAAGATACCAGAATCACCTGCCCTTCTTTCAAGGGGAGTTCATTCTCATGCTCGCGCGTAAAATCAAACAGCGCAACCGCTTTGCCATGCATCTCCTCGTCTGGCGACCCAATAGAAAAGTGATAATCGCGCGAGTATCGGTCAGAATAGTCGTCTTCGTATACGTAGTCTCCTCCATGTGCTGACTCCTGTGTGTTTGCTGCATCTCCGGCGCCTTCGCTCCCGCCATAGGCATACTGAGAATATCCGCTTTCGCCGGCTGGGTATGTAATGTATTCGCCGCCAGGTCCATCATTTGCGTCCTGATCGCCTTGAACGTAATACGTCTCACTTCCGTCTCCATTGACAGCCACCAGGGTGCCACGGTCAACCGGATTATTCGTGCCGCCACGCCCACTATCGCCAAAGACCCTTCCTGTATCTCCAAATATTTGCATGGATTTGTGCTTGCGATAACGTGATGTTATGATAGGACTGTGCAGATCTTCATCTTCACTATACGGCGGTCCATCACCGAACGATACGGCCGGCAGCTGTTGTCCAAATGACTCGGATGTCCCGCTATTCGACGACCATGAATGGCGTGAGGGTTCCCACGACGCGATCTGCGGATCAGATAAGCGCCTGCTCTCACTCGCCGGGGTAGACGCTCGCGACGGAACTGGCAGCGGACCGTAGTGTAGCGGATGTATGGGCGCATACGCAAAGTCGCGCACTAAGGCATATGGCAAGCTAGAATGGAAAAGTGGAAAGACATGCGAAACGGGTCGCGACCGATGCTGAGATGTTTGTGAGACAGTAGAGTATACTGATAGACGCTCCCTAGCACTAGAAGATATGCGTCGCATCGGCGGGAGKCTAGAAGGCGTGTCTGTAGCGATGGGAGGAAGCGCGGGGTTCACGGCACGAGTGGCGGCAGCGTTGGGCTGGGGCGAGGTTGTCGTTGTTGTTGCCATGATGTGACTCTGTTTGCGAATCGAGGTCGCAAGATATATCTGAAAGAAGAAAAGTAGACGGCGACGCTAATACGGATCCTCCACTTCTACCAAGAATTGCATATCGAAAAGTCAACAAACCGTCAACATGCAGTGGATAATTAGTCGCAATTAAGCGCTCTCGACGATGTTCTGCCCTGCTCGTCTTGTGTTGTTGCGCAAGGATACCAAATCCCGGACTCGACGCTCTTTCGAGTTCCCACCTTTATCCAAGTTGATTAGACACAGTATGATGTGCTGCACAGATGTGATGTACACGGAGAAACCACAGGCTGACACGACCAGCGCAGTCGCAGCCTTGCGAGCGAGAAACACAAACAGCGCACTCTCTGTCTCTGCAGAGCGGTAATCAAATCAAATGAACAAGCAAAGACAAGATTAAAACACAGAACCAATAGGTATGCAACGAAGAAGAAAATTGAAACAGTATACTGGATATGTGTCCAGGAGAGAAGCAGACACAAGACAAGGAGCGTAGTGAGTAATATGCTGATAATTGGATTATTATTGTGCCGCCAGAAGGATTGTCAAATGGCAACGGGGTCGGTTTGGATTTAGTGCATAAGATTGGACTGCTAATTATAGCAAAGCGGTCTGTTGCACTAGAGGAGGGGGTTTGCCAGGCTGTTTTGTACACAATAGATATAAGTATAGGCTGAAGAAATGTTGGCAGAGAGGAAACAAGGCGAGGATAGAAAGAGGAAGAGAATATTATTGTAGCACAGTGTTCGCAGAGGTTGAGGCAAGAGAAAGAAGACGGGATTGACTGTTCGCGATCGGAAAGAGAGGGCTGCCATTGGACGCGCGGGGGGAAAGAGGCTACCGGGAGACGGCCAATCAGACTGCATACTTTGATATGTTTCGAGTTGTAGTACGAGTCTACCTATGGCTATTCTTGGTCTACACTTACTACGTAGTATTCCTTTTGTGTTTTGGAGATTTGTGACAAACATCAGATCATGCCGATTCACCTGATTTATATACTACCTAGTATACTATGTATAATCAACAAGCGCCAAGCGTACCAATCCAACTCGCTGCTGAGGATATCTGATCTCATCACGTGATCTGCAGGCTAATTTGGCGTGTTTCAGGCATGCATGCACTGCATTGTTAGCCGCGGTAAGGCAGTCCTTACTCCTTACTGGTTCGCGAGATCTATCTCAGGGTCTGGAATCTTCAACCGCTCTTTCTGCCCACGCAGCCATTCGATCGCTTGTGCCTTCGTCTCGTTTCTGTCGCCATAGTCGGCCTCATGGTCGAACTGCCATTCCAGCAGTGCTTTCATGACGCCGTTCATGAATGCACCGCTTTTTCGCAGCCGGAAGATTGTTTTGATATCGCTTCCGTTCAGGATTTGAGGCATCGAGTGTACGTCTTGCAGTCTTTGCTCGAGGACAAATTGCAAGAAAATCGAATAGCGATTCAAGAAGTCTTCTGTTCTCGACTTGGCTGAAAGGATATCCGTCAAGAGGGTGAATAGGACTTGGAGTCTCCAGGTCTTACCCCACGACCGTATGGGTTTTCCAACTGTGCTTCGTCTTAGACTCTCTTTGTTGTTGCAATCAACGACAAGGTCGATAGTCGATCGGATTTCCTTCATATTGTTCAAAGAGCCTTCTAGTAATTTTGTCATTTCGTTTGTAGATCTGATTGCCTTGATTGCCGGCTTGACGACTGGAAAGGGGGGAGTATCTTGTGGCTGACAGAGCAGCGCAAGCGGACACCATAAGGCCACCTGCCAGACCAGTTCAATATCTTGTGACTGCGCCAGTTCGATGGCCACGATATTCTCGTTGTCCGTCGACAACAGTTGTGATACAGTCTTGCAAGCATCCGGCCACGCTAGTGGCCACACATACTCATCCTTATCTGCTGCCCACTGCTCTGCTTCAGATGCCTCACTCTCCTTCAACCTATCCAAAGCACCCTTCTGCTGCTCCCCCAAAAATACAGGCTGATAAAGTCTCAATCTGTGAATCCAAAACAACGCAGTAACCGGATCCGGCCCAGTAACCATCTTCTTCAACTCCAATCCAATCCGCTCCGGACTGATTCTCGTACTTATCAAGCCTTGAATCTCCGGATCTTTTATCGCCTGCTGCGTATTACCCTCATCAATCGTAAAGCCAAGCGTACTCGCAAGTCGCGCAAACCTCAAAATCCGCAACGGATCATCCGTAAACGTAACGTGCGCATCAAGCGGCGTCCTCAGCACTCTCGCCTCCAGATCTTGCAGTCCTTTCTGCGTATGATCCTCAACTTGTTGGTAGTCAAGATCATAAAAAATCGCATTCACCGTCGCATCCCTCCGATACGCATCCTCTTCCGCCAACGACCCAAACTCTCTCCCCACCACCTGCTTCGGATGTCCATCTGGCTGAAGATCCTTCTCCGTCCTCAAATTCACAAAATCAATATCCAGACCAAAAATCTTGGCACTCGTTGTCTGTAGATGTTTGCCCTTTTTCGGATTTCGGTCGATTTCATAGAATCCTCTGATCTCAGCTGGGATGCCGGATTTGGTGGCTTGGATTCTGTAGATGTCGCCTTTCGTCTTTGGCTTGTTTTCGTCATCATTATCTGATGTCGATGCCGATAATTCGGCTGGGGGTGGTTCAGATGAAAGAAATTCTCTTAAATGATTCGCAAACTCAGGCCCGGTCATGATACTCATGGCCACGTCAATGTCGCAACTTTGCTTTCCAAGGAGTTTGTCGCGTACCCAGCCGCCGACGAACCACATGGCGCCTGCATCTTGATGGCTGCCTGGAGTCGATGCGAAATGATCGCGACAGTCGAGGAGGAGAGTTCGCAAGAGTTGTTCTGCGGGTAAGAGGTCAATCTGAGTTGTGCTTGGTGTTGTCGTTTTGACATTGTGTTGATTTATATCTGGAATGTTGTAAGCCTTGACTTAGTGATCAACAACTTTGATAGAAGTAATACCTTGATCAGCTAACTTGACCTTTTTATTCGGTGGCTCGGGAGTATTGATCTCCTTTTTTGTATCCATGATAATGCAGTGTCAATAATCAGATCTCTTTATATAGACGGTCCGATGCGCGTCCAATTCATTCACGTATTGACGATCTGCCCGCCCCTCTATAACTCGAAAGAAAAAATATGATGCGGCAAGGTTGGCTGTGGAGTCATTAATCCAATTGACTCAACTCAAGGGATGGTCATAAAGAACCGAACCATTGTATAACGTTGAGATGAGATTATGCAACGAAGGAAATAGTGGAAAGTGGAGGTTGAAAAGAACTAAAAAACTGTGTTCATCGCAGATCAACGACGTAAGCATGCAGGCTACCCACGACGCATTATGTATTGCCCAGTACGAAACAAATAATATACACTCATAATGATTCAGATGAATTTCTATTAATGCAACTATATGGGTATAAAAAGCAAGAAAATCAGACTCCGTTAATGCAAGTAGGCCATCCCCCATCCAGCTCAGCAAAAAGCCCTCAGAGAATGAATGAAGAAAAATAGAAAAAATAAGGTAGTTGAAACCCAAGCAAGAAGTTACTTTTCAAGAATTGAAACCATCGTCGTCGTCGTCGTCGTCGTCCAAAGCAAGAATCCTCCGTCGAGCCAATGACCCTGTGGAACGAGCTTGTGGTTGAGAAGGAATGGTCGATGTGACTGTTACGGTCACTGTCTCGACGATACACTCACCGCCGTTTCCAAGGTCAACTGAATGAGTCGGGTTTGTAGGTGATACAGAAGCTACGATGGTAGCAGCAGGAGCACCAGAGCCGACGGTCGCAGCAGCGGTCGCAGCGACACCAGCAGGCATAGTACCAGCAACGGTATGAGTACTCAGGGCCAATGTAGCTAGTACCGAAGGAACAGCAGATGCACCCTGGGCAGCAGCGACAGGAGAACTGACCCCCTTGGCGAGAAGCGAAACAGCAACACTATAAGAGATAGAAGCAGTAATATTGACTGGCGCGGTAGCGGTCACCTTCGGCACAGTCGGTGCAGCAGAGAGACTCTCGAATACAGACTGTATAGCAGCCTCGCCGTAATTTGTGATTGACACGAAAGACACGCTTTTACTACCGCTATCAGACACGACTGCGCCTGTATCTCCGACCGTCTTAGCGTCGGCAATCGTCACATCTATACATGTCGTATAGAGTTCGGGCAGAGTGACAGTGCCGCTGCCATCCATTGTGGACCAATCCCAAACCCAGTACAGAGTATAGTCCTTCCCGACATCCAAGTCATTTGGTAACAGAACGTCAGTCTGACACCACAGATTTGCTCCTTGAAAAGAACCAGTCTCTGCTACGCGATGAAACTGCGTTTGTCGCTCCTCGGATATGTAGCCGATGTTTATCTGGTAGCATTGTCCATCATCAAAGTATTGACTCGTCAGTAGGCGGCCTCGTCCGTCACCTCCTTTACCATCGAGCGTCCATTGACCGTGGATACCGAGCAGAGTGTCGTCCTCTTTGGGCTGAGAAGTGCCATATACATATACGACACCACTGTTTACGGGTTTCCCGGGCTTGGTCCACGGTGTGGTAACATGTCCATTCTCCTGATACCGTAAAGCCATGTTTGCGCCTGGATATGCCTCTAGTTTTGGAAGACTGCTGTCGGTGTAGTTGGAAGTTTGCTGTGACGGTCTGCATATGCGCATGCTGTCGTTGAGTTGGCTCGCTTGGTTTTCAGGTAGTTGCCACTGCATGTTCGTGTCGTCAAATCCTGGGGCAGTGCGTAAGATCATGCCTCGTGGATAACCAGTAATGCCTGTGAAGCTGCCGTTGGGAGAGAGAAGAGATAAAGCTTCGACCCAGCTGTGTGCGTGAGCTAGGGAAGCGAGAGTCATGACCAGCACGAGGGAGGATTTGATGACCTGCATCTCGTTTCGTGTAGGTGCGTCGTCAAAGCGAATGTTCGATAAAGAATGAGTGTAGATATCTAACCAGCAGATATCTCGATGTGTAGTCACAAGGAAGGAGAGAAAGACTGCAGAAGAAAGAATGCAAGATGCAAGAGCCTAAGAATATAAAGGAAGACTAATGCAGGCGTGGAAAAGTAGGCGATTTGCAGAAATTTCTACCCGACGACGTGCGCAAGGAAGGAAAGCGTAGTCAGAAATTTCCCAGTCACAGATCTTGGCGGGTCATGGCGCCCTATTGTGAGTAGTATTGTCGAGACATGTGAATAGAGCGAATAGGGCGTTGATATGATACATTCAACATGACTATTATTCTTGTCATTATTGTAGGGTGTCGCCTGAAATTCTGAATAGCCTGATTGACGCGGCCTGGCCTGGACCTTGGCCTGAAAGTTGCATGTCCAATCTCCGTTCTTGAGATGATTGGACATGGCACAGGCGCCAGGAATATGGAGGCCTTCATTTGAAGAGAAGTAGAAAGCTTAGCCCTTGGCTTTGGTGAAACGACATCCTATCAGTCCAAAGTAGAAAGGTGGAGTGGAGATAAAACGTGGAATGCAGGGTAGGCAATTCAAACAATCTGATAACCGATTGACGCTAGTAGCCGCTCGTTTCACATCTGGCACAGGCCATGTTTCGCTCTACGGCGACAGGGACATGGGTATATAGACCTTGATTTGTCCTTGGCTTGGTTCAAGTTGGTTGAATCATTTTCCATTCTTATTGATGGAGTAATTCTTCGTGCCGACGTTCTTCGCAAATACTGTTCCTACAACATACCTTTCCCCAAAAAGAGTCACTTTGGCAGTCACGATTAATTCACTCTGCTAGCAAGCAAGATCAATGACTCTTCGTGGTACTGTGTCAATTTTTGACAACGGAGGCCATTCTACTGTTCTGATTGACTGTGACCTTTCGATTGTGTCAGTCGAAGAATTGCATAATAGAGAGATGGTCTTCTGATTGGCCAGTCGGGGGATTTCAACGCGAGATCATGGATATGCGCTCTCGGCCAATCAAGTACCCGTGTCTATAATAGTCCGACACACTTGTTCTTGGGAGAGTCTTTGCGTTTTGGATTGGGATATCTAGTTTGATGAATCAAGCTTCCCGTATTGAACAAGACTGTAATAGGGGACTATCCGTGTTCGGGATATTGCCTGGTAAAAGACTATTCTTCAGTCTTGGTGACATAAAAGATCACAAATCCCAAGGATCCCAAGCTACGACAGACAAAGAGCACGGTTTGACCAGAAATGGCTACTCTGTCACAAGTCGGCAACAACGAAATGAAAGAGATTGCAAGCTGAAAGTAAAGGCGGGGTCGGCCTTAATAAGTAAATATCACGGTAGTATTTTCTAAGCCCCTCTATCAAGCCTGACTGATAAGCCTTCCCGCGATAAAATCGCAACGTCCTTGATATAGATTTGAAGTATTTTGGTGTAGTAACCGAGCGCGTGTCCGAGTTTTCTAAACATCTTTCAATGCTTCAATCTTTTAGTGTTCTTCCCCGACACACCATCGGACTCTTGGACACAGCTGAACTGCCTGAACAAAGACTCCGAAAAACCCGGGTAATCTTCCACGTGGATGATCTCGTGTTCGCTTGTAGGCAATACACATCTATAATGCGTATCATTAGTCAGAGAGAAAGTGAAAGCGTCAAAACCCGAGTAGGACAATAGAAAGAGCCGTTGAGTCTTTGTTCTGTTTGGTTTGTTTGGTTGTTTGGCTGAATAAGAAGATTCAATCCGTCCTTCCTTGTCAGGCTTAGCGTAGGATCCTTCGACACGCTATCTCCTAAACAGGACTAGACAGCCCGAGAGAAACTCTCTGACCGCTTTCCAATCCGGGCCAGACTGTGGCCAACCCAGAAACCAGATGGCATGGACGTTGCTTGTCTGGTGGTTCGATCGATGTGCATGTTTGGCAAGAACTGGTTCAGAATATCGGTGATATCAGCTGAAGATCAAATGATCCGGCAGTTCAACCTCCGCTGACTAACTCTATCAGCCAAACGTCAGAACTACCATGTAGTAGACTGCCCCCACTGCATACGACTAAGCACTAACGCTTATCGCTGTGATCTGATGCAACTAAAGACATGCCAGTTCCTCATAGGTCAGGGCTTGGGAATAAGCTTATCCTGGCTGTTTTGTTAATGGATGACCGATGTCCGATATCACCAAAATGGATTCCGATTGAGTTAGTCAGTAGAATGCATACCTGTGAGTGATACTCTACTATGTATGAGTCTATCTACTAGATAGTTTGCACACAGACACTACGTAAAAATAGTTTACCAGACGATCGCTGGCTAGCGATCACAATGGCACATCTATCGAGTCACTTCTGGCCAACGCAGATAAGTCCCAAGAAAACACCAGTCAATATACTCGTCTTGCGCATTGGTACTCGATCACCAGGTGATCGAGTTCTTATGATATAAGCATTTATTCAGAGATTCTTTGTCTCGAGCTTTGTGTGAATGGAGTTGAAGCTGGTTCACCCGGAGTCCGACCTAAGCTAAGCCATCCGCGCTTGCCCCGATCAGGAACCAACAAAAAAAGGTTGGCCCCCCCGAAAATAATTAATCCATCCCCAGGCTACCTCTTTTCCTTGTTTTAGCACGCTCACCGTCAACTTGCCCGTTCGATCTGTTGTTGCGTTGTTCGCTTTTTGCTTCAACATCTTCTGAGTCTATACAACGCCGGTGCTTTTCACCAAAGTACCTTACCTGTTGTTGTGAAGGCGTGGGAATTGAAGAAAGAGTGTGAGTACCTTCCATGTTTCGAGGTTCCCCCTTTCTCTGAGCGATGATGTACCGGGGTACCTCCCACCACCATACACACCACCCTGGAAAGAGCATTTTGCATGCCGAACACCTAAGAGAAATTGTGCCAATCTTTTCTGGATTATGTTTTCAAGTCTCGCTACTCAATTCTAGTGGCAATGGCACTTGCCGTTCATTCAATTGACCTCCTGGCTATCATGGCGGTGTACCGAAACTGACGTGCTTCAATCTAGTCATTCACAAATACCCTGGCTTATACACGCAATCCTTTCTCCATGTCGAACCAGTAATTCAAACGTCCGATACAAATTCTTCCTTCGAGCTATCATCCTTCGCACGTCGTTGTGAGCTGACGTTCAAGGGGTAATTCGCCACTTGAACAAAATCCACCCGCGCGCCGCAATGGCTTCTTTCATCCCCCGTCAGTTTCGCGCAAGCTCGCAGGATGAAGCACCTGAACCCAGCTGGTTGAGAAACAAGATTACCGGTACTCTACAATCTGTAGCTCGTCGTGCCTGCGCTCATCCCATCCATACAATTGGTGTCATCGCTCTTCTTGCCAGCACCACCTACGTTGGACTTCTCGAAGGAAGTATCTTTGATTCCAAAAGTGGATCTGGGCAACTAGATCCTGCTTCCTTGTTGCACGGCAGCCGTAACTTGCGTCTTGGAGAACAGACTGCCTGGAGATGGCAGCTGGAGGATAAAGTGGCCTCTGATCCTAGCGAGGTATGTTTATCTATGGTTGTTGGCTTCATGTGCTGACAAGTCGCATAGATTTCCCAGCACTTGGCCCTGACTACCTTTATCTTTTCCGATTCAACTTCGACCAACACTCCCGCCATTGATGACATTATCATCCCAGAAAATGTCTCTGCCATCCACGTTCCGCAAACCCCTAACCTCTTTTCTTCCTTCTTGCGTGACTCCTCCGTCGCTCTCGCGGTTCCATACAACGAACTCCCGGACCTTTTGCGCGCGGTGCAGGAAATCAACGACCCATCAACCGAAGATGATGGACAGGAGGCCCGTAAGTGGATCATGAAGGCTGCTCGAGGAGAGGGATCTCGCCGTGCTCTGAAGCTTTACGTCTCTGACGCTTGGAGCTCTTTGGTCGATTTGATCAAGGTACGTTCATTTCTTCGATTCAAAGAAACGTGCTAACTATATGCAGCATGCCGAAACCATTGACATTGTCATTATGACATTGGGCTACATCTCCATGCATCTTACCTTTGTGTCGCTCTTCCTCTCAATGAGACGACTAGGTTCGCAGTTTTGGCTTGCCTTTTCTGTTCTCCTCTCCAGCGTCTTTGCTTTCTTATTCGGTCTTTTAGTCACCACAAAGATGGGCGTTTCAATCAACATGCTGCTACTTTCCGAAGGTCTCCCGTTTCTAGTTGTTACGGTCGGTTTCGAAAAGCCCACACTCCTCACCAAAGCAGTCTTGTCAGCATCGCTGAAGAACAAGGCTGTTGCCAATGGTAACAGTCGCACTTCCAGGTCTATTCAGGACTCCATTGAGACGGCTATAAAAGAAGAGGGCTTTAATATCGTCCGGGACTACCTTATTGAAATCACTGCCTTGGTAATTGGTGCTGTCTCTGGAGTGCACGGTGGTCTTCGCCAATTCTGCTTCCTTGCCGCCTGGATCTTGTTCTTCGACTGCATTCTATTGTTCACATTCTATACTTCAATCCTCCTTATCAAGCAAGAAGTCAATCGCATCAAGCGTCATGTTTCCATCCGAAAGGCCCTCGAAGAGGACGGTGTTTCTCGCCAAGTTGCTGAAAACGTGGCTGCTAGCAATGACTGGCCCCGGGCGGATTCCAGCAATAGCAAGGACGGCAAGACTGGCACACTTTTTGGCAAGAAAGATCAGGCTGGCAGCGTTTCAAAATTCAAGCTTTTCATGGTTGGAGGTTTTGCATTGGTTAACGTGATCAACCTAGTGTCCATTGGTTTCAGACAACCCGACCAGGAGAACTCTCTTCCCGTTTTGTCGAGATTCTCCAGCGTGCTCGCTTCGGCTCCTATTGACCCCTTCAAGGTCGCGGACAACGGTTTGGATTCTATCTATGTAACTGCCAAGAGCAACAAGATGGAGACCTTGGTTACCGTGCTGCCACCCATCAAATACAAGCTTGAATTCCCCTCAGTTCACTACGCAGATTCTGAGCACGGCGGCAACTTTGATATCGAATACTCCGAACAGATTCTTGACGCCGTTGGTGGAAAGGTCTTGGAAAGTCTTTTGCGAAGCGTCGAGGACCCCGTAATAAGCAAATGGATTATTGCAGCCTTGACTCTTAGTATTGTTCTCAACGGTTACCTGTTCAATGCCGCCAGATGGGGCATCAAAGAACCCGAGACCGAAGCTCCCAAAGTCGCTCCTGTCGTCGAAGCTCCTAAAGTCTTTGTCGAGTATAAGGATGATGGCAAGAAGCGAACAAAGGAAGAAGCTGAGGCTTTGGTGAAGGAGAAGAAGGCTTCATTGTTGAATGATGAAGAACTCATTGAATTGTCATTGCGCGGTAAAGTCCCTGGCTATGCTCTTGAAAAGACCATGACCGACCAGCCTATCATGTCTCGTGAGGACGCTTTTGTCCGAGCTGTCAAAATTCGACGCGCCGTCGTTTCACGCACTCCTGCAACTGCAGCCGTTGCCAGCAATCTGGAAACATCCCTTGTACCATACAAGGACTACAACTATACTCTTGTTCACGGAGCATGCTGTGAAAACGTAATTGGATATCTTCCTCTTCCTCTTGGTGTTGCTGGACCGATGGTTATTGACGGACAAAACTATTTCATTCCTATGGCTACTACTGAAGGTGTCTTGGTTGCTAGTACTAGTCGAGGTGCTAAAGCGATCAATGCCGGTGGTGGTGCGGTTACTGTGGTCCATGGCGATGGCATGACTCGTGGTCCTGGTGTCAGCTTCCCTACACTGGTTCGAGCTGCTGAAGCTAAGACCTGGCTTGACTCCGAAGAGGGAGCAAGCGTTATGAGAACCGCCTTCAACTCAACTAGTCGTTTCGCCCGTCTTCAGCACCTCAAAACAGCTCTGGCCGGTACTAATCTTTACATCCGATTCAAAACCACGACCGGTGACGCCATGGGTATGAACATGATTTCCAAAGGTGTCGAAAAGGCACTTGAAGTGATGGCTACTGAATGTGGATTCGACGATATGAACGTCATTTCCTTGTCTGCCAACTACTGTACCGATAAGAAAGCCGCTGCTATCAACTGGATTGATGGTCGTGGTAAGTCCGTTGTTGCCGAGGCCATCATTCCTGGAGATATTGTCAAGTCCGTTTTGAAGAGCAGCGTCGACGCCATGGTGGAACTCAACATTAGCAAGAACTTGATTGGAAGTGCCATGGCTGGTAGTCTTGGTGGTTTCAACGCTCATGCATCCAATATCGTTACTGCTATCTTCCTGGCCACAGGACAGGATCCTGCCCAGAATGTAGAGAGCAGTAACTGTATCACACTTATGAAGAAGTATGTCCCTCTTTTCTTGAATTATCAAGCATATACTAACTCGTACTAGTCTTGATGGAAACCTCCACATCTCCGTATCCATGCCATCCATCGAAGTCGGCACAATCGGAGGTGGTACTATCCTCGAGGCTCAGTCTGCCATGCTCGAAATGCTCGGTGTCCGAGGACCTCATCCCACCAACCCAGGTGAAAACGCCCGTCAATTGGCTCGCATTGTTGCCGCTGGTGTTCTGGCGGGTGAGCTCAGCTTGTGCGCTGCTCTTGCCGCTGGACATCTTGTCAAAGCACATATGGCACACAATCGCAGCGCAGCACCCAGTGCGGCGCCAACACGCTCTTCAACTCCTGTCTCGGCCGCAGTCGGTGCTGCAGCTGCACGATCTAAAGCAGGGTTGAGTATGACTACGACTGGTAGATAATCTGCCGATGAAGCATGCATATATGATACTCGATCAACGAAGTGAGGTCTTGAAAAATTGAAGCTATTGATTGCCTTCGAAAAAGGACGATCTTCACATAGAATGGCGTTTCTTGTTCATTTGCTTCTTTTGTATGGGTTTTCGCCCAAGTTAATGACAGTCATATTGATACTGATACACCATTATATTATAGAAAATGATTACTCATTTCTGGTCTGATGTTACTGTAGCTGGGTTGGCTTACAATTTAGCCGACAAATTCTCATCCCCAAACACAATCTTTCGATCCCAGACACTTTCCGCCCTCCAATCTTGAGATGCGTCCCGTGTAGTATAAATCCACCTTGACATGACCTCTTTCGCAACCGCATCCCCATCTCTGACCGCATCATGAATCAACAGACACCCACAAACCAACCAATCAATATCCCTCAGATAGTCCCTCCCTCGCCATGCCAATTCCTCTTTATCCTTTGACCGCAAATCTTTCAGTATCTGCCCCGCCGCCGTCCTCAACCTACTCGCTTCTGCCTTCAACCCAGCCGACTCCGCAGCACGAAACGAATTCGCAAGCCACTCCTCGAAGATATCCAGCACTTTTTCTCCGTCTTTCCCTCTCTTCACAACACGCACAAAATCATCAGCCATGATATCCGTCGTCCCCTCCCAGATCGCAAGCACATTACAATCCCTGAACAATCGCGCAATGTTCAGTTCCGGATCCTCGTTCTCGAGATACCCGACCCCTCCCAGGGACTCCATGCACGCCCTGAGACCATTTATTGCACTTAGAGCCGTTTGGKCTTTGGCGATGGGCGTGAGGAGGCGGTAGAGTGCGTTTATGCGGTTTACGTCTTGCGGTAGGATACTCGATGCCGCCGCTGCGGATGTATCTTTTGATCCCTCGGATCGACCGAGCAGCGCAGCAATGAAAAACGATAAATGCATATGAGCTGTATACCTGACATGCTCCTGTGCCAACCCTCTGACGTGCGCTGGAACATCGCAAAGCAGTTTTCCGCCGACGCTCCTGACTCTAGCGAATGCGCGACTGACTGCCAGTCCACGACCCCAGGCGCCCACCGAGGAGATTATATTTTGCATGCGCGTTATGTTTAGGATGTGTGAGATCTCCTTAACGCCCTGACCCTGCTGGCCGATTAGGAAGCCGCGCATACCTTTTATCTCGAGTTCGGCGGTTGGAAGGGCCTTTGTACCGAGTTTGTTTTTGAGGCGTTGAATCTTGATTCCATTGAGCTCTGTTTGTGCGGTGGTATTGTTAACTCTTCGTCGCAATGGTGCGTAGAAAGCGCTGATTTGGTTGTCGCCTGTCTTGGCGAGGAGGATGGTCATGTTTGCGTCTGTTGCGGAAGAGAACCATTTGAATCCATCGATGCGCCAGGGGCCGAGGGGTTGGCCGTCTGCATCTAAGCCGCTATCACGGGCTTGTTCAGAGGATAATCGAATAGCGATGGTCTCTGTACCGCGAACATCGCTTCCTCCTTTCCGCTCAGTCATCCACTGCCCACTCGTCCACGCGTACCCATTCTCGCGACTGATCAGTCTCTCTCGCGCGCGTTTGAACACCTCATTCGTCTCAGAGTTGTCATTAAGATGCTTGCCCAACAACTTCGCAGCCCCATCAGTCATCGCACTGGGACAAGTCACAATCCCTGAACTTCCGCTCCAGATATGGTACTTGACAAACTGACTAATTCTCGGATTCCATCCTTCGTTACCGTCCCTCTCATATGCAAGCGCAACAATACCCTCCTGGATACCGATCTCTTGTAATCGTCTCCATCCCTCGCTTGTAACTAAGGGATCATCTCTATTCTCCTCCCCGAACGAAGTCAACGGTTTCAGGTAAGGGAGATTTTTTTCTGCGTCAGCGACGTAGCCCAAGACATGTTTGGAGAGGACTAGTCGCGAAAACCGCAAAAGATCATCTGATATTGAGGAGGGTGTTGGCGTGGGGAGATGAAAGTTGATGATTCGGCTGAGAGCGCGATCTTCGAGGTACTGCGGCGGTATTGAGGGATGGGCTTGGAAGAAGCCTTTTGTTGCGCTTGATGGTTCCATGTTTGCAATATATTACATTGGTAGTGATTATGTATGGAGTGGGATTGTGGATATCACTGTAGCTCCAGGTCTGGTTGTTATGTACGTAATTATAGAGCAGCACCATAAGACATGGGCTCGAGCCTTTGTACTGTAACCGTAGAGTGCCTCGGCATGTGATAGTTTGGGATGACCTCAGCTCTCCCCGCGAATTCAAAGCCCGCTGAACGCTAAACCAATTGAACTTGAGGTTGTCAACGTAGCTTACTCATAGTGTTACACACCACTTTTCTTTTGTATGGACGATGTCGAATAACTATTTCTTGTACATGCTACTACGTAGTGTCTCATTGGCACAGGAGACCTCTGGCACATGTCCGTCGCAGCAGCGGTCTCACCGGTACTCAAGGAACCGTAGTCAGAGAAGAACTGATCTACACAACAGTCTACCCGTCCTCCGTGTTGCTTATTCATTCGAGAGGTGAAGTTGAGAGACCAACATTGATATCGCTGTAACCCTAACCTTTATTGAGCTAGATCTAAATAGGCATAGCGTGGAACCTGACAAGCGGAAAACCGTCGAATTTTGTACCACAACAAAACTTCCTTTCTTCCAAGCTCTTCCTTCCATCATCATCATCATCATCCTCAAAGTCTCTGCCGACACCACCTGTGCGCGGCTTCTGGCTTGAGGTAATGGTGTGAGAAATGCAAATTCCTTGCAAGGTATGTACTATTATTTACTCTCTCATAATATTTCTACCTTAATGATGAACCTCAATTATTGGAGCTGTCTTAGCTTTTGCAATGCTGATAGCTTTTATTATTACGCAACTTTACTGATCCTTCTTGTCGCTTATTATTCTATGAAAGTCTTTTCTCGTTTGATTTGAACTGTGCTAATCTCTCTTACAAGAGCTAGGGCTCTGCGAGTGCCAGTTTTCAACCCTTGCATCCTCCTTGATAACGGGTCTTGTGCTGTGAAACGAAAGACAGTAAAACAAGAATTCAGATATTTGAAATGGCTACCGATCCTCAACCCCAGCTTGAGACGGTAGTCGTACCTACCCCCGAGATGCTCTATGCAACGGAAGCAGATTCCACCGACGCGTCACAACTAACCATCCCAGAACAGCGTGACGATGCCTCTGCAACCGCAGAAGCAAAAGCAGAGGAAGGACCGTCATACAAACTCAAATTCTGCACTGTTTGTGCATCAAATAACAACCGCTCCATGGAAGCACATTTACAGCTGTCGCGTTCATATCCGGTCATCTCCTTCGGGACAGGATCATTAGTGCGTTTGCCAGGTCCCTCGATCACGCAGCCTAATGTTTTCAACTTCGACTCTACGTCGTATAATCACATGTACGAGGATCTTTACAATAAGGATCAGCGTTTGTATCGCAATAATGGAATTTTGAATATGCTTGACCGCAACCGAAACCTGAAATGGGGTCCGGAGCGATTCCAGAACTGGGTACCGGGTCAACCGCGCCTGGACCACATTGCCAAAGGCGATAAAGGAAGTCTGGGCACTGAAGCCGGCGTTGTCGATGTCATCATCACTTGCGAGGAGAGATGTTGGGATGCGGTTGTCGATGATTTACTCAATAGAGGCTCACCATTGAATCGGCCCGTGCATGTGTTTAATGTTGACATCCGTGATAATCATGAAGAGGCCTTGACGGGTGGGAAAGCTATACGTGATTTGGCTGATAGGCTGAACACGGCGGCTAATGAGGAGCGTCAATTGTATGACGACCCTGATTCATGGGATAGAGGTGCTAGTGAAGCGAGACAAAGCTTTGATGAGAAAGTTCCGGAAATTCTTGGTGCGTGGCAGGAAAAGCATCCTAATCTGCCGGCGCTATGGACATTGTCGTGGTTTTAGATTGTCTAGCGGTTATACCCAATTGCCATTTCATTTCTTCCTATACTAATTCCATATATCTATGATGCCGTAGCTGATGCAATCATTACTTTATAAATTTCTCTTATATCTCTGGTGTTCTGTGTTGAGTGCTTAGTACGGAGCTGTCTTATCTCCGCCTGCCTTCCGATAACAACATAGCTCCTCACTTCCCCTCATCTTTTCACATTTCGAGAACCTGCAAGAAATACCTCGTCTACTCTGTCGCTTGCTACTTGGAGTATACATACCATCAAGAATATACAGAACGATTCTACGATGACTTCACAAAATGAATTCACGTTCGTCCCCGCGTTGATCGTGGTAGACATGCAAGAGGACTTTTGCCCACCAGTACATCTTCCAACACGACTCCTCCAGACACCTACCCAACTAACACACCCATAATAGAACGGATCCCTCGCCGTCGAAGGCGGCCGCGCAATCGCTCCCCTAATCAACAACCTCCTCAATCTCCCCGCCTTCGCAATCCGCATCGGAACCCAAGACTGGCATCCATCCGACCACATCTCCTTCGCCTCAAACCATCCATCCCCGCACAACAAACCCTTCGAATCATTCATCGACATGACCAACCCAGCCCCCGGGAAACAGCACGAAACAAAGTCTCAACGCCTCTGGCCCGTTCACTGCGTTGCCTCTACAAAGGGCGCAGAAATCATTCCCGAGATTGCGCAGACCAACAAACTAGACGTACTAGCGAAGAAGGGAATGGATACGAGAGTTGAGATGTACTCGGTGTTTAGCGACGCGTTTCAGAACATGGATCCTGCGCTTCACCATAGATCGGTTGATGTAGATGTTACCGCCGTGCTGAAGCAGCGCGGTGTCACAGACGTGTTTGTCGTTGGTCTCGCGGGGGATTATTGTGTTAAGTATACGGCGATCGATGCTGTGAAGGCGGGCTTTAGGAGTTATGTGGTTGAGGATGCGGTCAGGTCGGTGGATCCGGGCGAAGGGTGGAAGCAGGCGCTTAGGGAGTTTGATGAGGTTGGGGTTAAGGTTGTGAGGAGTAATGGTCCGGAGGTTGGGAGGGTGAGGTCGTAGTATTCTTGAATTTATTATTCTGTTTTGATATTCTGAGGTGTATTACGAGCGGAATACCACGATGGTGTATAGCGTTCCTCGAATTGGTCATCATAGCTTATCAATTGCTTGTACGAGTCACTGCTATGAAGTTTTGATCTCATAATCCCTTCGTGTCCAATGGTTCCGATATAATGGCCTTGGGCATAGAATGAATGTAACTTATCGCCGATACGAAGCAACATACCCCACCGCATCGCCTACATATGCCTATTTTCTTGTCCACCTCACCATATAAACGCCAGCACATATTTCTCCTCCAATTCAATCTCGCATACATATTGATTTCCCACGCATAAAGTCATAGACAGAGATTATACAGCAATTCTATATTCACAAAAGAAAAAGAAGAAACATGTCCGCCGAAACATTCACAGCCATCGACGAAAAGCTCTCCAATCTAGATCCATCTACCACCACCAACACAGAATCCGTCCTACCTACAACCATCGACAATGAACCATTACCATTCTGGCTCGTGAACGTACCGCGCGATCAATGGCCGGCGTCATGTCCTGAGTTTCTCAAGGAGCAATCCGATAAGAACATAGGGATACTGGCTACGCCGGACGAGGAGTATCAATGGATTGGCTGGGAGAGGGTTAAGGAGTTAGTTCGTTCGTACTACCTACCTTCTATATATCTTTCAAAGGAGCATGCTGATAGTAGTTAGAAACGAATGAGATCGGGAAATTCCAACGTCTACCGTCCGATTTGAGGAGGTATCTGGAATACATGTTCCATCTAAAGCAAAAGTATGGCTCAATTATGGACTTTGTGGTTTCTGAGAGATTACATTGGAATCAAGAAGGGGGTTTGCAGCCGCGAGGGGAGCCGTTTGAATTTGATGGTACAGTTTCCGCCTTCCTTGACAAGAAACTCTTGCTAATTGTTTCCCCGGGAAGATGATCTCAAGATTCTGTTTAATGATTGGCCATACGGTCTCGAGAAAGGGATTGTCCATCTAGTCATCTGGACCAAGTTTGAGCTTGAAGAAGATCCTGCTACAGGCCTTTTGACGGAGTCTATGTGGAAGAAGATTGAAGATTATGTTGAGAGAGTCTTTCGCTCTCATATACCCGCTGATCAGGTACGTTTGAACTTGTGGTGGTAGTTGGACAGTGCTAATGTTAGTCTTCACAGGTGGTGTGGTTCAAGAATTGGAAGTCTCTCAAGTCTATACATGCGATTGAGCATTTCCACGTGATGCTTAATCATCCAGACCCTGAATTTATCAAGGAGATCACGAACGGGGATGTTCCCTTGGTAGAGAAGGTGACGCAGGGAAGGGCTCTGTGAGAAATCTTGTCTATTGTTCGTAGACCTTTCGGGTCAGCCAGACGTTCAGTTGTCGAATTTGCCGTTTGTTCTAGATAGATATAGAAACATTTTTCATTTTGCATTCACGGGTCGGAGAGGTACTGGTTGGAAGACAAGGACAGTCAACCCAATACGAATACGACTGTAAATATCAGGGAATCACTGATAGATTAAGTTGTACGCATATTTAGATCAAGCTGAGGTGAAACGCGGATAGTGGAGTCCATATGCGTCAATGCTTCTCCATGAAGACCGCTTGGCGCGTAGACAGTCGTTTCTCAGCGAATGATCCAGTAATGTAGTCGCACGCGGTGCTAACTCAGACTTGGCTAATGTACCTAGAGGTAAGTCAGGTTAGATCGATCAGAATCAGATAGGGATGTAGTATTAGGGTGCTCAGAGAGGCGCAATAAGGTGGGGGACCGGATGGTCGGGGAGACAGTAGTTACTACCTAGTAGTTAGCCACAAATGATGGCTTGGTCTGGAATCAGTTAAGGTGGTCAGTAATTAGTTAATTAGTCGGTAATCGTCGAATATGGCTGCCTGACATCGTCATGAGCAGAAGGAAGATGATGATGAGAAAAGAAAAGAAAAGAAGACGAAGAAACGAGGTCACGGGCGACGTCGTCATAGGCTTTATCGGGCGGGAAGGAGGGGACCTTCCAATCTTTTTCCTCCCAACGTCATTCTTAAGCCCGTACCTTTCTAGCTGGTTAACGTCTTTAAACCTCTTGCCTAGTACTCTAGATCTAGAATCAATCTATGACTGGATCTGTATATCCTGTCTGACTCACTCTTCGGAAAACTCGACTAGTCATTCATACTAGCTCTTACTGCTGGCCTGATTTAAGCTCTCGGAATTTACTCCTCTTTTTTTTCCCAAGAGGGGCTGTGTGTTTTGGCACAAACCGCATCCCGCATATCTTGTTGACAACCAGATTTCCTGCAAACAGTCTATTTAGACCGCATCGAAACGACTCAGGGAATTTTATACGTTTCGACCATATCGCTCCGAATACGCCGTGAAGTTTGAGTGATCAGTTGAGGCAGAGGGTAGTCATCGTCGACCATCATCATGCCGCTTCCCCACGTGCACGCACACCGCCGCTCGTCTTTGAGTAAGCATACACAGCTTTGTCGCATTTATGCACCGGAACAGTGGTATTGCTGATTTCCGGATCTGGGCAGTTGCTAACTATGATTTCGACAGGCAATAAATCCTCCGACAATGAAGCCGAAGACGAGACCGTCGTCGAACCCGAGCAGGGCAATGGTAGGACGGATCACCAAGCAGGTATCATGGCATAAGGCATAGCTGATGGAACAATTACAACTACTACAGTCCTCTCTCACATCATTTCTCAACTTCGCCCCGGGGCCGATCTAAGCCGAGTCMCCCTMCCCACGTTTATCCTCGAGCCACGATCCATGTTGGAACGAATCACAAAGTACGTCGGCGACGTGAGGAGGACACTGCGCGTACTGACTGTGATTTAGTTTCATGGCGCATCCGGAAACACTGCTTCCAATGTCCACTATCGACGATCCGCTAGAGCGATTTGTATCGGTAGTCAAGTTCTACCTCAGTGGCTGGCATATCAAACCTCCGTACGACACGCTATACCCCAGTACATCTAAATAGGTACTGATTTGCCGCAGAGGAGTGAAAAAACCACTCAACCCCATTCTCGGAGAAATTTTCACCTGCTACTGGGACTACAACGATGGCACTCGAGGCTATTACATATCAGAACAGACTTCTCACCACCCTCCCAAGTCTAGCTACTTCTTTATGGCCCCTGAGCATCATATAAGAATTGACGGCACTCTCAAGCCGCGCAGTAAGTTTCTCGGAAACTCGGCTGCCAGTCTTATGGAAGGCACTGCAGTATTGCGATTGTTGAACCGCGGCAAGAATCCCGCCAAAGGCGAGCGATAGTATGTCAACCGTGCATCTGCGCAGAATGAAGACTAACGACACTAGCCACCTGACACAGCCTAACATGTATGCGCGCGGTATCCTTTTCGGAAAGATGAAATACGAACTTGGCGATCACAGCTTCATCAAATGCCCAGAAAACCATCTTGTGTGCGATGTTGAATTCAAAACCAAGGGCTACTTCTCTGGCACTTACAATGCTATTTCTGGAACGATAAAAAATGACCAGACGGGCGAGGTCTTCTATGAGATTTCAGGTCTGTGGAATGGTGAGATGTACCTGAAAAATAACGCTGTATGTTCGCACTTCGGGATTGTGGTAGAAGTATACTAACCTACTGTAGACTGGGAAAAAAGAGCTCCTGTTCGATGCGACTCACGCCAAACACACACCTCCTCTAGTCCGACCTCTCGAAGACCAGTCCCAACGAGAGTCTCAAAAACTATGGTACAGCACAGTTCAAGGATTGAACGCCAGGAACCATGAAGTAGCGACGACAGAAAAGACCAAGATCGAAGATCAACAACGTGAAGAAGCAGCAAAACGAGCCGAAGGAAATGTAGAGTGGCACCCGAAGCTCTTCCGCGCCGTTCGGGGTGGACCTGGCGGATCAGAGGAGGGTGAAGAAGATCTCGACTGGATAATCAACGCCGAAGTGTATGTCACCTATGAAAAATCCGAGATTCCTTCTAACGAGTAGTAGTGACCCCAAAGACATCGAAAAAGCACACAAACAAATCCTCGGCATCTACCCCGTCATCCCCGGCCAAAAAGCATCCCTTGAACTCCATACCTCTACTAATCAACCAACTATATCATCCGCATCCTCGAAGTCGTACGCCCAATCTCACGGCGGCGACCTGATAGACTTCGGCGACGAGATGACCTCTACTGCAGGAGCTGCAGCCGCAAGACCAGCCCATGGGTCATCGCACGATTTACTTGGCAGCGACACTTCGACTGGATTGATGGCTCCATTGCAACCCGTTGGGTCACAGATAAATCATGATCCACATCCTGTGAAGAGGGTGGATTCGACGACGGATGATGTGGATGTATTTGTTGATGCGGAGGAAAAATAAATAGTTCAAATGTTAATTGGTGACATTAGTGGGTACTTTGATTAATTGGATACACCTATTTCCAGCTTCGACTGTTCGATGTAGAATGAAACGACAATCTGTACATTTCCAAGTCGCTTCTACCTCCTGTCTCTGAGTGTCTCATGAAGTGAGTATAGTACAAATGGCATACCGTGCCAAATCCAAAACGCCCCAACCCGGCTTTTTAACATACCAAACATTGCGCCATATGCTTCAGATATACCAAACCAAATAAACATCCCAGAACAAAAAATCAAAAAATCAAGCAGATAATTCCCCCCTTGTCCCTAAACCTCTCTCTAAATCTCTCCTCGACGCCCTCGAAGTCGAATCTGCCGGTGACAGCGACGCCGCAGCGCCCGCCGAAGATCTAATCCCCTGATCTCTTTCCTCCCTCTCCTCATCCATATAATCCTTCTCCTCTTCCAAGTCCTTCTCCACATCCTCTCTCAAACCCAAAATATCAGGCGGAATATGACTCATCTGCACACTCGGCGCACCCTGCATATATCGCAGCTGTTCACGAATCGTAGACACCAGATGGGACAGGTACTGTTTCGAGTTTTTGTTTTCGATCTTACGCATTTCAGATAGTGGGGGGAAGAGGCTGAAATCCGGGCCGAAGTGGTTTCGGAATGTGACTGTGTCGGGGATGTTTGGGTCGATTTTTTGTACGGCGTCGATGAGGATGGATGTTTCGTGGGCCCAGGCGCGACTTACGTTTCGAGGCGTGTAGCCGCCGCCGCCGACGACGAGCATGGGCAGACCCAAGGTTTTGGTGTATGCGACGCAGGCGCCGTGGCCGGTGACGTTGAGGTTGAAACAACCTAGTCGGTCGCAGCCCAGACTATCGGCGCCGCATTGTAGGACGATTGCGCCGGGTTGATAGGTTTCGACGCAGGAGCTGATTACGTCTTTATATAGTTGGAGATAATCGTCATCTTCGATGCCGTCGTTTAGGGGTACGTTGATGGCGTGTCGCGAGCCTGGGTTTAATGGGTGAGAGGGTCCGTTGCTGTCCAGCGCACCGGTGCCAGGGAAGAAATTATCCTTGTCGTATTTATGGAAGGAAACCGTGAGGACGCGATCAGTCGACCAGAATGCTTGTTCCACGCCATCACCATGATGTACGTCAATATCGATATACATGACGCGCGGATGAAATCGCAAGAGCTGCAATATCCCCAACACGATATCATTCACATAACAAAACCCACTTGCCTCCGTCTTTTTCGCATGATGCAACCCGCCCGACCAGTTAATCGCGATATCTGCCTGATTATTGATAAGTTTCCTCGCCGCGTCGACCGTCGCACCGGAATAGAGCGAACAATAGTCAAACAAGCCATCAAAGATCGGACAATCGTCCCCAAAATTGTAGCTTGCGATCCTATCCGATTGCTCTGCTGCTTCCATGTCGGCGGGAATAACCTGTCTCAAAAAGTCAAGATAATCTGCTGTATGAAACTCGGCCATTTCCTCGAACGTCGCTGCGCGCGACAGATACAAGTCCATGGCATGATGCATTCCGTATGCGAGGACGAGTTCTTTTGTGAGCACTAGACGCCATGGTTTCATGGGATGGGATTGACCGAAATGATGCGCTTCGACGGCTGGGTTTGCGTGGTACGAGACGGTGTAGCCCTGCGGCCGAGTGATACCATTGTGTAGGCGCTCGTGGTTGATTTTTTGGTCGACGCTGAAGGTTACGGAGCGCGTGGTGGGGGGAGTGTCGTACTCTTGCACGATGGCAGATCGTGCCATGGATATTAGCTTTGCGACGTAATCGGCTGTTGAATCGCAGTGAGTGCTATGAGTGCGCTGTAGTTCTATGTTGCGTTCGAGGTCATGAAGCTGTCATCTTAAATCGAAGCAAGTCGAAGCAAGTCTAAAGTTGAGCTAGACGCAGAGTGGCGGCACGGCAGTGAGCCGGTTGGGAGATCGGCTAACCGTTTTCGGATGGATTTAATGCCTTACTTTTCAGGCTACAACAGTCTTAATTTTTGATCGCATCGACACATCTGACCCACAAGGCAGACTTCATCTTACGAAATAGATTTGATACATATGTTGCCACAACGGAGCATCTTATAAAAAGTATGAAAATTCTGAAATGAAACCAAGCCTGTCATGCTTCCCGGCATTCTGGCATATCCACATTCAGGTTCTAGAATCGTGGGCTTGATCGCGCCCAAGTCGATCCAGGATCAAAGTGGGTATTCAAAGACTACTATGTATGTAGTAAATGCGTCTATGAAGACGTTGATCGTTTGATGGGGATTTTCAAGCAGCGAGCGATTTGAGCGGTGTGTTGGTTTAGCAAAATTATGCGTACTCCGTAAGTAGTACTGCAAAGTTAGGGCTAGGGCTTGTCCATCACATGCCCGAACCAACCATTCCATCAGTGTGGTCACGGTCCGGGGCGAACCATTTCGGACATTTCTTTAGTCATCAGCATGCTACCGAGACGGTAAATCGTCAACAAACAAAAATCATGCGTCGAATGTCAATCCGAGTAAGGTGTGTGCGGTGTGCAAAGACTACGTAGCAACAAGTATATATGTGCTGTGTCATGATTCGTGACACGGCATATGCCGATCTGGTACCTGCATATGACGGCGCGAATCGGCCTATGCGATACCAGCAAGGCGCTCTGCATTCGACAAGATCACACCGACAGTCGTTTTTTTCAGAACTTGCAGACCAAGATTAATTGAAGATATTGAGTGATGACTCGTAGTATGCCGCATTATCGCTAATATTTGCTTCAAATTGAGCATCGCTAGGTTCTCCATTGCTAAAGTACTTTTAGACCGACTATCGTAGGGCAACACTGCCTAGTCTTCGACCGCTTATGTAGCTTCGCGCAATCGTCAAGTCATCATAAAATATCGGTCTTTGAGCGACAGACCATCGATCTGCTTGGTAGCATCAACTTTGCTTCTTCAAGAGTGTGTTGTACATGGCCACGAAGACTAATCGCGATACTTGTTTGCGACGAGTCAACCTCAGGTCGTACTCTTATAAGAGTGACCTGGCCGGCTCATATCGTAACATAACTAACATGAATGCCAGATGTTGTCAACATCAATAGACCACGTGGGTGGCCAACAACAAAGTTCGGAACAAAGCGTTGAGGAATGAGGCATAATCATTACCATGTGGCAAGCCGATAGTGGCTCGATCCCATTCCAAGCCTATGTGTACGTGGCGCTCCGCAGTGTTCCGATCTGGAGAATAAATCGGTAAATTCGAAATGTGTATGTCAAAGAACTTATTGATTGCTCTCATTTGTGTTCTTTGATGCATCCGACACACTCACCGAGTTCTCCGGATGCATCAGCCTGGCTCCTATTGGGCCAGGTACAGTCAATACTACATAGTCGTAGCCTGAATGAGATGGCACCATTCTTATGATTCACAGACAATAGCAACTTAACTTGGAGTGCTAGACATGCTGGCACGATTACGTGGCAGTGGTAAAGATCGCGTAATGCGATGGCGACTACCGACCGACGGGAGAGCAAACTTACCTCGGAGAGCCCAACCCGGTCAACACAACACCTCAAACACCGGCAAAGACCGTCATTATTATCGAACATCAGACAGGAATTAAAGCCTATTTGTGAAAATTGTTTTCTCCATACATCAAACGAAACAGTGTCCATGGAAAACGGGCCCGTGGAGAGAGCTTTGTCACAATGTTACGAGAGTTAAATGGCCACCATCGAGATACTCTGATCCGAGCCAATTACTTAGCCGGCTTACAGACGGTGCTTTGAGTTCCCTTACGCAGCTAGTGCAGTCTAGACTCAGGCACCGAGGACAGCAGCCAATGACAAAAAGTCCCCTGGCCCCGACAGGGTGATCGCACGGCGCTAGTCTGGTGGAGTGGTCGCTGCACACGTAGACTTGTCCCTGTCGGGTGTGTCTACGAGTATGTAGTACGATGCAAGAGATGAAACAGGACACAACCACTGAACCAGAGAGGAAAGAGCGACAGTCTCTCAGGAAGTCTCGACTGACGCTGGCCCGCCGCCCCACTCCCACCGGCGCAGCTTTCCCTCGACCAATCACAGTTCGGTGCCTGACCTTGGCGGCTGCTGGGAAATGAAGTCCTTCGCTAGCGTCCCGTTAGTCACTGCTCTATATGGCCTAGCGTGTCTCTTCGCAGGCTCGCTCCTTCCACCAGTGTCCACCCTTTATTAAGCCACCCCCCCGTTCCCTCTGAAAATTCTCTCGTCTCCTTCTCCCCTTCATATATCCCGCTGCATTCCCACTCTCGCTTTACTCCCTTCAGGGATTCTTTCATTCAGTCTATTTTGAGCCTGCTGTCGCTCTGTCACTCCTTGAAACCCACGCTCCTTATATTGCTTCCAGCGCCGCTTCGATTCCTCCCATCTTCTACACGCATTTCAAAAACGAACATCACAATGCAGTTCAAGAACTCGATCCTCCTATTGACGGCTCTCACTGCCGGCAGTGCTGTCGCCCGCACTCACGGCCACCAGCGCCGCCATCAACACCATGAGCGCGCTGTCGGTGACTGGGTTACTGCTGTGATTGACGGCAAGACCGTCTCCTGGCAAAACACCTACGCCGGCCCTMCCGCCGCCGCCGATGCTGCCCCTGCAGCTGCTACCACCACTGCCGCTGCCGCCGTCAAGGAAGTCGCCGAAGTCGCCAACGCTGTTGTCAACTCCGCTACCCACACCTCTGCTTCCAAGACCGCCTCTGCTACCGGCTTCGGTGCTACCACCGCCCCCTCCGGCTCTGGTTCCACCTACTGCGGCAACGTCGGAAGCCCCTATGGCTCCAACATCATTGAGATCTCCGAGGGCGACTTGAGCAAGTACGACTACACCATCACTCTCGACGGATCCCAGATCGACGAGGACTACGATGTTATCTTCTGGAACAAGTGCAGCGCTGAGGGTCTCCTCACTGGTTTCTTCGCTACTTCTTTCCCCTTGACCGTCACCGTCTCCCCCAAGTCCAAGTCCTACGTCGCCATCGACACCGACACCCAGGGTGGTTTCATCGGTTTCCCCTCCAGCTCCTCCATTCCTCGCAGCACTGTTGACGGAATCGTCCTTGGTTTCTGGGGTGAGTTCGACTTTGCCGACTCTGCCAACAACGGCTGGTCTGGATTCGATGTCTCTGCCATTGAGGCCAACATTGCTGGCATCTCCGATTACCCCGGTCTCCTCATCAGCGGTGACGGTCAGACTTCTTCCATCACCACCGGTCTCGGTGCTGTCTCCAACGCCTATACCCAGGCTGAGACTGCCATCGGTGGTATTGGCGGTAATGTCGCCTCTGGTCCTCTTGCTTTGACTGCTATCCTCAACTACAGCGGTTAAATTTAAAATATTGGATATCCTTTGAACATTACTTCTTCGCTACATATTCTCCTTCACTTTTGTTTCTATGTCTATTACAAGTAACATGACATGACCGGCCTGCTTTGTTCAGTCCATACCGTCGCTGGGGAGACAGGTCGTTACGTTATTTACATTTTGATACGTCGTATACTTACCTGTAACAATTGATTTTGGAAACAAAGACTTTTTGATACCTTCTTGTACATATATGGGACATGACAATTCTGATTAAACTGTTACTACTGCCAATTCCTTGATTCGATTCTTTTGAGTGATGGGCTGAAAATAGCCAAAGCATAAATATAGAAGCCTCGAAAGACAAAAACAAAAGAACGGATGTGAGCCAATCGGGCCTTAAGCGCTTTGCCAGCAGGCGACTTTTACGAACGTGTTTGTCTGACTCTGAAACATGCTTTCTCAGCCATTGACGCCAGCCTCCGGGATTGTGCTGACCGTTTACAAAGCACGTACATGTCGTCTGAGACAGACTCAGCCACGATGAGAGCTACTCCTTTTCAGTGCGGAGGACTATGCACTGTTTAGGTAAGTACCTAAACTATGGGCACGGGGTCTTGGGGAACTAGGTTAGCCACTGTATGTGGCATGCGTTAAGCGCCGGAGTTTCCAGACTTAGGATCAGGGGTCATACTACTAGGGAGGAACTACTCCTAGCCTATCAGGGGCGAATGTTGTTTCACGAATGGTAAGACTAAATCTACGTATGGAATTATAATGTCTGAAGAAGAACAACTGGGCATGAACCCATAGGAGAGCATTCCATTGCTTTGACCAAAGTTGACCCTGCAAACAGAGAGTCAACCCAGGGTCTCCCTTCGCTTTGTGAATCATACCATCCTGTTTCCTTGTTCCGAGAGGAACTTGGACCTTAGAAGAATAAGGGGTTATGCCGTGAGGTCGTATTCTCATTTTTGGGTGCGAGGCTAGTCCTTGTCCAGGAACGGGCGTGGGGATAGGGGGTGTAGGGTCTTTCCTCTGGTTCCTGCCTTTCACTTGGATTGTCGATATTCTCATCTAGGACAGTGGTCATGGCGTCGTAACCCATCATGATTTTGCAGGAGGGAACACGCAGTGCTACTTGAGGCATGCTACACTTGACGATCGAGAAACGCAGTCTGACAAGGTGAAAATAGACAATCAAAACATCCGATCAATAGAGAGCCGCACTAGTCCCAAACAGGCCAAATTCAGATCGCGCAGTCACATGATCCCGCGTCGTAATGACTATTCATCTTGCGTCATATCAAAAATCATCAACTACGTACACAAAATCAACGTCCACAGCTCTCTTTATACCAATCCTCTCAGACTTGCCTTTCGATTTTGTCTTGATCAATATCATGGCCCCCATAAGACGCTATCTCCGCATTAGCAAATACTCCGTCCTCGAATGTCGCATCTTCCTCGAAAACCCATCCGATGCGCGATGGCTTCTAGACTCCAATTCTCGCGACCCCGTCCTTCCGCGGATATTTAACACTATCAAACCGCTTGTATTACCTAAGCTGCGGGAAGAGAATGAGCGTGCGTTGGCAAAGAAGAAGAGTAATCCTGTGAAGGATGTTTTGGTTGAGGGTATGTATCTTGCGTCGTCTTATTAAAGAGATTCGAGTGATGGATGTTAATAGATGTAATAGATGATTTTGAAGTTGCCATCTTTTTGCGAGAATCTGGAACAAAGCATTCCTTGCTTACGAAGCAGAAGAGCTTCGGAAATAAGCAAAAGATGAAAAGTAACTCGAATAAACTTACGGGATCAACGGCGGAGATTCTCGTGGAAAGCGATGATGAAGGCAACAACGGGCGAACCGGTATTGACATGAGCGCCATCCCTGAGGTGGTAGACTCGGAGGAGGAAAAGTCCGACGCAGAAAAACGGGCTGGAAAGGCTGCTGCACTGGCAACGGATACTCTCGACGACAAAAAGCTTCAACTTACGACGAGTTATGATGGATTCGGTATTTGGGGATGGGTGCTGTGTTTGCTCGTGACACGAAAAGGTCAGAAGGGTCGCAAAGGAGTGGATGGCGGTGCTGGTGCGGCTACTTCTGGGCAAGCTTTGATGGAGGAATGGATTGGGACGCAGATGCAGCCAGTTCTTGATGAGGATTGAATTCGCAAATCACTGCAAACAACCTCTACTATAAAGTTGTGAAAGGAGCTCATGCTCATGGTCCCTTATTTTCGCAGCAAGTGACAGTACCGTGTGACGAAACATTTCGGTCTAATAGACACCACTTGTCTTGTTCGACATCACTACAGCATTCAGGCATCAAGTATGTGCTCATGGAAAGTAATGCGGACTGTTGATTATCAGCTATAATCTCACCACACTACGAGCCGAGTCCTACCGCTCATGCTCAATAAAAGCTTCCCGAAACATTCGAGATGATGTGATATTTCGTCAACGAAGACGCTCTGAACTTCCTTATCTATGGCACGATTACATCAGCCTTGAACTTGACAGTGTCTCTACTGAATACTTGGATTGCTTTTGTTAAGGGTATAACCAAGTGTGTCGATGTTTACAACAAATCACTGCCAAGCATGTTGGTCGCATCGAGTGGTGTCGACCCTCTGCATGATATCATCGTCATCACTACAGGTCAGAACTTAATTGTCGTACATCTCATTGACGTGAAAGCCCGCACTTTGAGCGGCGTTGGAGGAGAAAATTTTGTCAAGAATGTCAGTGATAATCGTCGAAGTCTGTCGGGAAATTCCATACACCGAATCGCGATCACTGACATCCTCTCTAGAAGCGATACAAAACAACTTAGTTTCTGTATAATCCAAGAGTGTGGATATAATGGAGCTTGTACAAATGTTTTCGGATGCTGTAGTTTAGTGACTAGTATTCCAGCGCGCTGAATCCCATGTAGCAGAGTTGAAGACTGAATAGTGAAATTCTTGAAGTCTCGCAATTTCATGGGTAGTAGCTGATGAAAGAGAAGAGATGTAAAATAAACATACCTCCCACGAAAGACTCTGGATTTCCTTGCCTACTTTTGTATTCTTCAGCAGAGTTGATACGACTTCGCATGAGCTCTCAAACAAGCCCTGTGATCTGTCTCCAAGTCGTTTCCAGATTGTTCGATACAGCAAGAAGTCTTGATCCATGCACTCGAGATGGATCATTAGGTGGAACTCAGAAACGTCGTCATTGTTCGTACACCTAGGCGGCCAACCCAGAAAAGATGGAAAAGTTTGTTGCATTTGTCGAAGATCTGCGATCGATTTTCTTGTGATGATGTTAATTTATCTCCTTTTCAAGAACGGCACATCTTCCCAAGGTAGGTGTTTGATAGGAAGAAATACATACTCAATCCTCTCTTGAAGACAATCGTTCTCATGGCTAAAAGACAACTCCAGAATCCTTTCGCTCGTACTACTCGTCATCAAAATTCCTCGATATCCTGCTTTCTAGGATTGCTTGACCCTGTTTGTTCCAGCCATCTGCGTCGAGATGATTCTGTCAATCTCACTACTCAGCTGTGCCAAGATTTTTGGTAGCTTATATCCATTGGTAATTGGATGAGACTGTATCGCGAACATATTTGGGGTGGTCGACCTAGTGCAAGAGCCAATTTCGTATCTATTGCATATACACTAGCTAAAACTCGTTTTCTGATTTCAACAAGAAAGGCCGCACTCGCGTGGTCTATGCAAACGCTCGGATGGTGAAGGCCAACAGCGTATGCAATGGTGCTCAAATCGCCCAACTTTTGCCAAGTTCGATCATCTGCACCATGGTCGATGTCCTCTGTTAGTGGAAGGGAAAGTAGGAGGCGACCAGAGACATACCGTTCCGACCAACCGTCTTCGCGAGACTCACTATCTGTTGCGTCGCAAGCCAGCACAGTGGGTCACTCGTTACACCAGCCTTATGACGGAATTGGAGGCATATCTCTCCAATTGTGGTCGACCTAAACTGCAGTCTGTTTTTGTCCATCTTTGCATCATTTGATTTCGCGAAAACAAGGTCGGTTTCTGGGATAAAGATAGAAACAGCCACCAGTAGCTGAAACAAAACGCAGTTTTTATCCCACAGAGCACCAATTAGAGATATGTATTGCCTCGAGATCACTTCCTTACTCACTTGTATCTTAGTGATCATATTTTTGAGCGTTTACCGGGGTAGATTGAGCAGTGAAGTCTACAAGTCTTCAATATCATGCAGTGCTGCACTATAGACTGTTCGATTGCATCAGAGAAGAGGTCTGTTACGGGAAGCTCTAAAAACCCGTTGCCAGTAAGTCTATACTTTGTTTTCACCAAATCACGGTACCAGTTAGTCATAAACCGCTGCCCAGAATGGCCGAACAAACCGGACCAGAGATAAAGCTTGTATTCAGGGCCATGAGTCTAAGGAAATCAGGTGAATCCGCAGTACGATCCCCAGTACTCTATACTAGCTAAACATATCTAACAGCCTGCGTTCCCAACATCGACGAAGCCAGAGCTATCCCGGACGTCTTCCAGAAATTTGGCCTGGACGACATTGACACTGCATGTGGCTACGCTAATGGGACTTCTGAGGAGTATCTCGGAGAGCTCAAATGGTAGGATCGTGGTCTTACAGTGGCTACTAAGTTGGCGCCTGCTGTAACTCCTGGCCCAACTACCTATTCTCACGAGCCAGCAGACTTGCGTTGTGGGATTCAAGAGTCTCTGTCCGCTCTCAAGCAGATAGGATCGATTTGGTGAGTAGGGTCTTTCTGAATGTAGACTAGATTCGGGTGCTGTGCATAATCTCAGACAAGATGAGAGAATTTGGAATGAGTCCAATACCCGAGAAGTCTATAATCGAAAATTACAGTGGTACCTCCATTTCCCTTACCACAATACTCCATTCGAGCAGATCCTGCGGGAGGTGAACGAAATGTATAAAGATAGTCTATTTCGTCGCTTCGGCTCAATTAGCTCAAGGGCACCTATCAATCAGAAATGATAGATATCCTGATCTTCCTTCTTAGTTTGCCAGCGATATGGTACGTAGTACTTCAAAACATGAATTTGTGCCCTAAGATGCTAAGTGACATTCTTGGAACTCTTTGGTCTCAATTTTTTTCTTATGTGTGCAATGACTCCAGAGACACTCTATCGTCATTTGGAATCCGTCTCGTTGAAACTTGCGACAATTCCTTACTCATTAAATAGCTTGCTACGGCCTGCCTGACCCTACAGCATTGAGGAGATTTCTCCTCACAAAAATCCTTAGTTACAATCAGCATACCACATTAGCGTATAGCAACACATATTAACCAGCATAGCTCACACCTAACTAACCCCCTACACTAAGATCTTTAAGTACATAGGCTTGTTGCATGCATATTGATAAGCGTATAGACGACAAGCAAACTAGTAGTGACGACTAAACACTAGCTCGGCACGTCAACTGTCATATGATTCGATTCCTCTCTATTTGACACATCGACCGTATCACGACATTACAACTCAACGACATTCGCACGGGTGAGCAAGATCAAGAACTAGCTATTATTATCTATTTGAGTCGACTTTAATCTCCGATATTCCGAAACATTTCATGCATTCATTGTAACCTTCTAAACCTTTAGGCGCAAAAAACGTGTATGCTTTAGAGCGGGGCTGAAATTACCAAAAATGGGAATTTAGCAGAACCACCAAATAAAGTCAATGACGACACTAGACGGAGGTATGGATAGAACAACCAAGTCATGTCTTGCATGTCTTACCACGCAGTCGGGTTTGGAATCAACCCATGGATCGGACGCCATGTGCTCGTATACGGAATGCATTGGCCAAAGAACGAGAGGGGGCCGAAAAGTACCCTGTAGTGGCTGTACTCAGCCTCAAGATTTACCTAGGCAAGTCCGGACGAAGTACAAAGTCGTTGTCATACGCTTGTAAAAACGTTAGCTGATATCTCTTGGCTACATACGTGCGACGAGTGATGCATCTCATCTATAAGTACGGAGTACTAAGAAATGTAGTAAGGCTAAGTGCCAATAGTGTAAAATGCCTCTTTTTGTCGGTGAGTCAGTTTCGCGACGCTCGGACGACTAAGGCGCGCTTGAGTCTGATCCCCTGTCGAGCACCAGGTCTGGTGACTTACGATGGCATCGAGTCTAGTACATTATGTACTTAGTAATAATAAAGGTGTACGTATACACGAGTGCCACGGTGCCACAATGGTGCCTGGTTCGGTGAAAAGGATTGTATGGGCGATATGAATGGTAGTTGGTCAATGATGTCATCATCTACTTGATAGAGTATGCAGCGGGCACTCTTTGGCAGATAGCTCCATGATCTATCATATTCTTTAATAAACTAGTGAGACAGTGGATGATCACGTAGATTAAAATTGTATTGAAGACTGTAAATCAAAAGCAAGTCGGATCTAATTGCCGACGGGTATTCTCGGATGCCACAAACAAGAAAGCAGACAACATGATGATAAGCCAGGAAAAAAATCAAGCACAATCATAGAAGATCTAATTAAAACAGAAATAAGACATGACAGAATAGGAAGAAAAAAAAGAAGATAAGAAAGAACAGAAGAAAGTCTATGATTCAGGTCCGACGTGGCGGCACAGGAACGCAGCCAATCAGTGAGGGTCGACAAGGCATCAACGAGTCAATGACCTATCAGTCGTGTCTTCGATGTCTGATTGGCGTGATAGAAAATCAAGTTTCCTGTCAATGTCACTTGTTTGTGTACCCCGCCGATCGTGTTTTGGACTTTGATATCCTTGATCAATCGCGCGCGGGTAGAGTCACATGGTTGGTTGTCATTGACCCCTCCCGTGCCCTAACTAGTCTGACGGGCTAACGAAACGAACGGGGATTATCATCGTGAAACGGCTGCTTTGAGGTGATCGGATGTCGATGATACGGATTTTGCGTAATCTCGTCGTCTTGATAAATGTGATTCCCCACACTAACAGTGTCGAAAGGCCCACAGATTCGTGATGTTCGTTCTTGCTGTCTGTGCGATGATTTCGTATGGACGATGACCGGGTCGTAGATCCGAATTGAATTTCTTCGAGAGAAAAGAAAACAGGTAGAAAGGAATCCACCAGGTATTAAACAAATGTAGAAGTATGCATGTTGTATGATGTGAAAACTCCG